GTAACCAACCCGTAACCAACCCGTACGCCCCTATCGTTGCACAAGTAACGTTAACTCGTCTGCCGTACCTAAACACACCGGAGGGCTCTCTCACTCTCTTGTTAAAATCACGGGTCCCACACCATCCACCTCCACTTTTTTTTATCTACCCCACTGTTCCCTGGTTGGAGTTTGAGCGCAAAAAAAACAAAAATGAGTGCTCACAACTCACTTGTTCACAAACACTTGCCAGAGAGCAAGAAAATAACGCCACACTCAGTGGGCAGTTGATGGTGTGTTTGTCTTTTTTCTCCAATCCCTACCTTGCTCTCTCACCCCCTGGCTTTTCGCTTCTGGTCTATCGAATCAATAACGTGCTTCTTCCCATGGCAAGTCATGGGGTCACTTTGGGAAAAATTAAAAAACGGGAGCATCAGAGCACGACCAACAAAAGAAAAGAGACAAACAGAAGAAAGGGAGAGAGGAACAGGGCTCTGGGTCTCTTTGTTGGTTGTGTGACATAAGAAAAAACAACGCAAAAAAAAAGAACGCATCGATAGAACGAACATGGACACAAGACTAGGCTTGAAAGGAAGAAAAACGTCAGGGCAGGGCATTCTGGAAAACAGGTTTTTCTCATCAAAAAACCCCTCACTTCCCTTCTTTGGTTGGTCTGGCTGTCTGTCTTGGCTGGATGCTCGCATGCTGCATGTCCACTTTTTATTTCATTTTACTCATGTTTTTTCCTCATCTATCTATCTGACCACTAACCACCTTGTCTCTATCTATCTCATTCGTGCAACTTTACTGGCGAAGGTGAGTACTATTTTTATTGTGCATGTTACAGCATGCTATGCCTTCTTCTCTTCTTTCTTTCTTTCTTTCTTCTAGTCCAGTCTAGTTTTCGTTTTCCGCTGTTGTTACGTCCACGGTCCTAAATGACGGCACATCTTTTGTTGAACGTTGTAATTGATGTCAAGGGTCCCCACCCTAACACTTTCAACGCAACAAGAACGAAGTCTTGAAAGGACAATGGCAATAGTCTATTTTGGGTAGGGGACCCTTTCTTTCCTCTTCCATCGTTCTCCACACCAAATTACACAACTTTTTCTTGTTTTTCCTACCCAACGGGGTAGAGGAACTTTCGCAGATGATGCATCATAAAAATTTGCATTGATGTCCGCTCTCTCTTAGTTTTTCAGGAAGAAAACCACTCGATGGTCGTCGTTTTGTTTGTTTTGTTTAGGGATTTTGGATGGCTATGAATGAGAGAGTGAAGAGGCGGCACTTTTTTTTTTTTTGAAAGGGCGATATGTGTGTCTATCTATTAACGGTCGGCATCGTTCCCCTTTTCTCGATCTCTCTGTCGTTTTGTGCGTGTTCGTAGTTTCGTGACTGAATGTCGTCAGAAAACGGTCGAACTGCATTTCATAAACAAGCTGTAATAGGGCGAGGTGTGTTCGATCGTATTCATTTCAGGGTTTTATTATTTTCTGTCGTCAGGGAGGAAGACAGCCATGATCGAGCAGCAGCAACAACAATAAAGGACACGCAAAAATAGTCAAAAGTAAACCAAACCAAACTAAAAGATGCTGCATGACCACCTCTGCCTCTGTCTCTCTCCCTCTCTGCTTGTCTCTCTTCCCTCCCGTCCCGTTGACAAGAGATGCATGCAGTCTTGTGTCAGCAAAAACAACCGACCACAACAAAAAAAAGTAGTTGTATGAAAACCCTTTCCGTTCTCCCTTCTCCGTTCTCCCTTCTCCCCTGTCCCCTATCTCCTATCTCTAGGACAAAAACCAAAATCTGAAAGAGGACAAAGCGAGAGAAGGGATGTGCATACCTTGTTTGTTTTACCTTTACTTTTTTGTTGCTCAGCAGCATGGCATTTTTTCATTTACTGCTGACGCGATTCAGCGTGCTCTTCATTGGCGAAGCGCTGCGTTTCGGTAGGTCAAGTTTTTTTTTTTTACAATGTCAGCCAAACAAGCAACGCAAAGCAAATCCCAAAAACAAGCATGTCAACCAGAAAGGTCGTCCTTTTTTTTCCTTTCTTATCCTCTTTCATGATTGACAACCATGTTGGCTATTAGGTTGACATCAAAAACAATGGCACGACAAGCCAAAGATGCCTTTTTTTGGGAAGTGGTGCGAAGGCTAGAGTGAAAGTGAGAAGCGGGTTTCACGATCTGGGTTGGATCGGATTTCTTCTTTGAACAAACACCAACAGCCAGGTGGCTTGCTGCCTGGGCACTCATTTCATTTGTTTAGCTACAAAATAGCTCCTGATCAGGTTTCTTCTCTTTGTTCATAACTCTGTTTCCTTCCTTTGGCATCATTATACACGGCATAAACAGTGATCCTATATGGTATGTAAAATGAAAGAGAGAAAGTAAAAGAGAGATTCTAGTGACCTCAAGAAAAAAAAGGAGGGAAGAAACCTTGTTAGCGTTGAAGGTTGATAGTTTATCAAGAGTTCATGAGTGATGATGCGTTGTGATTGGCGTACCTGGATACAAGAGGAATGGACCTCTCTCTGCGGGTTGATTCCCAAAAGAGGGGGGCTTCATTGTACACTCTCTTTCACCTTCCTAGCCAGTCTGGTCGGGGGATGTCGAATTGGCGGTCTTTTTTTCTCTCTTTTTTACAAGCCATGAAGATACTTGCTGAGAAGAAGGACAAAAAGGCAGATCTGATAACCGTTGTTGAGGAAGAGTGAAAGACAGAGTGGGAAGGAATGAAGAAAGAGCGACGTAGTAGTTACACTATCATTACCTGCAGCCTGGGGATTCAAAGTCCACTCACTTCACTCTCTATTTCCTCTTTTTTCTGTACACTTGCCCAGGGTCCTGCTGTTGTCAGTCATCCCGCCATTCATTTAGAGTCCAGGAACTTAAGAGGTAGTCACTTTTTCGTGACCTGGCGCAATCAAAGCCAGCCAGCTATTTGGCTATCTCAAGCAAGAGAGCTGGGATCCAGGGGTAATGAAGGCGCAGACAGGGTAACAGGTAAACCAGGCAAAAGGCTAGAGCACCATGGTCAACTACCGCTCCTCCTTCTTCTGCTCTTTTGCTTTGTCACCATGGTCTTACTTACGATTCATTTCCACAGGCCGATCCTAGACACTTGAGATCGGGGAGCCAAGAAATCAACTGCGGGAAGGACAAAAGAAGAAGGCAAAACAGAACAAAAAAAGAAATGAAGAAATGTATACTGTCATCGTGTGTCTGTGGATCGGAGACAAACTTGTTTGTTCGCTTTTTGTTGAAAGACAAGAGACATCACAGCATAGGGGCATAATAGCCAAGAAGGACCGCTGACCCCTCTGCTGGCACACATCCTCGGCAACTTCGGCAGCAGTAAACAGCAGCAACAGAACAACAGAACTGGATCCAGTCTTGCGCTGTTTATTTTCTGACCCAGGGATCTGAAGCAAGAGAAAGAAAGACAGATAGACCTTACGGCAAACTTGGGACATGTACAGTTCAACGTGTGGAATTCGACAGCCGCTATCCTCCCCTTGACAGTTGTTGTCTTCCTTTGTTTGTTCCAGTGTCAATTTTCGCTTGGCGAGGGAATGTGTGCATGGAAGCTTGGCGTATTATCTTTGTTTTGTTCCATGTTTTGTCTGTTCACGAACTGTTGACTAGAACTGCCTCAACGGAGAGAGAGGAGTTACCTGGCTGACTTAAGAAGTTCTGACACTGCTGACTGGCTGACCTTTTGAAAAAAACAACCAAAGAAGCAACATCAACAGCAACAGACGGATGAGACAAGAAGAAGCAACGAAGAGGTCAATATTTGTCATACTAACCACACCAAACCAGAACCAGTTGGCTGGAAACCTGACTAACTGGTTGGCTGGCACATCACTGTTCTAGGCTAGGGTAACCCTTCCTTTTTCTTTTTTTAATGTTTTGTGTTTTTTGTTGTTGTCATAGATGTCAGCCAGCAGTCAGGCGCAGTCGGATACGGGTCCAGGGGTTCGTTGTTTATTTCTGGCAACGGCTGTCATTTTTTTTCTTTTTGTTCACGTTGTCATTTTTCCTTTGTCATCATCCTTCTTTTTGCTTCTCCGTGGACACCAGTTTTGGATGACAGAGGGGATCTGGACAAAAGCAGCAAACGGAGAGAGACATATCAAAAGAGAAACTAGGGCCGTGTACAGAGAGATATACATACGTTTGGGTCAAAGGTTGAACCAATGGGTAGAGAAATGAAAAAGAAAAAAGGGTGTGGCCTAGTCTTCGCCTTGTGTCCAAGGGGTGAGGTGATCAGCATCACTCGGGACATGGTTGTAAAAAAAAGGAGGTATAGGAATGATCTAGGGGTGTGCGAATCTGTCCTGTCTGTTCCTCATGTGTGGTTATGTGGAGAGTAAAAGAAAAACAAGGTGAACAGTAAAGAGTTCAATTCAATTGGAAGAGTTGCCCACGTTTTGTGCGTGTGAGTCGAACGTGGTATTGTGCCATGTTATTTCTATATCCCTTGTTCAATTGAATAGCACAAATGGAGAATTTTTATTGTAACAAAGCCTTTTACTTTCTATTAAATCGCCAGTAAGAAAAAGTAACAAAATCTTATTCGACTGAATACCACACCTCACCCCTGTCCTGTCCTCTTTCATTCGTCAACACAGGTTATTCCTCCTCTCCCTTCTCCTTTCTCTCTACCCTCTGCCCTCGGTCAGTTTAGTCAGGCACCAGGGGTATCACATCATATCACACAGATCCACACCCATTCCTATATAACTCCCTTCGATATGCTGCCCCCCCACTTTCCATTTTTTTCTTTTTTCTCTCTTTTCATTCATAACTCTCTTCTTATACCCCTACCTTTCTCTTACCTATCTCGCTCCTTCATTGTTCGTGTCGCTCCTTCATATACCAATTCTTCACTTCCTTCACACACACTTACTCTTCCTTCCTTCCTTCCTCCACACAACCAACATAACCAACCCACACTCCCTTCAAATGCCAACAACAGTCTCCCTCTCTCACACTTTCAACCAAGGACCCACAATGCACCAACAATCAACCCTCTTTATCGACTCCCCCGCCGCACCCACCGTCCCCTCATACTTTGCCCCTTCCTCAAAACAACACAAGCAGCGCCGCTCAGTCTCCAGCTTCGCCTCTCGTCAATCCCACCACTCCTCTTCCTCTTCTTCAGAAAACGACGACGACGATGACGACTCGCTCGTGAACCGCCCCTCCCTCCACCAAATCCTTGTCAATCAAGGACGCGGTCAATACACCCTCGATAGCTTTGGCGCCTTCCTCCAGTCTCAGTTCTGTTACGAGAACTTGGCCTTCTGGCTCGCTTCTCGCCAATACAAGGTAAATAACCTCATCTATCTTTTCGACTTTCTCCCAACCCTTGCCCCAGTTCATTTCTACATCTTCCCCCTCCTTTCTTCCCGTCACCACACCCCCCTCCCAACTTCACCTCACCTTGCAGCATGCATGCTCTCAGATTTCCCCCTCTTTACTACCAACAAGTGATATTAACGCTGTATTTTTTCATTTCTCTCTTTTTCTCCCGCAGTTGTGCGCCCAGTCTCTGTTCCAATCAGTCCAGTCCTCTGCGCCCATGTTCACCCTCCACAGCGATACCGCCCACCATCTCAACCAGTCCCAATCTCGCGCCTTCTCTGACCTGCAGAGCAAGATGCGCGCCATTCTGGAGACATTTGTCCTCCCCAGCAGCCCCCACGAGCTCAACCTCTCTGACGCTGTCCGCTGCCGTCTCTTGAGGTCTGTGGCCGAAGGTGATTACCACCCCCAGGTCCTCGAGCAGGCCCGTGAGTCTATCATGGATTTGATGAAGTGCTCCAGCTACCCTATGTTCCTTGAAACCATTGCTGCCAAGAGAGCTTCCAACGCCGGTTCCTCCCAGTCTACGTCCTCGTCTTCTACTCAGCAAGACAGCCATAGCGATGGCTCGAGTGGATCTTGGCGCAACAAAGCAAAACACCATTTCAAACTCGTCTCCAAGATGTTGAAGCGAAACCCCTAAACAACCAACATCCGACTCTTCTTTGCTATCCTTCATCTTGTACACATCTCCTCATCCAACCAATACCCCTTTATTATTTTCTTCGATCCGCTTCTGCTATGTTTGTTGCTTTTAGTCATTTCTTTTAACGCACATTGTCTTTTTCATGATCTTTCTCTTTTTTCTGCCTGCAACCATTTATCTGTACATATACCCCATCTCTTCATTTCATTTGCTGTGCATACCCAAACCGACCATAGATTAGAAGTAGTTTAGTACTAGTTGACAAACCACTTCAAACAACCTTGTAAATACAAAAACGTAACGACCTCTCTTGATAACCTATTCAAAACATAATCTCCCTCGTCTGCCATTGATTCTCTGCTGTCGTGTATTTGTTTGTCCTATGTTCTCTTGTTCATTCTGTTGCATGTTCACACTTTGCCAGTCGAATGCTAATCACTCAGATGATATGTGTTTTTCTCTATGTCCCATGTAGCCTACTACTTTGTGTCCCATGTACCACTCTGCGCTCCACCCTCTACAAAGTTCTCAACGTCCTCCACGCACTCGTATATCTCGGAGGCTCTCCACGTCTCACCCGTTGTTGCCTTGTTCCCATGTTTTCATGCCTTGTTCAATGCATGCTTATAAACCTCCGAAGCTCACAGCGCGCGCCCTTCCAATTGCTCACCCCTGTTCCAGATGCCTTTTCGATAAAAGCGAACGACGTGGATCCATCCGTCCGTCTCTGTTCAAAACCAAATGCCTTGTAGCCGTCACTCCTGCTTTCTTGTCTCTAACCATTCTTACAGTCCTTGTTACACAAGAGTCAATAGAAAGAAGAGCTGTTAACGGGCCAGGTCAGCAAGGCCAGTGCTTCGAAACCTCCCGCCTTTTGTTATTACAATAAGGAATGGTGTTAACGGTTCAGGGCTAGTACTTCAGACACCATCACCCGCCCCCCCTTTTTTTTTAAGTCTCACCTCCATCGAGAGAATGGACCCTGTTAAGCTGACCAATGTTTTTGTACTAGAGTAGAAATATCGCTAACTAGCTTTGCCCTTGCATATCGTGTCTTCTGAGCCACTTTTTTTTTTCTTGCAAGTTGAGATGGGTGAGTGACACACACACAAAGCAAAAGATATATCGCCAATGAAAAGGTAATACTTGCCTGCACGTAGTTACTCATAACGGTCTATGCCACTTTACTTGCGGAGGACGAAAGAGAGGGGGACTGGCGTGTTGTGTGTTTGTCTCATTGTCTTGCACCCTGTTTTCTGCTGAGGCAGTTCTATGTGTTCGCTTGGCGTAGTAAAGGACCCCATCCCTACGTTGTTCCTGTCTCTTGTTTTTTTTTTTTGCCCAGCTGTCCTTGTATGTGTATTGAGAGAGTCGAGAACATTCCAGGTGTCGTGGAGTTGCAAAAAGCGTCAGGGGTCTCAAAATGAGCCGGGGGAGTCTTTAGTAGGATAGATTCCGCGGAGTATTTTGTTCATGTTAGTGAAAGAGAAGGAAGAGGAACCAGAGTCACCGCCACACGCGTAGTCCAGGGGAGTGGACCCTGTACAGTACCTGATCCAAGAAGCTATTTTTTCTCTCATCCAAGACCCGACTGATATTCGATTTTCAGGTACCGGGACCATCACTTCTGCCGAAACACTTGCGATTGGTCTAAAGACGGTGACGCTAAGATTACTTCTATCATCGCAAGAGTTAGACTCGTCCGACAATGAGGGACGAAAAACGAGAAAGCGAAGCAAAGCCACCGAAAATACGGGCCTGCGACGATCAGTTGGAATGCGACTACACCCGAATCATCCACTTCATCCCTTCTCCACTCAACCAACACAACCTTCATCACCATGAACTTCGGAACCGTTGCCCGTCGCGCCTACTCCACCAGAGTACGTTTCTTTTCCCTACATCTAAGACTTCATCCTACAACAACAACGACGACGACTTGGGACAACAACACACAATCGAGGCGACATCACACAACCAATCACTGCCACCTCACATCAGCCTCGTTGAAGACTTGTCTATACTATGTTCAGGAACCAAGCGTCATCAATCCAACCCACCCTCGATGACAACTGATCCTAACCACTTCAACTACCTTATCTCCATCGATAAAATAGGCCGCCATCCCCCCCACCATTGGCTCCACCAAGGCTATTGGCTCACCCAAGGATGCCGCTCGCGTAAGTGTCACTACCCACATCTTCAGGAACCATAACCTATTCATGTTGTATATCTTCGCTGCTATCACCTTCAATTGCTAACCATTGCCTACTCTCTTTCTCTCTCCTATGACTTCTATATCGCAACCTCATCATGCGCGTCTCGTCAACCTGTCAAACTATTGCCACGACCTATCAAATGCACCATACCAACCACCTGCATCTGAATACCACAACAACTCTTCAACTACTTCCAACAAACCAACACGCCAACTCGATAACGATATCAAATGCGATGATACCTATCATGGATGCTATTCCACAACCACCATTACCCCCACCACTCGCTAAATATCACCAACAACTTGATACAAAAAACAACAACAACAGATGGCCAAGGTCGTCAACTTCTACAAGGGTCTTCCCAACGGCCCCGCCCCTGCTGCCCGCTCCTCCGGCTACCAGGCTCGCCACTTTGACGGCAAGAACTCGGACATGACCCCCGTCTTCCAGACCATCGCCGCCGTCTTTGCCCTCTCCTACACCATCGACTACCACTTCCACTTGAGTAAGTCTCTTGTTCCTTATATTGGTTATAGGTGTACTATGGTTCCATGTGTATCTGTTTTTCTATGCAAACAACGAGGATATAATGTAGACATGTGTATACACTGAGTTGGCGTGTTCATGTCGATGTCGATGTCGATGTCGATATCCGATGATCAGATGATCATAGATTATTCAGATGATACCATACTCACGCATCCATTGCGAAGACATCGCTCGACAGTATCGATGCGATGCATGCACGTTTCGAAAACAAAAGGCAAGGGCAAGACCAAGACACTAACTCTTCTATCCATCCCGTTCCACTTTTTTACCCACTTGCCAAAATCGTGTCAAAATAGAGCACCACAAGAACGTTGCCCACCACTAAATGTGCGTGTCGCAATCCACTTTCCCCCTTCCCACTCTTTGTATGTAACAAGCAAGAATGAAGTAGACACGACCCCCCTCCTCTCCTCATTAAAAACGAAAAATAACTCTTCAATTGTTTTCAAAGTATTCGTCGGTATTATTTTGTGTTGCTCGAAAGGAATGCAAAGCTATGGCTACTTTTGGGGGATATGTATGGATGCCTGTCTCTTTTTTTTGTAATGGTTTTGTGCTTGTTCTTTTTTGCTTTTTTTTTGTGGGAACGGGTAATAGTTTTTTTGTTATGTTTGCTATTGTTGCATGTTATGAAAAGAAAATGTATATGTTGTAGAAAAAAATCTTGATGGAATGAAGCGATCAAAAGGGATGGATGGGTTGAGCACCCTTCCCCTCTCAATTCGTTTTGTATGGTATTGGGTAAGTGGGTAGTGCTGGAGAAGAAAAGAAGAAAAAGTGCAATGAAAAATAAAAGATATGAAGGATGTGCTGATAGTAAGAAAAGAAAATGATAAGGCGAACATGTGTCTAGACGTGGTTCAACTCGACCTGCGGTGGCGCTGGTGCAAGGATGGGCGACGCCGATGAAAGAATTGGCGTTGGTGCCGAGGCTAATGCGGGAGAGGTCGATGCAGGGGAGGCGTTCGAGGAGGGGGGCGCAGACGAGACAGGGACCAGTTGTTGCTGGTGTTGCTGAATCTGCTCCTCAATCGTTTGGTAGTTGACGCTGTTGCGCTTGATAATCTCGACGACAGGTCCCAATAACCGGACAAAAGCACGCTTGCCCAACGTGGCGCACTTTAGCCTGCCTTGGGCTTTGATCGTTGCGGCACGTGGCATGTCGTTCAACAGGGCCAATTCTATGGTAAGAGAGAGAGAGAGAGAGAGGCAGAAACAGAGAGGAAAAAAAGATGTGATGCATGGTTAGGCATGGGCGTCATCATACTGCATATGCATCTTAATCGCAGTAAAAAACCAACAAAAAAAACGTGGTTTAGAAGAACCAATACATACCTCCAAAGTATTGACCGGGTCCCAATCCAGGCATGGGGAATTCTTCACCCTTCTCGTTGTACTTGGTCACTGTGGCTTCGCCCGACTCGATAATGAAAAAGTTGTCACCCTGATCGCCCTGACGAACCACGGGCTGGCCATCGTCAAAGTAGACAGATTCGAGAGCATCAGCAATCTTGTGACGCTCATAGGGCTCCAACGAGACAAGCAAGGGAACCGTCTCCAAAAAGGCCTCATACATGCGTCTCTTGCGCGATGTATTCTCCATCAAGATCCTGCGGAACGTAATCCTGTCCAGGGCCCAGAGAACAACGTCCGAGGTTGCCGTCACAGTCGCAGCACGAGGTCCATTGTACATCAGGGCCAACTCTCCAAAGCTACCGCCAGGTCCATACTCAAACACCTTCTCGGCAGGGTTGCCATTCTTGGCGACAAAGACATCCAACGATCCAGTCTCGACAACGTAAAAGTAATCACCGACAGCACCTTGCTCGATGACGTTCTCCCGGCTCCTGAATCTCTTCTCCGCCATCGCGTTGACAACGTCCTCATGCTGGTCTTCATCCAAGTTCTTGAACAAAAAGTTGCTGGCGATCGAGACCTCGATCCGCTTGCGCTGCTCGGGGGTCTTGGAGATCACGGTCTTGACATAGTTTTGGTGACTGGGGACCATGCTCTCGGCACTGACAGAGGTGCGACGTCCACGCATGTAGTTGGCGGGCATCGAGAGAAGAGGGCTAGGGTCCTCGAGGGCTTCGTCGTCCTCATCGTCCGAGTCGCTGTCCGAGTCACTCTCCATCGAGTGATCGGGGCTGGAAGCAGCAGGAGTGGAGGTATGGATAATTTTAGGAGACGAGATGGACAAGGTTGGGGGAATCAAGGCAGGCAGGAACTGGGGAATTTCTCGGTTGGGCTGCTGAGTGTTGCGGGCTTGAATCGATCCATAGTTATTCAAGGTGGGGCAGAGGTTATGTCATCGTCCATGTCGTCGATTGAAGGAAGACAGAGTTCGTTGCAAAGGTAGTAACACACGACGGAGAGGCGGGAGTCGACGGCAGATGTAGATGTATAAGGTAAAAGTATAAAGGTCAGTCGGTGGCATGGTTGTATTGTATGTAGTATGTAAGTATGTATGCGCATGTAAGTAAATATAGAACTTCAAGTCCGTTCCATCCCTTCTCCTTCCCCTCCTCACCCACTCTCGTTGTAATTTTCTTTTTCTCTTTTTTTTCCTGCCTTCAGTCCAGATTAGCCTGCCTTGTTCCTCTTCCCCTCTCATTTTCTTTCCCTAATTTCGTTCTCTTAGCCCGCCAGCCAGGCTGACCGGAAAAAGAGACACAAATAACGATTACACATAAGAAAAAAAAAAGGAAATGAAAGCAAAACCAACATGAGAGCCATGAAAAGAAAAGAAGAAGAAAAAAAGCGTTGAGCTCAGCTCTGATGTTGGTCCAGCTCAATCCCACTCAGCTCATATATTTGTTTGGGTCTAACATGTTGGGTGAGGCATGCCCTCGATGGTACCCCCAAAAGCCATTAATAAAAATAAACATAAAAACTTTCACCACGTTTTTGTGGGTCGGTCTTTCCTTTCTTCCATGTGGCAAGCGGCAAATCGTTGGCAGCATATGGCTTCGGGGACACAAGCATGTCATCGCACTCTCCTCTCTGTTAAAGCCCAGCAGGCAAACCCTCGCAACACATACACGCCTGTCCCTCTCTTGCCTAATATCACACCAGAGAGAGCAAGGGAGAGCGATAGAGAAAATCAAACAGCAGGGAAAAAAACACCAATGGCAGCTCATAAAATAACAGACCTCGGGACCAAACAAGCGAGGAAAAAAGAAAAACGGACGCAGGCAGAGAACACACGTATGGCGACACAGGCGTGGCCGACATGTGGCATCCATCCCAAATGGGTTGGACCATGCACTGCACAACTGACGACAAAGGAAAAAAAAAGAGACAATAGACAAAAGGAAAATGACCCTGCTCTTGCGATAGCCAGGCACCGTTTGTTACCCACAAACGTGATAGCCATGCAATGCTGTCGTTTGTCCATGCTCTGCTCATTTTTTTTTTTCCTTTTCTTCCTTTTTGCCTTGTTGGTACTCCCTATACCCTTGTCATACGGTGTACGTCCAATCCATCCGATCCAACCCATCCTATCGATTCTTCCAAGACCGGTATCTCCCATCGCCATAAAATTAAATAAACGAGGCAAAAACAAAAAGAGGTACAATCCGTTGTTATATTTCTCACACCAAACCTCATCATCGGTCTTCAAAAACACACACACACACACATACACGCAAGACAAGCTACCTCATTGAACTCTCGCCATTTCTACTTTTCGCCTGGTAATTGATTTTGGAGGGGAGGGGAGCGGAAAGGACGCAATAAAAAAAGTGGGCTTACCTTGCACAAGAAATCGAATGCGCTGTTCCTCGAGTTTCTGGTTGAAATAGTTGGCGCAGAACTGGAGGACATCCTGGGGCTGGGCTGAGATCACCTTTTGGTTGAGATCGTTCAGGATCTCTGCGTATGCCTGGGGCAGCGACCTGTGGATAGGCGACTGCGTCGTGGTTGAAGAAGCAAACATGTTTCTCCTTTCTATCGCAATGGTGATTTTGTTGTTATTGTTTGTTGTTGAGATGGATTGGGCGATTTGTGGTGTGTGGATATCGTTGTTAATTTTTTGGGCGAAAGTCCTGGCGAGAGGGAGCGGGAAGGGTTGTGTCTGTGGGGTGCGTCTGTGTGTGTGTATGTGTGTGTGAGAAGGAAGGAGAGAGAGAAAGAAAGAGAGGGAAAGAGAGAAGGAAGGAGAGAAGGAAGGAGAGAGAGAGAAGAAGAGGAGGAGAAAGAGATTGATGCGTCTGGTATTCTGCGGGGTTCAAGTGTAAGAAAGGATCCGACGGGGTATTCAGCAAAAGCCCTATATCGCCAGCAGTCGACGAAAGCGGATGTGTGATGTGATATGTGTGTGTATGTGGGAGAGAGGATGGATTGGGGTAGGAGAGAGAGTGTGAGTGAGTGAGAGCGAGAGCGAGAAGGAGAAGGAGAGGAGAGGAGAGAAGCGAGTAAGTATGAGGACGGTTTTGTTTGGACAGGAAAGAGAATGAAAGGGCAAAGCGAGGGAGGGGGGAAGAAAAGAGAGAAAGAGAAAGAAAAAGAGAAAGAGCGAAAAAAATAAGAAAGGCAGTAGCAAGAGGAAGGAGACAAAGGAAGGGGGAGCACAGGACGGTTGGGTTGAGTCTTTTTGTTGACTTTGGCTGGTTGGCTGATTGGGTTGGGTTGGTTGGATGGGATGGATTGTTCGTGCCTCGTGGCCGTTGAAGTATGTATGGAAATCCAAATAAATAAATAAACAAACTTTTTTTTTTTTTTTCGTAAGTTGTGATGATGATGTAAACGACCCCAGTGAGAATTGAAAGAAGAGAGAGACAGACGTACTCACGAAACACACGAAGAAAGAAGAAGAGAAATAATACGCGACTGACTGCAACCACGAATAAGAAACGACGGATCAAAGCTGAGACTTGTATCAAAGTAACAAAGAGGAAACGGAACAGAGTAAAAGGGAGAGAAAGCAGAAAGGGAAAGAGCTTGTTTGAATTGAGGAAGTATAATAGAAAGAAGAAGAAAAGGCTCAATAAAAAATAAAAAAGAGTAGCGGCACCTGGTGGGTGTGGCGGTGGTGTTTTGGTGGTGGGACAGAGAGAAGGAGAAAATACGCACGTTGTTGGAGCTTGTTTTGTTTGTGTTTGTGTTTTCAGGAACGAAGGAATGAACCCGTGAAGGGAAGGGAAAGGAGTATGAATGAATGTAAAGGCTGAGTAGGTGGAGGGGAAAGAGAGAGAGGAATGAGGAGGAAGAGGAGGAAGGTGAGGGAAGAGAAGGTGGGAAGTGGAGAGTGGAGGGCGGAATGGAGAGAGAGAAAGAAGGAAGGAAGGAAAGAAGAAAGAAGGGAAAAGGGAGGAAGAAGAAGAAGAAGAAGAAACAGAGGAAGACGGAGGAAGGAGGACGAGGGAAAAAAAAACCAGATTTTTTTTTCTTTTCAGGGCAGGTTTCAGTGGACATACTCCGATTTTATGATTTTATCAGTTGTTGTCTTGATTGATAAACTCACAAGCTGGATGACTGATTGACTTACGAACAAAGCAAGGCGGATGTGGATCTGGGTATGGGTATGGCAACGAGGATGCAAAGCCAACAGATAGACAAACAGACAGACAGACAAACACAACAAAGCAAAACAAACAAACGGACAAGCAGGCAAGCACGCAGCTAGAGAGTGCTATGACATGGGGGTATGTATGTATGTATGTATGTACCCGGCCTGGGATATCCGCCCTGCAAGAAAAACAAAAAAAGATGCCATCTCCTTCTACCGCTCTCTCTCTCTCTCTCCCTCTCTCTTCTGAGAACGAGAAGAACAACAAGACCAACGACAAAACAAAAACAGTATGCCAAGGCAAAGCAAGAAAGTATAACAAGACACATAAACAAACAAAACAGCAATCCATCCACGAGGATGGATCACTTGCTTCTGTTCTGTTGCAAAGAAAAAACGTTGTCGTTGATTGTTTTCTGTCGTCCAATCCCTGCTCTTCTTACTTCTTTGTCAGTTATCAGTATTTCAGTTGCAAGCCGATGAGTAATGTACTAAGATTCAATTGTCAATTGTTTGCCTACCTGACTGTTTGGCACGCTGGTCCTTCGCTGCCCTTTTGCTTCCCCCTTTCATCCTCATACGCATTCCTAGTTGAAGTGATAGCAGTGACAATAATACGCAAACCCAAGGGTAGACCGGCAAGCCCGACTTTTTTGTTCTTTACTTCTTCATCCTTTTGTTCTGTGCACCGTTGTTTTTTGTTACCTTTTGGTTCTCTTACTGCTCACCGACTCACAAAACGGTGTAGCATGACAACAAAGAGGCAAAAAGGGTCCACATACAAAAACATACTGACTCCTTCGCAACTTTTCGCCATGGCGACTCCATTCGTCACTTGCTTCTTGTTTTGGGGGGTTTTTTTTCGTTCCTTTTCCAGGCTTTGCTTCTCCTTGTCCTCCTTTCCCTTCTCCGTGTATCTTTTCCTTTGCTTCCCTGCGTCCTTCCTGGTGTTTCTTTTCGTCTCCTCCTCTCCACAGAGGGAATCAACCCCCTTTGTCCGATTCATTTTGTTGTCATTTCGTCCTCATTCCAGCCATTCCATTCTGTATGAACCAAAAAAAATAAAGAAAAATAATGAACAGCAAGGGGATCGTTCTCTGGAATGTAGATGGTAATATGGCTTCCTTCTTCCTTTTCCCTTCTTCTTTCTGACAGTAAAAAAATATATATGAAAGAGTGTCCGTTGGGATAGATAGATTGAGTAACACTTACTGCTGTGGTTTTTGGGGGAAGGAAGCAAGGAGGAGGGGCGAGGAGGTGGAGGTCGAAGGAGGGAAGGACCAAACGCGAATGTGTGTGTGCGTTGCTTTGTGTTTTGCTTTGTTTTCTGGCTGTCTATTGTGGATTTCGAAATAGAAGAATAAAAAAAAGAGGGTTGCACAGGTCCCAAGAAGTAAGGCAAACAACATCAACGTCGACAACAACATAACACAACATACATCATGCATCAGACAGACAGACAGACAGACAGATAGACAGACAGACAACAACAACAACAACAACAGCAACGCAAAAAGAGGTGCACAAGCATTTGAAATGGTGCAAAAAAGGGTCAGGATGGGGTCGTTCCTTTTTTTTGTGTGTCTCTCTCCCTCGATCTCTTTGCACACGCGCTCTCACATTTTGTTTATTGCCATTGTTGATTGTTGATTGTTGATTGTTGTTGTGCTTGCGCTTTGTGTACTTGTTCACGCCATGCCGCTCTATGCTAAATACCATGCCATGCCATGCTATGTAGTGCGCTGCTGCATGCGTAGGATAACGAGGTTTTTGAGCACTAGCTTGGGCTTTGGGGTGGATCTCCTTCCGCCCACGCTTTCTTCTCTACCTCCTCCTCCTCTTACTCCTGCTCTTCTTCTCCCCCTTCCTCCTTTTTCTTCCTTGTCTCCCTGGCCTTTCGCTTCTGCCTTTGCCTTTGCCAGATGTCTTTACCTTGTTCGCCTTTTTTTCTCTTTCACAAAGACACCATCACAGCGCGTAGCATTGTATTGGGACTGTTCAATGGACACGTCGGCAGATAGTTGGATAGAAGTCATTTTTTTGCCTTCGTGAACAGTACGCATAGAAAATGTAACGCGTCTAAAATAAACCAAGAGCAAGAGCTATTAGAGAGACATAGACAAAGGGAAAAGAGAGACACTGAGAATGTAGAGCTAAAAGAGATATATAGAGAGAAAGAGAGACAGAAAAGAGCAAGGGGGTTCTCAACTATGCGAAGCCATTGACTTTTGCGAGCAAGCCAGCAGAAATCCAGGAGTGCATGACGGTGCATCATCATTCATGGATAGCTCAGGAAACACTTTTTCCACCTTCCAAGAGCAGTTAAAAGCAGACCTTGGAGTTGATGGGCAAAGTGAGAATAAAGGGCCCAGTTCTTCCAGAGAGCGGGTTTTGCCACCAATTGCAGAGGCGATGATCACGTGGATTCAGCAGTCTCGTTTGTTGACGTTTTGTTCACTTTCCAACCTGCGCCACATCTTTCCATTCTCACTCTCTCATCACTTACTCCCCTCCCTCTGACCCTTTCCCCCCACACCCACCTCTGACGGCCTGTCGATTGTTTCCTGCAGAGGCTACACCTTCCCCTCCCCTCGACCATCAACAACGACCTTCATCTCTCCCCAAAGCGAAAGGAATAAGATATAAGAAGAACGAAGAACGAAGAACGAGACCATCAACAAAAGGTACCGACCACCGCTGACCAACCTTTTTTCTTTCACACAGCCTGTATGACCCCCAAAAAGCGAATTGGTCACATATTATTCAATTCAGAGTGGACCGTCACAATTGCAGGCAGTCAGAGGGTCAGCCATCAGTTAGTTAGGCTAACCGAGCCTTTCCTCTTCCTCTGCTCTCACTTTCACTTCTGCGCTATTCGACCCCTTCTCAGAAGATAGCTAGGAAAACAACAACAACAACAACAACAACAACAACAACAACCAACAACAACAACAGTGATAATAATAACAACAACACCACCTCTTCATTCATTACACCTCCACAGGTACACTCCACGCCACCTCGACTAATTCCCTACACGACCCTTCTTCCTTCGACTCCAACACACAGGAACAACATACAAGTATTACTACTTGCAACAAAACCTCGAGGTGGATGACTAATGACGTCTGCCCCTTCTTATTCGTTTCTTCATCTGTTATTCTTGTCGTTATAGCAGTTCATCTCGGTTCGCACGCTACTCTACGTTCAGTCAGAACCTACATAACAGCAACAATAACTTGGACTCAGGACATCACTTCTCTCAGGACTAACAACCAAGCCTGTCTTACCACCCCTTCACCTTCCATAACAAGCACCTCTTTAACAACCCGTCCAGGACGCTGAGCTGCAATCGTAGCGCCATGGACGAAACTACACTTGCCGCGGAGCTCCTTGCCGAGAAATTCGGTAGCAACGGACACAATCACACAACTCATCTTCAGGAACAGCCCATCAACCACCACCAGCTCCAGTCTCATTCTCTCTCGCAAGCGCAGGCGCAAGTGCAGGCACAGATGGGCACCGCCATCGCGGCGACTACTACATCTGTTGCTGCTTCGGCAGCCTCCTATGCCCACGCCACCAATGCAACGTACCCACAAGCGACCGGTAGCGCGACAACTGTCTCGAGCGGCGAGGCCTCTTCAGAGCCCGTGCAAGCATATGCCAAACTCGAAGGGGATTCGTTTTGTTATTACATCAGGTTTGTCACCTATTCATTTTTGCGCCCAATTTACTCACCCTGCTGTTGGCGATACAATATAATCTCTTTGACTTCCACGCGTGTGCATGGGAGAGACAGAGAGGGAGAGAGAGAGAGAAGAGAGAGAGAGAGAGAGAGAGAGAGAAAGAGAGAGAGAGAGAAAGAAAATGTGGACAGAAGGAGAGCAAAGAAATAAAGTGAAAGAGAAAACGAATGACAATCTAACTGCCTCCCTTTTTATTTTGTTGTCATTTCCTTATAGGACGCTGCAGGTCACCTTCGGCCGCAAAGCCAGTTCATCGGATCAGGTCGATATCCATCTGGGACCCACCAAAGCCATTTCTCGCCAACACGCTCGCCTCTTCTACAACTTTACAACTCAGCGGTTCGAAATGATGGTCTTTGGCAAAAACGGAGCCTTTGTGAACGATCAGTTTGTCGAAAAGGGCGTCACCGTCCCTCTGGAGAATCGCACAAAGATCCAGATTGGAGAGGTTTCCTTTTCATTTTTGCTGCCAAAGTTGGACACGGATGACAATCAGGACAGCGGTTCAGGATCTCAGAGGAACGGTGCTGGGGGTTCTGGAATTGGTGCTGCTGGTTCTATGGATTCCAACGGCGTCTCTGTCAAACGAGAGGACTCTAGTCAGCCACCAGAGCAGTTTGACTCGTCCGAGTACTCTTCACGGGACACCAAACCGCCATTCTCATACGCGTCCCTCATTGCCCAGGCAATCAACTCGACCCCAACACGCAAGTTGACCCTGAACGGCATTTACCAACACATCACTCAGCACTACCCATACTACCAAATGGCGCAGAATGGTTGGCAGGTAAATAAGCTCAAACCACCACAATTTTAACGCGTCATCTCTTTCATTTTTGACAAAAAACATTGATGAAAACAGCATACTCAATTTTGATTCGTGTTCTTATTGATGATATTAGAATTCTATCCGCCACAACCTTTCCCTGAATAAGGCATTCGTCAAGGTGCCTCGGTCCGACAGTGAGCCAGGAAAAGGCGCCTTCTGGACCATTGATCAGAGTTGCGAGAGCCAGTTCGCCAACGGAGTGTACAAGCGGAACAGGAGAGCAATGTCATCCAAGCCCGGTGGAACGCGTTCGGAATCTCCTTTTGACAGCTCGGATAAGCCAAGGAAGCGCCTCAACACCGGAACCGACTCGTTGTCACAATCGACGCTCACATCGACACAAACTCCTGCGGTCTCTCAGCCTGGTCAGGTCCAGACGATTGGCACTGCCACGAACGGACAAACAGCGGTTGCAGGGACGACTCCAGCACCACAGCCCGATTATTCTCAGATTAGTGAGGCTAGTCTGAAGTTGGCAGCGATTTTGCAGCAGAATCCTGGCATGTTGGCGTCCCTCACACAGTCATTGGCAACCGCAAACAAGGAGGGCGGTCAGAGCGCGCTAGCGACGGCACTGATCGCTGCCGCCAAGGCGAATGGAGGACAGGCGCAAGGAGGCTCGTCGTCGGCTACCGGCCCATCAGGATTGACCCAGCAGTCCCTCTCGACGTTGCAAGCCATCGCAGCCGTCATTGCTGCCGCGCGAAATTCTGCCGCCGCCAACGCTGCTGCTGCTGCTGCCAACGCCAACAGTGGCGCCAGTGCCTCCACTTCTGCCGCCACCGTTACCGCCACCACTGCCACAACCGCAGCAACGACAATACAACTTCCTCTTTCTTCAACTACATCCGCGGCAATCTCGGCTCCTGCACCAGTGGTCACACCCGCACCAGCGCCTGCAGTTACTGCCATGGCTTCGCCAGCTCCAGCTCTGTCATCCCCAATAGCGCAGCTTGTGGCAGCAGCTCAGGCTCAGGCAGCAGCTCAGGCACAAGCACGGGCTCTGGCTCAAGCACAGGCACTCGCCCAAGCCCAATCTCAGCCTCCATCGACGGCTGCTACAACAACAGTAAGCTCAGCGCCAGCCGCACCGGCAACCACTGAAGCACAAGCTCAGGTGCTGGCCATTCAAGCCCTCCAAGCGCGTGCTCGGGCGATTGCACAGGCCGAAGAAGCACAAGACGCCCAGCAGCAAGCTCATCAACAAGCCCAACAACAAGCCCAGCAACAAGCCCAACAGCAGGCACAGCAAGCCCAGCAGAAAGCATTACAGGACGCTAATACCCCATCCTCAGCAGCCACAAGCGTTGCCGAGACTCCTCGACCTGATGCCACCCCTGAGGTCAAGCCAGTGGTTGCTACCTCCGTCGCTTCTCCTGCTCCTACTGCCGTTTCTGCCTCTCCGATTGTACCGCCTGCCACCGCAACGACGACTGTCACCAGCCCCACAGTACCAGCTAGTCAGCCTGCTAATGCGGAACCTGCCCCTGTCGCTTCTACTGCGGCTGCACCGGTAGCAGCTCCAGCCACTACAACCGCCACAACTGTCCCTGCCACATCTGCTACTGCCCTTGCTACTGCCCCTGCCATTACTACTTCAACGACAACAACCATGGAACCTTCACCTACATCGATATCGACGCCTACTGACTCACAACCCAATCCATGAAGGAAAAAATAAATAAAAAACACATATTATTTGATGATAATTATTCATCGTCGTTGAAGCTGAGTAGAGATGTTGTCGTCTTTTTCTGCAGCTTTTTCTTTTTGGGCGCCTCGCTGGTGTTGTTGTCGTTGCTGCTGGACTTTCGTTTTGATCCTTCAGTCGTCTCTGTGCCCACCTTCGCTGCTGATGATCCTGATTGTTTCTTCTTGATTGCTTGGACTTTTGCCTCTGCCTCTGCAAGGATAGCGGTCTCAAAGTTCTTTTTGCTGGCTGACGAGTTGACTGATTGCTTTTCAGATTTTGTGGAGAAAGAGGAGGATACTGTTGTGGTTGATGGTTTCGATTTGGATCCCCTGGGTCTCCTGAAGAGGATCTTTCCGTTGGCGTCGACGGGGTCCTGGTCTTCGTCATCACTGTCTTCCTCGTCTTCTTCCTTGCTGTTGTCGTTGTTGTTGTTTTCTTCGAGGGCGTTTGCTAGCCGCTTCTTGATCTCTGCTTCTGACAGACCTATCATATCACAAAGGAGAATATTAAAAGAGTGTTAGTTCCACGCGGAAACCATATCGAAACCATGCTTCCACGATATTCCCTTACCTGGAGGGAGGTTGTTGAGGATATTTTTGACTTGTCGTTCATCCAAATGCTTGCTCTCCTTCAACACCACGACTGTAGGTCGCTCCTCTTCCCGTTCGTTCAAGATATCGTGCGCCGTCTCGTCGTCGTCATCGGAGGGCTGCTCGGATTGGAATTTGGCGTCGATACCGATGGGTTTGCGGTATGGGTTTCTAGGATCGTTATTGGCGGCTGAGGAAGCTGATTGGCCCGTGAGCATGCGCATAAAGTCTGGGGCTCCTTCTTGGACGTAGGTGAGGTTTTTTCGCATCTGGTTTGGGGTGATCTTTTTGTTTGACATTGTAGGATGTTTTTCTTTGTTTTGTTGCTGATGCGTTGGGAGAGAATGATGATGGTAGGAGAAGAAAGTTGCGTGCGTGTATTTTTCGAAGAAAGCGCGACAGCTTTTTTTTTTTTTTTTTTTTTTTTTGCGCACAAGGTTTTGGGTTGAGAAGGCAGTCCCTTTGTTGTGGCTCTGCTGCGTCTCCTTCTTTGTACTCTTCGCCTCTCTTTTTTTTTTTTTTTTTTTTTTTTTTTCTTCACTCACACCTTCTCATTCACAACCACCTAAACATTCATTCCAACAAGCCATGTCGTCCCCTTTCGACCAACCTCCCCGATTCGACGCCAAGCAGTTCCGTGAAGCACAGGAGATCCTCCCCGGTCTCTTCCTCAGCGGGTAATACAACAAAACGTCCCCCCCCCCTTCCCAAACACTGCTCATTCTCATGAATACCAGGAAAAAATATATCGAGGACCAAATACTTCGATCCTCACCAACACGTAAAAATCTCACCTCGCTCACCTCAGTTACCCTTCTTTTCTCTAACTCCTTATACAAAATCAGGGCATTGATCTCAGAGTCGCGTGAAAAGATGAAGGAGCTCGGGATCACGCACATTATCCAAGTGACAGATGTCCCTACTCCCAGATTCCCGGGAGAGTTCATCTACAAGGTGATTCCTGTCCCTGATATGGACGAGACCAACTTGATCAAGCATTTCACGGATACCTATACTTTTATTCATGGTGCCATTGAGAGCGGGAAGAAGGTTCTTGTTCATTGGTAAGTTGAGAGTATGAGGATGGTTGTACATGAGGTTGCGCGATTGACATAATCTTAATGTTAATGCTAATTATTCGTTTGGTGACCTTTCAATTTCTTATAGTCAGGCGGGAGCATCTAGGAGTGTGACAATTGTGTGCGCGTACTTGATGAGGGAGAAGAGTATGTCGGCTCTTGAGGCCTTGAAGCACGTCCAATCCCTTCGAGAGGTCGCGGAGTAAGTTTCTGAACCAAGTTCATGTTTTTCTTCAACAAGTTTTTGTCCACTTTGTGCAAACTGCGCCGCAACAAATGTAATCACACTCCATATATTACTATTTACTAAGCCCCATCCTTACGTCTAATGATTCATACTAGACCCAATGATGGGTTCATGACACAGCTACTTCTTTACGCTGAGATCGAGCACGATGTCAATGTCAACCGGACTGCTTACAGACGCTTTTTGATCGCCTCCAACGCCGCCCAACGTGAGAGTAAGTTGAGCCCTTTGACCCCCTTTATCAAGTCAAAGCTGACCATCAGACCATCGGTTCATCATCACTAACGTTTTATATCAATTGAATGATATAGTGCTCGGATATATTGAGGATATGACATTGGCAACGGATCCTCTAAACGCACCCGCACGTGCCGCAGCAACAACGGCAACAGCTATGACAGCAGGGATCCAGCAAGGGCCACTCAAGTGCAAAAAGTGCCGCCGTGCGCTTGTGGCTCGCGACAGTGTTGTCACTCATACCCCTGGACAAGGCCAGGCTTCGTTCGGATACAGGAAGCGTGATGCCACCCTTCATATCTCGGAGGTAAAGCATTGGATGGATGATGTGTTATTTCGAGAATCGGGATATCTAAGGACCGACAATGCAATGCGAGGAAGCAAAACATACCTATGTGGTGATGTTAACGCTGGATCGAATCATTTACACTCTTTTTTTTTTGTATGCATGGTAACAATAGGCGGTACAAACAGATATTTCCAAGATTACGCCAAAGGCAGCTACGGTATGCCAGTCGTACTTTATCGAACCTGTCGAGTGGATTCAGGAACTGCATGGAATGGAGGGCAAGATCTCGTGCCCGAAATGCGACTCGAAGCTGGGAACTTTCAACTGGTCGGGCGAGCAGTGTTCTTGTGGATCTTGGGTCACTCCTGCCTTCATGATGCATAAGGGCAAGGTTGATGGATAGATATGAATGAGGCTTAAGGATCCAGAAAGAAAAAAAGAAATAACAACCAATCTGCAAGTGCATGCAAAAAAAAAAAAAAAAAGACAACCTGCCAGTAAACATGTGTTGTGCGTGTGGCGGTGCAATCTTACAGCTTCAAATGACAAACCAAAGGAAGTGATCGGTTTGCCACCAACTGATGAGACGAGAGGTGATCGTGATAAAACAAAATGGTGAGACTGATTGAGTTGATGATCGACCCATTCCTAGTATTTTTCTTTGTCGCATGTATTTTTGGCACTACGATCTTTATTTTCGTCGCGAGACTCGTCTTTGCTCTGAGGCAAAAAAATATCCTAACGGGTAGTAGGAGGTCCAGGAATAAGGCTGCTCTGAGTGTCCATCCAACCTCAACTGGATCCTAAAACGCGTCTTAAACTGTACTCAGCTCAATGTAAATTGGTTCATTACCCCTACTTCCTCAATTACACTATTTTAAAGCGAAAAGTGAGCGTGCGTCTGCGCAAGGATGGGAGAGGCTCTGGCACTATCATTTATTTACATGTTTTAAAACAATGAAGGGGGAAGGCGGGTGGGGGGCGCTAGTACACTTTAGCATGTTCAATATTTTCCGTAACTTGAATCTTTTGTCTGATCATAACTCGTCCGTGGCGCTCGACTCTGTCTTGTGTAGGTGGTTTATTTATTGGTGGTTTATTACTATTATTATTGTTTATGGTGAACAAGGTTGTGGAGAGCATGTGGGTTAAGAAAAAGTAGAGTAACAAAAAAAAAAAAAAAGAAGGGGGAGGCTAGCGGAACATTTTCTTTAGTCGCTCGTAAGTGTTCCTTCCCCTGTCATCCAAAAGCACAAAAGCGTATCTTCTCCTTTTCTCGTTGCAAACAAAGATGCGCGACGCGCGTTCGCGAAAAAAAGGGAAGGGGAGAGGCACAAAAGAAAAAAAAATCAAGGAGGAAGGGGAGAGAGAGAGAGAGGGGTAAGGAAATACGAAGGGGAGGGAGTTCAGTTGTGATCGTCCATCTGTGGAATGTAACTGTACCGTATGGAGAGGGAGGAGGCGGACAATAGGCGCGTGCGTGCGTGCGTGCGTGCGTGCCATGCGCGAGTACGGTACGAACGGGTGTGGTGCAACCCCCAACCCCCGCACCCCTTCTCTTCTCGTTCACTCACTCACTCCCCCACTTTTTTTTTCTTGTTATCTAAAGTCGACTGCACAAGCTCAGAAAAACAGCCACGGCAGTCGATTTTCGCCAAACAGGTACGGGTCACCCGCGCGGACACACACACACACGGACGGACGGACGGACTTGCAATTGAAAACTTTCTTTTTTTGTTTTTCTTTGTTCTCCCCACCTACCTGTCCACAAGGGTGCCTGTTTTAATGTTCGATGATGGTGAGGAGCGTCATTGAAAAATGTATTGCCTTTTTCTTTGTTTGAGTTTCTCGTCTGTCTGTTTCTCTGTGTATTGCGTAGCCTGCGCCCACCTCTCCTACATGAATGAGATACAACAAGAGACAATCTCACAAGAAAACAAAACAGCAAATAAAAGTCGTTGGCATGTGTTGTATTGGGGTGAGAGTAACTTTATTTTGATGAAAGGTAGACAGCAGGTGGGGACAATCCAGTCCTCGGCTTTTTCTGATCACACGAAGCTGTTGGAAAGAAGACAGAGAAGGATTGACAAAAAGTATTCAGATGAATTATGGGTGGGTGAATGTGTGTAGAAGTGGCGAAAGAGAGTGAAAGTGGAGGCGTTTACTTACAATTGATCGATGAAAGATGGATGATATGGATTGTGTTCGTTGTGTTTTTGAGGAAGGCTTTTTTGTTTGTGGGAGAAGACGAAAGCGGAACTAAAAAGTGAAAAAAATGCGTGGTCGCCTGTTCAGATCTGGGTTTAGGCGTTTCAAGGTAAGAGTTGTCCCATGCTTGTGCATGGTGAGCTTTCTTTTGTTGCTCGTTGAGACGAGGATCGAGGATTGTGTTCAACCGTGGTCGACTTTTATTGAGGGAAGGAAGAGGTATCCGGAAGTGAGTTAGACTATTCCATGGCAGTGAAGAGAGGACGATGGACAAAGGCTGTTTTTATGTCTGTTATGCATAAGAACGCAAGATTTTAGCTGATGAGGAGGACGGAATAGAAAGGAAGACAAGGATGCTTATGTGGGATAAGGATAAGGTCCCCTGGTCATTACAAACATACTGAGTGAGTGGGTGAGTGCCTGGATCAGATTCTGGAGCAAAGGACATCGACTTTGACTGATTTCCTGGCTCTCTTCCTCTTCCTTCGTTTTCCCCTGCCGCCGTACTAGCGGCTGTAGTTGTTGTCACCCTTTCTTTTCTGACTTATGACGACGACTAGTACCAAGTTGGACTTCAGAAAAGTATGTTTCTCTAGTTTCGGAAAGAAGTGAGCCCAACCCTCTCTCACTTTTTTTCTGTTGTCACCTTTACGACGTTGTTTTGTTTGATCTCCTTTGAAGAAAGACGAAGTCGAACAAACAAGAATAAGGAGAAAAAAAAAAAGAGAAATAACGAGACGAAGAAACGAAGGATGAAAGGAATGCATTTCGTAATACGGCTTCCCTTTGTTAGAATTATAATCCATCTGCGCGAGTTGCATGGTTGGTAAGTGGGCCGAAAAAAGGTCGCGATGAATTGTCATTCTTTTAGTAGCAGGTTGAAGAATATAGTTTTTGTCTTTTTTACGCTTTTTTTCTTTTTGCACCACTGGACGAGCTCACTCCACACAACAATCTCGCCAACATCAACAATATAACCCTGCTTTTGGTTTTTTTTTGCATGTGCAAGATACCCAACCGGTTTTCGGAAAAGTAGTGAGGGGGAGATAAAAGAAAACAAATATGAGCGAAAACAGGCTTGCTTTCAGAAAGATACAGAAAAGAAAAGGAGCAATAGCTCAGTTAACAGTAGCAAATGGTAGTTTGCTAGCTCTTTGCTGAAAGGATCCTGACTGGCAGTGTGTCGCAAGGCGGGAACAGGGGGTGGATGTGAGGGGGGCCTCGTTTCTGTTTTATTTGAGATTCTATATTTTTTTTGGCCAAGAACGAACCAGGGCTACCCCTGGGTTTAGAAAGTAAAGAGGCAAAGGAGGAGTACAGTACCCAGAGGGATTTGGATAAGATGAGAGTAGGGCTGTGGCGGCAACCAAAAATAAGGCGGTGTGTTTTACTCAATTGCTCAGTTCATTCAATCAAACTCAAAGGTACGGGACAGAGTACAGTACCCGTACACTGCGACAAGAAAAAGAGATGAAGGGACCACAACCACTGGTGTCCCAGGCACCGAACCGCTCTTTTGTTTTCTACAGTACGCGCCTTCTCTCTCATCTTCTTTATCTCTACCCCCTCCTTCCTTTACTTCTTTATCATTTCCTCACTCTTCTTTCTTTTTTTTTTCTCTCATCAGATTCATTTCACGTCCTTCAACTGTCAGTCTCTTGCATTCATTCATTCATTCATTCATTCATTCATTCATCTCTCTCCACTCCTTCCGCTAATATACTCTCTTATTCGCTGTCACTCTCATCCCTCTTTGCCCTCATCATCTACTTTTTCTACTTCTTCTCCCCCTCACTTTTACTTCCGTTATCTCACTTTCCTTCCTTCTTAACCCTGTCATTCTATTTGACGTTCTTTCTCTTACTTCCACTCCACTCAACAACACTATCCTTTTCTAATACTTTCTCTTGTCTTTATTTCACAGCCAATTGTTGTACGTCCGTATTTTGCCTCCTTTTTTCTCCTTCTCCTTCTCACCATTCAACATTCAACAATAACAACAATCAAAAACAATACTCTTCGTTCCTGTTCCTTTCTCTCCCTCCTTCCTTTCTCTCTTCTCCTTCTCTCTCTCCCTCTCTTTCTCTCTTCGCGCGCTTATTCTCTTCTTCACCTTCCCTCCTTCTAACTCTCCACACTTTCAATCCAACCCAATCGACCCAATCGAGAGATATTACCCTTTTTATTACCTCAAAACCAAAACCAACAACAGCAACTATATCATCACATAATACAGACGTAATAATAATGCTATCAGCACACGAGACTACAACTTCAACAACAACAGCACCTTCAACAACAACTCCTTCACATACCAACACCTACCTTCGTCGTCGTCCGCCTGTGCCCTCCTTCCTCCAGTCCCCAACCCACGCACGCTCCAACTCGGCCTCTTCCCCCTCGTCTTCTCCTTCCCCTTCATCTTCACCAATTTACCAATACGACTCCACTTCCGCCATGGCTCCCGCCTCTTCTCTATCCTTTGCTGCCGTATACTCAACACACCACTCCTTCTCCTCACCATCATCATCTTCATCAACAAAAAGGATATCATCGTCCTCTTCAGCCCCACCAGTATATCCACAGGACCGATCGCACCGCAAGCGCTCGCAGCGTTGCAGCTCCACTGTCCCCTCCTCCTACACAGCCTACTCCTCAGCCCTTTCAGCATCTTCCCAGCTCCATAAACAACAACAACAATCCCAGCATTTTCACCAATATACCACGGACACTTCCTTCAGCAACAGAGGCAGTGCCGACAATGTAAACGACTTTAGTAAAAACAATAATAACAAGGGCAACAGCAGCAAAATCAGGAGCAGTAGCGTGTGCAGCGATGGCAGCCGTCGTTCCTGCCGCCTTAGTTCACCTCCTTCTCCTTGCCTTCGTGCCCTTGATTCGGCCTGTGGTCACCGTTCGACATCTCAAGACTATTCATCATTGCCCTCACCCCCTCTCAGCATCTCCTCCATGGATTCCGCCTTTTCATTATCATCTTCGTCTTCGTCGTTTTCGGCAAACGGGACCAGTATGGTTCACTGCTCCCCCATCCTGCCCAATCCCATGGCCTCGCTCCTGCACGATCTGTCCTCGTCCGACTCTTCTACCGCATCATCTCCCGTTCTCTCCTACTGCAGCAGCTCAAGCACAGCCTGGTCCTCGCTCGCACCCTCACCTTCGCCTTCGCCGTCTCCCCTACCATTGTCACTGCCCATTCCTACCAAGGGCCGGACGAGGAGAACTTCCTCGATGGGTTCAAGGACAAGCCAGATGAGCAGCCACAGCAACAGCAGCGTCAGGAGCAGTTCTACTAGCAGCAGTCGTAGTAGAGGCGAAAACATCAACGATAACAACGACCACTACAGCTTTGATAACCATGGTCGGGGAACCTCTGGATACTGTAGTAGTCAGCAGGAGACCTACTGTGTCGGCATGGGCATGAAGAGGCGATCGGTCACCCATTCTGCGTCACCTCTGTCCAAGACAGCCAACTGCACCACAGCAACGGATGTAGCCAAGATGGACATGGCAGCGGACTCTCCCCAGATGATTGCCCAGAGTTCGGCGCGCTATATTCGGTTCCTCCTACTGCCGTTGCTCCCATTGCTGTTCCTTGCATTGGGAGGTCAAACCAACCCCAAGTTCGACACCCCTGCTCGCTACATGTAGATAGTTTTAGACACAGAGAGAGAGGCAAGGTTGCACTAGATCCACCAGCCATTGTAATTAAAAATAGCAAGAGCGCTATAATCTCCCAATCTCATGCATTTGACCACTCAATTACGGCTGATTCGGCGCTTCGACCTCCTTCTCAGCAATGCCAAAAAATGAAACTTGTCGCATGGACGTGTTCGTGATTTTTTGTTTTTGTCATTTTTTTTGTCAGTGTCTGCCCTTGGGTACGGTACCGGTATCTGACGCGTGAGGTTTTGTGTTGTCTTTAACGAAGACTAGGTCCCAGCAATTGAATGGTATTGTGCAAAAGTATCAACAACCACGGTGGTGAATGAAAAAAAGGGCAAAACAACAACCACAACCACAACGGCAAACAAAAGCGCCGTCCTCTCTCTCGCTTTTCATAATTCAGTTTTCAAACAACAAAAGGGTCGTCCGCCCTCCTCCTCCTGTATGTGAGCAAACAAAAAGGGGAAATGTGAGATGTCACGTACGCAGTGAGCCGTTGCTGGGCGACATATTGAATGTACGTGAAATGTATTGACGTGGCAAGGCAACGCTGATCGCGGTCGGTGGTGCCCCTTTGTCCATTTTCCTCGTTCTCACTTTTGGACTTTCATCCTTCCATCAACTTTATCATCTCCACTCTTACATCACACAACTCTCTTTCTTTCTTTCTCTTTCGCTCTCAAGTCGAACAGGGACCTTTTCTTCTTCTTTCTGTTGTACAGCCATCTCCCCTTCTCCATCCGCCACAGTCCGTCGTCATCTGGCAATTTCGTCATCAACAATCACCACCGCAGAAGTCACAAGCATCAACTCATCTCGGACAACATCCTTTTTTCCCCCAGGACCAGCTACTTTCGCCTCTGACAACATATAACCGACTATGAATCTGTTTCGTCTCGTTGCGGATCTGATGCACTTGGCATCTATCCTTATTCTTCTGTTAAAGATGCAAAAGACACGCTCCGTTGCAGGTAATAACGAGAAGACAAAGCGCCCTTTCCCCACGTCGCTCTCTTGTTCGCTGGATCAAGCAGATAAGCAAGGAACGGGAACAGGAACAGGAGCATGTAATGGCAAGGCAGGAAGCACAAGAAGACGTAGATATACCTCGGTTGTCGTTCATTGGACGAACAATTGGTCGCTGTTTCTAGGTCAGCTAGAGTTGACAAAGCAGAAAATGGACCATGGAGGAATCTGATATCTAAGCATTGGAGAAACACCAACACGAAATAGAAAGAACATCGATACTGTCATCTATTCCTTTGAGGTATTCCTGGGTCGGATCGATGCTAATACCCTTCACGTTCTTACCCCCCCCCCCCTTATCCTACTCTACAGGAATTTCGTTCAAGACGCAGGCGTTGTATGCGACGGTCTTTTTGACCAGATACACTGATCTGGTGACGACCTATGTCTCGCTCTACAACACCGTCATGAAGATGTTCTTCATCGCCTCGTCCCTCTACATTATCTTCTTGATGAAGATCAAGTTCAAGGCCACCAATGATCCTCGCCTCGATACCTTCCAGGTCCAATACGTCGTCGGAGGTGCCGCCCTCTTGGCCTTGATCGTCAACTATACTTTCACCTTCCAGGAGGTAAGAAGAAAGAAATTGCTTATCGGAGACTGTTACGAGAACGATGGCGCTAGTTGAAACAAATTATGGCGTTATTTGCATGTCTGGATGGAGATGTCTTTTACACAGGATCGATGTGGAGAGCGGATAGTTTTGGCAGATCAGTCGCTCAGGATCCAGCGGAGCAGTACGTGGGCAAAGACATGAGTATGGGAGTGTTTCAGCATTCGCAAGATAACTTGTAGCAGTAAACCAGGAGCGGAAAAACGATCCCTACTGGAGAGGACGACATGTGCAAACGATCGTCTAAAGCCATTGGACCATCAAGGGGCAATTGGAACGAACACTATTTGGAAACCATTTCTGCAGCATACACGATCTCCTTGATCTGTAACAGCGAACCGTTCTTTCTTTAGTTCTCCACGCGATTTAATCACGCATCCATCAACGCTAACAACACAACATCATTCAAAACATATATCGGTCTATCAATAATATAGATTCTCTGGACGTTCTCGGTGTACTTGGAGGCGCTTGCGATTTTGCCCCAGCTGTTCATGTTGACCAAGACGGGCGAGGCTGAGGTCATCACGACACATTACTTGTTTGCCTTGGGTGCCTACCGTGGCTTGTACCTTATCAACTGGATCTACCGCTACTTTACCGAGGGCTATGTGGACTGGATTGTTTGGGTTGCTGGCACGATCCAAACTGGTCTCTACTGCGATTTCTTCTTTATCTACTTTACAAAGTAAGTCCTTGCCCTTCTTTCTGGAGTCAGGGGAAGAGGATGTGTGCGTCCTAGGATTGTTTGAATGAAAAGAGTATATGGGTGAGGAATAGACAGGACTTGAAATGTCTAGAGGAATGCATGTGCTAACCATCATTGCTTTATTTCGATGCGACTACTATTGTGATAGGGTGTTGAAGGGTGCCAAGTTCGAGCTCCCACAATAAGCGGAAGAGATGGGCAATGGAAGAAGCATCAGGAGGAGAGGATTACATGTACAACATACATCAGCGCATGCAGACACACCGAGGCGTAAATCAGAGTACTTGAGCGACCACTTTTTGTCTAGACAACAAAACGGTGAGAGTCTCTCTGGGTGGTGTAGACCTGTATACACGTACTGTGCACTCTTCTCCTTCTTCATCCTACATACACATTGACGCGTTTTTTTTTTTTGCGATTCACTATTGTTGCGACTAAAAGAGATAATAAACAAATTATTCATGTACATGTTAGAGGCCAGGACCCATGGGGCTTGATGTGATAAAGTGGAATGAGTTTCATACACAAACATGCACAAACAAAGTACGATACAGGAGGGAATGTACAACAGTGTATGTATTCTTGCACTGATGAGGATAAAGAGCAAGGTTTGGGTCAATGGGATAAGAAAGGCGGCGGATGAGGAAACCAGGTATTGGATGGCTATTGCAAATGGCTCAACAATTACAAGAATTACTTAGTGCAATTAGATGCGACTTGTTCTTTTTTGTGACCCTGCAGGAAGAAAAAAAAAAAAAAAAGCACGACATGTGGACTTTTTTTTTTTATTTCAAGCTTGGGAGTGGAGTGGAAGTGGGAGTGAGTAAAATGACTGCCGGAGTAGCGTGGGATGTACTTATTTCCGTAGTTATTGAACAGTTGTTTTCGAATGTACCTTTTTGCTTCATTGAGTAGAAATAGCCAGCCTGGATGTTTGTGAGAGCAAAAAAATAATAATTAACGTTTGACGCCATGGGTCAGCCAGCCTAGAAAACCCGCTAATAATAATAGTACGTAGTATGGATGTGTGCATGAAGGTAAGGGGAGAAACTAATGATAATGATTATAAGGAAGATATGAGAGTGCGTACACTCGATGGTGTACCATTTAGACTTGTCCCTTGCAGATTTGTATTTCGTCAAGGCAAACCAGCAGAACAGCCCTTGTTTATTTCTCTTTGCGTTTTCGTGAGTCAAGGGAGTCAGTCAGGCGTGAGAAGAGTGAGGCGCGATGGGTTGGCTAAATGTTCATTCAAGTAAGTAAGAGGCCTGTTTACTGTTTTTGTTGAAGAGAAGGAGTAGAGAGCCGCGAAGGAGGGCGTATTAAAAAAAACGCCATGAAAAGACGGAAAACAAGAAAAAGAGTACCATGGCGCCAGTATTGCCATTATTGCTCACGCAACTCTGAGCTGCAAAGTGTAGACCCTGATGGAAGGAAATGACGAGAGTGAAGGGAGAGATGAAGGAGAGGAAAGGTGAAAGAGGTTGTTGAGAAAGTGATGCAACAGGCCAATGAACGGCCGTGAATTCAAAATTAGTTAGAAAAGAGGAGTGATGTTCTGGGCATCCATTTGCAAATTGCAAACAACAACGATGCAAGGGAGTCAGGTACAACGGTCGACGTACAGGAGGGAGGCTAGCCAGACTAGTTGATGAGCATTAATATCATGCCGTGCCATGCCATGCCATGCACCTCAACAACGCCGGACCGAAGAGGTCTCTTCTTTTATTGTGAACCTGCATCAAAACCAAAAAACAGAGAGGGAAAGGCTTGGAGTGGGACCGACCTCGACCTCGATTTGTTTGTTTGTTTGTATGTTGTGCGTGAGAATAGAGAAAGAGAGAGTGCTCTCGAAAATATTCATGTTAGTGGATTCCTGGGAAGAACTTCGGTGCCATAGGGTAAGCCTTTGTGTGTACGATGGTGTGGTGGTGTGAACAAACAAAGACCTGGGAAGAGGAGCGAGATTCACCCGGGATTGGGAAGAGGTGCGCAATTGTAAAGAATGAGTGGGTTGGCTTTTTCAGGAAATCAAGGATGATCGAAGGTATGAGAGAGATGAGGGTTGAGCGAGGTTCTGTTCAGGTACGAGTGCAAGACATAAGAAGTGAAGAGAAGCACACAAGACGCATGCCATGCAGCAAGAAGAGAAGGGAAGCGAAGGCGCTGGACTGGCTAGTCTAGAGGATATACACCCGGGTTGTACCCTGTTGAAGACGAGAGCAGAAAAGACATAACAAAGGACAATCGATGAGTGAGAGAGTAGCAGATGGATGAGGAAGTGAAGGGTGATGCTGCAAGGCAAAATTGCTCTCATCAAACACACAAATCACACACCCCTTCCCCTGGAATAGAGTTCGATTGCCTGATGGTTGTTTCCCTTTCTTTCCCCTGGAGTAGTGATAGAGTAAGTCCACCACCACTCCCGCCCAACGGTCGATACCAGGCATTTCAGGTACCGAGGGTTAATTCGCTGGTTCATACAAAAAGGACCACCCCTGCCCTCCTTTTTCTGGTTTTTTTTCCCTTCTTTTTTCTCTTTGTACTGCACCTTTCCTTCCCTCTTTACCCTTTCCTTCAACCCCCCTCCCGCCCCTTCTTCCTTCCTTCTTGCCAGAGCATTCACCAGCCTGGTCCCTTCCATCTCTCCTCCCTCCTCTCTAATCGACCCCTTCCAACCCTTGTCAGGGCCTCCTTACCTCCAACCTTCAACGTCTCGCACAAAAAACAGCACCACCTCCCTGTTTCTCTACAGCTCCTCAACACGCTCTAATCCGATAATTCATTCTCAGGAACTAACTCAACAATCATCATCATGAAGGTTACATCCATCCTCTCCTTGGCCGTCGCCCTGTTCGTCGTGTCTGCCCAAGCCGCCCCCTCCTCTTCCTCCACCACCTCGGTCCACAAGGCCACCACCACCACCAAAGCCAAGGCCATCACCACCACCAAAGCTAAGACCACCACTACCAAAGCTAAGGCCACCACTACCAAAGCTAAGGCCACCACCACCAAGGCTAAGGCTACCACCACCAAGGCTAAGGCTACCACCACCAAGGCTAAGACTACCACCACCAAAGCTAAGGTTACTACCACCAAAGCTAAGGCTACTACCACCACTGCCAAAGCCAAGACTACCACCACCACCACCACCACGGCTGCAGCCAAGCCTACAACCCCTGCTCCTAAGCCCAAGGACCCCTGCAGCACCTTGGCCAAAGAGGGCGACGCCGCCACGGGCTTCTTGTCCTACAATGCTGTCCGCGACTGCTACAATGCTCAATCCTACAAGGCCGATATTGCGGCCAAGACTCTGACATCTGTTGAGAACTTGCTTGGAAACGTTTATGTCTTCCTTGACCAGGCCAAGGAGGCTTCCAAGGCTCCGTTCAAGACTCCCCAGGTTGATTTGATGGATGGGTTGAAGAAGATCAAGGCGACAAAGTACAAGTCTGATTATGATTTTAATATGGCATTGACTTATTTGACCTTCTCGGCGAATGATGGGCACCTTGCTTACAGGAGTAAGTATTCTCTATTGTATTTTTTTATTGCATTTTTGTGCTGTGTGCTTGTAGTACTTGTGAATGGATGCAAGATGCATGGAAGTGATCGAGGATTATATAAGAATACCTAATTTTGGAGGATACATGAACAAGGAGCGGCATATAGTAATTTCAGGGCAATTGCACTAACAAATATTTCTCCATTCATTTCATAATCCTCCACCCTTTATTTCCTTTTCCTTTTCCTTTTGCGCGTCCCTTCCTTGGTATCTGAACAGACGACTGCTACAGCGTTGCGACATTCACCCAGCCCATCTCTCTCTACGCGCCCGTGACCAAGGGCGTCCAATCCGTCCAGGTCTTCTACGCCGACACGACCAACAAGAACGTCCCCAAGAATCTTGTCGACTGTGTCGTTACCACCATCGACGGCAAGCCCGCCCTCCAGGCTATCCAGGAGTTCACCGACCGCACCTCGGCCATCTCCAAGGACCCCGGTGTCCGTCTTAACGATGCCCTTGCCTCCACGGCCTGGTACAATGACTGGCAGGTCTCCCCCGGTGGATTCTCTCGTCGTTGGGAGGTTCCTGCCAAGGCCTCGATGGATTATACCTTCCAGTGTGGAACTGCCGCCCCTCAGAAGGTTACTATCCCTTGGATTGTTACTCCCTCGAGCCACTTTGAGGCTGGTACTTTCAAGGATACCAAGACCTACTGGGAGACTCAGTGCTTGGCACCCCTGTCGCCTTATGACAATGGTCGTCCCGACGATCATTCCTCCAACGACTTGCGTCAACGTATCAATGTCGCCCCCGCCACTACCCTCTACCGCGAGCGTGGTCATATCCAGTTCGGATCCGGAAACCGTAACGGCCGCGACGGCGCCGAGGGTCCCAAGGTGATCACCCAGGCGACCGAGGTTGCGACCACCACCAGCACAGCCTTCTACACCCTCAACAAGAACAAGAACGTCTGTGTTGCCGTCATTGCTACCGAGGAGGTTGGATACTTTGAGTTTGACCCCTCAGACTACACCCAGTTCATCGACGGACTCCAAAAGCTCAAGAAGTCTGGATGCAAGAAGCTGATCCTTGACATGACCAACAACGGTGGTGGATCCGTCGATTTCGCCTACTTTGTCAACGCCGTCTTCTTCCCCAAGGACAAGGCCTACTTTGTCCAGGACCTCCGCTCGAGCACCTTGGCCCAGGAAGCCGCCAAGCTCGCCATCAAGCAAGCCACCGCCAGGTCGACCTTTGACGCCCGCGGTTACGCCTCGACCGTCACCGGCAAGGCCTTCAAGGACGCAAGCATGTTCACTAAGGGCATCAACCAGAAGCGCGGCGGATCCACCCAAACCTACACCCAGAAGTCCTTCTTCGAACACGCCTGGCCCTTCCTTCCCCTCGCCAGCAAAGACCTCCTCCCCTGGAAGGCCTCCGACATGGCCATCGTCACCAACGGCTTCTGTGGGTCCGCTTGTACTATGATCGCCACTCGCTTCAACATTGCTCACAAGGTCAAGACCTACGCCATCGGAGGCATCCACAAGACCCCCCTGTCCTACTTCTCGTTCCCCGGTGGATTCGTCATGGACAACTACTCGATCGTCCGCGATTTGCGTCTGGTCGGGTACAAGGGCGGCAAGACTACTCCTATCTCGTTGCCCCTCAAGGCTGCGACTAACGTTGCAGTTGGCGAGATCTACGCCACCGAGAACAGTACTGTCCCCCTGGAATATGACACAAAGTACTTTGCGGCTTCTGTTCATCTCGATCAGGACTCTGTCTCGGCCAGACACCCTGACCAGACGTGGGTCAAGATCGCTGCCGACTTTAAGTAGTTTGATTACTTTTTGTTTATTTATTTATTTATGCTGGAAGCTAGAAACGAAGATACATATGGGAAATTTACCATTTAATGAAGGAAAGAAAAGAAAACACACACACACACACACACCCACTCTCACAAAACCAATATCCCAAAAGTAATAAATATCCGAACTAATTATTACCCCCCCCCCTCATTCTTTTCAATCAAAAAGTGTACATGGTATGCAAAGATTTATTTTACAACCGAGTCGAACGTGTGAATATTCACTTCGAGGCGGATTCGTCAGAGGGTAAAGGAACGCTTGCCGCCACTGCTGCTGCTGCTGCTACCAATCCCTGCTACTGCTGCTCTCCTCCCTCCTCGGCAATGACAACAGTACCAGTAGAACCTACAACATGCTCTCGAGGCAACTTCCAGGACTTCTTAGTCTTCTGAAACTCCTTATCAATCTCGCCCTCAATATCCAACAAGTTCTGCGCAATAATTGCCGACAGTCCTCCCCGGGTAATGGGGGCCTTGGCGCGCCAGTCGCTCGAGAAAGAAGAAGCCGCCGCTGCAGCCGCTGTCGTGGCAGCTGTAACTGCCGACGCAGCTCCAGTCATGGCCTTGGTCGCCGCCGCCGCTGTCGAAAGACTCGAGAGAACATTGGCCTTGGCTCCCATGATCACCGCTGTAAAGTACTCTTCGGGAAGGAAGGGCAGTGGCTTCTCGGTCTTCTTGACGATCGCCACTGACGTGTTGTTCTTGTTGGACCTGCTGCCGTCCTTGCTGGCTTTCTTGGAAGACACGCCAGCACTCCGATCGCGCTTTGACTGACCGTGGCGACTCTGCTTGGTGGTGTTGTTGTTGACGTCTGGCACGATGGACTCTTCTTCCTCAACTGCAACCTGGGTATCGGCAGCATCCCCTTCATCATCCATAAATGTATCGTCATCATCCTGGCTATCGTCGTCGCCGTCGTCGTCGCCGTCGTCGTCGCCGTCGTCCTCACCATCCTCATCCTCATCCTCATCCTCCTCATCTTCATCTTCATCCTCCACGTCCTCGTCCTCATCTTCCTCATCCTCCTCAGCCGCTTCCCTCACATCACCATTATCCTCTGCCCTTCGTTGAGCATCCTCAGCATGGATCAACTTGATCAATCGCCTCAACTGCTTCTCCTCTGCACGCGTCTGCTTTATGTTACCATCCTTCCGACTCGCCTGAACCAGCCGCGTTACTCCGTCAATGATACGGCGTTTCTCCTCGAGTTTACGACGCTCTTCCTCCTGTGCCCGGCGCGCTACATCCTGTCCTTCTGTTATCTGCTCCACTTGCACTTGAATTGGCAGCTGCAGTTGCTGTTGATACTGTTGATACTGTTGTTGCTGCTGCTGCCACCGCGTCATCTCCTCCTGGGCATGTTGTTCCGTCACACCTGCAGCCGCCGCGGCCTCAATCTCGAGTTCCATTCTCCTCCTCCTGAGTTCGTTCTTGTCGTCCGTCGCAAATGTGGCTGCTACTGCTAGTGGGGCAGATGGTGCAGTGTCGACTGTTTTCCGGTCGCTGAAATCGTACTGTGATAACTCTCGTGCTTGGAACTCCTCCTCCTCGGTATTAAATATTGTTGCTGGGGTCGCTGCTGCTGCTGATGTGGAGGCGGCAACAAGATTTCTCAGTTGCTGTTGTTGCTGTTGCTGCTGTTTTTGTTGCTGTTGCTGTTGCTGTTGCTGTTGCTGTTGCTGTTGCTGCTGTTGCTGCTGCCTTTGTTGTTGTTGACGTTGTTGTTGTTGTTGTTGTTGTTGTTGTTGTTGTTGTTGTTGTTGTTGATGATGACGATGATGAGGGAGGTTCGGATGCTGGGGCTGATGTGCGTGTGGTAGTGGACGGAGCTGCTCAAGCTGCTCTAGTCGCTTGGCATTGAGTTGCTCATACTGTTCCAGTCGCTTGGCATTAAGCTGATCAAACTGCTCCTGCCGCTTGATCTGGAGCTGATATTCCTTGTAAAGATCCAACCGCCGTGCGTGAGATGTAACCGCATCCTCCTGAACCTGCTCCTCCGTGACTATCCCAACAATGACCTGATCCGTAATAGAATTGGGTCCATGGATCGTCGGCTTGAACAGCTTTCGATGGGTGTCCCTGACAAAAGTCTGGACCGAATCCTTGTCCCAATCGCCCGAGACCGCGGGACTCTTCCCCTGTGCTACAGCCTTCACGCCAGGCGCCCGAACCTCGATCACATCCCCTGAAAGACCTCGACCTGAGTTCTCCATCAGACCACAGGATCTTGTCAACAGAAAGGCGACTGCCGGGAACATGACGGGCACTGCGATCACGCCGATGACAGGGATGGAACAGAGTGCCCAAGCGCCCAAGGCGAACCCACGTAATTCGAGACTGTTGTGATCCCACCAGGCGCGTTCTTCCCATGGCTTGAATTGAACTCGGGCTAGGTAGGGTTGTAGGAGCTCGTAGAGGAAGAGTTGTTGTTGGACCGAGATCTGGACAAGCCAAACTGCCCAGCGAGGTCCGATAAACGCCATGGCGAAGAGAGTCTTGATCATTGTGTACTCGACTCCTTTGTACTGCAGATACTGTTGGGTCACCAGGATGGCAATCGCACTTCCCAGATAGGCCCAAATCCCCTTCAAGTTGACAAGCGTATGAATAGTCCCGATCATAAAGTACGCCAGAACGGTCCTGTGAAGGTATTGCTGCAGCTGGACAAAATAGCGCGGCTCTGGCTTGGCAGCAATATCGACACGAGTATCAGCCCCCAATGCCCTGACGGTGTTCATAAACATGTCGTCCCAAGGTTTTGGGTGGATATATCGAAATAAGAGAACCGTAGGGAAGAAGAGCTGATTAAAAGTGGTGCAGATATTCTGGGGGAGGCGGGCCATGATGAGGTTGAGGGTGGTTTGAAGGGCGAGACAGCGGAGGGCGAGGAAGAGGATGGCGCACTTGTTGGCCCGGGTGTTATAGACGTGGTTCTGAGAGGGCGGCGTGTGGAACTGGAGGAGGGAGTCGTAGAACTGTTCGAGGCCTGAGATAAAGCGGGAGATGTAGTCCCGGTAGAGTTCCTCCTTGTCCATGGTGTGTTGGGATGGAGGCAAGGAGATGGGAGGTGAAGGTGGAGGTGAAGGAGAATGTGATGTGAAGAAGTGCGAAGGGAATGAGGAGTGGGAGAATGAGTTGAGTTGAGTTGAGTTGAGTTGAAAGGTGTTGAACTTCCTTGTGATATTCTTGATATTATTTGTCGGGGTTGCCTGTGGAGGTGAAAGAGGTGTTTGGGTAAAGTGCACGAAGATAATGAAATGACTAAGGCCTGAAGAGTAAAGTGAAAACGTTGAAGGAAAGTGAGGAGCAAGCGAAGCGTGCGAAGTATAAGTGGTGGGAATGATATGAATTAGGATGGAAGAAGGAAAGAAGGAAGAGGAACGAGGAAAAAGGACGAAAAATAAGCGGCGTTCAGGGACAAGAATACATCACAGCCCGATTGAGAGGAGTATGATCCATGGCTGAAAAGTAAAGGGGGAAGAGACACAAACAACAATGCATCGCAATTGACCACTGTGGCGAGTGACACCGGCCGGAAAGCATGAATGACGAAGAAGGTCTTGGCGTTTTTGTAGCTCTCTCCAAATCGTCGCCTTGGCTTACATTCTTGCTCAGTTCCGCTCACCTATCCATCTCTTTCCATCCTGATAACCAACAACTTCGTCCACGCCTCACGCCCCCTGCACACATATGGTTCACAGGCATGGTATTTGCTTTGTTCAAAATGAATAAAGACCATTCGAAAAGAGCGTCTTTCCAACTACTCTTTCTTCTGAATCATTTATTTAGGATGGAGTTTTCAACAAGAATGAAGTCTCTGTAAAAAAAAACAACACCACCTTTTCCTTTTTGTTAAGAATCTTGCTCGCTCAAAAGACTGAGACGATACTCAAAGATAAGGGTCAGAAGGGTGATTTACAGAGGCTTGGCGACCTGAGCGGGGGCAACCTTCTTGCCATCCTGTTATTTTGAATCAACGACGAGTTTGTGGGGGAAGAGAAAAGAAAGGGTAGAAGGAGAAAGGAGTTAGTAAGCTGTAGCTCGTCGTAATCGTCATTGGGATCGCAATGGAAGAACAAAAAAAAATCGGTACCTTGAAACGGAAGCGTGGTGGGGGAGCACGGCTGCGGCGACCAACGTGGGAGCGGACACGGACAATGTGAGCGTGAACAGCGCAGGAGATGCAGTAGTGAATCTTGATGTAGAACTTGGGCAAGGTGTACTCTGTTGAGATGGATATTGATATTTTAAGAAGGGAGATATTAGTATATTATTCTTCCCAGGTTTCTGTAGAGGTCGAAGTTGCTCTTGTTCAAGCTAACAGGGCGAAGACCCCAACAGCGGCAGCATCAAATTGTATCCGAAGGTGTCGTTCCTTAATTCCCGAACCCCTCCTTGAGAATCCTTCAGTAAGTGGTGATGCTGAACGCAGACTACATCTCCATTGTAAATCCGGGTCCCGTCGATCGTAGAGTCCAACTGAAATTGTTGCTCTCCCGCTGTCCATGGTTGCTAACATTGTCCTGCATATACTGTCCTTGCACATGTGCTATCAAGCAGTACGTTTCTCACTCCCAGAAATACAAAAGGCATTGAAGCGAAGGTTGCTGCTTACCCTTGTAGACAAGAGCCTCAGTGATATCACGGACGGCAGCCAACTCGACCATAGGACGAACGGTGTAACGCTTGATGGCCTTGTCCTTGGGGACGCAGCGAGAGCAGTTGGAGCAGCGGACGGGCTTGACGTGGCCGCGACCGTTCTTGTTGCGTCCGTGGTTTCTTCTCTTGACGGTCTGTTGACAGGTTGACACAGAATAAAATAAAGAGAGGTTCGTGAGCATATTGGATACGATAGAAAAGTGGCGTTTTGGTGTTGTGTATGTTTGTTTCAGCGACAGGTTGGTGAAGTGTGATGGTGTGTACTGTGTGTGTCTGAGTGGGTGCGGATCCTGTTGACTGGGGTAGTTGCTCCCTACAGACAAAGTTGATGGTTGTCGGCAGGAACGCCCAAACTAGACGCAAAAGCTCCCTCTGAGCATCCTCTGTTCCTTCGTGGTCGTTGTGTGCGCTCGCTAGTATTGGAATTGCAACGGAGAGGAATCGAATGGCCCTGGCTCAAGCACAACGTCCACGGCGAAACAGATCATCGCTGCAAAGGAAGTTTGGTCCAGCGGGGTGCTATCTGATGATAGATTCCTCTGGGGTGTACTGCCATCGATAGTCCCGCCATCCTGATCAGTGTAACAGCTTCCCTCCCAGAGAACTTCCTGTTCGCCCCTCCCATCGAGTCCTTCGGAGTGTAATGGAATCGTTGAATCAGCCCTCCTCAAGGGCAAGATGGTCTCCTCCTGCTCGAGAGCCACATTTTGAGAATGCCGATAATATCAAAAAAAAGGATAGGTAGATGATGGTGCCCAATTGAATTGACGGTTGCGTTGTTGGATGAATCGATGGGTCGATGGTAAGGTCGGATGGTTGGATGGTTGGGTTCTTCTAGGTATAGATTTCCGTCACTCGATCCAACACGGGTCTCGCTGTACCATATTGAAGTGAAAGAGGGAACTCTCCGCTCGCACCCACTCATAGATTAAAAACTAAAAAATCAACCACCCACGTGACTTCATCATTTGCTGGAGCATGTCTTTTTTGTATTGATTTGTAGCCAGGGAAAGAGTATGTCGGTGAGGTTATGTACAAGGGGGATGGTATGCAGGCAGGTGGTGTTGAGCAAAGTGCGAAAAGAAAACAAAGAGAAGGAGAAGAGTTATAATACTAAAACAATGGATTGGACCCAAACGGAGCGATAGAGCGCAGAACAAAGAACGTATTCTACAAGCGCGCCAACTGCCGCCGAATGCTCTCGATCTCCTGTTGAAGAATGGCTGCCTTTGACCGAACCTCCTCACGCTCCGACTCAGCTTCCCTGAAATCCTCACCCGACCGGGCAATGCTCTCTTTGGCATGGATAATGTTTGTCTCAAGCTTTGACAGGCGTGCCTCGTGTGATCTATAATAGAATGACGCGTTATGGAAAAGTGGTGAGAATGTGAACGAACATTCCAGTCTCTCGACGGCTTGTGAATAGCGGCGGGCAGAAAAAAGCGGTACTTACTGTGTCTTCTGGGTGATATCTTCCATTTTGGCATTATGCTCGAAGCTCATGGACGTGTACTGTCGATCGTACTTTGCCTTGAGCTGATACTGGTACTTCACAACCTACGTTCGTATCGATGAGGAATTGGTTAGAACGTTTACTCAATTGATGCCATCGTCAGCGAAAAAAAAGGAGTCTTTGTCCGTTGTAGAAACCATTTATATTTACCTCCTTTTCAATGTCGCTGCCCTTGGTCAAGTTGAACCGGTTCCTCAACGCGATAAACTCTTCTTCGATCGAAAGTCCGAGAGCGGCCTCCAGATCCATGCCCTCGACACCCAAAGAGCTCTCCAGATTCTCGATGTCGATGTCCTGCTGTGCCAATTGAGCCTCCAGGGCCTTGGCAGTTAAGGCGTTCGAGCTTGTTGTCAGTTCAGTGATGGCTTCGATGTAGACTTGAAGCTGTGGTGTTCCCACAGCGACAAGATCCTTCAACCTCATCACCTCGACAACCTCATCTTCCAGGTTATTCTGCATCAACTCCTTGGAGACTTCGTCCTCATACGCGTCGGCATGCGCTTGGAGCTCAAGAATCTCTGCGGCCTTGTTCTCGATCTCTACGCTCAGCTGAAAAACGCGGTCTTCGTAGCTCTCAATTTCAACTTGCTGATCACCGATTTGTTCCAAGAGTTCCTCAATCTCATCCTCGTGCTCCTTGATTCGCCTTTTGCTGAGCTCCTCCTCTTTCTGGAATGTCAGGCGGGTGCTTTGGAGCTGTATTTCTGCTTCCTTAGCATCATACTGTAATTTTGCCACTGATTGCTGAAGGTCGTTCAATGTTGCATCCAGAGTGTTCAGTGTCTCCTGATCCTCCTTGTTCGCCTCTTCCAATGGCTGTGTGGGCGACTTGGTCTTTGTTGCGAACGTGAGGCGACTCTGAATTGGTTGGTTGGTGTTGTCTGTTCCTGGTGTCGCTTGTGTCTTGGCAACCTGTCGCTTCTAAGGATGACAACAATAAAACATCGTGATGAGAATTCATGCCATGGTGCAAGGCGGAGCAATATCTTGCATTAACAATATGCATTAAGCATTACCTCCTGCGCCATTTTCGCCTTTCCGGATCCGACTGGAGGATGGGTTCGACTCTATATGCGATAACCGAAAACATCGGCATATTAAGATAATATTTAGCAAATAATATTGATGGCTAGCACAAACACTGTCGTTGTGAATGATATGACGACTTTCATTACATGTGCTCGTGGGATGTTGGTAATGGCGTTCAGCGGTGTCGATTCCAGAAGCTGGGTTGAGGGCTAAGTATAATAAAAGGCAACAACAATTGAAAGATCAGTCTTGGTTCACTTCACAACGAACAACACAGGAGTTCACAAGTTGTTCTCAGACTTACGATATGGCTCAGCTTCTGCGTCTTTTGTGGCGGCATTCCTTCAGCAGCATTCTATAGTGTTAAAGTTGTAGCGCGAGTTGGTGAGTTAGTTGCTGAGTGTCGGGTCGTTCGAATGGAGAGGGTGTGTTTGTGCATTGGCAGACAATAACAGGGAAGCTCTGTTTACTTCGGATTTGTTTTTGACGGGGTTGGTTGTTTTGAACAATCGTGGGCTGTGAGTTGCCTCGATGGCGTTTTCGTCCTGCATTGAGGGAAGGTGTGGTGGGTGTGCCGTCTGTAGTGTGTGAGTGTTAGTTGAAGTTGAAGAATGGGGATGGCATTGGTGTGAGTGGTCTCTGGTCAAGAAGTAGTTCAGAGCTGCAACCAGTTCAAGAGGTAAAAAAACTGTCTTGGTAGAATTTTCCATCGCACGTGTAACACCCCCATTTCTGACCTGCTCTTTTTCACTTACTTTCGTGCATACAATCGCCTTTCACCTTCGCACAACTCCCTCGACACTCGTCTTTCAGCACAATTACACCTCCAATGGCCGGCGGCAACCAAACTCGACTGGGCCTTGTACATCAAAAGCCCGGAACCCGCAGAACGTTGAACGGGGTAACGCATTCATAAGACATCACACTTTAGCTAACTTCCAGGCGTATGGCAGCAATGGAACGAACACTACTTCCCCCAACCAAGGAACTAACCCAGGTCAATATTGGCTATTTGTTATTGTTGTAGAAACGCGTCGTCAATCCTACTGGTACTACTGACGATGGCAAAACTGAACAACCCTTATCAACAGAACGACTGTTGGAGAAGGCAGGCGCACTCACTCAGACCATGGAAGAGAAACTGGTAAATATTTCCGCCTGTTTGTCGTGGGGATCGCATCTTTGTTCTGTGACACGCAATGTTGTGTGCCGAGGCTAATATTTTTGTCCGCACCTTCTTAATCGCATAGATGGAGTACAGGAAGGGAAAGGAGGAGGAGAAGCGCACCAAGAACACACCACCTGCGGCATCTACGAGGAGTTCTCGATCAACCACCAAACGGACAGAAGAAGTCATCAAGGATGGCACTACGCAGAGAAGCCTTCGTTCCATGATGCAAGCTTCTGCAAAAAAGACGACAACCACATCTACAACAACGGCAGCTACACGAACAACAAGCACCACATCTAGTAGCACCATTCTCACGGAATCCATTACCACTATTGATGACATTGACAAAACTGCAAGCAAGGTACACCAGGACGAACAGGACGAACAGGACGAACAGGACAAACAGGACGAGCAGGACGAGCAGGACGGAGAGTTCGAGACCCAGGACGACGATGACACACTCATCAACCGTGACCCTCAGGTGCAGACGGGCCATGTTCAAATAGTACTGGAGAAGTGCGAAGTAGTTACCGTCGAGACCTCAGTTGAGCAGCAAGCAGAGCAAAAGTCAGATGATGCTGGAGAGGACAGCGTCGTGCCTATCCAGGAAGGATCCCCGCGCAGGCCGGCTGTTCGCAAGGGGGCTGTGGAGCCAGTTGCAAAGGACACGGTCCATGTGGAAGAAGAGGAAGACGAGGACAACATTCATCCATTGGCCCGAACAGTAGTCAAATCGACCACGCGCCCAATTCACAGGAAGTCTCATACGGATGACACCAGCAACCACGACTCGACCGACAAAGCACACCAGCCAGTCAATATACCATCCAAGAGTCCTCGTAAAATCGTTATCCAGGAGTCGAACATGCCCGAAACCGTTTTGCCTCTCCCAAGTCATATGAACGCCATGTTTGAACTCTTCAAGGGCCTGGAACAAGTTCTAGAGTTCACAAAGCGGCAGGGCCAGCTCTGTTTCTATCACAAACTCAGGAAGCATGTCGAACTCCAGTCCGGCCGGTAAGATGCTCCAGCCTCTGCGAAATGCAGGATGGACATTGTTCAGCCTTGTAGCAATGTCACGGAATATTTACCCAGTTGATCATTTCCTGATGACTATAGGAATTTTGAGATCAAGCACCTTGCGCAACTAAAGACGATTTTGCCTGAAGGATACAAGCTAACGGAGGCACCTTGTTTATTCGAGGGTGCCAAGACCCGCTCCATCTTGATCGACATGCCGACGCTGAAGGACGAGTCTGAAGGCAACTTTATCCCAGAGAATGAAAAGAGGCGGAAACTGTTTGTGGGGCGTCTCTACGACCGCATCATATCACACCATCAGGTACAATACAGCTCGTTATTATTATTATTATTGCCATCACCTTGTCGGCAGACACACTGTCCGCTTTATTTACTTTCAAAATGCTTCTTTTCTTTCCCTTCACTGTCTTCACTGTCTTCACTCCTCACCATTTAGACATTCCTTTCATCTACAACGCCTCATCGGACCGACACATATCCATACGAATGGCACCCTGATTTTGACCTGGAAACCGTGGCGCCTGTTGAAGAAACCGACATTCCGCTTTTAAAACCTACTGTCGTGGATTCATCCAAGCTGAACCTGAGAAACCTCGGGGTACGGAGGGAGATCGTAAGGGTACCGGCAAAGACGGTTACGATTAATCCGGAGGACGGCCCATCGACATCGCGGGAGAAGCTACAACCTGTCACGGCAGCCGACTTTCCACCTGAGGCCCCCGTCACCAAGGCTCTTACGGCTTTGGAGCAACTCAAGGAGCGGGTATGTATCAGAACATATGTGTGTGAATGTTGTGGGATGAGCAGAGTTGAACAACGGGGGTGCAATCGTGTCTGACTGGATTAATATCGCCCTGTTTTATGAATTAGATTCGGCAAAAGCAACTGGAAAAGAAGGACCAAGGACGAGGAATGGCGACCCCAGAGGAGAAACGACAGGCGTTGATTGCATCTCGACTGCCTGCTGTGTTTGACTTGATCCGGTTCAAGCGTGTGGATGTGCTCTCGCTCAAGGCCCTGACGGAACAGGTGGTCAAGAGTTCACGACAGCCCATCTCTGAAATCGAGGGCAGGGAGAGTTTAGAGATGATGGCCAAGGTCTTGCCTGAATGGTGCACTGTCTTTGGAACAAACGATGGTGTCAAATACTTCAAGGTGACCCGGGACGATGGACACGGCAACAAGATCTTGCACGATGAACGAGCCCTCCGAACCCGGTTGGTCACAAAGAGCACGTCGGGTCTTTGAATGACTTGTCCTCTCTTCGCTTAGCTTTGTTACTTAGATTTCAATATTACATTCATTTGCACCTTTCTCATTACAGTCATGACCTTCTGTCTTCTTGTATTGTGCCATATCGCTTTTGAAAAGAGTTGAACAAAGGAAAGGCACAAGCGGGGTTGGTATTCAAAAAAGTGATTTATTCAATGGGTGGATGGTATTCTTAAAAAACAAAGGCTAGTAGTGCCCTTACAGTATGCTACAATTTACAGATTTTTTTTCATTTGCTTGACTTCTCCTTCGATGACAACAGCTTAGAACCACAAGAGCTCGCTGTAGTGGGGGATGGGGTAGTACTTGTCGGCAGTCAAGACCTCGAGCTTGTCGGCGACGGCACGGGCGTTGTTCATGGCGGGCAAGACGTTGGCGCAGGCGAACTTGGCCTCCTCGACGGGGTCGTCACCAACGAGGTGCATCTTGTGGACGGTATCATCCAACTGAGCAATGGCAGCCTGGAGATCCTTGACGACGGGGGTCAAGGCCTGGAGGGCAGCCAGCTCGGGGGAAGCCTCCTCGCCCTCGATGGTCTTCAAGACCTGGACAGTCTGGGCCAAGGAACCGCGGTACTCGAAAGCAGCGGGCAAGATCTGGGAAGCCAAGAGAGTGCTGAGGGTGGTGGCCTCGACGAGCAAGTCCTTGGAGTAACGCTCCTGAAGAATGAGGTGGCGAGACTGGAGCTCGGACTGGGTGAAGATGCCAAGCTTGGTCAACATGTCTGAGTGGACGGGGTTCAAGAGCTGCTCAAAGGCCTCGGGCGAGGTCTTGATGTTGGGGAGACCACGCTTCTCGGCCTCCTCGATCCAGGCATCTGAGTAACCATCGCCCTCGAAGCGGACAGCCTTGGTCGAGGCAATGAACTGCTTGATGACGGCGACCTTGTCGGCATCCGAGGGGTAGGGCTTGTCACCCATCTGGGTACGGAGGGCCTCAGTGACGTCCTGGAGGGCAGAGGCAACGGCGGCGTTGAGGATGGTGACGGGGAAGGCAGGGGACTGCTTGGAGCCGACGGCACGGAACTCGAACTTGTTACCGGTGAAAGCGAAGGGGGAGGTACGGTTGCGGTCGGTCAAGTCACGGGAGATGGTAGGGAGGGATGCAACCTGGACATCCAAGGTGGTACCGCCCAATCTGATGGTCTGGATCTCGGGGACGGAGAAGTTCTTGATGGGGCGGGACTCCTCGATGGAGTTGAGGACCTCGGTCAAGTGCTCACCCAAGAAGACAGAGACGATCATTGGGGGAGCCTCGCAGGCACCGAGACGGTGCTCGTTGGAGGAGGAAGCGATCGAGGTACGGAGGAGACCACCGTGCTGCTGGACGGCGTGAAGGATAGCAACGAGGCAGAGCAAGAAGCGGTAGTTGGTCTCGGGCTTGACGGTGGGGTCGAGCAAGTTCTCGCCACGGTCGGTCGACATGGACCAGTTGCAGTGCTTGCCGGATCCGTTGACACCCTTGAAGGGCTTCTCGTGGTAAAGAACCTTGAGCTTGTTCTTGTGGGCGACCTTGGAGAGAACATCCATGGTCAACAGGTTGTGGTCAACGGCCAATGAAGCCTCCTCGAAGATGGGGGCCAACTCGAACTGCTGGGGAGCAACCTCGTTATGGCGGGTCTTGACGGGGACTCCGAGACGGAAGAGCTCGAGCTCGGCCTCGGACATGGTGGCGAGGACCTTGGAGGGGATGCGACCGAAGTAGTGGTCGTCCATCTGCTGGTGCTTGGGGGGCAAGTTGCCGACCAAGGTGCGGCCGGTGTGCTTCAAGTCGGGACGGAGGGCGTAGAGGGAGCGGTCGACCAAGAAGTACTCCTGCTCAGTTCCGAGGGTGGTGAAGACGTGGCTGGTGCGGGGCTGGGCGCCAACTGGGACGGGGTCGATCAAGTTCAAGAGCTCGGTGGCCGACTTGGCGATCTGGGCGGTGGAGCGGAGGAGAACGGTCTTCTCGTCGAGGGCATCACCGTTGTAGGAGATGAAGACGGAGGGGATGTAGAGGACGGAGGTACCGTGGGGACCCTCCTGGATGAACATGGGCGAGGTGGTGTCCCAGACGGTGTATCCACGGGCCTCGAAGGTGGTACGCATGCCTCCGGAGGGGAAGGACGATGCATCGGGCTCGGCCTGGAGCAACTGAGTGCCAGAGAAGGCATCGATAGCAGTGACCTAATGCGTTTGGAGGCGATGACAGAAGTATATTGTTAGTACTCACGTCAATATTCAATACAGTTTGCATACGTAAAATGTTATGCTTCTTGTTTGTTGTAGTTGATGTGGCTCTCATTGCCAACCTTGTTTCCCTCTCACACACTCACACCACACGATAGGGACCCTCGGACGCCGTGATCTCATATGTATCCCTATTGTTTTCTATTTGCATCCTTTCGTTTTTGCTCCGCCTTTCAGATGCACGTTCTCGACCGTGTTTGTGGTCGTCGTATGTGATCCATGGGCCACTGGACAAGGGTGGTCCTTATCATCCATTCACACACCCACTGATCCCTTGTCAGTATATTTAGCTGCCCTTTTTTCTTTCGTTATCTTTTTAGTGTCCTTTGCTTCTTTGTTCGAGATGCCCACGCTCTTGATTGTGTCGTGTCCAAACGTGTCCGACTGTATACTGTATCCAATTGTATCGTACTTGAATCGACTCGACCTCGGGGGTCGTCCCTGCTTCGTGCTGTTTTTTTTTGGCGTTGATATCATTTGTCGTGTCCCAAGACTTCAATTGTCCAGTTGCAATCTTCCTCTTTTCCACAGCCTCTTTTTTTCCTTATCTCTCTGAACAAGCACAACAAACAAAAAAAATGCATACCTCTTCACCGTTGGCGGAGAAGCTAGACTTTAAGGAGAGGAAAGCATCGTGCTTCTCGGCAGTGGTGCCGGTCTGGGGCTGGAACCAGTGGGTGAAGTGGGTGGCGCCACGGTCCATGGCCCAAATGCGAACGGCGTGGGCGATGGCATCGGCGGTGCCCTTGTCGAGAGCCTGGCGACCGCGCATCTGCTTAAGGAAGGAGGCATAGGCAGGCTTGGGGAGGGCCTTGGCGATCTGCTGGAGGTGGAAGACGTTCTCACCAAAGAACTCGGAGGTGTAGACGGGCTTGCCATCGGGCTTGCAAGGGTACTTGATGGAGCGAGTGACACGGTTGATGTTGTCCTGGATAGAATCGACGCGAGCCTGGTTAGCCATGATTGATGTGAGGGGGAGAGTAGTTTGAAGGGAGAAGAAGGGTATATGTACAGAAGGTTAGGGGAAAGATGGAGGAATATACAGAAAGGTAAGGTTGAGAGGGGTTTTGGTTTTGGTTTTGAGGACGAGGAGAGGAAAAGGGATAAGGATAATGAGAAGAGAGGAGAAAAAAAGAGAAAAAGAAAAGGTGAAAGGAGGGGGAAAGCAACGAGGTATTTAAAGGGAGAGGTGGATGTGTCAATAGCTTCAATTGATATCGATCAAGAAGTAAAGTAAAAAGTAAGAGAAAGTAACGAAAAGATAGAAAGAGGCAGTCACCATGTCACCCTCACAAGAGTCTCGCTGACTCTTCAACCTTTTTTTTTTTTTGTTGTTGCTATCGGCCATCTCTTGGCCACCCTCCTGTCGGCCACGCTATCAAACAAACTTCACAAACTGGAATTGACCTTGGACCAATTGTTGTTGTTCTCCTTCACAACACAACAGATTTATGAAAATGACATAAAGCAAGAAGGCAACACAAACAAAAAAGAGCAAAAGGGTTTTCTATCTCGCACTACTACTCAAAGGCAGGTCTCTCCTTGACTTTCCGGATAGCTACTCTTGTACTCAATTCAATTCTATCCTTGATCCTTCTCACTCACCCTCTCTCTCCATCGTCAATCTAATCGTCTCTCATTCATCATCACCCACACTCCTCCCGTACACCCCACTCGACTACAGTAAAAAAGTAGTACTCAATGATCAAAACCCATTGTGCATTCTTTCTTTTCCCCCTAGCCTCTCTGCCACCTTGTATCGATCCTCATCATCAATTGGTTCTCCTTCCCCCTCAACAAAAAAAAAAGAAGTAACCCCCTGCTTTTCAGGCGTCGTTCTTAAGGACAGGGTTAATGCGCTTTGGCAATTTTTCAAGCCTCCGCATACGCGAGAAAAGAGAAGGCGTCCAAAGGATCGCGTCCTCCATTCCATTCCCTCCTCCTCCTTCTTTCTTCCCACCTCCTTAAGACTTTCTCGCTCACTCACTCCTTCTGCTGACTCTGAACCCTTGAAGCTGCGAATGAAAAAAAACTTTTTTTACTTTCTGTTTCTTGTCCGCTCATACTTCTACTTTTCCACGGACTTTTTTGTATGGTCGTGTGTATGATTCCCAACAGACAGTCATTTATGTCTGTTGAGTCGATTGTCGTCTGAACAATCTGGTTATCTCTCTCTTCATCCCAACTTCGACTGACCGAAGATAAGTAACAAAGGCCGTGATCCATTGGGATGGACCTAAAAACACTGATCAATCAACAATGAGCATGAAAAATCACTCAAACAAATAACATTTGATCAGAAGTGTGCCTGAATGATATTAATGTCGCAGGGCACAGCGTAACAGACTGATAATGCGGTAGATCAGACTATGGCAAGTGAGGGTGAGAGAGCATTATTGCCTATTCTCCTCATCAACCACCTCCACACAGTATGCTCTGATAGCACCTCTATCCCTCCTTTGATTGATTGAACATCTCCAAGATCTCTCGCTCTCTCTCTCTCATTCCCGAAGAGAAGGTCATAGAAGCGGCCAGTTGGCCGAAAGGAAGAAAAAGCGCTTATCTCTGAAGTGTTAGCGTAGTTATTTTTGGTTGGTCGGCCCCGCATTTTTTGATTTCCATTTCAAGAACTCAGGGCCTCATTTTTTCTCTCTGCTGACCGATAATAACAATTAAAGCCAGCCACCAGACCAGCGGGAGGAATTCGGAGACAACAGAAAATAAAGAGATCAACTCCACAACAAAGGTTACGAACCGATCTTCTTGAGCTCCAATTGCCTGTTCTTACTCACTCGTTATGAACAAAAAAATCAATGGTGTCAATGACTCCAACAATGAAGAAAAGGTCAGCAGGCAGAGACACACCTTTAGTGAGCTTGAAACGATAGCATTTATTTTGATTCTTGGGCGTTGATTTCGTCAGATCAGAAAGGAGCAAGCAACGAACTCATAGCACGATGATCCATGAACAAAGCAACTGAGATAAAAACAAAAGATGGAGAGGAAGAGTGGATGCGGCTTTTTCTTTTTCTTTCTTATAGTGCACCTACCATTCCGTGCTAGGATAGAAGGTTAAAGAAGGAAGGAGCAAAACAGTTGACTACGCGTGAACCCGCATCTTGTTTTTTTCTAACCACTATACACGCGTTTGACACCCCTCTTGGAAGGTTGATCTTCTCTCTTTTCCTTCCTATTTCTCCTTCCTTTCCATCCTCTTTCTCCTTTCCTTTTTGACTCTAACCGTTGGGCATGGCCGATGAAGAAGGGGGGTTGCGACAATAACGCCAATGTCATCTCAACCAACAGTCCGAGAGCAAGAATCTCTTTCTGCAGTTACCCCGCAAACAATAACAAAAGGACCCGGGTGGAATTGTAGAGATGGATGTCATTTCCTTGCTCGAATATTAAGGAGGAAGTCACCGTGGAATAACCAGACTAGTCCTAGGGACTAAGCCTTGCAATGACATCAGGGGAAGGAATGAAGAAGTGTTATTCTGCCAACGTAGCCTAAGAAGAGAAGGAGTGTCCCAGCCTTTTGTGAGTCTTTCCCTCGTGCTATTATTCTTTGTTGAATTGCTTTACCTCAGCTATGAGACTCTGTCCGTTTCAATCTTTGTTGTGCTTCGATCTGTGCGATCTTCCCCACCACCATTATCGGAGGTGTCAGTGAAGCCCTAGTTAGTGGGGAGAGACAAGAAAAAAAGATTCCGAAACCTTCCCTTATCATCCACGTGCATAGCAAGAAGTCACTCTTTTCAGTGTTCTTCATGTGATGAAAAATAAGGTTGCCGCTGTCATTGTCGTTTGTTGTTACAACTGCCACTTTTTCAGGAACCCACAGGGTTACTACGGAGTACAGATAGAGCAGACAGGCAGAATTGAAACGGGTTGTTTATTGTTGTCGTTCTGGACTGCATCGATGAACGAAAGTGTGGTGATGTCATGTGATGGAATCGCAAAGCTTCTTGTCTCCATGCCCTGCCGCGTGGCCCTTGTCGTGAGAAAATACATTTCGCTGAGGCAGAGAATGGAAGGGGATCGGAGAATTGCCCGCCGCCGCATACGCAGAGTACAGTACACGGGTCCGTACGGCGACCAGTTTTTTTTTTGCCGGGACGATTCATAGATTCTCTCCTTAACTAACATAAAACCACCTCGAGCCACTTACTTCAACACGGTGCCAGTTCTTGTGTCACAGATATTACAAGCGAGGATGCTGGCCCTCTTTTCAACTTGGACAACTGAATATTCAAACACTTCGGTCCAGCGACGTGACTGCCATTCTAGCGACAGAGTCTTTTTCTTGGACTGCGCGAGTTGGTTGTGCTTTTGTCGATACCCACAACATAATCATGGACAGCGACGGATCAGCCAAGGATGTCCCCGGTCAGAGCAAGGACAATGACGATGTTGCGCAGAGGAGTCAACAAGGACAGGGCAACTCTGACAATCAATCGGGAACAGAGTTGACGTCCGCCATTCCAAGTGATTTAAACAACAAGCAAGAGCTTTCTCCCATCAAGTTCACACCTGCCATGACTCGCCGCGAAATAAAGAGACAACGGAGCGCCTCTCCTGCTGGACCAACTACATCTACATCAGACGACGAAGATTGTACGCTGAGCCATCATATATGTCGTTTTTTTCTGATTTGCGCTTGCTGGAATAGGAGGGGAGCACAGTTCTAACCCACAACGTTACCATCTTCCTTTATGTGCGCTATCGCTTAGTGGAGCTTCTGGAGGAGGTTTCGAGGATAAAGGCGCAGTTGGAAGCGAAGCTGCGGGCAAAAAAGAAAGCCAAGACTGAAAAAGTTGAAGGCGATCAAAGCTGTGGAAGCAACACACCATCAAAAGGAGTGCAGGCACCAACAACAGGAGCGCAAACACCGTCAAATGGAGCGCAGACACCACGTACCAAGCAGCATTCATCTCACGTGCCACTGCCACCAGCATCAGCAGATGAAGATGAGGATCCGTTCCTTCTGACGACCTCTAACACGACTACACCTCCGACAACCCGGACGCCACTGTCATCACCCGGATTTAAGACACCCTCACCCCCCGCACGCACAAAGCTGCTCATGTCTCCTTCCTCAGGAGCGTCCGCACGGAAACGTCAACATAGCCCTTCGCCCATGGCGAGAAGATCTCCGCGAGGACTGACAATGTCGCCCAGGGGATCTTTATCATCAACACCGCTGGGCTCCTTCTCTGGTCAGAGCCGATTCTTGCAGAGGCTAGACGATACAGCAGAGACTGACGTTTCGTTGGATACGAAAAAGGGCACAGTTGAGGCGGACGCTCCGCTGGAGGTGGAAGACGAGGACGACTTTGATGATGCCATGTTGGAGTCTGCACTGGACGAGGATGATTTCGACGACGACTTTTCATCAAAGCAGGAGAGTACCAGCAAACCCGACCTTGCACTTTCACCCAGGCTGAAGAGTATGATCAAACCCGACTTTGGTCTTTCCTCAAACAAGATGAAGGTGAATCAACCCGACTTTACCTCTTCAACTGCGAGTGCCAGTGGAGGACCGACGGGACGGACAAAACAGAGTACAGATATGGCAAGTCTTCGTTCGACAACATCTAACCTGACGGAAGCTGTCATTGCTAAGCAACAGGAAAGACTAGCTGTACAGGCAGCTCAACATGGACCCAAGGCCACATTCAGGACCGTCGGAAACGATTCTCTTCCCGCCTCCACACGGGAAGCTACTCGGTTGGGTCATACGGCGGGACTTGATCCCCTATCTGGAGTTCGACTGAGGTGAGTAGATGTGATGACCGGGACAACATGTTTGCTGCGATGTGGCTATTGAATTGTGGTAATGGAACAACGAGCATACCTGACTTTTGTTCTTCGCTACTTTATTATATTCAAAAGGTCACGGATAACATCGTGTGAGGATGCTGCAAGGATGACACGCGATATCTGCAATATACCCATAAAGGATCACGACGGCATCCGTGCAAGGACCGAGCAGCGCACGAAAGCAGGATTACTACCGTCGTCCTCTGCTGCAGGTCTTCTTCGTCCCAAAAACGACACAAAGCAAGGATCTGGGCCGTCCGAATCGACATTGGGCCATTGGATGGTCGCAGGAGTTGTAGGAGCGAAATCGAAACCAAAGATGACGGCAAAGAAAGTTCAGTACTGTCATTTCCAACTAAGCGACCTTCACAGTGCTATGATCAACGTGTTTTTATTCCGGGACGTCATGGAGAGACATTACGAGGGGCTTCGGATAGGCGACGTCGTTGCCATCATGAATCCGAAAGTTTTAAGCCAGGCTGAGGTATGACAACTACGTGCGACGATACATCACCTTCTTTTGATGCAGCCCGTAAGTTGTCGCTAATGCAATTATTTACGTGTTATATGTTACGCTACTTAGCGCGCAGGAACTCTGGGAGTTGAGGTTGAGCACCCTGATTGTTTACTGGTCCTTGGAACTAGTACGGATTTTGGACTATGCGAAGCGGTCAAGCTGAACGGCGATAATTGCAATAGGCCACTCGACAAGAGAGCATCCAGCTATTGTAGCTATCACATCATGATGGTAGCCAACAAGGGGCGTAACCAACGAGGAAGTCTCATTGCTGGTACCAGCTCGATCTTGGATTTGGACAAGTCTGCATCTCGGCCGTTCAAACCGCCTGGACCACACAAGGCTGGAGGAGGACTTGCAAGATCATCGTCCTCGAGTTTTCTCCAGAGCGGGAGTAAAGGGCCGCCTCAGGAGACGACATATCTATTCGACGACGGAGGCGTTGGCACTTCACTCATGGCAGATCCAAAGAAACCCAAGAAGGTTGTTAATCAACTCGACGGTGAATTGTCGGCGTTCCTGATGACCCAGAACAACCCAGGCGGTCAATATCTGCGGCAGGCAAAGGAGAGCAAGGATGTGGCTTGGGCTAAAGACGTGCCTTCTCCTAGTAAGTTACTCCACTGTTCGTCTTTGTAATGTTACTTGGGAAAGGCAAATGCATTGGGTTGAGATTAATTATTTTTTCTTTGAACTTGCCCTAGAAACGCCAACAAAGAACTCGGAGATATTCCCCGCAGAGATGGTTCGTCGGATGGGGTATGATCCGGTCACAGGACAGTTTGTTCCAGGGAGTCCAAAGAGGATGAACGAGGACCCAGAGGCACGAGAACGATCCCTGCGACTCTTGGCGGAACGTGTTCGATCTCCACCCTCATCGCCCCTTTTCAGTCTCTCACCAACTGGACACAGACACACGATGGTGGTTAAGGGCATGACGAGGGTCATTGCACAACCAAAGTCAAAAGCAGCCCATGCACCTGGGAAAACATCAACAGCAGGAAAGGAAGTTGCCGGAGATGTGTTCTTTCGAGACAGAGGAGCAGCAGCAGCAGGTACACCAGGAGGCAGTGGTTCACCTTTGACGAGTCCAAAGAAGTGGGTGGACCTTGACGGTAGTAGTGAGAGTGACCCCGAACTGGATGACGATGGCAACCCGGTCTTGTCGCTCAGTCAACAGCGTAACAAGAACCTTCTAGAGGCGAAAGGGGAAAATGGTAAAGGAGCAGTACGTGGTAGTCGATCAGTCGCCCCCTCGAGTTCCGGATCTGCTTCAACGTCGATGTCGCCTTCTCTGTCTCGACTGAGTTTCAACCCTCTGATGAGTGGAGCGCCTGGTCGAGCTCAAGTACCTGCATCGTCCTCATCTGCATCCAAGACGATGCTTTTGCAGAGAACTAAGGCCAAGACTGCTAAACCAACGACAAGCGCAGCCGTTCCATCCGATACCCAACCTCCCACGAGCACACCTAATACTTCAACGACGAATACTAGGAGCAGCAGTAGTAGAAGCCTCAATGGCAGTGGTGGTGGCGGTGGCAGTAGCAGTAGTAGCGGTGGCAGCAAAAGTGGAGGCAACGGTAAGGCTGCCGCCAAATACGTTGACCTAAGTGATTAAAAATGAAACGAGCATTGAGGTTATTCTTGTCCGTGGTGGCGGATTGAAGAGAATGTTGAGAGCCGCGACTAGCATCGCTCACTCTCTTGCTCACCAGTCATTCAGTCGCGCGTTTGGCAAATCCATATTTGTGCTTGATGCGGAAAGCCCCTACCCAAAAGGGCTCACAAAGACATAAAGAAGAGGTCTACTAATAAACCTTCTGCATTCAAATCGCAATTTATATCACAGAGGATGCAAGAGTTCATTTGGAGGGAAAACGGGTGTTATTGACAATAAGAATGTAGTTCATGGTAGTCGAAACACTTCAGTGTTAATAGTCCCCTTGTCATTCACTCAAGGATTGATCCACCATCATCAGTATGTCGATCCTCATCTAGGCACCATCACCGATCACATTGTCAGGAATAATATTTGATCAAATATTCAAATATAAAAAAAACGGTCGTCGTAGAAGGAAAAAGAAAATCTCGGGCAACAACCACTTTTTTTCACTCCACTTGCAGCTCGAATGGACATTCTGGTGAAAAACAATCGGCAGGAAGCAAAGCAGGAGAGAACGTATAAAAGTATGGGCGTAAAAACGAATAGAGGAAAGAGTAGCAATTGACAGGGGAAGGATTGGATTGCGACAAATATGAGCTCAAGTCCTTGTGTGTTTGGTATATTAGATGCACAACGGTCTGTCCCTGCTATGCTTCTTGTTAATAATAAGAGACCGGTTGCCGGTTTATCTTTGGACAAGCGGTGGTGGTAGTGGTGGTGGTGGTGGTGGTAGTGGTAACGGAAGAGCTTGATCAGGACAAAATGCCGATGGGGGGGGGGGGGGTGAAGTGGAGAGTGAAGAGGAGAAGGAATAGGGGTCATGGCTACGACGATGTGGCATTTGGTTTGAAAATAGGAGACGTCTGCATCCATACAAAGGACACTTTCTCTCTTCCCTTCCCACTCTTGCTTTTGTTTTGTTTTGTTTTGTTTTCTTTACTATTCTTTTCTTTTTGCAACTCAACTCAACCAAGACAACATACACATACTCTTTGCCTTCTTTCCGCACACGCTCTCTCTGTCTTTCTCCTCTCTTTCTCTTCCCCACTTCTTTTTTTGTCTTTCATTCATCACCACTCTCCATTCTCCATCAATCGACTCTCTCCTTTTTTCATTCCCCTGCGCCCTGCACAGTCATCAACCAACCAACCACCGCCACCACCACCACCACTATCACGAACCCACCCCCTTGCACCCTTGCCACTCGTCTTCTCCTCTCCTCACCTACACATCATATCTGGCACTTCCCTCCCCTCAAATCAAGGATTCAAAACAGTACGTCTTACCCTTCTCTTTCAGCGGCGAACTCAACAAACAACAATTACCTTCCTCCCACCCCTCTCCACATTCTTGTTATGTGCTATAAAAGGGGTTCCTACAAAACTGTACTATCGCCCTCGAAACGCTCTGGAACGCGTGGATAGGATGCCATTGACCCATACTTCGTTTCCTATATCCCCTTGGGGGATTGGTCGCACTGGCGTATTCGTTTTCAGCATCCTTCTTAACGGTTCAGTCAAGCCTCCTCACACTTTCTGGCGCTTCTCCCGACAAAGACGCCTGTCCTTATTCTGTTTGGAGAAGCATCGTTAACTTATCTACCCCATGACACATTGTAATTTTTTATGGCATTGGACTGAAAAAATGACTCCTTGGGGTTTGGCCTGGACGAGGAGGCAACAACAACAACAAAACAGCTACTCCTTTTGTTGACTGGACCTTATTTTTGACCAGAGGGGATATTCGTTGAATTGTCTGACACTCAAAGGGTTACAGAGGAGAGGAGTCTTTCTCCGCTGTTTTTTTTGATATTGTTGAAGGAGAGGGGCCAAAGAGGACCACGGCATAAAAAAAGGAGGTATCCAGCTTGGCTGTTTGTTCTGCGTGTATGGAGATGTAACGTGAAAACATGTGTGCTGGTAAGCCTTGAGGGCTTGTTACTCTGTCGATTGCGAATAAACTAAAAAGGCAAAAATTGCTCATTGACTTTAATTTTGGGCCAATTTCACAAACTCGCCGCTCCATTATCCTCCAGCAATGGTCTCTTTTATTAACTTGTCCTTCTCATTTGTGCTCCTCCCTTTTTCCACAACCATGCAGCATTGAACTATACCCTACCTCCATTCTTGTGGATATTTAACTCACTTTTACAACAACCAATAGCGACACACTTCCACACCAGTCTGAAAAGTAGGTTCTCTCAACTGCTGTGGCTATTACTGCTTTTACAATGCTTGCTCTACTTCATCCGTGTTTCTTCGTCATCATCCTCTTGGATATGCTAGTTCGCCGCTCAATCGCTCAATGCCACTCACATCCCAGTTACCCATCCTTCATCCTTGAACTAGCCAAAATGTCCTCAGGACAGGATACCACCACGTTATCGCAATCGGCACCTTCATCATCATTACCATCGTCACAAGGAACTCGATCGTTCTACAACTCATACCATTCGCAACTCGACAGCCTCAAACGGCTACAAGTACCCTATGGCGATCTCTATCACACCCTTTCAGCATTCGACTCTACTCCAATTGAAGCTGTCGGCGCTATATTTCGGAAAGCGGCTTCAGATTTAATTGCATGGCTCGAGACGGCAGAGATGACGGTGTATGGTCTCGAGATGGATGTCGAGCACGACGGAGTCAGCGATGGACGGGACGTGGGGGAGATCGATGTGATGATGAATCGCTTCCAGCCCAACATTAGTATGCTGATCGAACTCAAGGACAAAATGCGTCCCAAACTCCACACCGCAGCGATCAACGGTGCACTGCCTCCAGAAGACGACGACGTGTTGGCAGAGGCACCTATGACGGATCAGGAGTTACAGGGAACAATACAGTCCGTCGAATCAAGTTGGAGCTCTCTCAAGGCAATGGTCGTGAAGGTCAAGGGGATTCTTGCCAGCCTAAGGACTCGAGGCGATCATTTGACGAGGATGGAGAGCGTGTTGGGAGAAATCGAGGAGATTGGTCTGAAGATGGACAGCTTTCAGGAGGAAAGGACACGTTCCAATCCGGATGTGGGGACACCAAAGTCTGCTCGGTCACCACCCAGCCCAACACTGTCGCATTCCTCAACAACGACCGAAACGATGACCATCAGCTCGGAGGTGACCCAGTCCAAGCAGAGGAGCACTGAGATATTGACACTTTTGGATTCTCGGATTGGACTACTGGAGCCTGCCATCCATTCCCTTACGGCGGAGATTGAGGCTCAGTCAGCTGGCGACACGAACAAGGACGGATTGCTGGATCAATTCCGTCAACTCACCAAGCTGTGGGTGGACCTCAAGGCACAGAGGGAGAAGATTGGCGAGGAGATCAAGGAGGAGCGCTGGTTGGGAGTGTTTGACCAGGTGGCAGGACAGGTCGAGTCGATGATGGCGTCGCTGGACAGGGCCATTATTCATTGCAAGGGCCTTATCGACCAGATCAAGAACATGGTCAAGGAGAGAGTCATCCCGACAGCACCCATTGACCGCGACCACCTCTATACCATCTTCAAGAGCTTTGAGGCCAAACACAAGTACTATGCGCCCGCAGTCAACAAGATGCTCAACATGTTGGAGAACGGGATCGAGAGCCGGATGACAAGGAATGTTGATGTGATCCAGAAACACCGGGCCATGAAGGAGACCTGGGAGCACCTACGCGGGAGCTTGGATCGGGTTGAGCTGGATTTGAACGACATCGAGAGCATGCTGGACTTCCTGGATGCGTCTATTCCCTCCTACATGCCCACGCCACCAGCACAATTGCCTGAGAAGCCGCTCTTTGCTATGCGCAAATCACAACCTCAGGCAGAGTGGAAGGCGCCCGGTCCGCCAGCCCTGTTCCAACCATCTCACCAGACCCAGCAACCTCAACGTGGTCGACGACCACCGCCTACAACCTCAGCATCGACATATCAGAATCCCACCCAGTCGTCTTTGCGTTCAAGGACACGATCGCCATTGAATGCTGCTCCTACACCTCGCCACCGACCCTGGTCCCCTACCCCGTCTCTCAGCAGTATGTCGTCGATGCTCTCGCCCAATATGAACACCAACTACCGAGCTCACAGCCGTAGCCCTTCACCGACTCCCTCGAGAGCTAACTCTGACAAGTCACGTCCATGGTGCCCCAGGTGAGTTCTTGTTTGTTTGGTTTGCACTTTTTATTTATGAGAGCACTTTGAACGGTTAATAGATCGCTGGACGATAAATTGTTTGACTAAATTACTTTATCTTTTCAATCCCTTAGCACGAAAACATCATCGCCGTCCATTCCTGGAATACCGTACGCGCCGTCAGCAGCATCGACATATTTTCCCCGTCCAACATCATCAATGGGTCTTCGCCGCGATGTCAGCCCTTCGCCAGCACCCTTGAGTCGGTCCGCATCCGTCATGGCAAGGAACAGGAGCTTATCGTGCACTCCGTCGCTCAACAGGAGTCCCTCAGATCTCAAGCCTGTGTTTTCTCCCGTAGGCAGTTTGAGCAAGTTGTCGTCAGGAAGTCAGTCAGGATCTTCGATGCTGGCAGTGGCAGAAGCAGCAAGAACGGGTTCAACCACAGTCGCCTTTGGACGAAAAACTCAACCCAAATTGCCACCGCCAGTCGTCACCAACTCTACTCGACTTCGACAGAACTCTGCACCTGGACCTGCTCCATCTCATCTTCGATCAGTCAGTCCCAGTTCCATGCCTCGGAGTCGTGGCACTCCCACTGGTGGTGCTGCCACCTCCAACACGCAGTCATCGTCAGCACGTCTTCCCGCGTTCTCGCCTTCTTCAGCACGGTCGGGACGATCTAGCGTGCAGAATGGACCATCGAACCAGACTAGCGATGAACAGCTCCTCTCCCGTCATCGACGACCATCTCTTGGAACATCCAAACCTTCGTCGACCTACGATCTCGACAGACTGGACTCTGCCTATGGATCTCTCCCTGGATCGGCTATTGGCAACGGTAATCTTGTCTTTGACGAACCAGTCAGTCCTTCTGCATCGTCGTCGTCCTCTGTGAACTCGGTCGGTCGGATGCCCTATACCCAGCAGTCTCGCCAGTCGTCCAAGACCAGTTTGATGGGCCTTATGAAGGATATGTCGATCAACAACACCCCAGCCCCAAGACCGTATGCTGCTACTCGCGGGGATGCCTTGGACGACGAGTTTGCGAGGATCTTGAATGCGAGTTCCATCCAGATGCAGGTTCGGAGACTTGCCGAGGGCAAGTACTATTTTGGTGGCAAGGTCGAGGAGATGAGCACTGGTGGATTTTCGGTGGTGGGCGGTAAGATGGTGCTGTGCCGGTTGATGGAGCATGGACGACCCGCGAATGCGAATGGGACTGAGGAGGATTCTGGCGTCTCTAGCGGCGGTAGCCATAGCGGAGCCGAGGATGGTATCCAGCAGCAGCAATTGAAGCGGCAACCGACTCTATCGCGACCGGTCCCTGCAGCATCCAAGAATACTACGCTTCGACGACCCGAACCTGCTGCTCAACGGAGCACCCGAACTCGAGCCACATCGAGTACCTCGATGACAACTACTAGGTCTGGAAAGAGTAGGAAGGTGATGGTCCGTGTTGGAGGTGGATGGCAGGATTTGGACCTGTTCTTGTTGGACCATTATTCATCTGTGTCCATGCGTGGTTAGAACAATATAAAGCTTTTTTATTTGATCCATTTTTTGGGGGGGGACTGTCGTGTGCTTTGCGCAACATATTTTATCTTTCTACTTTCCCACCATTTTTCTTTTGCATTTCACATTCAACTATGGAGCATGGACATTCACCAAAACCACCATCGATACCAACTCAACCACTCTTCCTCGGGTTAGACCTGTCGACCCAGCAGCTCAAAGTCCTTGTCTTGGAACAGCGCGACAACATCACCAACAACGATGACGACGACGGTCTTCGAACACATTCCTCATTCGCCATCCACTTGGACTCGGAACTCCCACACTACCGAACACAAGGAGGCGTTCACGCCCACGCCCAGCAGGGTAGCGGGGTTGTCACGGCACCCGTGTTGATGTGGGTCGAGGCTTTGGAACGTGTCTTTGAAAAGATGAAAGGTGCCGGCTTTCCTTTCCACCGTGTCGTATCCATCTCTGGCGCCGCTCAGGTAGAACGGGATCATTGGTCTCCTTGTGAAGGAAGGTGCGTTGGTCTTAGAACCAAAGTGTGGGCACACAAGTCGCATTAACACGTCTTTATCCATTGGATAAAACCAAATAGCAACATGGTAGTGTGTATTGGTCTAATGGCGCGACACAAGCATTCGAAGCCTTGCGTGGGCCATCATCAGAGTCATTGTCGTCGGGATTGGTAGAGACCTTCAAGGATGCGTTTACGGTGGAAGAGTCGCCTATCTGGCAGGACACCAGCACGATGAGCCAATGCGAGGAGATGGAAGTGTTCCTTGGGAAAGTCGAGAAACTACGTCGTGGGCGCTCCGGCGCTACTACTACTACTACTGTCGCCGATGCAGCTGTTGGAGAGGAGGAAGCGAAGGAGGTTCGACGGCTTGGGCAGCAGAGGCTTGCGGAATTGACGGGGTCGCGCGCTTACGAGCGGTATACTGGAAGTCAGATCCTGAAGGTATGTCAATGGTGCGAGATGATACAGGGGGGTGAATAAGAAAAGGAGGAGGACGGTCTATGATTATGGAATGTTCCTTTCTTTTTCTTTCACCCTTTCGCACAAGCATTAGCATGAGTGACTAAACGAGTAATGTTTAATTATGGTGGTATCTGCATAGATTGTTCAAAAGAGTCCAGAGGTATATCGATCGACGACAAGGATATCGTTAGTTAGCTCGTTCTTAGCGTCGTTGTTGATCGCTAGTTATGCGGCCATTGATGTTGCCGATGGGTCAGGTATGAACCTGTTGGATATCCGTACAAAGACTTGGGATCCTGTCTTGACACGGTTTATTGACCAAGGTGGACGAGTCGAAGAATCGACGATGGCGGCGGAGGTTTCGAACAGTCTGCAGGAGAAGTTGGGAGAGGTTGATGCGTCCGGGACGAAGATTCAAGGTGTTTTGAGTAGCTGGTTTGTAAACCGCTATGGGTTCTCGTCAGGTATGTCTTTGCAATTACAATAGAAGGGAGAGAGGGACACGGCTGTGATGAGGGGAACGTGGCTGATAAGTAACCCTATCTTCTAATGCTTCGATAGATGTGAAGGTTGTCACGTTCACGGGCGACAACCCAGCAACGGTAATGGCTCTGCGTGCAGAGCGTGGGGACGCGATGGTCAGTCTGGGCACCAGCGACACCCTCCTCCTCTACACTGACACTCATGCGTTCATTAGTCCCAGTGACAATAACAACTCTGCCACTGCCTCTGACAAGGGGGAGCAAGACGCCAATAGTAGTGTAGCAAAACTACTCTCGGTCGGGTACTTGTGCCATCCTGTCGATCCGAACGGGTACTTGATGCTCTACTGTGCCAAGAATGGGTCTCTTGCAAGAGAACAGGTTCGGGATCTGTATGCGGATAGCAATTGGGATCGATTCGACCAGTACCTTCGAGAGGGGATGGAGGAAAGTGGTGGGGGTGTTGGATTCTATTATTTTGATCGCGAGATCTGGCCGCCAGTTCAGGGTGTGTACCGGTTCGAGAACGGAGTAGCTGTCAATGAGTTTGGGGAACAGGATGCGGACGCTAATGGCTCGGCCAAGAGGGCGGCGGCGAATGTCGTTGCTATCTGCGAGTCCCAGTTTCTGGCGATGCGCATTCGGTCGTCGCAAAAGGAGGACGCAACTTCCTCGTCGTCACTAAACTCTCCAGGCATATCCAGAATCTTGGCAACTGGTGGCGCATCATCGAACCGAGTCCTTCTTCAGTTACTGGCAAATGTGTTTGGAGTCCCTGTTGTGAGCATGGGTACTGACGATCAGCAGCCTGGGGCTGGATCTGCGGCTTGGGGAGCAGCAAGGAAGGCGTACTTGTATGGACGCCAGGGAGATATCGGTGGCACTAGTAGACAGGATGCCGATCGAGATTCTGGAATGAGGAGCAACAGCGAGGGAAGCACTGCTATTCTCCCTGATCTTGCGCAGACGAAAAAGTACGTTGACCGGATTTTTGAGTTCTTGGGACTCGAGGCTTCATTACTTTGAGCGAGAGCGAGGCGGAGCAGTAGCCTGCTTGCTCGTGTTTGCTTTGTTTGCTACTCGGAATAGATACCAAATATGTGTACATGTCTGTGCAGGAATTGTTGATGAGATGAGGGATGTGTCACGAGCAAAAGAAAATAGTGAATACAAAACGTTAGGATATTCCAAAGCAACCCTGCATGGGGGTTGAGTTGTCTGCTGTTCATCCTGCTGTTGAGTGGTGGTTGTATTCATTGGTGGTATTGGGTGAATGGTAATGGAGATCAAAGCCGTTCCTGTTCTTATAAGAAGAGGATCGTTGGATGATAACTGCTCCGTTTGAAATGCATGACAGCTTTGTTTTATGTGTTTACTGAGCACTCCTAATGCAAGTATGCTTTGCCCATTTGCCCTTTTCTTTCTGTTGTAATATTATATCGATTGTTGAGCGAGGATGTCAATTGTCGAATGCCAATGCAGGTGATGGGTGTGCGCGTTTCTTCCTCTCTCTCGCTCCTTTTTCTTTCTTTCTCGTTCACACCCACTCTCTCGCTTCCTTCTTTCTTTTCTTTCCTCGTTCCTCAATATCGCCAATTATATCCTCATCCTCATTCTTCTCCTCCTCTCTCCCGTACACACACTTCTCTCTCAGTCAACCGCTATAGCTCTACGTGCGTTAGCTTCTTTTCTCTTCCTTCCTCCCTCACTTTGGTAATCCAACACTCCAAAGAACCAACAAAACGCCACCTTTTCCCTTCAACTCTCTTCTCAGTCACTCCGCGGCAAAAGCAACCTCCCCTTTTTCATTACCAGAGTACCACTCATACGGCGCAACCCTCATCGTCCACCTTACCCACCCTCTCGTTCAGCAACAAGTATTCCATTTTCTCAGCTGGTAGCGTAACTGCCAACAAAAAACCTTTTCTCCTTCCTTCCTTCCTTCCTTCCTTCCTTCCTTCCTTCCTTCCTTTTTCCATTCTTTTGATCCCAGGTCAATCGGCTCCACGGAGGGGCCGACAACCTTATCTTCGCTTTGTTCTTAGGACTCCCTCCTTGACATCGCTTCCTTCTTTCATCGTTTAAATACCGTTGTTGTTTTTCTCTTCCCTTCTCCTACACATTCTCTTTTTCTCGCTTGGGAAAGAAACTGCGTGAAGATTAAACAGGGAAAACCGACTCGGCGCTTCTATTTTATCCATCGTTATCCTCACGCCCATATACCATTGTCCTTGCATACTGTGTACACAATCATCTTAACAACCAAGCGAACAGCAATCAACTACACTCTCTCACCTACCCACCCGACTTCCTCTTCCCCATCTTCTTACTCTCGACCACTACCACCTTTCCCAGCAGCGTTTCTTTACACCTCATTTCCTCACACGCCAAAGGCAACCAACAGCAACAACAAACCTGCATGTCATTCTTTCACCAACAGACAGGAGAACTACGGACATGGGCCCGACGAACCCTCTGGTTCATCTTCGTCACCGGCGCCCTCTGCTCCATTGTCCTCCCAATCTTCATGATATACCGACGCGAGGGCGACAATGCCCGGTCAGTCGTCGAGGTGGAACCCCAGGGGGTCTCCCACACAGGCGACTTTATCCATGTCCTTGGCTCTGTAGCCAGTGTCGACTTTGAGAACAAGAACTTTCGAGTCCATTTCGAGTTTACGGCCCATGGGACCCTTGCAGGCGACGATGGTGTCCTGGCGGCTGCGGTCTCTATCTCGGTGTTTTATACCACACTTGCCTTTCCTGCTGGCCAAATCATGTACGTTATCATTTTTTTCGCACCGTGCACTTGCTTCGCCCAGATTAAAAATGAATGCATGGAGAACTAACTCTTTTGCTCACTTCATTTCTTCCTCCATTTCCTTTCCTGACCCCCAACAGGCGGTCGGTGGATGTAACAATGCCATACATGCAAGGAGCGACCATCGACTACCCTTTCGACGCCTACAAGTCTTACTTTGAAATCCTCGCCAACAAAGACCGCGAACAAATGCACAAAATCCCCGTCTCCTTAACCTTCCTCGGAAAACTCCAATCTGTCGAATTCATCCCAACCGTCCAACTCAACCACGACGACCTCTACAAAATCTCGATCGTCATCTTTACCCGCCGGTCGCCGACCACGATAGGGTTCAGTTTGTTTATTGTGCTGATCATGTGGATGTTGAGTATTGCAATCGGGATTATCGCGATTCAGGTTATTAGAAAGTACAGGGTCTCGGATGAGCATGTTTTGACGCTTGGGATTACCACGCTTTTCGCTTTACCGGCTTTGAGGGAGACGCAGCCGGGGATTCCGGCCATCGGGTGTGCTGCCGACGTCTTGGGCTTCTACTGGTAACTTGGACATTGATAACCGCCTTGCCTTTGCGTGAATGTCCATCACACATGATCTTTTTTCCTCTTCTCTTTGTAACATCCTTTCTTCTTTCACTTTTCTGTTCAGGAACATGGCAATAATCGCCATCTCATCAATCATGATCCTCATGGCCTCTGCTCTCCGCTGGAAACAACCCTCCATCAAGCGAGAACTGGAACTGGTCCAAAAGCAGCACGATTACCAATCAAAACTCATCCGGGAGATGGCCATCCCCATGCCGCTTCCGCTTACGGGTGGACCACTCTTTGATTACCAGGTCAAGAAGAAGCGGTTTCAACCACATCCTCCTACAACTTGTTATCCGCCCTTTTCTGCGACTGCGGCCGCTGGTGCTGCAGCGGTGTTTGGCGGCAGTGGCGGTGGCGGTGGCGGTGGCGGTGGTGGGGACATTTATGATTATAACCATGTCAGGCCGGTCAGCTCTGCGTCGCACCGGGATAGACTGTCGTTCGAGGAGACGCAGAGGTACCACCTTCGGAATCCATTCGGGTTCTCTAACCAGCAAAGTTACCCCTCGCGCACCTCTCCCACCTCTTCACCTGCCGCTGCCGTAGCTATGGGAACTGACAACCGGCCACCGCCAACGACTACACCAACAAATCCGACAACAACAAGGAGACACCACCCGGAGGACTACTACTACTTCACCGACGAGGGACGGATACACTTCGAAGACGAGTATGACGGTGATGGTCATTCATACCCGAGTCCGCAATCCCAACCGCAACATCCACATCCACATTCCACAACATCCTCCTTGTCCACGCCATCACAACATGTACATTACCATCAACAATACCAACATCAGCAGCAACAGCAACAAATGAGGTCTTCGCCGAGGTATCGAAGCCATGATCTGGAGCAGGGGTCCATCTCGGGATCTTCGTTGTCTGGATAGGAACGTCTTTGAATCTCTGTTGAGAAGCATCCTTTTTTTCATGCACACATGCACCTTCTACAATAAACCAAATCGCCAAAAAAAATAATTGTCTTTATTATTTATCAAGATGACACCTTGCTATCACCTGCGTACCATCCAAGGCATCAAGACGCAAGGGTTAGTACATGTCAGAAACAACAAGTTAATCATGCCGCTCTCGCAAACAAAAAAAGTAAAACTCCAACAAAAACAAACAAAGGGAAAAAGCACAAAAGAAAGAGAGGGTTAGATCCACACACAATCCACAAACTAACAAAAGTAAGACATTTAACCAGTACTGTTACCACCCAGGTACTATCCCAAAAACAACAACAACAAGAGGACGTTCACGCGTGGAAAAGACAATGGAGCGCACTACAAGTCGGCGCCAGTCAGACTGTACGTAAAAGTTGCCGGACACCACCATTCCCCGCTTCAAGAGCGGACACTCTGATAGCGGTGGTCAAAAACAAGTCCCCGCAACACAGTGTCACGTCTATCAGTGGAGAAAAAATGGCCCGTCGCATCTACCGGCATAAGAAGAGTGCATATCATCATCGGAGCGAGCTACTTTGCAGGGATCGCCTCATTCCTGCTGAGAGTTCTAGCTGGAGGGGGATGTGCATTTTCGCCGTGTCACTCGTACCAGGCGGTACGGAGTGACGTACTGTACCAGGGAATAGCTCGTCTCTTCTTCTCTTGGGTGTTCTTCGTGGATAGTACTTTGTCCGCCGTGGATTGCAGAGCTAGGAAGGGCTGTAAGGTTGTTTTGGGGCTTTGTTGGTGTGGGTATGAGAATCGTCTTTGCACTTTCCTTTCGCACTAGCGGACACCCTGCATCGTAGGAGAATGACAAAGTGGCTGACAAAAAGAAAAAAAAGGAGAGAGAGAGAGAGAGAGAGAGAGAGTTAGAATACGCTCGCAAGTATCTAGACCATCACCACGCCAACACCCACAGAAAGCCTCAGCAAGCAACACTACACGGAATTTTTTTTCGAATCCGCACAATCCAAGGCAAACAGTACGAAGCGGTTGGCCGCCGTACTGCACAGGCAACTGCCCACAAAAAGGGTCATCCTCTCCCTTAGACTCCAAGCATTAAAGACCTCGGGAAGTGCCACTATTCTTCCCCTTTCTCCGTTGCCGAATAAAGGGGAAGAACACCGTCTTATGTCCATGGCATGATAATGTGTTGTCCAGAGAAAATCAAACAGAGACGAGAACCTTGATGAGACCTTCCTATGGTGCCACATTCACACCAATAACAGCCTAATCAACCCAGTTGGCAGGGCACCACCCCATTCAACCATGTCGAAAGGCCTCTCGATAGATACCAAGTGTTATTGATGTGGGATGGGTGTGTTTACGATTTTGGCGAGGCACGCAGCCCACGTCACTCCTGTCAATAGGGCAGGAGTGAACCACCAAGGGGAGTCTCCTTCTTCTCATGAGTGTTTCCCCTGTGCAGCAACTGCTGTCGTAGTTGTGGGAAACTAGGGTTGCTGAGGGGTTCTGTGGGGAAGGAATAACGAAACAACTCGGTACTTATCTTTTGCCTTGCTTTCTTCTTGTTGTCCGGTCGATGGTGACGGAGGAGGGTGGGCTCGATGAGGACGGGTCGTAGGAGGTAGAGGATGAGAGAGAGTTGTTGTGTCGAGTGTGTACCTGATCGTTGTCTTGTTCTTGTTGCTCGTGTTGTCGATGAGGGTGGAGGGGAGGAAGAGGAAGAGGAGGAGCAGTGCAGGGAGGGAAGAGAAGAAAAGTAGTGAAGGAAAAAAAGACAGCGCTCTTACAAGGCGAAGGGACAAGATAGCGAGCCAATGAGAGCACAGAAAATATAAAATGATGTCATATGAAACCTTCTGCTCGATGTGATTGGCTGCTCTGTAGAAGGCAGACAAGAACTAACGTTGCCACCAGGTCACTCCACTTCATGGGTTTCCAACGGTTCCCATTCCTTTCTTTATAACGATGGTTGCATTCTTTCTGAAACAGCAAGGTAGCTCAAAGCAAGTCCTTTCGAATGACACCCGAACGAAGGCGCTACGATGCCTGGTTGTCGATATCTTCTGGATGTATTATATTGCTCGTTTCCTTGTTTGCATGGACATGCTGCGTCACTGACTTCAAACGTCACATTTTGGATGATGGGCAAGCACCGTGTATGTGAGGCCAAGAAAATGGATTAAGCTTAATCATGCTAGCGAGGAGGAAAGGCAATTCAGTTTAATTGCAAGAAAGAAAAATGAATGTGAGGTCATCCTGCGAATGATTGGCGTTTGTCACGTACTCCATTGGCCAGTTGGAGGACGATTGCTTTCTGGAAGTGATCAGGAACAGCACTCCGTTTTAACTGACAAAAAAAAAGTGTCAGCGTGCCCCTGAGAAAGGCAACGACAGCTGATAATATATCGGTGCATAGAAGGACAGATAGTATGAAGATGTATGTTATGAAACTTTGACAAAAGTACGTTTCTCAATGCATCGAGTACGGCTATGGATCAGACAAGCTCTGCAGGCAACGGACGTGTTCTTTGCTGAAACAAACATCCAATCGGGCCCCTCGTAAAGATATGGTTCGAAACCTTTTCTTGTGTAGGTGAATTGCTTCGCCTAAATTTCTCTTAGTGGCGTGGCCATGAAGTGACGAGGTGCAGGTTTCTATTTTTTTTTTTCGTCAGAAGCCAGAAGCCAGAACGCGATCGACAATACACGATCTATCTCTTCTTCTCACTCTTCTCCGCACTTTCTTTCCTCTTTTCTTCTGTTTTCTTTTCTTCACCTCTTTATACATAATCTTTCCTCACCTCCGCCGTTTCCTTCCACTCTCGCTACCATCTCCTTCCACCTTCATTCCACCATCCAACTCCCTTCGCCTCTATCAATAATATCGCGTAACCATCCATGAATATCATCGCATCCTTGGCCACCATTGCCATGGCCATCGGCTTGGCCACTGCCACCATTGCCATGGCCATCGGCTTGGCCACTGCCACCACCCAACATCCAGAAGCTGGCACCCACGTCCAAACATTCGGCACCCCCCGCTTCCACGTCAGCGCCTTCCGCGAAGACACCTACTCCGACGCCACCACCATCATCCCCAAGACCCTCGAATCTGACAGCACGGTAGTCCCCCACTCCATCGACCAAGAGGGCCGCTCCTCGTTCTTCGTCTCCACGCACGAAATCTCCGTAGAGCGCGAGCCCTACAGCTGGGACTTCGAGACCTACTCCCAGAGCAACTACATCGCCGACCGCCAGCGCTTCAACGGCGACGGCTGTGTCAACATCCACTGTGTCGAGGTCCGCGGCTACAAGGGTCTGCCCAACAAGGCGTACATCTTTTATGAGGGCGATGATTGCTATGGTGCCGTTATCTTCCGTACAACAGACGAGATGAGGGATCAGATTAAGCAGCCCTTCAAGCCCTGCTCCATCCGTGTCCAGTACCTATCCAACCATAGCGTGTCGGGTAACTCCTCCTCTGGATCGGATTTGATCTTGTTCGGACAGCCCTGGTACAAGGGCTCGAGCTCTGCAAAGCTGTCGGGCAAGAAGTGCCACAGGTTGAATGGTCAAGGTGTGTTGAGCTACAAGGCTAAGGCTAATCAGACCTACACCTTCTACCGTGATACTGGATGCAAGGGTAAGGTCCTCGAGAAGTCCAACGGCCCCAACAGCCGTACCAACGCCTACACGACCCCACTTTCCGTCAGGATCGAGTAAATTAGAACATGGTTATGGTTTTCTCCCTTTCAACTTCTTTTCTCGTCTGCGATGAAAATTCGCAAGTAATATTGTAAATAAACACCAGCCGCTATTTTGCTCAATCTACAGTTCATCATGCTTCTTCTCGCCGGGATATACCGCCTCACGCAGGTTGCTGTTGCTGCCGTTCTTGGCATCCTCCGAGAGATCGCGGCAGACAGCTGGTGTCTCCATCTTGTACAGGTATTCGCATTTGGAAGGCTCAGACACCGCCACGATCTTATTCTCCGTCCCGCATGTCATAATCACCTATATAAAAAAAAAAGACTTGCCATGTTAGTGTGTGATCTACTACTCCTTCATAACCATGGTAAAGGGCGAGTGTCGTTTTTTTTATCGTCTTCGCGTTACCTTGACAGATCGCTCGGGTCCGTTCCAGCACCTGGCTCCTCCAGTGTACAGTTGTGTGTCGTAGTTGTCTCCCTCCCAGCTCGAGAAAGTGCTGCGAAAAGCAAGGAAAAAGAAGAGACAAGAAAATAAATGTGGGACGGAAGGATGTTAGCCATCTGAGTCCTCGCTTCCTTTGCTCCTTACACAGCGATAAACACCTTTTTCTACTTACCCGAGTGATGTGTCTGAGTGCGACTTTTGCTTCGCCTCACCAAACAGGCAAACCGTGTATGTGTACCTATGAATTGTAAAAAAAAGGGTTAGCAAGCTTTCAGATCACTTTTAGTTATAACAACAAAGCATCCGCCTGTTAGTGGTAGCAAAAGAGAAGAGCATACTCGATTTCCTTGAACTCAATGCACCGATCGACCAGCTTGGCGAAGGCCTCATCGGGTCCGTAATCCGTGTTGACATTCTTCTCTAGCTTCTGAATCTCCTCCAGGGATTTCCTCTCCTCCTCCGATGCCTTGTTGTATGCCTCCTGTGCAATTTCGACCTCTATAGCATCATAAAGTGACCCAGTTAGTAAAACGATATTCGCCATCTCAAAAAGAAAAACAACATGAAAAGGCAAGTCGAGTGTGATGGCGCACAGAAACTGACCGCTCTTGCTGACTTTGGATCCCTTGAACAAGAAGCCAAGTCCGATCTTGCTGAAGCCCTTCTGGAGTCGGTTGTACACTTCGCCAAGAGCTCCTTTATCTATGTGACAACGAAAAGCAACACAGAGTGAGATGTCACAATATTTATCATGACATTTTTTCCATCCACAGCATTGATGAAGCATCTTTTACCTTCTGGCTTGACTTCCTCCTTCTTGTCGCTTGCATCCTCATCTGGGATCTCAATAAACTCCTCGCCAACAAAGTCGTTGGAACTATCATCCCAGGTGGGCGCAAATTCGTCCAGAACCTTGATCGCCTTCAGGACAGCCTCGTCGTTGTACTCGGTGTTGTACTTTTCCTTCATTTCCTTGATCAGCCCGAACATGAGCCCAATATCCTTCTTGGCGTCATATGTCGCGTCCTGTGCGGCGTGCATACGTTCCAATGCAGACCGCGCCTTCTCCTTCTCCTCCTTGTTGTTGGTATCGCTGTTCTTCTCATCCTCTTCTTGCTTCTTGAGCTCCTCCAAATACTCATCGTATCCAGAAATGGTAGACTTGACAGCCATATCGTGGAAGTTCTTGTTGTGGTTCTCCTTGAGGTCATCCAGTGTTGTGCGGAAGAGGCTCTTGATCTTGTTGGCGTGTTCGGCTCTTTGGGTTTGTTGCTCTATCAAAGGGGCCAGCTGGCGTTCGCGTGCTGCCTCCCGCTCCAATTTGGTGCTTTCCAGATATTCCTTCAACTTTGCGTTTGCAGCATCAAGTGTAGCTATGAAGAGTGTGTCAGAGCGAGGACAAGGGTATAAGTTTGCTGATATTCATACTGTATGGTGAGAAGTAATACATGTATACACAAAGTACGAGCTGATCGTCTGGATACACACCCTTGGCATCAGCAGCAGCCTCCTTGACAGACACCGAAGCCGCCTGGAGTTTATCGAGCTGCTCCTTCAGTTTCGTCTTGGAACTCTGTCCATACGCAACATACTCCTTCCTGATCCTGTTCCCCTCCTCGTAAATCTTCTCCAGCTTCTCGCGTTCCATTCGAGATGCGGCTCCGACCTGCTCACAGACATTGGGACAGTGTGTCTGACCATCGAACTCGTCCGAGCCATCACAGCACTCAGGATCACAGACGCCGTCGTTGAGTCGCGAGGTTTTGATGTAAGCTGGGGTGTGCCCGATGTTTGAGCAGTAAAAGTACCCTGTTCCACACGCAGCCGTGCCTATTTAGAAAGATTTAATTAATGATCAGTTTATCTCTCGATCAAAGTGCAATGATCAGCTATTGGTGATTGAATCTTCTTCTGTTTCAAAGAATTGGTCGTGGTCGTACCTGGCTCATCCGATCCATCGGGGCAGTCGCAGTAGTCGTCGTTGACGGCCGTGAAAGGAATCGTCTTTGATCCATCCAGACACGCAAATTGTCCCTTCGTATCCGGAGTATACACCTTGGCCCCTATGCCATTCAATTCAAGTGAGACTGCGTTAGTCCACCGCTTCACAATACAAACTAGAAGCGAGAAAATACTAATTGTCACTTACTCGAGGGTGCGACTCCTCGAGGCAGCTTGTTGTCGGTAGCGACATTCGCATGGACAAGGCTCAACGCCAAAGTGATCACGATTGGAATGGAAGTGATGCGCATGGTCTTTGTCTTTTGTTGCTGTTCCTCGTTGTAATAATACTGTTTCTTTTTTGGTGGGCTGATAGGAATAGCTCCTTGTCGTTTGTAGGGTTTCGAGCTCTGTGAACGTGTGAAGAAAAAGTCGCGTCGTTCGCGTTCGTCGTGTAATGGAAAGTCAGGAGTCAATGGTTACAAAGAAAAGAAAAGAAATACGTGACGTAGCTCAGCGATTGATCTGATTGGGCGAGATAAAAGAACCTATCGTCTCGAGTCAAGCACAAAACAAACGCGACAGCCCTTTCCTTCATACCCTCCTTCTTTCACTCCATCCGCCGCCGCAGAATGTATCAGCCACCAAAGTAGGGCTTATAACAAGTTTATTGTATAGACAAAAAAAACAACTGAGTTGAAGGTTGTTTGTACCTCGACTCAGAGTTGACTGTTGAGGACATACCTGAACCAATGGCCACGTTGTGGCTGTCGTCACTTTCGAGGGAGAAGGAGAAAGAAGAGAAGGAAGAACACTTTGCCATACTTGTTTGTCGTTTGTCGGAAGGCAATTTTTCCTCTTTTTTCTCTTGGACTTTTGGGTGCTTCTAGTCAGTTTTTGTTTTTGTGGGTGAGTGGAGATTCACTCTCAAAGTAGGGCTGGCCCAGCCATTCGGGGTCATGCTAGCTCATGTAAGCATCCCCGATCGAGTAAGGAAACAAGGGCGCAAAACGAGGGAGAGATGGAGCGAGGGATGGAAGAAGAGAAGAAGAGAAGGGGAGGGGAGGGAGAGAGATAATCGATCACATAATGCAGGTTTCACTCCAATTGTCCTGGCCATGGCGCCCTACCGACAAAAAGTTTGGACACATGTCCAACCTTTGGGCGTAAAGCTAACAATACAAAGTTCTTATGGCCCAGTGAGCGTGGTGGGTTGAGGTCCAAATTCCGAGAGATACAACAAAAAACGTGCACAGCTCCGAAAGGTGCGGAGAGATCGAAGAAGGGTTGAAAGGTTGAATGGGTGGAGGAGAAGGAGGAAGGGTCTCGACCACCGTTCTCTTATTTTCCTTCCCCTCGATTGACCGTTAATGGATATGGAGCGCCTTATTGAAGCTAAGCTCTGGTGAAGAGAGAAATAGAGGTGAGCCAGAGCATGAAAGTGTGGAATGCAAGAGAGGATTAAATATTGTGGACATGGATGAAGGTTTGAGTTTTTTTCTTGTTTTCTGTATAGTCCTCATTTCTCTCAAATGCATGTTGCAAACTAGGTGCAGCTTTGAGGTCTTGCAGCAGAATGGTGAGAGACAGAGAGAGAGCAACAGAATGAGAATGAGAATGAGAATGGGAATGAGGATGAGAGACAGAGAGTGAAAAGAGTATATGGGTGGGTGTCAGTGCCTAGGAGGAGACCTGCTGATCACCATTGTTTATGTTGTTGTTAACAAAACAATTACTTTGTTTGTCGAGAACAATACATCTTCGCGCATTTGTGGAGAGAAGGATAAGGCGCCAAGAAGGGGCGAGGGGGTTGATAGAAAGAAGGGTGAACAGCCTCCGAGGAATTTTATTATCGGTTTTTTGTGCCCAGTGTCAGTTAAAAAGTCGGTTGGAAAAGGGTTGTTTATTGTTTTGGATTGACAGTGAAGAAGGGACTGGAGATCTACCCCTCTTTTTTTTTGTTTTTTGATGCATTTGTCATCTCAATCCCCTTTGAGAATGAAATGCTACTACACCTGGCTGGTTAGCAGGCTCCTACAGCAGATAAAGAATTTGAGCAAGAGCGAAAGCGAGAAGAGAAGCGAGTAAGAAAGAAGGGAATGAAAGCAGGAATGAGCAAGAAGGTTTTAGTTGAAATCGGCTGACTGAATGAATCGAAACTCTTTTTCCTTCTCTCTTCTCGCTGCATACAACACGGTTATGATGCGTGTGTGAACTGAACTGGCGCAAAAGGCTCTCGTCTCTCCCCCTTCCTCATTCTCTTTTTTTTCTTTTTTTTTCTCGCCTCTTTTTTTTTTCCTTTGTTTTGAGGGTTGGTCCAGATCCGATCTGTCGCTCCTACTATGAAAAACAAGAAAGAAAAAAATGGTTTTTGTTGCTTTGTGGAGTTTGTGTCCAATGCGCCCCCATAGCCTCTTCTCTGATCCAACTGGGCCCAGAACGCGCTCTGTCTCTCTGCCGCATTGATTATCGATTGCTTGATTATTGTTTGTCTTCGAATCGCCCCACAGGTTTTTTTCCCTTGGCATCATCGCATTATTTTTCCTTCAACTAATTGCAGCAGGATTTTGTTGTTGGTTGTTGTTCACGCTGTCTTAATGGAGGTATTGCTGGGGATGTATTTGCTCCTCAGTTCCGTTCACTTTACTTCTTCTCCCTTGTATCGGAGGTAAAGTACTTCCCTTTTCTTCATGTTCGTTCTTTTGTTCGTTTATTCGTTCGTTCCTTCTCTCTGTTTGAGCACGCACAGCCAGTCAGCAGTAGCAGCAGCACCAAGAAGCCAGCGGACAAAGAAAAACACCCGTTTTCAATTTCCGAGATCGTAAGCGATAGGGACATGGACGGAGGAATTTTTCACGATCTCTTCATTTCATGATTCGATTGCATTGTCACATTTGCCAATGGTAGATCAGATTCTTGGATTGGACCACTGGGGAGAGAGAGTGAAAAAGATGCTGTTTTGTTGTTTTGTTGGTCGCCGTTGTTGTTTGGAGGCGATGCGAGAAGAATGAAAAATGAAAAAAGATCCAAGCGGTAAAAGGCTTGTGGTGTGGGATGATGTTTGAACTTTATGCACCAGAAGATCAAGAGAGACAACAACAAAGAGCCAGCCAAAAACAAGGTGGAACTGCGTGTTTCTGAATAGAAGTCTACTCAGTGTTCAATGGTTTAGGTATGGGGTCTGCCGTGCATGCATGCTTGTTGTTGTTGTTGTTGTTGTTGTTGTTGTTGTTGTTGTTGTTGACAAGGGGCGATGTTGATGGTTCATGATTAGTTTTGTGCTTGTGCTTGTGATTTCGTTTCTTGCTTGCATTCGGACAGACAATGGGAGAGATTAATAAAGAGAGAGAGAGAGGAATGCACGCAGATTTGGATGTGAAAAAAGAGAGAGAGTTGTGGGATGGGGTGGGTAAGAGAAAAAAAAACAAAGAATCGAGCGGAGCATATTTCAGGCAGGCAAGAAGTATCGATGCATTGCCAAGGTGCTGGACAAATGGGGTTGAAGTAAAAATGTTCAAGTATAGAAAGAAAAAAAGTCCAAGTAAAAAAAGAGAGTGTGAGCACCGGCGTGGCCCAACCTTGTTTTTTTGAGTGAGTGTGAGTGTACTAAAAAGGACAGAGTGCATTAGTCAATTCAACCGTCTCCAAACCATTCCATGCCATGAGAACAAAGGAACCGCCTCCAATTGCCATATTGTCATTTCAATTCGATCCCATTCAAGTAAGTGTCATCACCACTCATAATTCATTTCTTACCTTGTCTTTTCTCTTCTCTTCTTCACTTTTCTCTCTTTCTCTTTCTTTCCCTCTCTCTCTCTCTCTCTTCTCCCTCCTCAACTTTTCTCATACCCTTTCATCGTTCCTCATACGCCCATTCCTATCTCTTGAATTACTTCGCTCTCGCTCTCACTCTCATCCGCTCCTCCCTTCCTTCCTTCACTCCCTCACTATCCCACTCCCACTGACGCAATTTCACTCACCCTTGCACACGTTTACGCATTTTCATTCATTTTCACCCCTCATACCCGCACGTTGTTCCTGTCCCTGACTCCGCCTCTGCACATAATTAACTGACTATCCATCGATCACCTGTCTCCTTTCCTCCTCTTCGTCTAACATCTGAACCTACTCCTCCTTTTCCACTCCTGTTCAGCAAACGATACCTTTCCTTTAACCTCATCCGCATCCACAACCACAACAATGCTCAGCGCAGAACTTCGTTCCCAACCCCAACCCCGCACTCAACGCGCACTCAGCATGGCTTCAGAAACACAAAAGTCCAGAGACGCCGTCGTCAGTGCCTATTCAAAACCCCACCTCTACGACCTCGATGCATACTACTCCCAATTCAACCCCTCGACCCGTGCAAAGGCAACGGCACAAGACGCCACCACTTCCCCTTCATCACCATTACAATCACGCTTCTCCGACACCACTTCCTACGCGGAAAAAGTCGACCTCTACAAGCGCCCCACCTCCTCTCCCATGCCTCCTCATACCTCCGCCAACCTCGAGGCCAAGCGCCAGAGGCACGAGCAGCAACAACAGCAGGACCGGCTTGAGCGCCAACAGGCCAAACAGGAGCGGAAGCAGAAGCAGCAGGACTACAAACAGATATATCAAAACCAACTCAACTACCAGACCGAGATGGACGAGAAGGAGAAGAAGCCACGGCGCCAGCAACTTTCACAGCCCATCTCCATCCCCTCGTCGGCCAACACCTCTTCCGAAATATCCATCTTCTCAACAGACACCTCAGACACTCTTATATCCCAGCTCTCTACGCCCACAAACGAGATGTACTACTATGCCAGTCGGCACCAGCAGAGCGAGCGACCCAACTACTACTACCAAGACCACTCCGCCTCCATCTCCCAACAGTCGCGTCTCGACAGCCTTACCTCGACGACCTCGGGTTCTTCGTTGTCTCACAAAACAAAAGTCTCTGCGGAACAAACACGCTCACTCAGTCTCAAGACTCAGTCGACAAAATCGATGTATGATCTCCGCCCCAGGCATGGCGGTCAGCAGTCTCCGGGGTTGGAACACCATCAGCGAGACTATGAGAGCGACGAGACTCTATCGCAGGGCTGGGACTCGTTGATGGACACTCTCCATTCCCCCTCGATGCCCTCTTCACTCGATGCAGTCAATTGGGAGTCCATGTCGAGGGACGACATGGAGACTGAGCAGGTCGAGGCGTCTCTCGAGAACTTGACCCTGACCTCCACTGACAGCAAGAACGGCAAAGGGAGATACTTGTTGGGTAAGATTCAGTCCTGCAGAGTTTTTTGCGGCTCTCGTCTTTTATTTCTTCTCTACTCCTCTCTATGAAATCCATCAGATGATGGACTCTTTTCCCAAGAGCCTCGTAAAATGAGGAATCGACTGCTCATTCACTGGTGGTACAGCTCCGTCTGAGCGAGGAAGGGAATGGCCCCAATGGTTTAATGGGTTGTTGGAACTTGGAGCATCCACTTTGTTTCGTATTGCGAGACAAGTACCTGTGTACTCTCATTCTGTTTCTTCTTGACCTTTGCCTTTTTTTTTGCACAACGGGGCATTAACTGCCCACGTGCGTTGTGTTGACAAATACCTCCGTTTTGTATTTTTCCTTTCCACTAACGCTTTTTATTACTTTCGAATTTTTGCTTACTCGATATAGTCTTGGGTGCTAACGGTCGAACTGGTTTGGAGGTTGTGAGGCAGGCTCTTGAGCGGAATTACAGGGTCACAGCCTTCGTCAGGGACGACAGGGCCCTGGTCGGGGATGCCTCGCTCCGCAAACACCAGAATCTCCTTATCGTCCGAGGTTCGCCAACGTGCCAAAGCGATATCGATCGCTGCGTCGATGGCCAAGATGTTATCATCAACGTTATTGGAGTATGTTGTTTGTCTTGTACTATTGAACACATGACTTTTTTTTGGGCCTTAATGTACTGGGTGACATGTAGGAAGCAATTGAACCATGTTTGTTGACAGCTTGTGTGTTTACTGTTCTAATTGCTACATAGGCACGACCCATGTCGGGTGACACCACCATCAGCTCCCATTCTCAGGTCGTCCTGAACAACTCGATGAAGAAGCATGGTAAGCTTACCATCCAGTTTGTCTCAATTGGCCTCGCTGTCATTCAAAATGCATACTCTTTTCAGTACTGATCCTAATCCACCTTGTCTTCCCTTTCATTGCCTCTATGTAGGTGTCCGGCGGTTGATTGTGGTGACATCCTATGGCTGTCTCGGCCTCCGAAACTACCTCATCAGCACCAAACGCCTGTTCTCACGCATGTTCATGACAGGTATCCTCAAGGACAAGGTCCTCCAAGAAGATATCATCCAACGCGATTCAGCCTCAATCGATTGGTCCATCATCCGCCCCGTGACTCTCAAAGACGGTGAACTCTCTGAGAGGTACTGGGTCAGTTCTGACAAGCTGCCCAAGGACAATAAGATCAAGATCCTGTCACGACACGACTTGGCCTATTACATGCTCGAGATTGTCAACATGCCGCGTGAGTATGGCACGATCCGGAGTATTGCCGGCAAACCGAAACCGTTCAAGGCCAAGCCGTTCTGCCCGTTTGAGCGGCGGCGGGATGCGCAGGAGCTGGCCAAAACGCAAAAGGAGATGGAGAAGGAGAAGAAGGAGAAGGAGCTTGAGAGGGAGCGGGAACAGTCCCTAGCCGCCGTGTCCAGCAAAAACTAGTGTCGTAGAGTCTTATATAAACGACCATGCAGCACGCTTAATATGCCTATGCAGTGCATTGCGTTGCGTTGCGTTTTTGTTTTTGTAGATATGTCCAGAAGTACATTTGTTGGAAACGATGGAAGGCTGAGAAGGGGTCTATTTTGTCAGCATTGAAAAAATAAGATCTCCGAGGGGCCAAGGCAGCAAAGCAAATTGACCCCAACATTATTCTGGTGCGGTGGAAGGGGCGCGCCATGACCCAAACCATGGCTTCTTTTTATTTGCCAAGTAAGAGTACAATGCCAGTGCAACAGAGACACAGCCTAGTGCACGAATGGCAATGGCGTGGACATGGTCTGCATGAGCCTGGTGACCTCCCAATCCCTCCCATAGAAGAAAAAGAAGAAAGTGTATCACAGGACATGGAGTGAGAACAGGGCCACAATGACTGTCATAGCTTTTGTTGAGAGCACCACAATCAATAACTCCCTCCAGGCACCATCAGTGCAAGTGGAACGAATAAACAAACAACAAAGAAGCCCTTCTTTTCCCTTCTCTCTCCACACGACCTACCGCTCTCTATTCTTAACTCCCTCTGTCTCCCCCTTGCGTCCTTTTCTTCTTTTCTTTTTTCTTCCTCCTCCCTCCCACTCCCCACTCCTACTCTCCATCTCCAACGGTCCATTCATTCCTTCTTTTTAGCCAGATCCACACTCTCAATCAACACACACGCAACACCTCATGGCTGACGATAGGACCCCTTTGCTCGGCAATGTCGCCGGTAGCAGCAGCAGCAATGCCATCACTTCTACACACAAGAACTCGAAGAGAGATCGTCTCTTGAACATGACCCCCCGTCAAAGCTTTCTCTTGCTCTTGGCCCTTGCCATCACCACCTTCACCGGCGTGTACTTCTTGGTCAAGTGCACTCTCCCCAAGGATGTTCCTGAGTAAGACCAATACACACTTTTATTGCAGAGTCCCTGACTACAATTCAGGAACAGGAAAAAAAATGAACGACTGGGATTTGCCCACTATTTTTTGTCGTGTGCTCCAATGGCGGTCTGACTTGGTGCCTGTATTCCAAAACCTCCTCGTTTGTTCATAGGGATCGGCGCGAGTGGCTCAAGTTCCCTAGATCTGCAGAGGATGTCCAGCACTGGAGCATCCTTCTTGAGGATTATCTCAAGCAGCATTACTACCAGGTCCTCTTTGTCTTCATGACTCTCTACATCTCGTAAGTCTCTCTTGCTTGCCTATTGTTTATTACCCCTTGTCGCCAATATCCAAGTCTTTCCAAGAACAAATGTCTAACGCAAAGGAGATCCGTCATGTTCATAGGATTCAAGCATTTGCTATCCCTGGATCGGTCATGTTGTCAGTTCTTGGAGGCGCCTTGTTTAAGCTCTGGAGAGGCATCATCATTGTCCTGTTCTGCGCCAGTGTCGGATCCCTTTGCTGCTACACCATCTCGTGGTATGTCTGCCACCCCATCGTCGAGAAGTACCTCAAGAAGAGGATCCAGCAGCTCTCCGTCAAGGTAATGTTTGCTTTGTGTGTTCAGTCAAAATGAGCGCCGCCAAAAGTATTTAGCCAGAAAAAAGACAATGTTCTGTCGACTAATCTCATTTTGTCTTCCGTCGATATCGTGTTATTACCATGTCGTTGCTATTTACCAAAGATTGAAGCCAAGAGGGACGAGCTCTTCTTTTATTTCGCCTTCTTGCGCGTTACGCCCTTCATCCCCAGTAAGTGAGAGAGCAAGGGCAGCGTGCTTACATCTGCCCAGAGCACCCCGAGGCGAATTTGCCGGAGACAGCCTGCTGATTTTTTGTTTGTTGTTCTCCTTTGTAGACTGGTTCATGAGCGTCGCTTCGCCTCACTTGGGCATCCCCCCCGTCACCTTTTACTTTGGCACCCTCAGTAAGTCATGTCACAGGATTGACAGGATAACAGGAAGGAAGAATGGAAGAACATGGATACAGTTCGGCTGCAAATACAGGAGTATCCTGAATTAACACGCAAACCCACTTTCTTTTCCAACTTAGTCGGAGTCCTCCCTAACACCCTCGTCACTGTCCAGGCTGGTGTGACCTTGGCGGCCTTGGCTTCGCCCGACGACTTTACGTTGTTGACGCCCCAGAACATCATCATGACCATTGTCATCTGCATCTGTCTCTTGATGCCCATCGTCCTCCACCACAACGCCGAGGATCCTACCGCCGATGCCCCCAAGCCTGCATCCGACGAGGACGGCCTTGCTCAGGTTTAAAATAAGGGTCTACAAAGCGCGATGATGTACTCTTCTATATATCCCTCTCCTTTGGCTTATTTATTTTCTTCCCCAACAACGAAATAAAACGAGATGAAAAGGTAAACACACTGCTGCATGTCTCCTCGTTTTTGTTGTTATTGGAGGAATGTTTGTCAATGGAAAAAGGGAGTTGCTATTGCTGACAGACAGGATGGAAAGGAATAGATATCATTTTGGGTGTCGTTCTCACTCCTTTTTATTTTGCCTTTCGGCAGACCCATCTGCATTCCAGTCACCTTCTATTCCCCTTTTTTTTTCTTCACGTTCTCTTTTCCTTCTTTTCCTTCTCCTCGCTCTTCCACCACACCACTCTCATCGTAATATCGCCAAAACAATAACCCAAGAGCTACGACAAAACAACCATGGTCTCACTCAGCGGAAGACCACTATCAGGACCCTCCCCATCTGGGAGTAGCGCAAGTGCAACAGCAGGAGGAACGTTCAGGATGCTGGGCAGCCGACGCAAGATGAGCAAGTTTCGATTCCGCATCATGATCCTCCTCTACCTCGCCATGGGGTGTATCATCCCTTATTATGTTATGAGGCAGGCGGAAGAGGAGGAGATCTGGCAGCAAGCGAGCTTGAAGAGGCAGCAGATGGAGGAGGATGTGTATTTGAGGCATGGTGGCGGGTTTAGGGATCGGATTCGGTTCTTTGTTAGTGGAGGTGGTGGTGGTGGTGGTGGTGGTGGAGGTCAGCTCGAGAAGGTGGAGGGTACCAAGGCGACAACTGACGAAAGTGCGGATATCAAGACATACAGGCGCAGGGCGTTCTTTGAGGATCTGTCGGAGATGGGGTCCGAGCCGCTTTCGTCGGCAGTGGGGCAGGAGATCTTGCCAGGCTTTTTACGGATACAACCTTCTTCTTCTTTCAACTCATCATCATCCCCATCGCCCTCCAGCAACAACAACAATGAACTGCCAAAAGTATTTCGAAAACAACAACGCACCCGCCACCGCCAAATCCTTGGATCCCTCGCAGAGACCTACGACAAACAAAACGAACAAGCCCAATTCCACCGAATCAAGGGTCTCAAATCCTACGAATCCCGTGTCAAAAAAGCCATCGTAGCCGCCAACGCCTGGGTTGCCAAAAAGCTGCCTCCGGAAGACCAAATCTTTGAATCCAGGATCCCCGGTACGAGGTTGGATAGTGTGGAGAAGACGAGACGGTTTCGGGAGTTGATGAGCCATGGGCTGGATAAGGGTCGGTGGGTGTATGAGCGAAAGAGGGACTACCCAGATTTTGGGGGTGCGACGGGGTGGAATAAGAAGAAGCATGGGGAGCGGGATCGGGATGTGGCGATCGATCGACCGCCGTTTCCGGAGGCTGGCAAGTACCACTGGAAACCGACGACGGCGAAGATAGGAGGGATTGGAGGATGGCACGCGACGAGGATCCAACCTGAAGAGTTTTGCAGGATCCTGGGACCGCGTCACATTGTCCTTGTCGGTGACCTGATCCACTGGCAGCTGCACGATTCGATCATGTACAACATGTTTGACAATCCACAAGCATGCTATGGCGACCTAGCCTGTCACCTAGGCGTCGGCCACCCGCTCTGCCCTCTCCCCAACGACGTCCGTCTCAAGTTTGTCCGGAACGACCTCCTCTCATCTGTTCGCAATCTCAAAGGCCACCGGATCAACGAGACCAAAACCCAGGACCCTGTCGAGATGCCCTGGTTGAAGGATATACGAATCAAGGATACGGTCATCCTGGGTGCGACGCATCAGACGTTGAAGGATAAGGACTTCCAGCGACTGTTGACGGATACGATTATCAAGATCCGCAGGGTGAGGCCGGAGGCGTTGATTATTTACCGCAATAACCCTGTCGGGCATCCGGAGTGTCCTTCCAAGGCGAATGGGTTTAATGCCGACCGAGCGTTGCGGGAGCAGAAGCAGAAGGATCGGAAGTTGGAGTTGCAGCAGCCTGTTTCTCGTCCTCATGCGATATCCTCAGCAGCAGGAACAGGAGCAGGACCGACAACGTCAGAACAACAACAACAACAACAACAACAGAGAGTACTGGAGACCAAGATCAAGGCACCAATCGTCCACAGCAGCAAGACGTTCGGCCCACCCGCCAAACCATTCACCAAGGACATCCCCACCAAAGAAATACTACACTACCCTCTAAACTGGGCGCACTACGACCGCCAGAACAAGATTGCCAAGACGATTGTCGAGGCTAGTGGAGGGATCTACTGGAACGTGGCGACGATGACCAACATGCGGCCCGATGGACATGTTGGCGGACAAGATTGTTTGAGCTATAAGCGGCCCGGTCCTACGGACGAGTGGGCAGTTTCGTTGTTTAATCTGTTCAAGACCATAGAGGTGGTGGAGCAGGAGCAGCAGTAATAGGATTCCTTGTAGAAAGGCGATTCTTTTTATTTGTTTTTTTGTTGGTATTTAGAGTAGCTGTTATTCACGAACGCTTCGGTTCAAGACAAGAAAGAAAGAACGAGACGAAAGGCATCTAATTACATTGCGCCGCTTTTCATCTCATTGTTAATTCTCCCTGCTTGATATTCTTGATATTGATACTCTTAATATTGATGTTATTGATTCAGTCGCTTATTGCTAGTATCGTCCGAGGACCTCAGTTGTTGCATGCTGTTTTAGTGTCCGTTGGGGATGTAGGCGAGCTCCAGCTTGATGTTGTCGGGATCGGTGAAGAAGACACTGTTCTCGAAAGAAAGGCGTAGTATTTGTTTGGTTAGTTATCGGGCATAATTGTTCTACTTTTTGCTTTCCCCACTCTTTTTTTTGTCGTCTATTCAGCAATGAAGTCAGTGCATCCAACTCCGTCCTTGCTTTTTTTTGTCTCATGTAAAGAAACTGAACACGCAAGATGACGAGAAAACCCATCGATAACGAAGAAAAAATAATGACGGGAAACAACTTACGCATAGTAACCCTCACCGTACTGAGGGTAGAGAGCAGGAGCATCTAGGATGGAGCAGCCGGTGAGGGACTTGTTCTCCTCATGGAACTTGAGAATCTTTTGGTAGGCGGTGTCGATTTCTTCCTTGGTGCCGACGTGCACGGCCAAGTGGTGGAGGCCGGGGTTCTGCTTGTGGTGAGGGGTCTTGTTTCCGGGGGAGATGCAGATGGCTATATTACGTTCATTTTACAATGAAGAGTGTGTGTGGTGAGTTTTGGTGAGTGAGATAAAGAGCGATATCCAACAGCGAATCATGAACTACAGAACAACGAATAACGAGTAGCAGACAATGAGTGGTAAAACACCAACAGAAAGCTTACATTCGCCGGAGGAGAGGCTCCACATGCAGTAGTAGGGGTGGTCGGCGACTTGCTTGTAACCGAGGATGTCCACCAACAACAAGGTGTAGTACTTCTTGCTGGCCTCGTAGTCCGAGACAGAGAGGGAGACATGGCTGATGGATCCGGTCTTGGGCATCTTTATTGCTTGGTTTGCTTGGGAAAAGGGGAGGGGGATTGGATGTTTGTGGGAAAGGGAAGAGAACTGAGTGGAAGAGAGGATGAGGAACCATTATTAGTGCGCAAAGGAAGGCCTTTAAATACGCGTTTTTTTCAGTATCGACAATTGAACAGCGAGGAAATGTTGACAGGAACCGCCACCAAATTCAAATTACTGTTCACTTTCGTCATTGTTTTTCGCGTTTTAGACTGACGGACCTGATTGGTCATTTGACTGGATCACTTGCGCATGCCTGGTCCTTCATACTAGAGTGGCTATTAATGACTTCAGGACTTCAGGAAAGGAAAAGCGGGCCGGTCAATTGGACTGGGAGCAATGCACAGTTCAAGCCATTTGGGCGTCAAATGCCCTTTATTTTTAAAATTTAAGTGTGACTTTATATCCTCACAGAGAGTTTGTATCAACAGGTTGTCTATCCTTAAATCCAAGCAATGATAAATTGTGACTGAATACTGTAATACCTTGTAATACTGGCTCAGTTGCGTCCTTGGTCACGTAAGTTGAGCGCCCGTTCTCCTCTTGTAGTCGCGCCTCATCGTTGCTGCCACTCACACGCCCTTCTTCTCATCACTCGACTTAACCTCCACTCCCACGCTTCTCATCATCACACGCCCTTCTCATCATCCTACAACTCTACTGGCATAGCCGAACAAGGCAAGTCTTCCCCTTCCACTTTATCACAGTTCTGTTCTTATATCCAACATCCAGCATCCAACAAAGGCGTTTCCAATCCCTCTGCCAAGGAGTTTAACTGCGGTTAGCGATTGAGGTTATTGCTAGGATGTTGCGCAATCGTTGCAATCAAACAATAGCTGAGGCTAGCCTAATCCCTCCCATACTCGTGAGGGAGTGTAGCTGCGGCTCGTTGATTAGGATTGTTTGTAATTGATTATTCTTCCCCTTCCACTATATCACAGTTCTGTTCTTACATGCAACCTCCAACAAAAGCGTTCCCAATCCCTCTGCTAAGGAGTTTAACTGCGGTTAGCGATTGGGTTATTGCTGGGATGTTGCTCAATCGTTGCAATCAAACAATAGCTGAGGCTAGCCTAATCCCTCCCATGCTCGTGAGGGAGTGTAGCTGCGGCTCGTTGATTGGGATTGATTCCGGACAGGGCAACATGGGTAGATTCGAACAAGCGCCAATGATAATATTGCACAGCTTATTAATGATGTCTCTTTATACCAAGTACCTTGCCATCGCTTCAGATGCGGCTTCATCTGAGGATTTGGATGTGAGGGCAATTGGAAAGCAGATGCAGGAACTATGGGAGAGGGAACAAGTTGCGTTGAAGAAATACTGGAAGGACCAGGAGCCTCTAAGAAAGCTGAGGGTACGTTCCTAATAATATTTTACCATTTCAAAATAAATTGCTAGTAATGGCAATTGACCTGCATTTCCCCTATTTTTATCAGACCAGAAACATCATAGTAGCCGCAAAAGACTCGTCCAAGCTGCAAAAGGCAGTCAGTCGCCATCAACTTCACGGGAATGTACAGGATGCAACTGTGGTCGGGTTTCTTGTGAACGGTATGCTTCGAAACAAGCGCAGAAAGATGTGGCGCATTATGTACCCTCTTGCACCCCTTTGATGTGGTGGCAAGTCAACGCCCTTCAATGTTAACACTTAACACCCCTCCTCACATATGCCATCTTTAGAGAGCATTTGTGAGGTTCTCACCATGAATTTGGAACATGAAGCCATTTACATTCCAAAGAGCGTTGGAAGATTCAAGCTACCACAAGACCGACTCGATATCAGCGCACTACTTTTAGCCCTGGGCCCTTTGACTGCAGCCAAGGTAAGTGTCTTGACAACCATTATTCGCTCTTGTTTATGTTTTATGCGCTTCTATTACGCGTGATTTCTAGTTCCGCGTTATTAATCTTCAATATCATTCTCTGTAGAACATCGCATCAAGTATGGTCACATCGATCAAGGCACGTTCGCATCTCAGAGCAGGGAAATATAGCTCACTAACCCGACCCTCGTACTACGTCTTTGGCAGCAATGTCCCTTCAAGCGGTGGATTAGTCAAAACATGAACGGTTTTTCGATAGAGTTTTTTCTTCTCTAACTACTAATCAAATATATACATCTAATACATCTACTCATAATATTCGCATTGTTCGTGACTCGATGTTTTCAACATCGACAACGTGGAGGTGTTTGCTTGGTCCGGTTTTTTGTAGGCTGCGCAGAGGACCTTTAGGCACTTAACGGTACTCGTTTTTCTTTCTTGTGGTTATTGCCGAGGAGTTGGCTGAAGGAGGGTGACTAATCCTCGCGTCTGTCAACAATAAGAAGCAAACTACGAGATCCTCGGATCTATCGTTTAGTTTGTCGTGTTGAGACAAAGTGGAGTGAATGGATGCGGATCTGACTCGATTGTTTACGCATCTCTCAGTGGCCCGTTTTGTTGGTGATATTAGTTTTATGTGTGTACAACACCCTAGAATTGCGGGTAAGGTGCCCTAGGCGTCAAATGTCCCTGCTTTCCTACTCGTTTGACATTGACTTTTGTTCGTTTGCCCCTGAAGTGCTTTTGTGTGCCTGTGTGTGGCTTGACAACAAAGGCCTGAATGAATGTCTGCTCACCGACACCTTCTCAAACTGAGCCCACAGCCAACCAACCAACACTGACTTTATTCCTCGTCTTTGTGTGGCATTGCCTCTGCTCTCCTCTTCCATCATCATCATCCCATCGTCGCCACTCACTCTCTCGTCTTTTTCCCCGCCTCAACAACACCATCAGCAATAACGGCACGCCGACCCCCATCACCCGAACAAAGAGGCGTTCATCTCTCTCAAACAACAAACAACAAACAGCCCTCTAATCAAACGTCGAGATGGGAGCATCAGAGAGCAAGCAAGGGATCTCAGGCACTGCCGCCGCCTCCGAGGGATCCTCGAAGGCTAAACTCACTTTCCCCCAAAACACCCAACCACTCCAAGTAACGACCATCTACACCCTCCGGGACGCCTATTTCGGGAAAAGACTCGTCTCAGCCTTTACATACGATCCATCGCAACTGGAGCTCGATAACAAGCAAGAGTTCTTGCCCAAAGCCATCAAAGTAAAGTTCCCTTATGCCATTTGGACACCGGTATTTGGACGCGGGGAGACACTGACAATGAAAGCTGCTCCAATGCCATGCTCGGCGTGTCAATTCTATCAGCGTCTTTAATATTTGCTGACTTATATTATTGTTGCGTTTGGTGTTGAATAGAAACTCAAGACGATCCGACATCCGTCAGTGCTTAGGTTCATTGACTGCAAGGCGAGCTCAGCTGGATTCCATCTTATCACGGAACGAGTTGTCCCCCTGACGGTGGAGTATCTGGAGGAGATCAGCGAGGACGAGATCCTTGTGGGCCTTTACGACATCATGGTATGATCCAACCCGTGGCTTGTCTGTTCTGGATGGTTATGACACGTTGCGCACCTGCATCTTATTTTAGGCTACCACCCGCCAGCCCTTGATCTGACATAACCCTTTCTCATACGCACACGTGCCCCTATTCATTACAATAGGTTGCATTGCACTTTTTGCACTCCCAATGCCACATCTCCCATAACAACGTCAAAATGGGTTCCATCTTTGTCTCAAACGGCCGATGGGTGCTCGGTGGCATGGAATTTACAGGAACTGTTGCAGAGTCCAAGGAGACCGGTCTGACTTCTGTCTTGTCGCAGGAACTCGTGCCTCCAGAGCATCAGGGCAAACCCACCAAGACAACGCAGGAAGTACAACTTCCGCACGCAGTGGATGTCTGGCAATACGGCAAGTTTGTCGAGAAATTGGTTCAGGATGGATTGCTGCACTTCGGAACGACCGCTCTTCCTTTGAACGCGATGCTGCAAGCTGATCCCATGAAACGGCCCTCAGGAGATGCCATCTTGGAGTCTGACCTTTTCCTCCGCAACAATACCGTGTCTGTTGTTCGCTATTGTCGACTCAAGGGCCTGGACAAGCTGCAAAACGCAGAGTGGAGCCAGTATGTTTTCCATGCGACGTTTGGAGTCACCTAAGCTCGGTTGCGTAGGATAACTGGATACAATTCTAACGCCTTCTTTCAAATTCGCTTTAGATCCATTATGCCAAAGCTGCAGATACTCCCACCATCAATCATGGAAAAGTTTGTGCTGCCTCAGCTCTTAACACAGGAGTTCTTTGCGGCTGAAGGCTTTGACATAGTTTACAGGACACTCTTCACCCCTCAACCCCCGCGACCCCTCATCTCGGAGGAGACTTATCGGGCACAAGTCATACCCTTCATGATCAAACTCTGGACTTATCGACAGGCAGACATCCGTATGACATTGTTCCGTCTTTTTGAGGTGTATCTCAAAGCTGTTGTTCTTGGCGAAGGAGGATCTGAGGTCCTTGGACAAGTCATTTTGCCAGAGGTAAGTGCACTTGCCCAGTGTATATGTCGACATGCAATGAGCAGGTTGACGCGCAGGGATAATAACGGCTCATTCTACTGAATCCTCTACGGCTAGATTTTGGCAGGACTTCAGGATGCTGACCCAAAGGTGTACTTGGCTTCGCTGTCTGGACTTGCGACTGCTATCCCATACTCCCTTCTTGTCACAACTCTCTCTGATGCCGACTCGACGAAGCAAAAGTTCTCAGTCAAGGCTCTGTACGAACAGACTCTCATCCCTCAAATTATGGCGTTCTGGATTGCAGAGGACAGCACTCAAGAGGCCAGGATGCAGTTAGTGGAGGTTGTTATGGGCATGTGGTGCTCAATCTATACCCTTGGTTTGCACAACCATGCTGCTGTTAAGGACATGAGCTCGACCCTTACCTTGACATTGGTTTCTGTGCTCAAACTGTCACCCGTTCCCGAACGTCTGGAACTCATTTCCAATTCCTTCACCAAACATTGCACCAACGGAGCTTTCTGCATCAGCGGATTGCTCAAATTTTTACCCCAGTTCTTGTTGGATGAGGATCTCCAGATTCGGGAGGCTGCTGCCAGGGCCATCTCGACAATTGCCCACCAGACCACAACATTGGTTCAGCCAACAGATAACGCAGGAGAGCAGCAACAGACATCAACAGGAGCTGAGGCGAATGGTGCAAACCAGGACTCGGACGCCAGTTCAACTGCTTCCACTCCATCCGCATCACCATCAGCCATCCATATCTCGCGTATTCGCCAGTACTGCGAGAAGCAACAGATGCTCTTGCCAGCCAGGAGACCGATCTTCTCGAGGTCAGCATTGGGAAGCGACAGGAGCATTTCTGCAAGCAGCTCAGTGCGTGGATTGAACGGACTCGATATGAGAGGAAGCGGATCAAATGCTGACTTGCTCTCGAGCAGACGTTCGTCTATGGTGTCCCAGGACTCGTTCATGTTCTCTGAGCAGAGCCCTCTCAAGACGCCCTCCTTGACACGGACAGGATCGTTCTCGGTTGAGCAGCCCATTAGCAGAGACGCTTCTTTTGGGCCCCCATTGTCAGATTCGACCGCCAAGCTCGCACCAGCCCAATCGGCAGCAGCACCCTTGCCTGTGGAACCTGCTTATGTCGAGCCTGCCCGAATCAACAACAGTCGACTTGATATCGATATTCAGGACACTCAGGATGAAGTCGAGGAGGAGGACACACAGGCGTCTGACGAACTGGAGTTGATGAAGGCACTTGAGGCAGCTAAGGAGGAGATGAGGCTGCGTCAGCTCCCTGTTGAAACTCCTGCATCCAAGAAACCCAGCAACTCTCTTCATAGCTCAGATTTGAAGCCAACTTCAATCAAGGTGGCGGCAGCGTTTGACTGGGACAACACTGGTGACGACGAAGCCGATGACTGGGAGGCAGATGATCTCTCCACTCTGAACGGTAAATTCTATTGCAAGCGGCATGATCCCTGATGAATGGGTTAGTATATGATGAGGATGCTGATAACGCCTTTTTTGTTTTGCATGCTTGGGGAAAAAAAACAGACACATCGAACCGATCTCCCTCGTCGACTTTGGAGCAACCAGTGGAAGATGAGGCGACCCGCTTGAAGCGTGAGCAGGCTCAAGCAGAAAAGCATGAGCAACTCCGGTTGAAGCGTGACCAGAAGCAGCAGGAAATGCAGGCCAAGCGGGATGCTCGCCGTCAGCAGATGGCTGAGAAGCAGCAGGAGAGGAAGGCGTCGTCGTCTAATGGACTCAAGTTGGGTGCTGCCAAGGCGGCTGTTGTGACAACACCTGTCGCAGCGAGACCTTTGCCATCAGGATCTGTGTCGGCATCCTCGGCAACCGTTGGCGCACCTACAGCGAGCGCACCATCTTCGACTGGCTCCTCTGCGAAACCGACATCGAGCAGGAGTATTAGCCAGCTGCCTCGGGAATCAATTGACGAGAACGATGGGTGGGGTGATGATGTTGATCTGGATTTGGGAGATCTTCAGGAACAGGCTGGTACTGTCTCAAAGGAGGATGACGAGCTCTTCAAGGATCTGGAGGTGACGTACAAGAAGCCTGCCTATGTTGGCGCCACTACTCCTCTTCAAGGATCAGGGTCAATAGGCATATCTGGATCGACTGCTTCAATGTCGTCCTCTTCCAACTCTTCCTCCATCACACTCGCCAATTCTGTCGGCACTGTCTCGACCACCACAACAAAGACAGTTCTCAGTAGTCCCACTTCGACCTTCCACAGCAAGACGACTACCACGAAGACGACGACACCAACAAGCACGACGACACTGTTCTCGCTGAAGCCGTCATCGTCACCAGGTTCTCCCAGCCGCGGATCTAGCCCGGAATCGACACCCAAGGGTGTCGCGTCTCCTCTTTTGAGCGCGGCCAGCCCTATCGGCGTGAACGGCCATGGCTACGGGAACGGGAACGGTGTTGCAGCAGGACATACTGCCAAGTCGTTGGACATGACCACTTCTTCTACCTCTATCTCTGCTGCTGCTGTTGTTGTCCCTGAGCCTGTGAAGCCAGTTTCCTCGTCGTCGTCACTGGCATTGCAGGTTGATGAGAGTGCGTTAGAGGGGGATGGATGGGGTGATGATTGGGATTAGATATTCGTAGAAAGGTAGACAAACACACTCAATTCATACATTAACCCGAATAACGCCAAAATAACTAATTGAATAATGAGAAAAGAAACAATGCTGCCGTATTTTGTGTGTTTATGCAAGGGTGGATGTAGAGGTAATAGATTCTGAATCAGTGTCAGTGAGACGGGCAATGTTCTTGTTGTAGTCGTCGATACCGACATAGTCTTTGGCCATGGTCGCGTGGAGGACTGCCTCCCTGAACTGTGCCAATGCCACCTCGCTCTTTCCCTCCATCTATTATCACAATAGCATAACATGTAGAAATGGGGTTTTTAGTACAACAGCAATGAAATAACCCAATTCATCGAGAACAACAAAGCGTCTTGTATATGTGTAAGTGTAGAAAACGTACCTCGTTGATGAGACCAAGGGTGTTGAGTCCAAGGGCAGCACACTCGTCACAATCGCGATGTTGACCGCTCTTGGCCTTGGCCATCTCCAAAGCCTTCTGCATCCATCCCAGAGCCTCTTCCTCCTTCTTGATCTGTTGTGGGGACTTTTGTTGAGATACGGCCTTGGATTTTGCTGGGGGCGTTGATGAGGATGATGATGATGATGATGAGGAGCTCCAGAATTTCCATGATGACGACTTTTTCGTTGCCGTTGTTTCAGGAGTGGTGGTTATAGTAGTGGTAGTGGAGGAAGAGGAAATGGGGGACCGAGTAGCGGCGCCGTAGAGGGTTTCGCCAATGCTCTGGGTGAGGATAGCCTCCCGGCAGTACCACATGTCTTTGTCTTCCTTCAACTCAGCTTTCTTCTTCTCGTCAGTCGTGGTTTCGACAGAGTTGTCGGTCTGAGAAGCGCGGTGGTCCTGGACAGCCTGGAGGGCCTTGACGAACAATGACAGGGCGTACTCGAATTTCGACTGGCGGACGTACAGTGCTCCAAGAGTTGAGAGGAGTCCGATTTCCTCGATCCGGGATGATGATGTTGTCGACGTTGATGACGCTGGTGTGGTAGAGGCGAGGGTGCTGAGTGTCCAGGCGAGGGCCTCCTCGGCCATCTCGTATTCTCCCATGCGCATCCAGCAATCCGCCGCAGATTTGGCATAGGCGATGCCGTCCTTTTGAGAAATCAATGGACGATCTGCCAAAGCGCCCATACCAAACATGGATGCCAGTCCCGAAGATACCTGCTCAGAAGAACTTGAGGAGCGAGGGTCCTCCTTCTCGGAAAGTTTCCAGAGCCGAGTCCAGACTGTGGCCGCCTGTTCATCCTGCCCAATCCGTCCATAGAACCTCGCCAATCGGTTCTGAACCTCGACCAACGCTTGATCTTTCTCAATCTCCAAAAACGCCAACCTCTCATCAATTCCATCCTTGCCCTTATTCTTATTGGCATAAAGGGTTTCAAGATCCTTCCTGGCCAACTCTACCGCCTTTTGGAGGTACACCTCTGCAACATCCGGATCCGGCGAGATCTCCTCCCTGACCCAAGCACCATGCAAACACCTCTGAACCTCAGTCGATACCCCGGCGGGGGAGGGGCATTTGTATTGTTCGAGGTAGGCATGTGCGCCGGTGAAGGCGAAGAGGACGAGTCCGAGGGTTGAGGTAGCAACGATGAGGACATTGCGGACTCCGCGGGTGGTGGCGATGATGACGCGTGCTCCGGGGGTTAGACTTATTGTTGAGTTGATTGTGGAGGGGGCAGAGGTGGTGTTTGTGGAAATGCTTGCATAGCCACGAGAAGAAGTGGCGGTGGCGCGTTGGCGTGGGAGGAGGTGGTGGGAGGTTCGAACATTGCGGAGGGGTGTTGATGCACGAAGTGTGGAGGTGACGCGGAGGCGAGTGAAGGTGGATCCTCCGGCCAAGAGAATGGTGGCAGCGTCCCTAAATGCGCGACTCGAAGACATCCTGTTCCTGTGTGCGAGTGAGTTGTTCTAGAGATGTCGAAAGAATGGTTCGAAAAAAAAAAGTGATCTCGGGATCAAGTCTCAAAGGAATAGCTGGAGGAGGTCAAAGCCACATTCCGGATATGGTCAAAATGCACTGCATTCAGCCCAAGGACATGCACAGACACCCCTTGCCTATGTTTTGCCTTGAGATCGATCTCTTATGCTTTTGTTTTTTATTATTTTCTTCTGGAGGCAGTGAAGGGTGAGGCATTGACAGATAAAAGAATAGCAGGGAAGTTTTGGCTGTGTCAACAGGGACGAGGAAAGAACAATACAACATGTTCTAAAATGTAGAAGAGCTCCTTTATCTTTCTTCCTTCCTGTGCATAACAACGACGACCTTGTTTTGTGTTGTTGTGTTGTTGGGGTGGGGTGTGGTGTTGGTTTGTTGTTGATGCGCCATTTTTCTCATCCTTTTGTGTCCAGTTTTTGTGTGTACGAGAAATTAGAGAGAAACTCTAGAACTAATTCCATTGGGACTAATAACAATTGAAAACAACAAGACAAGAAAAAAATGTGAATGAGGTTTTCATGAGAAAGAGAGGGTGCTATCAAGTAAGCAGTCGAATATGGCAACGAGGTATTAAGAAGATGCAATGGGCTTACGTTGGTAGGCTCTGGCAGGGATTCCTCAACAGCGTAGGGAGACTGCTTCTTCTTGTCCGCCAACTTCTTGGCCAACTGTCCGCCTCCCTGTTGGACGCCTCTCTTCTCAGCCTAGTATAATATAGCGCGAAGGATTAGACTGATGAACATGACAGCTAGAATTCGCTTTAGCCCTAGCCTTAGGTCCCAGACGATAAGTCGTCGTCGAAAGAAAACAACAAGAATGCGTTCACGCTTACAGCTTCGGCGCGCTTTTGAGCAGCCAGGGCGGACTGTGAGAGCTCACCCTGTGCCCGTGGTGAACTTGCAGGTCCGCCGCCTAGTGCCTGACCAGCAGACTGTTGCTGTTGTGGTACTGGTGCTGCCTTTGCCTTGCCGGCTGCTGTTCCGAGTCGTTGTTGGTCTGATGCAGAGGCGTTTGAGGAGGTGTTTGATGCGCCTAGGACGTAGCCTGGTCCCTTACGGTCTGGTTTTCCACAGCATGCTCCCATGATGATGTCGACTTGCTGTTGTTGTTGTTGTTGTTGATGAATGAAAAGGGAGAGAGAGAGAGAGAGAGAGTGTGTGTGTGTGTGTGTGTGAGAAGGTGAATGGAAGAAAGAGAGAAGAAAAGAGGAGAATGAGCAAAGGGGTGGGTAGGGTAGGGTGAGGAAAGGGAAGAAGATAAATTTGTTCCTCCCCTTCCATTCACCGTACAGCCCATCAGAGGCTATCAGTCGGTGGCGATTGAATACTCCAGGCAAAATGAGACAAACAAACGTTTTTGATGGATCAATTGATCATCAGTCGCTGCTGTAGTTCGCAAGGACTAAGTGCGTTCGATCAGGACAGAAGGAGCTGATGTCGCCTCGATGGTTCTCCAGACGATAATTCCTATGGGGGCAATGTGTAGTTGAATGTGATATGTGGAGAGGCAGAGTCGTGAGGTACACAAGGTCAATTGACTCTACAACCAATCAGCATTCGCTCCCGCAATGACATTTGGACATTCACCGAGGGACATCATTGTCGATAGGTTAAAACAGGAAGCAAAGGCAAAAGACAAAAGACAAAGGCTGCTTCTCTCATGATAAGAATCCTGCGCCAGCCTGCTCCTCCGCCTTTTGCCTCTGCACCAACACTGTGTACGTGCTCTTGCTCTCTAAGGAGACAACAACAGCCCAGGTGGGGGGCAACCCAAAAAGGAACAAAAGAGCAGAGGGAGAGGACAGACACCCTCGAGAAACAAACGACGTACAAGGAATTGTAATAGAGCAAAATGAACCAATGGGCACTTGAACCCTTTTAAGTTTCTCTTGGGCATCCACCACCCTCCCTTCAATATTACCTCCTCTTCTTCTTCTTCTTCCCTCTTCTCTTCTCTCCTCTCCTCTTCTCTTCACTTCACTTTCTTCGTCATCATCTCTTTTACCATTCTCCTTTTCTCATCCAGGCATCACTCCCCACTCCACCTCAAAAAGCACACACCTCGCTGAATAGAGTCGATTCTACTCCAGCCCGCCCTCTCTCCTATCTCGCTTCGTTCCTCTCCTCCTTTCTGTCTCTCGTTCCTGACCCTTTCGTCGAGTGTGATTCCCATCCAGCCTTTTCCCCTTACCTACTTACTTATATCACGTAACCACCCTGTCGAACTCTTCGTTCCTCTTTTACAAACCACCAACCTCATCACACTACATACCTTGTTAGTTTGACCGCCCTCTCTCGTCCAACAATTCTCATTCCGGCCTTCTTTTCCTTTCTAAACCTTCTTCCTTTCCTCCTTCGTCGTCAACTCGCATCAACAGCCCAACCATCTTTCGTGACATGCGCGATTCGCGAGAGACCACCCTCGCAAGGCGTCAATCCCAACAGATCCCAAAGTCAGCTCCTTCACCGCCACAGAACCACCCTATCAACTCGCCACAGAGTCCGTCTGCGTCTGAAAAGTCCTTTCGCCGTATCAGTCAGCATGTCGGTTCATCGCCCTTACAGCCCGCTCTGGACGCCACTGCCAATCGCAAAAAGAACGAGGACGATAATCATGACGCAGAATCAATAGGCGCTACCTCTGGACTTGCCACAGGCTCATTGGCTTCTGGCACTCCTCCTCCGCTATCATTAATGGGGGTTTCTTTCAACCAAGGCAGCAACAATGCCAATGCACCCTCGTCGCCTGTTTCCTACAGTCATAGCCACCCTGGGCACAGCAGCACACCTCCCGTTTCAGGGTCTGGCGCAGGAGCTTCAGCACGCACCCCTCTTGGAACTGTTTTGGCATCCACTTTTGGCCACAATACCTCGTCTGGACCAGGATCACCCACAGTCAACGTTGGACGACCCTTCAAATACCCATCAGTATCCTCCACCAACCAGGTGTTTACCAGCAACTCTTCATCGGATCCCTCAAGGCTTGGAACGCCGATCCGCAAGTCCAGCTTGCCAACAGAGAAGGAGGCAGGGAGCAGCGGCGGATCCAGCTTCAGTAACTATGCGCCGAGTGTGTTTATCAACATTGGCAGGACCTCGAGCTCGTTACCGCAGATTGTGATGCCCAAGAAGCGGATGGCCCAGAATGTGGCCTCCAACTTTTCGTACATTCTGGCTTGGTACTTTTTTAGCACGGCCTTGTCAATCTACAATAAGGTATGCAATTCTACACACCCGCCAGACTGGGTAATACAGAAAAGTAGGGTTCGAAACTTCGAAACGCACAGGAGCGGGAGCACAGATGCAGACGTGCATACTCTCAGACAACTATGAATTATCATGGCAGCAATCAACAAACCAACGCTGGAAGCAAATTGGCCCTTGTTTTGTCGCTGTGCGTGTGTATTCTTGCATTTGCGTTACTCACCCAGGATGTTGATTGTGCTAAAAATAATAGAATCTCATGGGCAAGGACAATTGGAACTTTAACCTACCCCTGTTTGTGTCGTCGATCCATGCTGGACTCCACTTTGTGATTACAGCCTGTCTCATGCACTTTTGGCCGGATGTCTTTGATGCTACAAGGTCAGGAAAAGGAGGCAGGATCACCATGCACAGCTATGTCACCCAAGTGGTAAGTCTGTTGCTTTAAGGAGCTCTTGTATTGGAACATTGAAGGCTCAATTGTGTGTGATATTAACAGGAAGTCATTTCTAACTTCATTTTTTTACCTGCTAGGTGCCTTGTGCAGTGGCTGCGGCATTGGAGATTTGCATGGCCAATGCATCCCTCATGTACATTACCCTTTCTTTCTATACCATGGTAAGCAATGCAATCCAAAGATTGACGGTCGCTTGGGATTTCAATCGATGATGAGCCCTCTAAATGAAAGTAGAAGGGTGTGGTTAATTAATTATTCCTGGCCTTTCGATAGATCAAATCAAGCACCCCAATCTGGGTCCTCATTTTTGCATTCATCTTTCGCCTGGAGAAGCCTCGACTCAGCTTGATCCTGATTATAGGCGTCATTGTCGTTGGAGTCGTGCTGACGGTTGCAGGAGAGACACAGTTCGACATGACAGGTTTTGTACTCGTGCTTCTGGCGGCTGTCATGTCGGGTCTACGGTGGTCGCTGACCCAGATGCTGCTTCAAAAGGATCAACTCGGGATGGACAACCCCGTGGCCACGCTGTACTACATCAGCCCCATAATGTTTATCCTGATGTCGATCCTATCCCTGGTGATCGAGGACCCCTTTGTCCAGTTTTCGTCATCGGTGTTTTTTCAGGATTTCCGGACAGGCGCGCTCACTTTGGTCATGGCAGGCGGAGGCGGGCTCCTGGCGTTTGCTATGACCGTTGCGGAGTTCAAGCTAATCAAGAACACGGGCACCGTTACTCTTTCTGTTGCTGGAATCAGCAAGGAGATTGTTGTCATTTCGTTGAGCATGCTCATCTTTGGAGACAGATTGACATTTGTTAATCTCCTTGGGTAAGTCTCGCGTCTTTTGGTTGAATATCGGTATCTACCTGAGTAACAACGTTTTCCTACCTTCGTATATTATTCCTAACGCCACGTTTAATTTTACATCTTATTTTAGATTGCTTGTCTCAATCGGAGGAATCATGGCATATGTAAGTCCTTTATTCAGGGTCTTCGTCTGCAGGCTTTTGCATGGCGTCGAGTACACTTGACTAGTACTGACTAAAGCCCTACTTTTTTCCCCCCATTTTCACATCCATCAGAACTATGTCAAGATCAGGAAAATGCAACAAAGTTTATCATCCTCAGGCGACTATGAGGTGCTGGCACGGCATCACAAAGGAGACAACACGGATTAGCGAAAGCGTAACCCCCCCGCTCCTCGTCGGTCCTCTGGTTTATAAAAATTGTCATGCATCTTGGCGTTTGTACTCTTTTTTTTTTTACTTTTTTTATTGCAGTTTGGGCTTTTTTATTTCTCAAGGCTGTTTAGTGTCAATGGACCCCATGAGCGAGGAATATTTGTTGTTGTTGTTGCCCTCCGCGGGAGATGGGGTGAAAGGGACCAGGAGTTCTAGGCGCGGTGGCAGATCTATGTGGAGGCGCGAATGGGGTGGTGACGATGCGAGGGAGTGGCTACTGGTCCCGCCCTGGCCTTGGCCCTGGCTTGGATGTAAGAGAGACGGTAAACTTTCGTCGCTGCCGCCCATATCGATCGTAACGGGTGAGGTTGTCGCGCGGAGAGTTGCCAATGTTGTCATCGAGGACCGGCCCGTTGAGAGCTGCTGTAGCTGTTGCTGCTGCGGATCAGCGCCGCCGACAGAGGGGGAGAAGAGAGAAGAGGTGGTGGGCTTTCGGTAGTAGGCCTCCTTCTTCTTGACCCTCCTGGCTCCCACAGTTCCAATCACGCTCCCATCCCCACTAAACCTACCATAACCACCAAAGCCTCTCCCACCTTTCCCGTTCAAGATCGACCCCGGACGAGACCTCACTGGCGGGACATACTGGGCAGCTTTATATACCTCCCTAACTCCAATCGCGATCCCGACAAACATAATCGCCGATACCAAGCCCACCACAGCGCGGCCTCTAGAGGGGTCCATGACAAACTCCTGCTTGTGATGATGCTTCTTTTTGGGCGTCCCGTCTTCTTCGACGGGGGCGAGGGGTTGGATGATCATGTTGGGTGGGAAGGCGACGGGGTAAAGGGTTCCGGGGATCATTGTCGCAGGTGCGGTGCCCTCCCATCGGATGGCCCTTATGCCGGTAAGGGATGGGGTGGTGGTAGAGGTGTTCCAGAAGCCGACTGTGGCGGAGACCATGACTTGACAGTATGTGTCGACGTAGAGGTTGAGTGCTGCATGCTGGTCTGAGGCGGTTGCGATGGCGTATGTGGTTGTGAGGGAGGAGCTATTATTTGGCAGGGCGGTTTCGTCGTCTGGCGTTGCGGTGGTAGTGGTAGTGGTTGTGGTAGCTGGAGTGGCGAGGGTGTTGAGCGCGATACACATGGATTGAGTGAGGGTCTGCGGTTGTGAGCCAGGGAGAAGCGTGCCTGATGTGTCCAGGAAGCTGATAGTTATGCTCGTTGTGCTGCTTGTTGTTGCATGAGCGTTGACCAAGGATGTGAGGAGGAAAAGGCAGAGGGTAAAAAAGGTAGCGAGGCGATGGTTGTGGGGTTGAAAGAACGATATTTGTCGTGATGATGATGAAGAAGAGCGAGGTGTCTTCTTGCTTAGTTGTTGAAAGGGCATTTGTGAGGCGTTCAGGAACATGGCTAACAAAACGAAGGCACTAAACGGGAGTCAAGGGAGAAGGAGTGGAGGTTCTAAAAGAAGGAGAGAAAGTGAAGGAGAAATGGGAGAATAAGAGAGTGAGAGAGAAGGAAGTCAAGTAGGCGGACAGCAAGGTATGAATATACGAGAAGTTGGATTAGGATGAGTTACGAACAAGAGTTACGAGGAGGTGGCGAACAAGGAGGCACCCTGACGAGGAGACATGCGAGCAAATAACATGCCAGACCGCTTGGCTGTTCACCTCCTTCTTTCCTTTTTTCCTTCCTTTCTTCCATTGGCTGTTTCTATATTACCTTTGCCGTTTTTATCATCGCAGCCTTTGTTATGATTAAGAATTCGACACAAAAGGTGCGCATTTATCCCCTTTGGAAGGTATAAATGCGCACCTTTTGTGTCGCGCCATTTTCAACTCTCCTTCTCGTTTTTTTCTTGTGCTATCTCACAAGACCCTTTTTTTTGGTCCCCTTCCGGCATAGCCTCACTCCTCTCCTTCATTTCTTATTTTAATCGCCATGCATCAGGGGTTTACGTTAATGCCCGAACTCGTGGTATATACACCAATAGCAAAAAATGGTAAATTTGGTGTCCACATGTAATTTTTTTCCGGAAAAGGAAACAGCCCACTCCAATCATTCAGCCAGCAAGAGACAGCAGCTTTTGGACGACAACCAAGCAACTGCGAAGACACCGTGGGTGAAGCCTCTTTTAGGGTGAGGAGAATGGGGGGATGTTAGAGGTAATGTTCGCGCCATCCGGGAACGCGGGCTCAAAATCCTGGAGTGCGGTATCATCGACCCTTTTTGCCGCGTGAACATTCCCGTCAAACATTTGTCAGGCTTTTATGTTTGTTAATGGCTGTGAAAAAAGGAAATGAGACGTTGTTTAGAGTCATTACCGACGTCACGTTAGCTCGTGTAACAACAGCACACAACCCCGCAACATGAGGTGCCAAGGAATCAAAACACCAGGCACGCTACCAAGCGCACGGCAACCTTTACTTATAGAAGCAAATGAATTAGAAGAGGGGGAAGTTATTAACGGCTTATTTTCAAAAAGAAGTGTTGTATAATGGAACAAGAAGACCACAAGTTGGATCGTGGATGTGCCGACTTGAACTGAATGGTCAAGTGGAAAGTGGAGGGGGGAGGGGGGGGGGGAGGGGGGGGGTAAGGAAGAATTTTTCATGCCGGAAGAAAGGAGGATGAAAAGAAGAAAGAAAAGTAAAAGAGGAAAAGAAGAAGGGATGAACAAAACTTCGCGAACAAATGACGCATGCGAGAGGAGACATGAAGACATCTAATCGCGTCGCGAAAGCCAAGTCGATCGATCATCTCTTACAGGACAGAGACGTGCCGCAAGAACTCCGATCCGTCAAGATGTACTCGGAGAAATATGTCAAGGAGCTCCCTGCGGTCCGCCCTGTCAAGGAGCTCCCTGCGGTCCGCCCTGTCCAGGATAGGCTCTCGTAGATTGCTGACGAGTACATTGGCGTTGTCGCGTTCACTTGTTTTCGTGTTCCAGTAGGTTCATTAAAGAGTGGATCACATGAAATGAGGTATAATTTTGTTTCTTTATTTTATCCAAGAGAACATAGCTTTATCTATGGCTCTTCAGACTCGGTGTCAAAGGAGGCCATCGTGCTCACGACCATTTGTACCATCTCTAGCGAAGAGTTGACAACCGTCCTCAACAACTTCAATGTCGACGTTTGAAAGTCACTATCGGTCCAAAAAAAAGGTGTTGACTGTGAGTGACATGAACAAAAACAATCATACGTGTACTCTTTCCTGCAAACATTCTTTCGTGCAGGACTGGATGTAGCAGGTCTTACAGAGTCAAGATGTTGTCCTGTGTGCTGATGAGACGCCTTGACACCTCTGGCTTGAGATCCTTGTCAACATCCAGGACATCTGCTGCGATCTTGGCTAGCCGCGGCGATGGGAGGGGGATCTGGAGTGTACTGAAAACAGAATGCGTTTCAAAAATAGGATCGCGTGAAGTTAGGAAAATGCTGTGCCGCTAACAAAAAAATGTAATGAACATATGGCGAACTGAAGGCTGTTTGTTGGTTGGTGAGTCATGATCCTGAGTGGGCGAGGAAGGGTCGCCGCAGTACGACGCAGTTCGCTGCGTGATAAATCCCTGCTCTGTCCTTGCTGTGCCTCTCTTTGGTCTTGAAAACTAGGTAGCCATGACCACTGTAAACCCAATTAGATGCTCCACATAAAAACGCTCAGTTGCCTATGCAAGTCGGCTATGGTCGTTGGTAAGTTTCTGCGGAGTCAACATGGTGTGTGCTGATGCAGAGGATGATCTAATGAAGCTCCATTGTATCGACTATTGGTTGTTCCTTTGCCTTCGATCCTGTGGTAACATCATGCTCCTACGTTCCTGTGTGTTGATGAGTAAATGTAATAGATCCCTTACAGTCGTTCGTTCAGTGCAGCTGTTGCCATGGCGTGAGTGGTGTGGAGTGTGGAGGAGGCTCTTTCGCCCTTTGGGTGTGTTGGAGCAAGTTGGTCGGTCTATCTCTGAGGTGGCTTGGCGTTTAAAAGTGACTGTGTTCATTGCACCTCAGCCCTGCTCTGTGTGAGAGGCGTGGGTGCCTTTTTTTTTCCTTGTGCGCTGGAAAACAACACTCCTCGTTCAAACTCCAAAGTGGAAAAGAGAAGTTTTTTTCGGCCTTTTCCTTCTTTCTTCTTTACGCTTTTTCTTTTTTCTTTTCTACCTTCCTCCCTCCCCCCCCTTTCCCGCTCCTCCTCCCCTCCTCGAGTTCCTGCTCTCCCCCTTCCTCCTCCCCCTTTCCCCCCTTTCCTCTTCTCTCTTCTATCCATCAACCATGTCTCTTGCCAAGGATTCTAACGACCTCGCCGCTTCCGCCAGCAACAACTCCTTGTACGAGGCCCAGTACGACCATGATCTCGACCACAAGGAGGGCGAGGCTCCCGATGCCGACGCCCCCCTCACCCTCCGTGCCCTCGTCTCAACCAAGGAGGCCGGTGTCATCATTGGCAAGGCTGGCAAGAACGTCGCTGATCTCCGTGATCAGACCGGCGTCAAGGCCGGTGTCTCCAAGGTCGTCCAGGGTGTCCACGACCGTGTCCTGACCGTCTCTGGAAGCATCGAAGGCGTTGCCAAGGTAATCATCTCACTCTTTTTTTTTCTTACCAATCTGATGATCCACATACACTCCCCTATGTCACACCTTCTCCCTTCCCCCACTACTGCACCCTCTCGTTTTCTCTATCCTTTGGAGCAACCAAAAACGATGTTGCCATTTTATCACGTATACTTTTGCTTTTCTGACAAGACACAAAAACAGGAGCAGCTGGGCAGGACAGGAATAGACCTTGGACTTTGGACCTGGCCTTTGTATCAATCAGCGGCAACCACCACGACACTGCAACAATCAGCAGCCAGCAAACAACCTTCAGGAAATAAGGAAATAGGGGCTTGCAGCACAAACAGATGGACCTGCCTTGATGAGTAACATCAGTAGCTCAAAGATGAGCTTGTCGTTTTTGGACTATACTCATCAGGCAGACCGAGTGGGGCTTTGTACGTTGTTGTTGTTATCTGTGCTGTTCATTTGCCGCCGGTATCACCTGGCTCCCCCTGTGTACTTTGTATCAGGCGTGGGTAGGCAATAGCAACGGCGACAACAACGACAGCAGCGCTCGTACTCGTACTTCGTGGACACTGACTGCCGAGACTGGACTGATTCTTGGGGCCATCTTGATCGTCCATGTCGACTCGCTTACAGGATGGAAGAGAAAGAGAGAAAGAGAATAGCCCCTTGGAAGCGCATACACTTGAGGGAACCCACATCGAATATCACTACACCCCATGTTTTTTCTGGACACAACCCTTTCCTGTCTCTTCGCCTCCGCCTTTTTTTTCTTTCGTATTCGCTCACACCTGTTGTTTACCCACTTTCATCCCGGAAATTGTGCGACATTATATTAACATATGACATTTTGTTTTTTTCTCAATGCTCAATAGGCCTTCTCCTTGATCGCCCAGAACTTGTTGGACAACCCCATCACCTCCTCGCCCCCAGGAACTCCCGCCAACACCATCCGCCCCGCTGTCCAGACCTCCTCTGTCCGTCTGTTGATTTCCCACAACCTCATGGGAACCATCATTGGTCGCCAGGGCTTGAAGATCAAGCACATCCAGGACACCTCCTCGGCTCGCATGGTTGCCTCCAAGGAGATGCTCCCCCAGTCGACCGAGCGTGTCGTCGAGGTCCAGGGATCGATCGATGCCATCCGCATTGCCATTTACGAGATTGGCAAGTGCCTCGTTGATGACTGGGAGCGCGGTGTTGGCACCGTCCTCTACAACCCCTCGGCTCCCCGTGTCCCCGGTGCCGGCCCTGCCTACACCGCCGGTGCCCCTGCCGCTGGTGCCCGTACCAACAGCAACAGCAACAGCAACAACAACTACACCTCGCGCACTGGCAACGGCTCGGACTTCACTCGCCCCCAAGATGACGCCACCCAGTACCGCCCCCGCCCTGAGCCCGCTTTTGGCCAGAACAACGCCAACCTCCGCACTCAGGAAATCTCGATCCCCGCCGACATGGTTGGATGCATCATCGGAAAGGGCGGCTCCAAGATCTCGGAGATCCGTCGCCTCTCTGGCTCGCGCATCTCGATTGCCAAGACCCCCCACGATGACTCTGGCGAGCGCATGTTCACCATTGTCGGTACCTTGGAGGCCAACGAGAAGGCTCTTTACTTGCTCTACGGTCAGCTCGAGGCCGAGAAGGACAAGCGCCTGAACCTCTCTGGTGACCACATTGAGGAGGATGAGGAGTAATTCAGTTTACTTTCTTCATTTGGATCGAACAATACTCATACACAAAGGAAAATATGCTCGGAAGCAGAAAAAACACCAATAGTTGCCTCCCATACCTTTTTCATGTTTTCATAGCTCCCCCTCTTTCCTTTGTCAAAACAAATCATACTCTCTCTGTCATCCTTACATGCTTTTCCCTTCCCCTCCTTCCCCCTCATAGCAATTTAACCCGCTTGCCAAATACATCACCCTGTACGAAAAAGAATTGATATGGTTTTCATTCTAATGAGTGTATCGAGCCATGATATGTTAATGTGTCAGTTGATTAAGAAAATAACCCCTCGGCGGCGTAACTTTTTAAAGGAACATTTGTCCAGACTGTGTAGTGACGGTGGAGATCTTTTGGATGGCATTGACGAGGGCAGCTGTACGGAAGTCGGTATTCTTGGCAAAGGCTGTGGCACGGGTCTCCTCACAGGCACCAATCATAGTATCCTCCAGACCGGAGTAGACCAGTTCGTGCTCCTCGGCTCCGTGGATAACTGCACGGCGCTCCTGTGGGGTCAATAGGCGGCCGGCGTTCTCTTCTACCAACGTGAGGAGTTTGCTCTTGCCAGCCTCTTCCCATTTGCGGGACATGCGGCCGAAGCGGACATGCGACAGGTTCTTCAACCACTGTAGTTCAGGAGTCATTAAGGTGCAGAAAGTGTGTGTATGTGAGAGAGAGAGAGAGAAGGTTAACAAATGAGAAACAGTGCATGGGTTTAAGTTGGTTGGGTACACAGGCACACTGGGTGGAACGAAGCTGTGCCCGTGGACAATTTTTTCTCCTGCTAATTATTATCCTGGGCGGGTCTGTTGGTCGCACACGAAAATCATTCACAACATGCATGTGCTGCACTGTTCAGAGTGTTTGTCATACCTCAAAATAAGACACAGTGACGCCTCCGGCGTTCAACAACAAATCCGGGATGATAACTTTGCCCTTCGAGACAAGATAATCATGGGCATCAGGAGTCATGGGTCCATTGGCGGCCTCACCGATGATCTTAGCCTTGATCTTCTTGACGTTCTTGAGTCCGATCTGGCGTTCGAGGGCGGCAGGAATCAGGATATCGCATTCGCGTTCCATGACCGTGATGGGTTCATGAATGATCTCGACGTTGCCGTATCCGCGGAAGGAGCCCTTCTCGGTGCGGTGCTTGAAGATCGCCTCGACGTCGATTCCGTTGGGGTCGTATGCTGACACGTCGTGTTCTCCAATTCCGATGATCTTTGCACTATAAGGGAGAAAGAATGCCACGTCTTCTTTGGTTCAAATCAAACATTCTCTGCTCAAAAGATACAAGGGATAACAAAGAGAAAAAAAACAATGTATGACTTGTCTTACCCGTTGTTGTGGAAGAACTTGGCGGCCCAATAACCGACGTTTCCAAACCCTTGGACAATAACAGTCTTTCCAGCAATTTTGCCATCCAAACCTGTCATCTTCTGCACCTCAGGGAACTGCAAGAACTCACGAATGCCAAAATAGACACCCAACCCAGTAGCCTCATTACGACCACGAACGCCTCCCTGCGAGATGGGTTTTCCGGTCACACATCCTGCAGCGTTGACATCCTGAGGGTTGAATTGGCGATAAGTGTCCATGATCCAGGACATCTCCCGGGGTCCAGTTCCAACATCGGGCGCAGGGACATCAATGCCGGGTCCAATAAAGTTCTTTTGGCAAAGCTCCATGGTGTATCGACGGGTGATACGTTCCAACTGCGACGCGGTGAACTTTTTGGGGTCCATTTTGACGCCTCCCTTGGCGCCTCCAAAGGGGACATCAACAACGGCGCACTTGAAGGTCATCAAGGAGGCCAAGGCCTCGACTTCTTGAAGGTCGACTTCGTCCGAGAAGCGGATTCCACCCTTGGTGGGGAGACGATGGCGCGAGTGTTGGGCACGGTAGCCCTCGATGATGATATGAGTATCGGCATCGATCTCGACTGGGAACTTGACGCTCAGGACTGAGTCGACTGCCTTGATGCCGGCCAAGGACTTTTCAGACACTCCACTGATCTTTGCGGCCTAGTGGTTTTGAACCATGCATACACACATTTACGGGAAAAATGAAAACAAGAACGCTTAGATCCATGAGAAGCCGTTTTCTTTTTTTGTTTGGTTTCTTGTGCATTCCGAAGGTCGTGTTCCGATAGACGGAAGAAAACAGAATGCAGTCGGATGGATCCACTGCAATACACACTACCAACAAAATAATAACGGGGAATATGATTTCTTCGATTACTCTTGTGCCTCGCCCTCTTCAGAGCAATATAGTACATCCACGGACTTGTCCTCCTCAACCCCCTACACGATAACGAATGGTGCCGTCCTTGGAAACATGCCTCAGTGTAGCGATAACAAACACGGGGATAGACATGCCTCTCTTCCCGCGAGACCATATCATCCTGCTTCTAATCAATTGAATGGGTTTCCTTGCAAACACTTTCCTTTCTCCTTTCGTTTCAACTGATGCAGGTTTCTTCTGCCATCCCATGTCCTATACGATAACCACACACTCGTTTTTTGATTTGTTCGCCGCCTTTTTTTCTCCCCTTATTCAGGGACAACGGTGCCGTGTCCATTTGGTTATCATGACTCAGACAAAATGCGCATGAAAAACAACAGCTCGGTCCCCTCCACCACCTTCCCCTCTTCTCATCGCTTCCGTTTCATATGTCCATTGAAACAAAGATAGGAAAATGAAGACTTACGCGATCAAAATAAGTCTCGACGGATCCCAAGAAGCCAGGTTCATGGTCCTCGCAGGCAAGGTTGGTGATATGGGTGCTCAAGAAGCGTGAGAAGGCTGGTGCTGCAACCTTGCGACTGTGGACTCGGAGGAGGGCCGAGGAAGTTGATAGCAAGGTTCTACGATCACGGTTCATGCGCGCAATACGATTTCATCATTATTAAGTATGCAAGTAAAAGGACGCTAAGTGGTTAGTGAATGGGGCTTGAGCATGGAGAGGGGAGGCGTGAGAAGAAATGAAGGAAATGAGAGTTGCCATGGCAAAAGTGAATGAACGTGAGGAGAACGAAAAAGCTGCTTCATGGTCGGCGGACTATGAAACTGGTGCTATTTGACCGTGAGGTGGCTACAGCGGCCTTCTTCCTGACGTTTTTTAAGATGCGAGGATGTACTTCAGTCGTGTGAATTTATTTCTTACCCTGGAGCACGACGGAGAATGGGTGCGACCATGGCTAATGATATGGAGTAAAAGGGAGCTAGGTGAGGGTTGAGGTGAAGGAGAGAAGCAAATGTAGGGGTGTGAAGTAAAGAGAAACAGGGAGAGGAGTGAAGAGGTGAAGGATCGAGCGCGCGCCTATTTATTTGCATCTGTCTCTGGCAAATCATGTTCTTCCTGCCACACCCACAATGGCTCTGCATTGGGCTGCACTGGACTGGAGATGTCTTGAATTCATTGGTTGCTCCGCCTGACTTGGCCGGCCTGGACCACTTATGCGTACTTCCTGCACTGACTCGTTCGCTTACTCGCTCCATCAGACAATGCCTTATACATGTCAATGTTCACAATTCCCACACCCTTAGATATGTGCGGTGAATGCCCAGAAAAATGTCAACTGGTCAGCTTCTCAAGCAGACACCAAAAAAAAAATGACACACGGCCACCACCATGCCCGCATTGTGTCCTACTGTGCGCTAGCCGCCCTTCATTTTTCGTCTTTGTTTTGTGAAAGAGAAAAAGAACAAGGGCGACTCTAGTTTCATCCCTTGGTTCTCAACAACAACCACGAAAGAGGGGGTAATACCTTGGCTATCCAGAAGACAGCTTCAGCCCACCTTCTCTTCTCGTCCAATTGCTCGTCATCCGTCAATGGTACAGGATGGGGAACCCCGGAGGTTTCTGATTCGGTCACTCTCTACAAAACAAAGAAGAGGCAACAACTGTTTTTCCGTCCAAGGAACAAAGTAACATCGTCAGGAAGAAATCATCGCACACTAGCTATTAAAAAAATCGCTATGACGAGATTTGGTAGCTGAGGGCAGTTCTCGTTCTCGGATGGCCACAACAGGTCAACTCGAGAAAATAAAAGCGCACCATCAATTGGATGAAGGGTAAAGCAAAGGAAAGGGAGTAGGGGGATGAACGTTTGTTGGGGTTGGTTTGTCTATTTGTATCAGGTGCGCTTTTGTGGATAGAATAGGATGAATGTGGTGGAGGTTTGCGAAGTGGGCAAAGCGGATTCACTACATATCAGAGAACCAATTGCTTCTACGCCGTTTATGCATCATCCACCAACGAAGCCTTTTCAGATCATCGCTGTCAAAATCAAGATGACTTGGATCTGATCTCTTTTTCCTTTTTTTAATGTGAGAATAATTGAATGAGGATGTGCGATTCGAATCTTAGACTCAGCAAGGACCAGTGGAAGCATAAAGGTCTCTCGCAGTGCCAAAACGGATAGCTGATCTATCTTTCGCGGTTAACCAATTTATCCCTCATTATCCTTTCCCCCTCCTTGCGAAGAGGGAGGAACTAGAGTAAAAAACTCGCCACCTTGCACCGGTTGATCGACTCTCAATTGGCAAAACAAACCGGTGGGGCAGCAACGCGATTCAAAGTTAAAGAGATAAAAAATTTGCGGGCGTGGCTGTTTTTTATACATGTTGCTTTCTCAAAGATACCCTTAAACTATTCTTTCTGTGTGGCTGGGGAGCCAACGCCACCAAAAATGAGCGATCAAGCAAGAAGCAAGGTTTATCAGTCTCACTGACAGCATGTCTATCACTGCTATGGTGACACTTTTTCTTGCTTCTCGTCCTGAACAGTTGTGTGCAAGAGACAGTCGACTTACTTGGCCAAAGTGACTTCTTCCATGAACAGTACTGGAGTCGAAATGACGCTGGACATATTTGTATCGCTACTCCTTGTAATCCAGGAAGGCGGCGATGATTTCATTACGTTTGCGAGATTCAAGGCCATAAAGACAGTTTGCCACAATCGCGGCTTCTTGCATAGCACTCACAGCACCCATGATTGCCAAAACATAAAAAATTATTGCGAGGATGATGGTGTCTATCGGAGTGCCCATGATTGTTTTGCATGCACATCGCCTCAAGTGCATTGCCCAGTACTCGGCAGCAGTTATTTGAAGAGGAAGAAGAGAAATTAATTATGTATTCGGACGCATTACTTCATGATCACCTTTCCAAGCCAAACTTCGTTACCTTGTGGCAAGCTATAATGACGGACGTTACCGGAGATATAAAAACGAAGGTGGTTAGACCCAAGTCATAAACCGAAATACCTTAACGCGACGGGCTTGAGGAGTACTTACCATCACCAATAAGAGCGACACGGCCATGATACCAAGTATCAAACAATTTCTCTTCAAGAAAGATACGAGAGACCATCCTGGGGTGTGGCACGGATCAACTCCCCCATAGTGGCGCCTAGAGGTGTACGTAAATCATCCATCTCTTTGATCATCTCATCGCTGTTGTTGTCATCATCCCATTCCGAGGTCTGGAAAAACTCCTCCTTGGATTTGGCAGAGTCGAGCTGGAGTTGGATATCCCAACAGACGCGGTTGTTTGGCACGGTGAATGTGATCCACTATGACAGAGACAAACGGAAAGATAATACGATCAGAACATATTCGGTACTGTCGGCAGAAGTATGTTTTCAGTCAAGGAACTTAAATTCAGATATTGCGCTTACGTGATATGGCTTGTTGGTTCCAATGACCTGGGAGAAAAAAACATTACTCATCCTTCAGCGCCGTGTACTTTTCAGGGTCAAGGGGATCAGTGGTGCCAATCATCGTAGCAGACCCACACTTCAAGTCGCGTTTATCAGATGCAGGCATACGCCTTCGATCTCGAGCTGCCTATACAGACACTGACGGACCGAACTGTACGCCCTATTGGCGCCGACAGGGATGTCTCCCTGGTACTTGCTGCCATCCGCAGGTCACCTCGACCTTGTTGTTCCTGCTCGCCTCCTTGATGTTTGAGACCTTTTTGCCAAAGAGGATCTTGTTGCTTGGGACCCGCGAGAGCAGGACCTCGTAGAACTCGGGGCGCGAGAATACCACGGTGTCAAAGCCGTTGCTAAAAAGTGTTCCAGGCAAGAAATAAATGCACAAATAAAAAGAGTTGAACGACTGTCGTTCAGGCATAAGGCGTGTACATGCACAAATATATGGAAGGAGCAGTGCATGGATAGTCCGCACAAATAAACTTTACATTTCGTTGCTTTCTTTGACCTAAATGCGACATACCAAGTGGCTTGATGGATGAGGCTCGCTCGAGGATGATGAAGGGAATTCCGGCCTTGTGTAAGAGCCCCGCAAGTCCTCCCCCGACAATAACGACTTCGACGGCAGGACGTGACTGAAGATAAGGCCGTGTTCCATACATGGCCTCCGTAACGTCGCACTGTTGTTCTGAGGAAGAGTCCATTTTCGCGAGTAAGAGTGATGAGGAATGAGAGAAAAGAAGGAAAATGAATGAGGGACGCGAACACTTTCGCGACCTCGGCTGTGCCGCTCATACTGCCACTCACTGCCAGCATTAGCTGGTAAAATGAGGTGCGAAACATGCGATCAGGCACCAATCAATCAATTAAGGGTTTCTCCCGCACAGGACAAATGCTCAAAGGTAAGCATTCGTTTTTCATTCTTGTCCGACAACCCGCTGCAGAATGAACTACAAGGACACTGCCATCGCCAACAGGAATACAACAGAACACATAAAGACAGCTGCAGGACACTCAGCGCCACCACCTTCAAGAACCAAACGGGCATTGTCACCAAGCACGAAGGATTCATCACCGACATGTGCAGTCCATGACATTGACAACAACACTGCGCACCTTTCTCCAACCACGGACCCTGAAAACGAATCGTCCAGCTGCACTATCTGTCTGAACACCTACGAGGATCGAGCCGTACTGGAAACATGTCACCGTAAGGCTGTCAATTTTAGTTTTTCTCAAAACGTTGCTTACTTTATGAAGGACAATTGAACAAACATTGTATTCTCTGCTTTTTCGTTAGACGAGTTCTGCTTCAGCTGCATCATTCAATGGTCGACTCTCTCCCGCACCTGTCCGCTTTGTATCCGACCTTTCACAAGCTGCTTGCATGAGATCCAAGATGACCGTCATTACACCGTCGTAAGTCTCCACAGCATCACATTCACACGATTGCCTAATCCAACATAACGGTACTCACCAGAAACAACCATACTCATTGCATACTTAGCACCAATTTGAACCTCTGCCTCATATACGATCGCACTCTGGACGGCCAAACGCAGGCGATGCTACAGTCCCACACGGAATCATCCGCCGACTCTATGGACCTCCGCAATTTCGAAGACGTGCTAGGGACCGCCCGTTGCGGCCGGAGACTTCAGACGAACAATCTGTTGCTGGCCGTCAACAAGCAGCTCTTGAGAATCGAAGGTACCCACTCACGCCCTTTTTTTTCAGCCTGCCATGCGTACCCGCTAGTGTGCCGAGAAATATAGCTAACGACAACGTTTTTGCCCTATGCCCTGAATAGGAATGTATACCGTAACGGATTGTATGTTCGACACGTAGGCGCAAACAGGATCTCAGGCTTTCAACAGATCACACCAGAGACATTCCGGATATTCCCTCAACGCCTCGACCGTCTCGTCCCCTGGATCCGACGAGAACTTCAAGCCATCACCACCCTCTCTTCCGCTCCTCCAGAAGCACCAGGAAGTGCAAGTGCCTCTCGCTCAACCGACAGCCCTTATGAAGAAACTGACTCAGGGTTGGAGATCATCCGAGAATACGTCATTGCAGTCTGTAAACGATACGACCTCCAGACAGACCAAGGACAGGATCTGATCCGAGATTTCTTGCTTGATCATACGGAGCACTTTGTGCATGAGTTGATGGGCTTTGCAAGGTCCCCATTTTCGATGGAGGCTTATGATCGCGCTGCTCAGTACAACTCGCCATCAACGTCTTCCTCAACAGCAGCGGCGATGGGGACCGGTGGCGGCGGCGATATCCAGAGGATAATTAATGATGAGGGTTCAATTGATCAGGAGCGTCGGGAGAGGACGAGGAGGCGGGGCCATGGGTCGCCTCATGACTCTGGACGTACTCGAAGTGGAAGGAATAATTCGCTTGGTAGAGATGAGAAAAAGAGTAGGAGAAGTGACCGTGACCGGGAAACACAATCATACTCTAGAAGCGAGGATAGAGAGTCTACGGAGGAAAATACCAGCAGCAGAAGCAGCAGACATACAATCCAGGAGGCAAATTTTCCTGCTCTCAGTACAAGTTCATCAAATCGCCTGGTTAACAAAATAGAAGCAGGCGACAGTTCGACACGCGACACCCCCAACAAGACTGGTCTACAAGCCATTCTGCAGGCCAGACTCAAACGCGAACAAGATCTCTACGCGTCTCTTAAAAATAAACATCTATGAAACACAATTATGTAACAAGACCATTTAGTCGGTTAATGCTCTTCAACAGACCTGACACTCTAGGTTCTGTACTACAGTCCTCTATATCCATCACTTCGTACCCACCACTTCTTCTACTACCACCTCTACTACCGCACGACTCTCCTTCCCATGTGTATCCTGCTTCTCCATCGCAACCACCACCGCCGGCACCAATCGAAAGCCATCGCTCGCGATACCGATCCCACCGATCATACGCATTCCAAACCGCCGAAACCCAATGCCTTAGCACAAGCACCGAATGCTCATCCACCTCCCACCCCATCCCCCCTCCCCCAACCCCTCCACCACCTGAACAACCTGCACCATACCCACCTCCAGAAATATCCCTAAACTGCCCCTCCCTCCGCCTCCCCCTCCGTCTCTCCCTCTCCTGTCCCGGCCGAGCTCTACTCCTAGGCAACACGCTACCCAGGGGACGCGGAATCGTCAATGTCCACATCTTCTTGGGGACTTCGTCTTCTTCGAACAACACAATCGTTAATCCAGCGTCGATGTCGTTTTCTTCGGATGTGGGGTGGAGGGGGGACCCGTAGACACGTTCGAGGGTCGGAGTTAGGTCGAGGATGAGGTCTTCATCTAAGTCTGGGAGGAGGATGAGGAAGCCATGGTGGTGAGATGTCCCGCGGAAGTTTAGGACCTGTCCTCGTTCCAGTGTTCCTCTTCCTGTTCCTGCTGTTCCCGATGTTGCAGTTGTGTCGGCTGTTTTGGTGATGGCAGGCAAGGAGGTAGAAGTGGTCAAAGAGATAAACAGGTGAATTGACGTCAATGGGAGGATGGACGGTCGAGGACCCGTAGTCGTACTAACACACGGTAACCGATCCTGTCCCTGTCCCTGTCCTTCTCGCCCTCCCTGCTTAGCCCGCGACCCTCTCAAACCCGCTCTTGTAGATTCGATAAACGAAGGGGTGTCCGGAAAAATAAACGGGAAGTACGTCGACATATCCAGTTGCTGCGGGTGCTCCGAGTCGTCCGACGATTCCGCCTCAATCTTCGCCACCGTTGCTGCTGTAGTTACAGCCGTGGTGACCGCTGCAGCTACGACTCCTGTCACCGCCGCTACGGCGGTGGTTGCCATCTGTCGCAAACTATCGGCCACCGATCCATGGGTCCGCAAATGGGACAAGGTAAATGGCGAAATCGAGGTGGTGGTGGTGGTGGTGGTGGAGGTCGCAGTTGTTGAGGAAACGGCTGTTGTTTCGAGGGAAGAAACACCGTTCGAACTTGAATGTGTATGTGGATGTTGTTGTTGGATATGGGTGTGTGTCTGGTTGAGCTGCTTCAACAAGATCTTGCCAAAGAGTTGGAGGTGTCCGATTATCGCTTGTCGTCTACTCATATTGTATGGAACGATAGTCGCTGAGAGAAGAAAAAGGTACGAAAAAGTGTGCGATCGGGAAAAGGTATGAAAGGTGGAAGAGTAAAGAGTGGCGAGAGAAGTAGGAAGTGAGATGTGAGATGTGAGATGTGAGAAGATAGAGGATAGAAGAGAGAGAATAGAAAAGTGAAGAGTAAAGAGTGAAAGGTAAAGAGAGAATAGTGAGAATGACTTGTATGTCGGCATCCTCACTAGTCTTTGAGTCAACAGCAACAACTTGGCACATACACACACACGCTAGACACTCATCCAAAAATAAAGTTGCAGCGGCTCTCTTGCAGGCCCAAACAAAGGAAAATCTTGGCAGAGGGACAATAGACACGTTTTCAGCCCTCCCTTCAGCCTTGGCACAAGCCCAACGGCGATAGTAATGTTAACTTTTCATTTGTCCTTCAGTAATAAATAAGGTCTACATCAAGTCGTCCTAGTTGTCCTCCTCCAGATCCAAAGAATGGCGATTCTCATAATGGCGAAGCATATCCCTGACAATTGGATCTTCCTCCAGCACCGAAGCATTCTCAAATAACGTCATAGTCCCATCCAACAGCTGCCTTTGACAGTGTTTAACACGGTCCTGCCAAATCTCATACGGCGTCCTAGTAACTTGAGGCTCTGCGGGGGGTTGGCCAGGCATGATTTCATCGTCCAAATCACCAGGCATCATAGGCGATTGGGACCCGGGGGATGTTGGAGCCGGAGTACTGTGTGGGCTGCATCCGTTAGACGCCGCCACGTTTGCGCGACGCGGCTTGGGAGGTGGTTGTTGTCCAGCACCGTTAGCCTTTTGAGACTGCGCCGAGGCACTGTTCTCTACCGACATGCCATCTCCTGAAATCTCCCCCGCGGTTGCTGCTGCATAGGCTCCCTCTTCGCCGCCAGCGCCAGCGCCAGACCGTGAAAAGTAGCCGAATCCAGTGGTGACTGCTGTGATGGGTGCCTTGGGAATCATTGACGTAAACGACCGGGCTCGAGCTGGAGGAGCGGCAGACATCTTGTCCGACTCTTCCTTCAGCTTGGCCGAGGTGATGTCGCGGATAAAGATCCTGAAAACCTGCTCAGGGAATTCTACTGCCATCTCCGTATAACTAGAAAGAGGATAAAGTTATCACAAGAGAGAAAAAAAGCGTCAGATTCAAAGCTCACAATCGATATCATATCCTTGATCGCCTTAGATACAAAAGCGAGGGACCTTACATCTCCATATCGATTTCGCCGCTGTCGCCGACCAGGATGAACTTGCGGCCTGGAAAGTCCAACAGAATCTCGCGAATGCTCTTGCGCTTGTTTTCTCCTGGGGCCATAAAGTACGTCTTCAAAACGCTGTCGTGCAGACGAAGATGCGCCGAACCAGGAGGAAACTTGTGGTTGTGGAAGAACTCGAGCAGACTTGGGATCAGCTGCCAGGGTGAGTTCGAGACATAGTGAATCGCCGCTCCTTGCTTCCACCAGTTCTTGTAGACCTTGGCCATCCCCGGCACATCCATCATGTCATTTAGGAAAGTGTTCCGGAGAATAATCCGCGCTCCTGCGACAATGTCGGTTTCTTTGATGGTGTCGTCAATGTCGGAGATAATCGAAATGCCCTCTGGATCGACCAAGTTGACGATACCATGACAAAGCTCCTTCATGTCGGGATGATAAGCGTGAAGTTTCAAGAACCTCGGGTGACTTTCGTCGCTCTTTCCAGTGACGGTCTTGCTCCTGCTCAGCTCATTCAACGAACTCTGTTTGCGGTGCGCCTGAACATCCTCATGCGATATCCGAAGCGTACCGTCAAAATGACCTCCGGGTTGAGAAGAAATCTGAACTGTTGGGAACATTCCATGGCCGAGATCCTCGCTATGCGTCTCTGTCTGTGACAAAATGGTGTCTCCCGAATCCGTCCTGCTGGCTCTGGGAGGGAGATCCGCCCTGGCCTCATCGCCAGAGTAATCCGAGATTGAGCTCCCCTGGTGACTGCTACTCCGACTGCTTGGGCGATTATCATTGGACTCTCCCGGTACTATCAAGGAACGCGTGTGCTCCTGCTCCGAGCCTGGTAGGGAGCTCTGAACCTGAGCAACGACAATAGGCTTGTACTTCCTGTAAGCCCCTTTGACAATGGCGGCGCCTTTGGTCCAGCGGCCGGAGAAGGAGCTCTCCTGACTCTCGGGGGAAGTCACTCTTGTCAATAGCGAACCATCTGAGGGAAGGTATGGCGAGCTTATTGCTGAAGCTGGGTGTTGTTGCTGTTGCAGTTGTGGTTGAAATGGACTACTCGCAAGCGATCCTTCCTGAGACTTGCCCGGATACTCCTGTTCACGGTTTTCTTCTAATGACTTTCGGAGCAGTAGCTTGTCCTTGGCAGTCTGAGCAATTGCTAGTGCGCCCTCTGAGGTATGCATCTCATTCATGAGATCGTCGACCGTAGGATCGTGAGAGCTGGGGTCTCCTGCAAGCTCCATTTGACTTGTGCTGGTAGCGCCAACACATTGAATCGAAAACCGGGCACCCTGCGTGTTGCTTGCGAGGAACATGCCAAAACGTGACTCTAACGTGTCGTAGACCTTGTTATCCTTTGTCACGCCAGCCAACTTTCTCGCCATACCTAAAACAAGTATAATATGTTAGTACGGGATCTTGTCTTTCTCTACTATGGCAAAAACTCTAGCAATTTACGCCACTATCACGTACTCATGACAAGGCGCTTTCGTCGATTGGATCTCTTTGAGTAAGCCCATCCCCGGACACGAATATTCCAGTCCAGCGGATCTTTGGAACCTATTGTGTCATTGGCGATGCATGATACCCATGAAAAATGAAGTTGAAAAAAATTTAGTCAGCACACTATACCACATGCTAACCCAAAAAAATGGATATATATCCCCACATCACAAGTAATATCCCCACATCGGCATTTTCAACAAATAACATACCTGATCGTGAATGACGAGTTGCATACGTCGGAAATAGAAGGCAGTGTTGCTCGACATCCACTGCTGTGTCGACTGACTCCTTGCTTTTAACAGAGGCAGTGTCAGGGTTGGTCATGTCAAACCCCTGATACTGCTCGTTAGGCCGTTGGGGTAATGGCGGTGCTTGTTGAGAGCTCAAAGGCTGTTGCTCTCCGATGGGATTGCGGTCGATTGAATGCATTAATGCAGTGGAAAAGTGTGAGGCGCTGAGTCTGTCCGTTGTGTTGGCAGTAGTGCTGCGGTGATAGGTGGTGTGAAAAAGGACGGGCTTGGCGGTGAGGTGGGATTGGTGATATCTCGGCGATCGTGAAGGGTGTGGATCCATGGGCCTATGGGTCTTTGACGATCTAGCGATTCCTGTAGCCCCTTTTGCGGGTAGAAGTGCGGCTGGTCGGAAGGCAGAGTACGTTTTCTGTGCAGTTGGAAGAGAAGTGAGTTGGCGCCAAGTCAAGGTCGAAGCGGTGAAGCGGCGTGGGGTGTCTGGTGAAGTGCGACTTGACAGAAGCGAAGGCAAGGGCGCGAATGTCGTCGTCCGTCTGTGTCGGCACAAGGGTCCTGTCCAGTGATGAATGGCTGGCGACAGTCTTGGAGCGATGTTAGTGTTGCTGTTGTCGAGCAATCCCTCAGATGATGAAGCGAGGGCGAATGGGTGCGAATGGTGGCGAGTGGAGACGAAATGTGAGATGGCGAAGAGGAAAGGAAGAAAAGAGAGAGAGAAACAGAGAAATGAAAAAGATAATCATAGAAAAAGGCAAAAGGCATGAAAAGAGATAAATAAATTGACGCAAAATAGCGAAGGTTTCTCTGATGTTTTTTACTATGTATTTTCATGATATGTGAGATGCAATTTGCCTTATGGCGAGGGATCACGGTAGCTGCACCGCTTTATGAGAACTTCCAGCGGTTGTCGCAGTTGATACAAGTAACGAACGTCGTCATAGGCTCATCAGCAGAACGGGTCTGCATCTGGTAATATCTGCACTTGCGTCCCTTGCATTTGCCGCACTTGAACATATCCGTTTCTGCCTGCTGGGGTTCAGCTCCCTTGGCCGCAAACATGTTCTGCAGCTGAAGTTCACGGTCACGGGCTTTGGCCTCTGCCGAAGCCATGTCCTGTGTCGTATACTCGCAAAAGTCCTCGACCTTCACATCACCACTGACAACAGCCTCCCGCAGCATTGGGTTGTTCCTGTCGCGCAAGTTCATAAAGAACGATCGGATCTTGGCCTTGTAGTTTTGGCTTGGAGAGCCATCTGGAGAAAGGTTCTTGAACACAATAGACTCAATGTTGGTAGCCTTCTTGAGAAGTCGATCCGATTCTATAGGAGAAAAATATGAGTCGGAAAGACGATAGCAACTGTAAACACTTTGGCCTTCAGAAGAGAATATCACACTAGCTGAGACGAATGAAAACCTACCAGCATTAGAGTTGGTTCCGAGGGCCTGGTACAGCATCTCAATGCACCGGTCGCGAACATCATTTCCTGTTGTCTTGACACGAACGCCGTCGGATCTCACTGTCCTGTCCTTTCCTGTGTCTGTTGGTGTCCTGGGAGAGCTAGCAGCCGATGAACCATCGCGCGAGGAGATTTGAATTTGAGCAGGCGAGGACTTTGTTTCCACTGTCGGGCGTGATGAAGAGGAGGAAGAGATAGTAGTAGTGGTCGAAGATGCTTTGACGGACGACCCTGACCTTGAGACTTCCGCCTTGACAGTGGCTGTGGTGGCTGTGGTAGAGGACGATGTTGCTGATGAAGGGGATGCAGCCTCCTTTGTGACCTGTGCCTTCCAATTCCGTACGATGTCCTTGGCCAGCCTTGAAACTTCGTTATCGGCGTGAGTCTTCATTTTGTTGACGAACAAGCCCATCTCTGTTTTCTATCGAGTATAGTTATCCAAAAGCAAAGTAGTTTTTGATCCATTAAGAACGTTATTCTTGAATACACCAGAAAAGTAGAAATGGGCCTGTTGGATGTGATGATTGTGCGGCCGTTATTTCTTTACCCGAAGAAGTGTTGCAGTGACTGTGAACTTGCTTAATTGCCGGAGGAGATCAAGCAAGGTCTAAATAATATGTCGCGTGGGTTAAAAAAGGGTTGATATTAGTACCACCAACAGCATTTGGACAACGGACGAACATAAACATGCGGCACGAAAGAGCTGTACGTTAAAAGTGAAGGAAGGAGTGGCACTTGCAAAGCGTCAGGGGTTCACTGTTTATCCGCGTACCGTTGTGCTTCCTTTGCTTTGTGCATCCTGTAACGACTTTTTGAGGTCGAGGATGTCCTGCTCAATGTTGGCGGCTCCCATGATCGTTAGTGTGAAGAAGCGTGATGAAAGGGTAAAGTCTGTTGGCGATCGGGTGATGAAAGCAAGGAGCGGCAGGAAGTGTAGGAAAGAAGGAAAGGAAGGAAGAAAGAAAGGAGTGTGCGAAGTGAAAAAAGAGCGCTGAAGCCGTACTTTTTCTTCTTTTTTTTTTTGGTCAGTCTAAAAAAAAGGCCTGGATGACGTATCAGAAAAATAAATGATGCATTTGATGTGTGTATGTATACAAAGGGTCTGTCTGGGTTTCTATCTAAGGTCTCTAGTTCTTGACGGCGTACTTCTCCTTTCCGTGTTCGCTAATAACACAAATATGGTCGAGATCACGGAAGTACTCGTTGTAGTCCAATGCATATCCAACAACAAAGGCATTCGGGATGGCGAATCCAACATAGTCGGGGATGTATCCGTTCGAGAGAGGGGTCTTCTTGATCAACAGCGATGCAACCTTAACCGACTCGGGCGAAAACTTCTTCAACTTGGCCAACAACTGAACCATGGTCTTTCCAGTGTCAATGATATCCTCAACAATCAAGAGGTTCTATTCCAGCAAAAGCAATTGAAACAGTGCAGTCAATTAGTGATTGTAGCTGTATTTCTGTCTTTGCATAAGAAAAAAAAAAAAAAAAAAAAAAAAGCAATTGAACATTTTGTATGGGGTGCTAACCTTTCCCTCGAAATCCTTGCACTCGTCGTCGGTCAAGGACAACTTGACGTCGCCCGAGACGTCGTTGTTGTAGGACTTGACCTTGATGAACTCGAGGCTCAAGGGGACTGAGTTTCCACCACGGGTGACGTTCTTCTTGATGTAGTTGACGAGGTCGGCAAAGAACTGGTGACCACCCTTGAGCACACAGCAGACGACAAGAGGACCGGTGGCCTCCTGGACAATCAACTTGGCGAGTTTCTCGACTCTGTCCATGATCACTCCGTGAGGAATCAGTACGCTCGAGAGGGCGGTCTCGTAGTGGTCAGGAATAACAAAGTGGTCAAGAGAGTACTGAAATGACTCCGCGTTGATGTCGATCCACATTTTGGGGTCCATGATGCGCAAGTTGATTCGATGGGTGAAGGGAGGAAGATGATGCGGTTTGAGAAAGAAAGAGAGAAAGAGCAGCGAGCAAACAAAAGTTTTTTTTTCTATTCTCCGTGTGGCTCTACAGAGGATAGACCGGCAGTCACCTTGATTAAGGGCTATGCAACGAGCACCAATAAGGGCAAGGTTCCCTTTTTTTTATTCTTTCTTTCCAGGCTACAGCTGAAATTCCTCAAAGAGGTCCCATAGCTTCTCAAACTCATCCTTGAAAGCACGCACAGCCTTGGTGGAATTGGTCAGACAGAGATCCTCGCGATTCTGGTAGCGAGCGCCCTTTGTCCAATTGTACGAGCCAGTCATCACAAGCGCATCGTCAATGATAGCAAACTTATGATGCATGTGCGAGGGGCTATTGAGTAAACAGGGGAAACACAAGAAAAAACCATCAGTGCATGGACATAGTCGGGTTGACATTGCAAAGGAAAATGATGAGACCATCAGCAATACAGCAATACAGGAACAAGAATGAAAAGAACAACGAGGACATGGTTTGTTTACCTTCCATCAACACGTGTGGGGATGTCGTTGTCCCTGGCAAAACGCTTGACATCAGCACCCAAGTCCTCAGCCTAGAGGGGAAAATAAAATAGCAATAATAGAAATAAGCGCACGTGGGTTAGACTGCCGCAATACTTTTCTAATATATCATGCAATTGGAAAAGAGCAAGAAGGGGGGAAGGGAAGGGAAGGGAAGGGAGGGGAAGAGCTCACCTTGTCGTCATCGGAAATAATGCGCACACGAACACCTCGCTCATGGGCCTGAATGACAGCGTTGGCAGTGTCGTTGTCAGTGATGGTGAACACACAGATATCCAGCGACTTTTTGGCATTGCTCAGCGTCTTGATAAAGTTGCCATAGCTCTCCTCAGATGGAAAGAAGATAGGGCTGATGAAGATACCGTTTTTGGCTTTGTGGTGCTCGTCGTGGTGCTCTTTAAGGTGGCTGATCAAGTAATGGTGAGGTGGAGTTGAGGGGGCTTCGTCGTCACTGTCACTGTCACGTCCAGACTCTTTGGCGATGGCGGTCTCGAGCCACGAAATCTATGCTCAACGAAAAGTAGAACCAGTGAGTGCAGTTGTTCCGATAATGTCCATGGCCTCATTGAAGCAGAGGAAGGGACAAAAGGGTTGCTTTATGGATTCTTACCACAGCACGGTCTTGATCGCTGGAAGCAGCATCGCGCGCGGTCTCGAATAACTGTTGGAGCGAGGGCGAGGAGCCGTGACGTTCGATATGGCTTTCGTAGGTGTGAGTCAACTGCTCATGGGTGGTACGACCCTCGATGGAGACGGAAACGACGGAGGAGTATGCGGCGTTCATGCTGTACAGGTATGTGAGTAGGAGGGGGTGGGTTGAGAAGAGAGGTGGATGGGGTGTAGAGAAGAGAAGAAAGAAAGAAAAGAAAGAAAGGAAGGAAGGAAGAGAGTAGGCATAAGAATGAACAAGGAAAAGGAAAAATAGCACGGAGGATGGCGTGAGAACAACAGCCAGATGCTCGATATCAATTGCAGGCAACAAGAAAGCATTGGAGTGACCCTGCTTTTTGTTTTTGTTGCGATGCAGTGTGCGAGATGATGGCTAAGCATTGACCCCTGTGACAAGAGAGCAGAAAGTGACTGTCTCATCATTGTTCTATTATCCAGCGGGACATGGGTCCGGTCCATCCAAATTGTTCTTTCGGTCAAACTTTCTTTTTCCTTTTCCCCCTCTGCTCACCTCACCTCTATTCCGGCCGCAGGTATACATACTACCATGACGACTGAGACCATGCCCCATGTCAATCCTTCTGAGACCAAGAACATCTCCGGACTCGATACAAACAGGAAAACCTGCGAGACCCTCAATGATGGCAACCGAGTCTTGCTCCAGGAGGAGATCACCAACTCCTGTAAAGCAACAAGCTCTATCTTCAACTGTAATGATGCTCGGACCTCACTTTCTTGGTATGTCCAACTAGTAACCCTTACTTTCTTGACGGTTATAGATCCCTCAACAGCAGGATATGTCACAGCGTCCACTACTACCTTGGAGACTTTGACCTTCCTCAGTCCTGAGGCCGCGATGCCAGAGACCGAGATCCGCAACGATAGCATATTGTATTTGGTCTCTCCAGGAAATGACCATCAGCAACAAAGAAAGGACAGAGTAGCAACAGCACCATGCACCCCGAACAAACCTCTTTCAAGCAAACAAGGACCTCATCCGCTCTCGCCTATCACCCCGATCCCTGTCGTCGTCGCCACAGGTACTCGCTCACGCAGACCGAGTCTCATCGTGACCGCTGACAGGCATGTCTCCAACGACGACAGGACTGGTCAAGAGGATCGTATCACATTGACGACTGCAGGAGATGACGCAGTCGAGCGATCTCTCACGGAGTGTCCTTCGTTCGACCCCGAGCCGTTGGCAGACTTTGTCACCGAGCACCGGTCTACTACTGTCAAGAAGTTTCATGGTAAGACTGCAAAGGAAAATTTAGCTCTTTTGGGGTTCAGGACATCCTCAAAAGGGAGCGCCACCATATTATTATTTTTTTGGTTTCTGCCTAATCTAACTCAAAAGCGCTTCAACTCGTGTAGGGATCATCCGGCAACTGGATGCTGTGAATGCGGAACTCCAGTGGATGCTGTCCGAGTACCTCACTCAGCAGTACGAACAGATCGAGGAAGTCCTTGACTCGAACCACAAAACCATTGCCCAACAGGAGAAGGACCAAGGTAGTGTGTCTATTTGTTTCTTGTTGCCTAGGATACTATGACACAAGGAAGGAGGTAAACAAACAACAAGGAAGCTGGGTTCACGGATATACTCACGATATCTTTTTTTTCTTTTGTTTTCACAACAACAAAATTTACGCGTTTTCCTCAAGAACTTCTGCAGGAACAGATCCTGTCCTTCTTGAACGCAATGAAGAGCGCGTTTGCAATCTTTGGCGGGAATGACTCTTGAATGCAAGAAGAGAAACCTATGGTATCAATAACAACAACGAAAAAGGAGCCCTGACGGACGGATTATGACCTTTGCTTTATCGTCACCAATATGCATCTCTATGTATTTTCTTAATTCCTGTGACACTTGTGGAGTGGAACTTTGTAATATGCAGTAACCCTTTGTTACCCAGCCGATGCACAACATAAAACAAGCTCTTGCAGAATACGACAGATTTGTAAAATCGCGGTTATGTAGGATGTTCCAAGGTGCATTTGCAGGACACCGGCTGGCTTACAGGTGCGGATATGACAATGCATATGTCTGCTAGTGTCAAGTCAGCTTATCGGCTACAATGCAGCATAGCAAAAAAAACTAACAACATCGAGTTGCATTCCTTTGGTCGGGGTCCTCTCCTACCCCCGTGTGTCTCATGTCCCGCGTCCAACCAAAGTATCAGTTTGTGTACACCGCCCCTTTTTTCTTATTTGCCGAAAGAAAAAGTGTCCTAAAAGGCATTTATTACCAAGACTGTCCAACAGCTGTGTTGTTGTCTATTTTTGAGAGCATTAGAAAAAATACGCGAGAGAAAAAACAATTAAGAGAGATGTTCGATGGCGGTCCAGACCACTTTGAACGTGTCGCTCAAGGGCGTACTCACATAAAAAGCGCAAAAGACTGAGCCGCGATCGAAGTTATGCGGGGTTATTTAACTCAAGGCAGCAAGGAAAGCTGGCAAACTTCCGGACAAGTAGGTCGGTCATGCAGGGAGAGCGAGGGAGCCAGGGACAGGAAGGCGAAGAAGTGATTACGGGTTTGCTGGAGTGGAGAGAAAGTGAACAGGAGAATGAGAGAATCAAATAGAGTCTTAGAGTAGGATCTCATAAATTTCTTGGAGCTGTCGCAATTGGACCCTTGGGGAGTGTATCCTTGCCTTCTGAGGAGGGGGAGAGAAAAAGAAAATAACCGAGAGAGAGAGCAATCCTTAGAAATCGTCCTTAGAATGCTCACTCTCTCTCGTTTTGATTTTGTCGTTGCTGTTTCCTTACCAATGATCCTAACATAGCTAATTGTTGAGCATTACACAGAAAACGGAGAGAGATGGACCCAGGAATATCGGGGTTCGCACTAATCTTTTCTCTTTTTTTTTTTTTTTTTTTTTCTCGCACGGAGAAGTACAAACCGATCTCGGAGGAAGGAGGTTACAGAGCACTTTTGCAAAAGCAAGAGAATTCAAACGCTCAAAGGATGACAAAGCCAAAAGGGGCAACGGGACTCTAACTCCTTTTTTTTTTGTGTGTGTGTTTTTTTCTCACTCGCTCGTCTTTGACAACCCTTGAACAAAAAAAAAAGAGCGGCAGACTCAAAGAGAGAAGAGAGCTTGTTTTGTTGTTGTTACATCCTTGTTTGCTTGTTGGGCCAGTTTCCGTTTCGCTATGCAGCTGCAGGCATAGGAGGAAGACAGAGGAGTAGGAGGACACGATGAGACGTATTGGCATTAATGATATAAACACGGATCGAATGCCGAAGGCAGGTCATTTGTAAGAAAACAAGGGTTGGGACGTGTTAGAGAGTGTGCAGTGCTGCTGTGTCAATGTATCAATTGGAGAGAGAGAAGGAGAGAGAAGGGGTGGGAGAGAGAGAGGAGAAGTAAGGGAAACGAAAAGATGCGAATGAAAAGAAAAGAAAAGAAAAGAAAAAGAAAAACGGAAAGAAAAAGGAGTGAGCGCGATGATATGTTTTGCTGGATGAGCATTTTCGACAATGGGGACATGGAGACAGTGTAAAACTATTACACAGCCATGGATTGACTTAAAGCACTCACGCACCATACATCGTCCATTTGAATGCAATTGTTCACCCATGGGCGAACAAGCAATCCAACAGGCCAACAAAGAAGTATAAAGTCCAACTAAAGGGCCACATATAAAAGAAGAAAGATCTCATCTCTTTTTTTTATTTCACCTCTCTCTCTTCATTTTTCATTTCATCTATCTCTCTCTCTCTCTCTCTCTCACTCTCTTTCATTCATTCTTTCACTCTCATATCCCCTCTCTCACTCGCATACACAATCACAAACACAAATACCCTCTCACCCTCTCACCCCCCCTTATTCACCCATCCACCCGCATTCGCACTCTCTTTCTCTTTTCGCTCTCTGTTCTTCGCTATCTTCAAACCCTGCCCACTTCCTCTCCTTCGCATCTTATTCATCTTAATTCTCCCCTTTCTGTTTCGTTCTGCATAATTCAATACCCCTCTTCAATATAAAAGCAAAACACAAGAAAACTCTCACTCATAACCCCTGTCCCTACTACCCTGTCCGTCCGCCTGTCTGCCGTTATCGTGGTTCTTCTCTCTCCTCAGTCCAATCTATCCCGTCCGTCCGAACGTTACACACCTTCCCGCTCTTTTTCATTTCACGCATCTTCGGTCCTTCCATCTCGTCCCTGAAGATCCAAAATCAAGTTTACTTTCTTCCCTTTTTCGTTCATACAAGATGACCCCACAACCTTCGAAAATCATCGTCAACTGCAAGTCCCAGGAGGAGCTCGACGGCATCCTCTCCCAATTCAATCGCGCCATTGTGCTGTACTACAGCTACGCCATGCCGTAAGTGTCACTTTCATATCCAATGGTTCATTTTTTTGTTTCTTTCCCGCCGCCGCCACTACCACACTGCGCATCACAACAATTGCAACAAAACATGGAGGGAAAGTGTTGTAATGTAAAACATAGATGAAAGGGCAAAGGCGGAGCATTTTTTTTTTTAGTTTGCTGTGCGCGGCTGTAATTTTTCAACGATTCAAGAAGAGTCGAAGAGTCGGGACACCCAATTGACTGAATCGAATGCCGCGGCTTTTTTTTTTTTTTTACTTTTCTGTTTACTTTTTGTATACGTTTGTATCCTCCTTTTGGTGTTCATTTGGCTTTTGTCATTGAATGAAAAACGCCCACTTCCTTTGTCCATGTCATGGAGATTTTCTATCCTCGACGACTAACCAAACCTTCTTCGTTCTTCCTCTATCTCTCTCCATCTCCTTGCGGTCTTTGTTGTTTCTCCTGTGTTGTTGTCACCACCTCTACTCCACTCACCATCAACAACCACCTGCGCGTTTTTCATTTAACCATAACATCAACAATCGAAACACGACACATGAACATGACACAACAGTTGGGGCAAGATTGCAGAACACAAGATGCACGTTTGTGCCAGGGCACTGGAGAAGGGCAACATCACGACTATCCCTTTTGTCCTGGTCAATTACGCAGAGTTCTATGAGTTTGGAGGAAAGATCGAGGTACTCCCGACGACCACCATCCGTTACACAGCTTATGTTAATGGCGAGCCACGGGAATCCACAGGAAACAGCGCAGAACTTGAGGGATTGGTAACAGCATTACTCTGAACCATCAACAGCCTTCCTCTATTTCATATTTTTCTTATGTTGTTTTTTGCTCAATGTCTTTTTCTTGCTGCTCACAAGCATAAGCAGGGCATCGCAAAATGAACGAGAGAAAAGAAAAAACGCGAGCCAGTCAACAATATCAAACAAACATATTATCGATCCCCACCTATTACCCTGCTTTTTAGTCTACTCTTCTTCGATTAGCTTCTAGCCCATCCTTCTTAATACACTAATCATACTACGGTCCTCTTCATTTGTCTGTGTCATCATTTCTGTCAGGTTTTTTTTTTTTTTTTTTTTTCCAAGCTTGGCGCCGAGCCGAGATGGGCTATGCTATTGACCAAACCCCTACAAAAAATAGATTCACTTCCACAGCAGCAACATCCCCATCCTTCATTTTACTCATATATACAACTCGTTCGGTTACTCACCCAGTTGGAGGCTCTTTATTTTTTTTTGGTTATTCTTTTTAGAACATATTTTGAGCTCAGGGGAATGGGGAATGATCAAGACAAGACATAAAAAAACGTGGAAAAAAAAGACCCGAGATACACTGCTGTCTCTTCTTTCCCGCAAAACTAAAAACAAGGGCGGCGCCGCATAGCCTTTTGAGCGGGTATTGAGAGACAAAGTTTTGAGGTGGAATTATGAGCGAGTGAGAGAGGAGGGGCTGGTCAACAGGAGTCCATTTGTCTATTCCGTTATCCCCAAAACTGAGAGGTAGGGGAAGTGAGCAATGAGCAGCAACAAAAACAATGTCTTGGAGTTTTGAGAGATCGATATATAAAGTGCCAACACACAAACAAACAGAGCATGGTACAACATTACACAGAACGGTAAGAAAGGAAGGATGGAAGGAAAAAAAGAGGGGTCTAGAATCTGTTCAGTCCTCCATGGTATTCTATCCCCAATGTGCTAAACACATTTTCTACTTGAAGTGGCACTTACATAATCGATTTGGATGCATGTTGTGTTCGACATGTTCATTTAAACAAGATGATCTTCACCTTCCATGTGTATCCTTTTTTTCAAATGAAAAAGATCTTTATCCATGACCGCGACGTGCATGTGTCGAGATGCCTGTTGGAGCATAACCATTGGTTTGGTGACTCAAAGACGCAATCTTTTCCTGCAAGGTGGAGACGAGGATGGAGACAGAAGGGATCTGGACGATAGTAAGCAATCATGCGGGTGAATTGAGGAACTGACTACCCTTCTTTTTCTTGGTCACATCCCCCAATTTTAGGGCATGGTACGATGGATAGGATGGAACAGGGAGAACCGGATTGACGAAATGAATGATGAAGTTGATGAAGGGGGTGCTCACCACATTTTTTTTTCTTTTTTCTTTTTTCATTTGACCTTTTCGACTGAGTGCAGAAAGACTTATTTTGAAATCCGTGTGCGGTGACTGATGAAGACGAGATGAAAGAGTGAGAATGTGGCTCTCGTCAGTATTTTCGGTCATTGTTTTTTTGTCACTCCTTCATGCACTACGGATCTGAAGTTAGCCATTTTTCATTTCTTTTCATTCATTTTCCACCACCTGCATGCTTGAACGTGAGCATTGCCCTACATTCAGGAACCAATCAGACCTGCCATTGCCCCTTTGCCATTTATTGTTGGCACTATTGATACCGTGACAATGCATGCAAGTTGACGACAGGGATAGCAAAAAAGAGCGATCATGCCTGCCGTCAAGAGTTAAACGTCGTGTTTCCCCTTCTCTAATGTCACCATTTTTTACGTATCAATGAGTATTTGGCTGCATGGTTTCAAGGAGAGAGAAACCCCCTGGCTTTCCATCCCACTCTGGTCCTTTTCTTCCTTGGTTATTATTTTTCCGTCCTCGGCAGCCCATCTGGTTATTTTTGTTTGTTATTTCTTTGCCCGCAGTTTTCTCTCTTTGCCTTTCGTTCTCCACCTTCCACAACATATTTTCCCACTCAGATGTGGTACGAGCCGCCATGTGGCGTTCAATCTCCACCTCCCATGTGTGTCGTATTGGTACATCCTCGATTTAGATATGGCGTTCAGTCTTTACATGCATCGCAATATCATGATGTTTCGCTTTTCTAATGGCGAACGAATGAATCGAGTTTAGAGCCAGAGTTGCCAGCGCTAGATGCTAGAAAATTAGACAAGCAGCATCATGGTCTACCATTGCATGTTCTGTTAGATGTGAAATCCTGTGTGTACGTGTACAGTACAATCCATTATTTGTATCTGGCCCGCGGATTAATCTGTCTCCCTTCTTTTGTGACACAGACATCCTTGCCATCGGCAACAACATTCCTCGCGTATCAATAAAGGACACATTGCATTTGCGACTCTCCTTTGCTACACTTAGTGGGAGTAACAGCAATTAGGACCAATCCTCCGAACTATCGGACCGACATGCTGTCCATTGTAAAAGTGGACCAGAGCTTCATCCCTTCATTCATCCTTGTCCATCCTTACTTTTTTTCGCTCCTATTTTTCTGTAGTTGACTCCGTGTTAGTTGTCGTCACCGTTTACTTTCTTTTTGTGCTCCTTGCTCTTCGTTTTCTCTTTCTGCGCTTTAAGTCTCCTTCCTTTTTCCATCCAACATCTCTTTCCTTCAACCTTTTCCACACCCCGGCTCGACATTTCCTCCTCCATTCACTCCCGACCCACCCCAGCCGTTCACGATGGATCGCCTTCAGGATCCCGCAACGACCCAAGCGCCTCTTCAGGTCATGGAGACCCTCTCCAAACTCGCCAAAGAAGGATCAGCAGTAATAACACCAACAACTCCATACGAAACTATCCTCGGAATGGAAAAGAGCCCCATCAATATCCTATTCTTCCAGGCGACCGCCATCTTTTTCCTCCTCCAATTCGTCCTCTTCTACACAACCTGGGCGATATTCCCCATCTTTGGGAAAGAACGTCGTCGACTGGGCTGGACTCTGAGCTTCTTCTGCTCCGTTGGGTTCTTGATCCCGTCCTTACTCCAGTTCGGATACGTCCGCTTGACTATTTATGAGCGACTTGGGCTGGACGCGATCTCGTTGGGTATGGCTGATCCAGAGAGCGCGACTGTGTTTACGGTCTGGGCACCCCAGTTCTTGAGCTGGGTCCAACAGCTCCCTGCTTACGCGTTCTCCCCCACCGAGGTGCCCTCTTCCCTGTCCCTGTCTCTGATCCTCAAGACCCTCTCAAATGCAGAGGGTGTTCTTCGGCTCGGTGGCGCAGCCCTACAATGGATGGTTTCACTCCCTATCTTCTCACTCGCGCCCCTCAAACCAACCCAACTCTTCAACCCACAAGCATTATCATCATACCTCGGCGGAGGCACGCGTCTATTGTACTCACTCGAGAACTTCCCACAGGAGTCTGTCTTTGGCGCGGTCGCGGTCGCGTACTTTGTGGGGTACGCTCTAGGAGATCTGATTCTGGGCTTTATTCATTACCCGGATCATGTCGACCCGCTGTCCGGGTGGGTCCATCATATTGTGTATATCTTACTGGCCTGGCGACTGGCGATGGTGAACCACCTCTGGATCTTTTCCATCTGCGGTGGACCCCTTGAGGGTAAGTTGGGTGCTTTTTTTTTTTTCTTTTTTTTTTTTTTTGGGTGGTTTGGCCGTGTGCAGGATGAGATTTGTGGTGGTGTGGTATTGCGAAATTGGATGGTACAAACGAAAAGAGACCTTTTTTTTTCTTACTACACCATGTACGCTATAATGTGCAAACTCTACATTTGTTTGTTCACCCTTTAAAAAATACACGGCAATCTCTAAAGTGAACGCTTCATTACTTACCTTATACCCCTTTTTCTTTCAACCCTCGATGAAACGAATTTCTATAGTATCGACGGTTTTCCTGGCAATAAGCAACATGTTCCCGCACCTGGAGAGCGCACGCTCTTTCTGGTTCCCCCTCACGTTCGTCCTGGCGAGGATCATTGGACATGCACTGATACTCCAGGAGATTCTGTTCAATTACCCAACACCCTCGGGGTCTGCAGAGCTCTTTGCGGGGTCGTTGTGTCTGCATGTGTTTTGGATCTGGAAGTACTATATGGGCGTGCGGCGGCGTGCGCATCGGGCCAAGAAGGCTGCTGCTCTGGAGCAGAAGCAGAAGCAGAGGCAGGCAAAAGAGAAGGTGGCAATTGGTACTTCTACGTCCTCGTCCATGGGATCTGAAGGAAAGACGATCCAGCTGCGTATTCAGAAAAGTAAGAAATAGTATTAGTTATTGGGTATTTAGTTTCTTCCTCATTCTACCAACACAGTATTTTTTTTGTACGTCTCACTTTCTCTTCTCCTTTCGACCCCACTCACTTAAACCCTCCCTTCCCAATACGTATGACGAAGATAAAGTAAGCAATAACCGTCGCGTGTTGAAAAAAACAAACCAAAAACAACTTTGTTCAGTATCAATTGTATGTCAAAGAAGTATATGTTCTTTTCATGAGCAAAGCAAAATTGGACGCGGTGCCCCTGCCTCCCGTTGCCTTGTCCCTTCACCCTCTCTTCCGTCATAATGCTGAAAGGCAGTGCAAATGTGGTCTATCCGGGTTCATTGAGTGGAGGGGTTGTGAGGCGAGGAAGAAGAAGAGGGGGGGGAGACCTAATAGAACAGTGGATAGAAAAGAAAGTGCTCACCAACTTCCGGAGATTCATCTTCTTTGGATTATATGTGTGTTTTCTGGCTGGGAATAGAAAAGTTGCCATGTGTTGGATATTTGAGGGGGATGGGGAAGAGCGGTAAGAAAGAAAAAGGGAAACAGTGTTGAGTTTGGGAGATTGGGAAGATTGACAGAAAGGAGCAGGGTTGCTTAGGAGCAATAAAAAGAAAGGGGTCAGGCTGGATGCTGGCTTTGTTTTGCTTTGCTGGCTGACTTGGGCAGGAGTAAAGTTGTAAGAATATTGGATATGCGGGAGAAGAAAAACCAATCCAGGGTATATGTGCATGCATGGATGCATGGATGGATTGGATGCCGCCGAGTATGATGATGGCTATGATGATGATGTTTGTTGTTTGAAGAATATTTTTTTTCCCCCGATCGAGACGACAACAATATGAAGGTTCGGGTAGGTGATTTGTTTGTTCGACATAACCATCCATGCATTCATTTGCAGGAAAGCATCCCGACATGTGCGACAAGAGGTAGAGGAAGCTGGAGGATGGGATGATGATTTTTGTCCCATTTTTTTTGTCCAACAGGTAGGCTTGTGTGTACAGGATTCTTTTTTTTCTTGTCTTGTGAGAGGAGAGCATAAGGCGTATGTGTTTGTGTTTGGGGGAGGAGGCCTCAAAAAAACGTGGATATTTCTGTGTGTGGGTGATGTGGGTGATGGATGGTGCCTATCAGTCTGACTTTTTGTCTGTCTGACTTGACCACTGACTGAAGTGAGTGATTGAATGGTGCTGATGGTACCTGAATGTCTCTGTCTCACCCTTCCCACTCACTCATGCACTCGCTCACTCACGCACGCACTCACTCACGACCTCCTTCATCCCCTTTTTCTTTCGCACCCTTGCACTCTCTGCTCTTTTTATTCTTCTTCTTTTCCTCCCCTTTTTCTTCTTTGTCTTTCCTTCTTTCCTTCCTTCTTCTGCTCCTCTCCTGTCTTCCCCTCTCTCCCTCCACAACAGTTCCCGATACCACTAGCACTAATCTTTACCTCCTCACTCACTCTCATTCCTCACTCTTACAGACACACACACACTCATACTTACACACTTGTACGCTCATCCACTTCATCCCCATCACTACCCCCCTTAATATCCCCTAATACCATCACCATGACCCCAAAACCCACAGTCCTCGTCCTCGGTGGAGTCGGCTTCATCGGCCGAAAGTTTGTCGCCTACCTGATCGAGCACGATCTCGCCTCATCGATCAGGGTCGTCGACAAGGTCCTCCCCCAGACCGCATACCTCAACAAGCGCTGCACTGCTGCCTTTGACCAGGTTGAGTTCATGCAGGCCAACCTTTCCAGCCCAGGTAAAATAACAAAAAACGAAAAAAAAAAGAGACGCCGTTTTTGTTTTTGAAGAAGGCGGAAAGAGCGTGATGTAGCGCTACGTGTTCTGCTAGAAAGCTGTTTGGTATCGTCTCTCTTGTTTTCCTTCTATCGTACACTCTCGACCAATGAAGTGCTCGTCCTAGTTTTTGGTTGGAAATCGGCGATGAAAACAACAAGGAAGAAAAAATGAAACGCCAATGAAGACGGGACATAGTATCGATGGATGTGGAAACGCAATGGTATATTAACCAAGTGTATTTTTTTTTACTTGCAATATAATAGCATCGATTACGAAGGCGTTCGAGCGTCCCGATGGCTCAACCTTTGACTATGTCGTCAACTTTGCTGCCGAGACAAAGTTCTCTCAGCCAAAGGAGGTAAAATGACAAAAACAAAACAAACTACATATGACATGCTCACCTTGCTCTGTTCTATGGTGAAGGACCTGGGATGTGGATGGGAGTGTGTACAAAAAGGTGTGGGAATGGGAAGTGTGCAAGGTAGAAGGGGGAAAGCATGCGACCCCATGTCGCTTATTTCATTTTCCTTTTTTTCGACCGTTGCGTGAGAACGAAGAGAGAGGAAAGGAGGGGGGGGGAATGGTGGTTTCTTCTGTCCGCGGGAAAAAGAGCGTTTTTTCTTTCCATTATGCTGCATGAGAGTGAGCAAATGATAGGCTTTTTTTCCGTTTCGGTTGACTGGGTGAGTTGTGAGCCAATCAGACATCCCCTCAGAGACATCCATTGGGAGAGAAGGGGCATGTCGTTGCAGCAAAGCAAAGCAAAGCGGGGGTTTAGACCCGAAGGAGGAAAAAAAACTAGGTTCATAAGCAACCGGGAACACAGGCAACGAAGCAACAGCCAATACGATAACCAGAAAAAAAGGTAATGCAGAACATTCGGACAGGGCGAGTCGACCTGCCCAGGCCAAGGGGAAAGGCAGACAGGGAGCGTCAGTGGTAGCAGCCATGATCATAGGACTGGACTTGAACAAGGATAAACCTTTTTTTCTTCCTCGGCACCATCAAGAGCGATAAAGAAAAGAAGAAGCGCGTGTTTGAAAGGAAACCACGAGAAACACCATTCATGCTTTCTTTCACACTCTTCCCAAGAGGAGGCCCCACCGATCAATTCACTAACCTGACTTTCTATTGCCTGTGGTTTATTGCAATAGATCTATGAGGAGCGTATTTACAGACTGTCAATCAACTGTGCCCAGGAGGCGGTCAGGAGGAACACAAAGGTGTTTGTCCAGTTCTCCACAGGCGATATCTACGAAGCCGACGGCGTAAGTGGCCATTCTTTCTCTTTTGTTTGCAGCACAAACTTGGTTATCGGGAAACACTCAAAGATTGCAGAGACGGGGTTTATTGGACCGTAACGTGTTTTCTGACTTCTGGTACATTCCCTTCCTGATATCTAGAGTGCAAGCAAGGAGGACTCCAAGACCAAGCCATGGAACGTGATGGCCCAGTACAAACTGAAGGTCGACACCGAGTTGCAGGACATGGCTGGGTAAGTCGGAGTTCTTTTCAGGAGAAATTTGCAATCAGAGGAGAAAGAGCGGACAATGGGGCTTGTATGACTGACCTGGACCATTACCGCTACGAGACAGACAGGAATGCGACCGATCGATCGACGGGTTATATTTGCAGCGGAGAAATAGGAAGAGCTGCATTATCAGCGCCAGGAAGGAGGAAGAGGGCGGAAGAGGATCTGCACATGATGCCACTTCAGTCATCTGTCCGCATGGTATCCGTTTCTCCACTGACCACGTTTTTTTATCTCCATTTGATGCATGTACAGACTGAACTTAATTATTCTTCGCCCCGCTGTCGTCTACGGTATCGGAGCCATGGGAGGACTCAGTAAGGACCATTTTAATTGATAGACAATGTGCACTCCGACATTTCCATATTCAATCGATGGTATTAACAATTGCACCCTTTCGTCATACAATCACTCTCACAGCCCCTAGATTGATCTGCGGTCGTGTGTACCAGCACTTGAACCAGAAGATGGAGTTCTTGTGGACAAAGGATTTGCGCATCAACACTGTTCATGTACTCGATGTTGCCAAGGCTGTTTGGCACACTGCCAACTGGTACGTCAACAACGACAAGACGGGCACCTATGTCTTCAACCTCGCAGACGAGAACGACACTGACCAGGAGGCCGTCAACGCACATATCCGCGCCATCTTTGGTATCGAGACTGGGTTCCAGGGCAAGATCATCTCTCAATTGGCCAAGGTACTTTTTCAGTGATATTATTTTCTCTCCTCAACATTCTTTGAAGATACAGTCTCTATTATCAACAAACGTCAGTCACTGACCATACTCTCAACTTCCGATTATGGTAACAAAATAGATGAACATGGAGGGAGCAACGGAGGACATTAACGAGATGCACTTGGCACCTTGGTCAGATATTTTGAAGGCGCACTCGATCAAGACGTCGCCATTGACGCCTTACCTGGACCAGGAGTTGCTCTACAATAACGCCGTCTCGCTCAACGGAACCAAGATCTGCACAACGACAGGATTCGTGTACGACCACCCCAAATTGACAGAGGAGAGCTTGCGCGAGATCATCGTCGACTTCCAGGACTTGGGCATCTGGCCACGGGACTAAGCCATTAGCAGATTGGAAGGAGAAAAGAGTGGAGGAGAAGTCGTTTTTTGTTCAATTTTTTTACTCGTTTTTTTTACGCCAAACATCCACCCAAAAGATCTATTAAAACATAGACAAAGAGCTAGAAAGCTGCAACACCACCGCGACCACATTTGTTACTACCATGGGGTGAATGCATGCATGGATTCTTGTTGGTGATCATTTTACTACACTCACGAACGAATGAGCTGCCGGACACGGCGCAGGTCGGAGACTTCTAATGTAGGGTAGTCATGCGCTGATAGTAAGGTTCTTATGTTAGGGGAAGAAAAGGTGGAAATGAACACTCTCTCTTGGAAGAGGTTTTTGGTTTTCAGGGCGTAAAAGAGAACATGAATAGATGGGAGGTAAGCATTAGAGCGTCATGATTGTTGGTTCTAGATACGACAAGCGAATGTTTGTTCCCTGGGTTTGTTGTCTCCCTCAAAGTGCTGGTGAGTCGGGTAAACATGAAGCATTAGAGTCAAAGCACGCCTTTGACTTTGTTAGGTTCGTTTCTCTCTGTTGCACCCTGTACTCTTGTGCGTACCCACGGCATACATCAAAAGTGGGAGACAAAGAAAATAACGGCGCCAAATCAGGCAAAGATGGCGTTTCTAGTTTTCCAGCGTCTAAATTGGCGTCCCTTGTCCCCTTGTCCCCTGTCCCAGCAGAGCCAATTGCTTATCAACCTTACTTAGCTCACACCCATCGATCCCCGTTCCTCTCTTCCTTTCTTTTCCTTTCTTTTCTCACACTCTCCACTCTCCACTCTCCACTCTCCTCTCTCCACTCTTTCCTCTTTCCCTTCATTCAACTCCTCATTGTCCCTTCCTCATGTCGTCTGAAAAGTCCACTTCTTCCTCGCCATCAGCAGTCCCAGCTGCAGGATGCCTCTCCATCTTTCAAGGAATCTTTGCTTCAAAGCCCACTACTTCAACTTCTGAAGAGTTCAACGTATGGCCAATGATCCTTTATTGAAGGCAGTGCGTGCTTGTTTGTCTTAGTACTGTGCATCACCTATCACGACCTATGATCACAGCACACAGCACTGTACGCCCCCTTTCTTTTCTTTCTCGTCGCTTACTGAGATGTTCGCCCTTCGCCCTTGCGCACTGCCCTGGCATGCTTGTTCAGCTTCGCAAAAGAAAAAGTACAATTTTATCCTCCTTTTTTCCCCACGACCCTCACCTTTTCACATTTCATTCACCCTCGTCTTCACCAAGAAAAAAAACTACATCCAACTCACAATTCATTTAACGCTTCCATTCACCAACTCAACGAATACCGTTTTTCGTCATTTGAAATCTTTTTTATATTAAACAGGAAAAGAACGCTCACTTGTACAGAGGCGAAAACAGCACGGTATCGACTCTCCCTCCAGCATATCAATCACTCTCTCAGGAAATGAGCCAACTTCTTGTCAACGAGGCCAGCCGTGTGCCTTTGTCAGACCTCTGGGAGAAGGACGAATTTGCCAAGGCTGTTCATCTGGCCATTGAGGGCGTCTCCTCCGAGCTCCGTGCGATCAGTCTCAAGGTACCTTTCTTGTTTGTGTATAACGTGTGAAGGGATATTAGAACGTGGGAATTGCATTTATTTTACCCAGGCGAGTAATCAAAGATTTTCTTTTGAACATCAGCTCCACGAGGACCCTGAGTTGAGCTATGAGGAGCACAGGGCCCATGCCCTGTTGACGGACTACCTGGAGAAGAAGGGCTTCGAGGTCGAGCGCAAAGCTTATGGACTCGACACGGCCTTTGTTGCCCGCGCTGGCAACTCTGACAAGGTCACCATCGGTATCTGCTCCGAGGTAAGAAAAACCACATCACCCATTGATCCCATCAGTTGCCTTAGTGATCATTGGCAGTTAACCACTCACAGTCACTCTTGATGATTAATTGCACCACGAATTTGTGACACTTGAACCTTTGAACTCACATCCACACTTTTCAATGATACTGCTTGGTTCTCCATTCTAAAAAAGTACGATGCCCTCCCAAGCACGGACTCTCCCACTGGCGCCTTCCAAGCATGTGGACATAACTTGATCGCCATTAGCGGCGTTGCAACGGCAATTGGACTTAAGACGGTCATTGAGCAGTTTGGACTTGAGGGACAGGTCAAGCTGTTTGGAACTCCCGCTGAGGAGACCTCTGGTAAACGATTTGATGCGTTTTTTTTTGTGAGAGCAAGCAGACACACGACAATTTTCATTGACCACAATTTGGTTATCTATGATTGGGAATAGGCGGAAAGATTGTGATGCTGGACCGCGGCGCATTCAAGGGCGTGGATGTCTGCATGATGCTCCACGGCGCCAATGCCGATGTCATCTACCCCGCCTTCTTGGCCCTGGACACCGTCGAGGTCGAGTTCTTTGGAAAGGCCTCGCACGCGTCGGCGTCTCCCTGGGAGGGTATCAACGCGTTGGATGCCGCAGTTCAATCATACACCAACATTGCGATGATGCGTCAGCAGATGCACCCTAGCCAGCGTGTCCACGGTATCATCAAGGACGGAGGCAAGGCTGCCAACATTATTCCTGATTACACAAAGTCGGTTTACACTGTGCGTGCCCCCAAGTTTGTGGAGGTTGAGGTCCTCAAGAAGCGTGTCGAGAGGATCTTTAACGCTGCTGCTACCTCTACCGGATGCACCGTCAAATTGACCTGGGGCGTTCCTTACAAGGGTAAGTATGATTGCTTCTCTGATTTCATTGTCTCATCAGTTATTGTTAAAGCTATTGGCAATGTACTGAAATACCGCCTGTCGTTTTTCATATTCACAATAGACATTATCTCAAACGACCCATTAACGCGCAAGTTTGAGCATTACATGAACAACCAGGGCGTCAAGTACGCTTCAAAGCAAGAACAACTGTCCAAGCTCTCTGGATCGACCGACATGGGCAACCTCACCTATGCCCTCCCCGGTATCCACCCAATGTTCAACATTCTGAACCTGATTGGTGAGGACGACAAGACGATGGGACTTCACACCAATGCGTTCGCCAATGCTGCTGCCCAACCCGTTGCACATGTTGCGACCTTGAGAGCATCCAAGAGCTTGGCCCTGACTGGTTTGGAGTGCATTGTCGACTCTGTGTTCCTCAAGGCTGTCAAGCAGGACTTTGATACGCAGGTCTAGAATTGAGCAGAAGTACGAAGCAGAAAAGAAGGCAGAGTAGAGAATAAACCTTTTTTGCATGGTCGGTGTATTGGTGCTATTAATCAAAAATAATAAGGTGTTTTGGTTTGTCTTTGTTGCGTATTCCTTGCATGATTTTCGGATCCTCCTTCTTCTCCTTGATTTTACTCTCTCCTTTATTTCTTTCTATCTGTATCTTGCTTTTATGATCCCTTTTGCTCTCAATAGATAAGACAGTGTTGTCGAAAGGAGTGAGAAGAAAAGAAGAAAAACAACGAGAGCTCATCAGTCAACGGGCTACCTTCTTTCGGCTTGAAATGCTTGTGTTGTCTTCTTTACTTGGCCGATGCGCGATCTGAAAAGGGATGATGAGAAGATTGAAAGGATAGAAAGAAGCTATGAGAGAACGAGAAGTTGAGAATGAGGATGAGAATGAAAGGGGGAGAGAGAGAGATAGTAGATCTCCACATTGTCAGTCCTTCGATATGGGGTATCAAAAGTGAGCAGATACGACAATTGACCCCATTCAGGCTTGAGAGGACACCACCATGACCACCACCGTTGTGATGTGGTTTCACGGTGGTGTTAATGAACCACATTGGTGTTGTTGTTCCTAGGTACTGACTAGGGGTGGAGGGTGTCCGTTCCCTTGCTTTGACGCGTCATTGGTCTTCCCTTTTGTCTGCATGGTGGCGTGTCTTCTTGATGTACACTTTGAGATGTGAGGATGTGTGTGTGGTCTGTTGTTGAGGTGTAGTGTGTGTTTGCATGGATACCTTTAGTCTCCTGGCTGGCTCTCAAGGTGTCGTCAATAGTCAACCCCCGTCTATGGTTGAGCTGTGTATTGTTTATATGGGTCTTGCCTCTTGTGCATCAGACTATGTCGAGCAATCGATAGAGGAGGACAAACAATAAAAAAAACGGCAATTGCAATAGACAATAACAATAGTATTTCGCCGCAATGGCCAACAAACAACAACCCCCATCCAGCCTTTGTTTCCAACTCAGCCGAGTACGCCACAGAGAAGGTGCATCTGCTCGCACCGTGTTCGCAGGTGTCAACAACAACAGCAAAGCAATAACAACCCTATGTGCCAACCGTTGCTCTCTACTTTTTCTTCCTTCCTCCCTTTGTCTCTTTAACCCCCTCTCTTTCTCACTCCCTTTTCTGCTCTCTCCCTTCTTATCCTTCTGTCCTTTCTGTCCCTTTTTCCTTCTCTCTCTTTCTCTCTCTCTTTCTCTCTCTCTTTCTCTCTCTCTTTTCCCTCGCGCATCCTTCGTCTTCTTCTTCTCTGGGACTGGTGCGAATTACAATCCAGACCGGTCATTCACCTTCTTTTCTCACCACCACCAGCCTGACAAACACATCTTCGCATCCGCCCCGATCCTCCTCATTCACTGTTGTCTTTGACGTCGTTGTCCTCATTCCCTTTCTTCTTTGTCTTGCAAGCACCTTTCTGTCTCTCAAGACTGTCGTCGCACTCTTTCTTCCTCCTCCTCCTCCACCACCACCACCGAACCCCCTCCGTCCCTTTCTTCTCTTCTTCCCTCCTCCTTGACTTTCAACTCGACCCCGCTTTCTCTTTCCTATCCTTCTCTCTCTTCTCTCTCTTCCCTCTCTCTTTTCCCTCTCTCACTCCCGTCATAACCGGTCAGTGATGACCACAACCACCAGCACCGAGCCACCTTCCTGGCCCTCCCCAACAACTGCTGGCTCCTTCTCTCGAAAGTCTGCCTCCATCTCTCGTCTCGACCTCACCTCCTCCGATTCCATCTCCATAGCGGTTCTTACCTCTTCTTCTCCCATTGACCCCTCAGCCCAGCTTGACATTCATGCTGACCCCACAAATCATGCAGCCCTCGACTTATCGTCCCAAAGCACAGCAAACACTGGTTCTCTTCAAACACCACACTTGGATAACTCTTTTGCATCTACGACGACAACAACGATAACGCAATTACCCAAGCCTATCAACAACAACCTCAATGCACCATTAGACCTAGGCACGGATGCAGTACATGGATCATTTTTACTACGTCCAACAACAACAACACACGACCCATCAATGGTTGCAGTGATAACAACTAGTGCTTTGACCCGGCAACTCGTCAATGCCGCAAATACTCCGACAGAACCTACCGTTCAAGCATCAGCAACAGCACGGCAAAAAGAAGTGATCCAGCGGGACCGGTCCTCTTTCTATCCATCCGAGTCGTCAAGGACATTTGGCAGACCGTCGATGGACTCGACCGATCACAAGGACACCCACGACCAAGAGATAATGAGCACGAGTAGCTTCAGCTTCGAGGACAGCGCTATCGCATACACAGAGATGGATATGTCCATGACCTCCCCCACCCGACATACCAAATCACCCCCGACTTCAGCATCCTCCTCCCTCACCTCCACAGGACGGCGACGCATGATTGCAGAATCTAGCATGATTCTCAGCGGAGGGGCTGGACAGGCCGCTGTCAATTCGGGATCCGGCATTGGAGGAGGTGCGCTGTCTCCTGCTTGGTCCATGACCTCCATTCCTCGAGATATCAGTGCCAACTATTGCCGAAGCGGAGACGACTCAACTGCACCTGCCATCGCGCCCATGGACGAAAAGCTCTATAGTTTAGTGGACAGGTTCGTTAAGATTATGATTATTTTTATATTCAGCAGCTGATGTTCAATGCCATTTTATTTTCGAGCCTTTGGTGGGGCTGAAGTGGCGATTCCTATTATTATGCGTTTTCTATTGTCAGTTACGATGCCGATCATGGGAGAGACAAGGAGGCTGTTAACTCACACTTTGTTTTGTTGAATGAAATAGATATGGTTTCTTGGTAGAAGAAGGGCGCACACCAACTGCAGACAGGAAAAATGGCCAAACCTCTACTGTTTCGTCACAGACGTCCGTGCGGGCCACACAACACGCAAGGTAAGCTGAGAGAAATGGTAGACTCTCAGTCAAGTCTCCCCCTATTTCTCGTTCAGATGTCAAAGACACTAACATTAACGTGTCTATGCTCATGTCGTGACCAATTCTTTAATAGGAAACAAGCCAGGACTGTTGCAAAGGAACAGGAGAGAAGTTTAAAGTGGGCGCGGATGGCGAAGCAATACACCTCAGAAGCAAACGAGATCGAGTACTCCTTTTTAGACCACCAAAAGGTAAAAAAACCACCAGATCGAGAGTGCTGGAGAGAGGAAAGGGCAAAAGAAAAGAGAGAAAACGCATTTCACCCCCCGTTGTATCTGCAGGAGTAAAAATAGCAGGCTTGAACACATTTTGTATATGCAACTTGCAGAAACGACCTTGGCTAACCATTCCTTTTCTCTGGAATGTGTGTTTACTGCAGTTTGTGTCTCGTGTTTACAAGGGCATCCCTGACTGCTGGCGAGCTGCTGCATGGTAAGGAAATGAAATGAACGAATCTGCTCTGGTGTCTTATATCAATGACATTTCGATTGCTCTAAAAAAACGCGCTTTTTTCTAATTGCTCTGTCTTTTTTTTTATCTGCTTCTGTAGGAGCCACCTCATCACCAGGCGATCTGCAGGCTTTGATCCAAACATCCGCCAAATATACCACGTATGTCATCTATTGGATACAGGGGGGCGGAGGCTGTTGCTACGTGGTTCTCGGGATAGGGATGCGTCGGCGTGAATGTTCCGTATATGCTCATGCCCCATTTATTGTCTCTCTTGCAAATTACATATAGGATATGCTCGAAATTTCATCACCGGAAGAAGAGCAGATCGACCTGGACATCCCAAGGTAAAGAGGGCTCTCATTTTGCCAGGATTGACCACTGGTTACCGAAAACATGGAGACTGAACACTGTGCTACTCTACCTCTCATCAATTAGGACAATGCATGGCCACATCATGTTCAGGGCTCGCTTTGGACCAGGGTATGTGGCACTTGAAGAATTGTCGTGGTAGCTCGTTGATTTGTTGGACCTGGCATTCTCGAGAAAATTGCGCGCTAAGTTTACTTTTCTTTGTCTCTTTTCCAAATTGATAAGACAGTGTGCACTCTTTAAGGTCTTAAAGGCATACTCCAACTACAACAGCCGCGTCGGATACTGTCAAGGAATGGCGAGCGTAGTTGCTACTATGCTGACCTTCTTTGATGCCGAGGTAAAACTTCTGGGTCGTACGAATGATATCTTCCTTAGCGAGCTGTCAAGGTAGCATGCTAACGTTGTTAACATTGGCACTTTTGTCCCCATTTTCACTTTTCTATAGAAAACATTTGTGCTTTTGGCTCAGCTGTTTGACCGGTACAACATCAACGAGCTTGTTGTTCCCGGCTTCCCGGCACTGTTTGAAGCATTCTTCATTCAGGAAGAACTGACAAAGATCTATGCACCCAACGTTTTTCAGGCTCTTGTAAGTTCACGCTCTAATGCCAACTCCTGGCTGCTCGGACTATTACTGCATTAAAGTCGGAGCATGAGAGATCAGATAGATTATTGACCTCTTCACTTGACGCTCATCCATAGGAAACGATGGGAATTGCAACGCCAAGCTACGCGTCGCGTTGGTACATCACCCTCTATTCCGCAGGTGTTGTCCCTTACCGAACATTGCTTCGGATATGGGATATTTTGTTACTTGAGGGCTTTGACTGGCTCTACTTTATGGCCCTAGCCCTCTTGAAGTATCACGAACGTAAGTGGATGAAGTAGTTAGTTTGATTTACTTATATCGGCACGGTACTACCATGAATGACACTGTTTGAGTATTGTACTAACAGGCCTTGACTTTCGTCATTCATTAACCATACTTAGAGGCGCTTGTTCTCAATAACTTTGAGCGGACGATGGAGATGCTGAACGCAAAGATGGACATTCAGGACGACGAGCGGCTATTGAAGATCGCGAGGAAGCTATCGAGGCAGGCCAAGCAAACAGGCATTGTCGCCAAGCTGAAGAAGACCTATGCTGCCAAAATGAAGCAGCCAGCTTAGCAGAGGGAGTTACCGTCATTTCTTTTTCTTTTTCTTTGAACATGATCTGATACGATGCAACTACTACCCAAAAGAACTTTTTTTTCCCCATCTATTTTATTTTTATTTTTATTTTTGCTTAATACCCTACCTTACACTACTTCATTTAATACTCCCTCTCGACTAATGCTCTTCCGTCCACTTTCCTTCATCCTTTGTTCACGACGCTGTGCGTGATCTTCTTAATGACCTTTGATGACCCCTGTCCAGTGACTCTGCCTAAACCATGCCTGCGCCCCCCCAAAAAAAATAAAAGCTCCTGCTACCACAATTTGTCCCATCTCAATCACCGTCACATTCTTTGTTCGATTGACAATCCATCAATAATTACTCGCTTCATTTTTTCTTTTCTCTTTTTCTTTTCTCATCCTCAACCCCAATTCCCCAGCCCAACTCAACATCCTCACACCATTACATATCACCTATCCCTGATGCCGCCAAAACGATCACGGTCCGGAACCAATGCTGTTGCTTCTGCCTCTACCAGCAAGAAGCAAAAGACAGCAGCACCCAAATCCAAGGCCAAGCCTAAACCCAAGATGAAGCCCAAAAGCAAGAGCACGCGGACGAGGGAGATCCGGGAGGACTCACCACCAGAGAAGGACTTTGACAGCTACGATGACGCCGTCCGTGATGCGATTTTGAACACGACCAAGAGCCGGTATGACGTGTCGTTGCAGCAGGATCATTTGGCGTTTGCGGCTGCGTTGATGGAGTCATCGTCTCCGTCGTCCATGTCGTTGTTCTCACAGGACGTGATGAAGCTGTCGAGCGATGGTGGTGGTGGTGGCGTGGGAGGGCAAGATGGTGAGGCGGAAGGAAGAGGGCCGCAGCAGGCGAAGGTATACAGTCTTGGGACGTTCTGTATGCATGCGATCGTCAAGAATTTTGAGTGCCTTGCCGTGGATGCCGTCACACCCGCTTCCACAAAGTCATCCGCAGCTGCAGCAGGAAGAGTAAGATCAGGAGGAGTAGGAGGAGGACAAGGAAATGGTGGCGGAGGTGGTCAAAGGTTCCGACGACAGGTCCAACATCTCCCGTTTTACCTCTCCGAACGTCTCTTCAAGGTCCTGAAACATGCTCGACCCGAGCTCCTGTCGACCAAACTCTGGACGGGCCTATTCTTCAACCCGAACACCATTGCCGGCGACCGAGTCGAGGAACTGGACTTGGAGGGGCTCATCCCCTCCCAGGTTACCGATACAGTGGTCCGGGCACATCTGTTATGGACTCTTGGAGTAGGACCTCGATTGACCAAGGTCAATTTGAACCATCAGACGGGCCTTTCTGACAAGGTGGTCTCAGGTCTGGTGGGTGCTTGTCCGAACTTGGCCAGGTTGTCGTTGAAGGGGTGTAGTAAGGTCGGGGACTTGACGTTGGCGAGTCTTCCGGAAGGGTCAATCGAGGAGTTGAATATTAGTTTTGTGGGAGCAACGGCGTGTACGGTGAAGGGGATCTCTGGGATGGTGTTGCGGTGTAGGGCGTTGAGGGTTTTGAAGGTTGCTGGGTTGGCGAATGTCAAGGATGCGGTGTTTGTACAGCTGGAGAAGAATTTGGCTCTGGAGAAGGAGCAACAGCAGGAGGACACTGGTAGAGGTAGCGGTGGTGGTGGTGGTAGTGGGAAGAAGGAGGCGGAATCGAGACCGTTGTCGAGGCTGGAGAATCTCAAGATCTCGACGACGAGCCTGGGAGACAGGGGGCTGAAGGTTGTGCTTGCGTTATGTGGGCGAACGCTTCGCAGGCTGGATATCTCACAGACTGGTGTCATGCGACCCTCACTTATCGGACAGTACTGTGTTTGGGATGATGCAGAAGGAGGAAAGGGAGGGAGCAAGAAGAAGATGACGACGCGACTGGAAAAACTGAACTTGACGAGGCTCACGATGAGCACGCCGACGGAACTCTCTACACTACTCCAACAGCTGCCAGCTAACAGTCTCCACACTCTGCTGATGGGGTATATCACGCACAGCCGATCGGTCTTTAGCGACGGTGTCTTTGAGGAGATGAGCTCGTCGGACCTTGAGGAGCTGGAGGATGAAGGAGAAGCTTCCTCCTTGCTAAACCAACAAGGTGGCGAGGTGATTCCTGTTTCGCTGCGAACGAGACCCAAGTTCTTTCTACGCACCCTGTCCCTGTTTGGCAACTACGAGTTGGGTCGGTCCGCACGCGACCGGGACGCACTCCGCTGGCACCTGAACACTTTGGCGCCCTACTTGAAGCGCTTGGAACTCGGATACACCGGCTACGACCATGAAGTCCTCCTAGGACTGATTGACCCACCACACCGCCACCGTCTTACCGCCGAGGAGGTGACTCTACAACAAGGACAAGAGTTTGACAAGTACAACGATGTCCTGGAGGAGCTGGGAATGGACGCAACACGGATCAGTGACGAGGGCGCGGTTGTGCTTTCGAGACTCCGTGGGCTATCTCGGTTGTCGATGGCGAATACACAGATCTCCAAGGATGCTGTTGAGATTATTGCTGCTGGGTGTCCGAGGTTGAGTAGTTTGGATTTGACGAGTTGTCGGGGTGTGCCTGTTGTGCAACGGAGGACGCTCTTGAAGGATATCCGACAACGTGCCTCATCTTCGTCCTCGTCTTCGTCGCATTCATAGTTGTAGAGATGGGCATGGCGAAATACACACATTAGATTGAACACTTGAACGGCAGAGGAGGATAGATAGGGAGGGGCGAGGGGGAGTTGATGGCGGTGGTTGTGTTGGGGGAGACTGGAATCTCGAGAATCTACTTTCAATAACATGGATAAAGCAAAAAAAGGGTTCGTGCATGTCTACATTCCCCCCTCCCCCTTCTCCCTATTTTATTTTTCATTCTTTTTGGTCAACTACGCTTTCTTTCCTTCTTTCCTGTCTGCCTCTCACTCTCTTCCCTTCCTGTCTGCTTTGATCATTACTCTATCTTTCTCCAGCGTACATACCCTTTTTTCAATGCGACACAAACGCAGACAACTTCCAACAGTGCCAGCTGCACCCGATGACACTGCCGTGTTGCCAGAACTGAGCACTCAGGGGAACCCAGCAGCAGCAGCATCAACAGAAGGAAAACCAGGAGGGGAAGCGACGACAAAGACTCTACAAGGCAAGGAGGACCCAACCCTGGCCGAAACCAACTACCCAATCCTCTGGTGGACTCCTCCTCTTCCTCCCACATTGCAGGAAAAGCAAGAACAAGGTATTAAGATCGAGTTGCCATATACAGTCGACACCTGCGGCCTCGAGTACAAATGTACATTCACAACAGATCGGTCTGTGCTCTCGACCACCAATGTGGTGCTATTCAGGGGATCGCAATTGGATGAGCAGGACCTTCCTCCTGCTGCTACGCGGCCGGCTTCTCAGGCCTGGGTTCTCAATAATGGTACGTTTTTTTAGCTCGACTTGTTTGTAGATAAAAAGTATGTTCTGCGACGGAGGTGTTTGTTCACGCATGGGTCTTCTAACGATATCCATGTTTTTTTATTGTTTTTTTTGTTGTAGTGTTGAAGGACGCAGAGGAAGCGAAGAAGAGAGAGGTCATCACCTCAATCCTTGACCCAACACACGTCTGGTCCCACTCCTTCCCACCCACCACGGCCACTACAGACTTTGTCGAGACCGTCTTCCAGAGCCGCTCTCCTAACAACCCGATACAGCAGCAGCAGTCGTTTGTGGATATCGTAACCATGCCGCCAAAGGTCGACCTCCAGGAAAAGAACCGCCTGCGAACGCTAGGGAAAGAGAATGGAGGCAGGGCTGCCGCTGTTTGGATCACTACTGGTGACAGTGAAGGAGGAGGATGTGTGGATGCGCCGAGTGGGAGAGAGAACTTTGTGAGGGAGTTGATGGTGGTTATGGATGTTGATATATATGGGCCTTGTTTGAATAACTCTGTCTGGCCCGTCCATCCCGACACTCAGAGTAAGGCTCTTTCATTTTTCGTGTTCGAAGAAGGTCTGCCTATATGAGCCCCACGCGTTAACCCCATCTCCATTCATTTTCCTTCTTTGGCCATTATAGAACCGTTCACGGCACAGGAGATCATGCAAGACTACAAATTCGTCTTTGCACTCGAACGCGTCAACTGCCAGGACTACATCACTCAACACCTTGCCGATGCCACCACAGTTGGTGTGGTACCTATCGTTGACGGCCCGCAGGACTATTCGCGGTTCTCACCGTCGGAGAACGCGTTTGTGGAGATTAGGAATTTCCTAGCGCCGGAACAGTTCGCGCAGGAGATTGATCGGTTGGACCGGAATGATGCGCTTTACTTGGAGCGGCTCTTCTACCGTGTCAACAAAGACACCGGCAGTGGTGAAGGAGTTGAGGCGATGGCTGAAGGAACTGGGGCACTCTTGCCGCTCTTTCGACAGACGTTTGGAGGAGGAGCCATTTCAGAGTCAGGCATGGCAGAAGTATCATCACCGACTATAAAGACATGGACACCAGACCGCCACGGCGTGTATTGCGGAATCTGCGAACTAGCCCACAAACTCTCCCAGAACACCTACGACTGGACAACACATACCCAACAGCGCAAAGAAATCGCCTCCAATAACACTCCGTCGGCACCCATATGCGAAACCTCCCCGCGATACCTACCTGGCCTCCCGGCTCAGATGCAAGCATACGATGCGTACCTACAGGCCCAGAACGAGCTTGCGTTTATCCGGCAGCAGGAGGAGATGGAGGCGTTGTTGAGGCAGGAGCAGTTGGAAGATTCAGGATCGGTTATGAGCACGGCGACGGTTCATGTCGTCAATGTCACTGTTTCGTTCAACAGCAATAACAATACAGGATATAATGTGTCGGACTCCAATTCATTGGAGAACAACACTATCGGCCAACCGTCCATCATTGTCCTCCACCAAGACGTTTCCTCTTCCAAAGCCCAGAACCTCGCAGAAGTCGACCCCGCAACCGCCTACCACCACCACATTCCTGCCACCTCCATCTCTTCAACCGACGGAACAACACTCCCGCTCTCAGAAGTGCACTACCTCCTATTGTTGATTCTAGCAATGTTTGTGGGTGTCGGAGCATTGGTCTTGATATTATCTAAGAGCGCCCGTCAGAAACTGTTTTGGCCCTGGCGACACTTGCTCTACAAGAAGCTGCCGCGCGATGAAGGGGGTGCGGATGCGTTGACATTGGAAAGGGTCATGCTGCGTGAGTTGGGCGAAGACCTCCTTTACGACTAAATCGACTGATCTTTTCTATTAAAAAAATGTTTTGTTTCGTGTTGGTTTGAAGACAAAATTGATCCCATCCAGTCAGACATGTTACCAAAAAAAAAAAAAAAAAACACAACGCACGGATCTGACTTTTTTGCCGCTTTGTATATTCGACGCATTACCCACAAGCGATTTAAACATACTTTCATTCAAGCATTGTATTCTTCACCTCTATCACCACCACGCCACCACTATTGATCCCACAGAATACCAGACCCAGCTATGAGGTTGGAAAGGACCGCATACCATCGTCAGCATCTGAAAACCATACACATAGGTACAAAGTAATAGAGCAGTCATTTCGTAGTACAATAGAAAGAAAAAAAAAGAGGACTAATGTGCGCTTTACTTACTTACAGCTATGGTACACTGAAGCATTGAGGGCCACCATGATCTCTAATACTGCAGTTTACTAGAAAACTAGCCAGTTGTCCCAAAGTCTCGATTTACCATAGTAAAATAAAATGTTGGCACTTGACGACGAAGGCAAAGAACAAGAATAGGAACAGCAACAAGAACAAGAACGGCAACAAAAAATACAAGAACAAGACGAAAGCGTCTTTTCTTCATCTCATCCTCGGTCACTTTTCCCCATTCTCTCTCCTTATTCTCTCCCCCCCCCCCCCCACATTTCTACATCCCCTCCTCTTTTCCAAATGAAACGAGTCATAGCAATAAACCGAATAACTTACTCTTGTCATTCGAAGGATGACCTCCTTTACAAGGATCAACCGTCCGTGATTAATGGGAAAAAAAAATCTTTAAACCTACTCGCTCAGCTCAAAGACCGAGAAGTCGTGTCTGGCAAAAAAAACGACCAAGCCCACCGATACAGTCATCGGCATCGATTTGACATGGTTATGCGGTACGAGTTCGTGTTTTCTCTTGAAATTTCTTCACTTTTTTATTATTTTTCATTTCTATTCTGTGGGGTAAAGGTTCAAGATCCCGAGAAATCCATTGAAAAAGAGGAAAAAAAAAAAGGCTGGTACGTTCGTTTTCGGCGAGAAAACGAACGGATGCAAGGGATGACTAAAAATACACTGTGCGAAACAAGATGAAAGAATCAAAATGCGAAAAGGAGGGTGGAGGTTTGTCGACAGTGTGCATCATTAGAAGAAATAATAAGAGAGAAAAGAAAACAAGAACTACAGGATGTCTTCAGCACAAGAGCGAGAAATAAGAAAATACAAAAAAGATAAAGAATGCAGTTGGAAAGTCCAGGGGGAAGAGACAAAAGAAGGTAGGTCGGCACCAATTCGAATCCAAGTGGGGTGGGGGCGTAGTCCGATTCCAAATAGTAGGCTGCTGGGAGTTGGGTCTGTCGGTCCATTCGGTGCTCGAAAACATCCTTCTGCCCCCCTTCATCCCCTCATTCCTGATAAACAATCCTGCCAATTTCTTAGATCAAGAGCTTCTCGATCTGGAGCTTGATGGCCAAGATCTGGGCCTTGAGGTCAGAGCCCTCGTTAGAGGTAACGGAGGCAGCAATGACGGGGCGCGAGACACCACAGGCACGGCCAAGGGCGGTCTTGGAGGGGACAAAGACATAGGGGACGTTCTTGTCCTCGCAGAGGAGAGGGAGGTGGAGCAAGATCTCGATGGGCTCGGTGTCGGCTGTCATGACAATGAACTCGGCAATACCGCGGTTGAGGGTCTTGGTGGCCTCGTTGGCTCCCTTCTTGAGCTGCTTATAGTGGGAGGCCTGCTGAACGAGATCCATGATCGAGTTGGTGAGGGCGGCATCGGCAAGGGGCCAGGCTTTGGGGTTGACTTCGGCCTATTGTTGTGAGGGATAGTGCGAGAGACGAAGTTTATTAGTGACCTGTCAAGCTTACTGTTTCTCGCCAATGAATTGAACTGAGTGTGCTGATGGTTGTTGTTGCATTGTTGTCCTTGCTGTCGCCAAGAAGAGGATGCGCGTTTGTGATCAACTGGTTCTTACCATTGTGATGTGTATGATGTGTGATGGGAGGAGCGGGAAAGAGTGGTAAAGAAAGAACGAATGCAATTCACCCCGCGCCTTTATGCACTCACAAAGGAAAAAAAAAAAAAAAAAAAAGAAAAACAATCAAAACAGTGACTGCTTCATGTTTTCGCTATATACAAATGCAAATACTACTCTAAATTCTAGGGAAAGGGGACTTAAAAGACGGGGACGCCTCCGACGACATCAGAGGGCTTCTTAGCCTCGCCGGTGAGGGCCTCGGCAAGGAAGGCATACTCCTCAGCCAAGTGGACCTTCTTGTTACCGGTGGCAACGGAGGCAGAGGGCTCACGACCAGCATAGCGGACCTCCTTATTAGCGTGGTTGGCAGTCTCCTTGAGCGACGTGCGGATACGGGGGGCGACATGGGCCCAGGCTCCCATGTTCAAGGGCTCCTCCTGGCACCAGACAACCTCGGCGTTGGGGTACTTGTCAGTGTGCTCCTTGACAAGATCATAGGGGAAGGGGTTCAGCTGCTCAACACGCGAGATCACAACATCGTCAATCTTGTTCTGCTCACGGGCCTTGGCCAAGGCATAGTAGACCTGACCAGAGCAGAGAATGTGCTTCTTAACCTTATCGGCAGCAACAATCTTCTCCTCCTCAACCTCAGGGATGAAACGCTGGAAGCGAGTCTCGCCCGACATCTCCTCCAAAGTCGAACGAGCCATGGGGTGACGCAACAACAACTTGGAGTTGAAGGCAACCAAGGGCTTGCGGAAGTCGCGGTGGATCTGGCGACGGAGGGCGTGGAAATAGTTGGCGGGGGTTGAGCAGTAAATAACTTGCATGTTGCAGTCCTGGTGCTGGCGAGACAACATCTCCTCAGAGGGGAAAACGTTGGGGTGGTCATCGCACATCTGGAGGTAACGCTCAATACGGGCAGACGAGTGCTCGGGTCCCTGACCATCGTAACCGTGGGGCAACAACATGGTCAAGCCAGTGCGCTGGAGCCACTTGGTTTCTCCTGAAGCAATGAACTGATCAATGATGCACTGGGCGTTGTTGGCGAAATCACCGAACTGGGCCTCCCAGAGGACGAGTGAGCTGGGGTTGACGAGGGAGTATCCGAGCTCGAATCCGAGAGCACCATATTCAGAGAGAGAAGAGTTGTTGACGGTGAAGGCAGCCTGTCCGTGACCCAAGTTCTTGAGGGGAACGTGGAGCTTGTCGGTCTCCTGGTCGTGGAGAACGGCGTGACGGTGAGAGAAGGTACCACGCTCAACATCCTGACCGGCCAAACGAACATGCTTGCCCTCAGAGAGCAAAGTACCGAAGGCAAGACCCTCAGCAGTGGCCCAGTCAATGTTGGAGCCAGTCTCGATGGTCTTGGCGCGAGCCTTCATGATACGGGCCAAGTTGGAGTGGATCTTGAAGCCGGGGGGAGTCGACGAGATCTTGTCTCCAATGTGCTTCAAGGTCTCGACAGCAGCGCCGGTGGGGTGGCTGGCGAGAACCTCAGAAGCGAGTTCAGCGGGCGACTTGAATCCGTGCCACGAACTAGTCATCCACTCCTTGGACTTTGACTTGTAGTCCTTGCTCTTGGCGTAGTTCTCCTCCAAAATATCCCAGACGCGCTTCTTCATGTCATTGATCTCCTCGGTCTTGAAGGTACCCTCCTTGACGAGCTGGTCAATGTAGCGCTCCATGGCGGGGGTCTGGTTGTTGATGGCCTTGTACATGATGGGCTGGGTGAAGCTGGGCTGATCGGTCTCGTTGTGTCCATGACGTCTGTAGCAGACGAGATCGATGACAACATCGGTGTGGAACTCCTTGCGCCAGTCAGCAGCCAATTGGTGGACATAGTTAACTGCCTCAACGTCATCGGCGTTGACGTGGAAGATGGGGGCGTTGATGGACTTTGCGATATCGGTACAGTAGGCGGTCGAACGGGAGAAGCGGGGGTCGGTGGTGAAGCCGATCTGGTTGTTAACGACAATGTGGACAGTTCCTCCAGTCGAGTAGGCGGGCAAGTCCATAAATCCGAGAGTCTCGTAGACGACTCCCTGTCCGGCAAAGGCGGCATCTCCGTGCAAGAGAACGGCGAGTGAGCGGGTTCTCGTCTTGTCATCCATGTAGTGCTGGATGGCGTGGGTCTTTCCGAGCACGACACCGTCAGCAGCCTCCAAATGCGAGGGGTTGGCGACCAAGGACAAGTGAACGGGCTTGCCCGAGGGGGTGGGGCGTTCATAGTTCATTCCCAAATGGTACTTGACATCACCCGAGAAGCCGTCGTTGGCAGAGTTTCCGCTGAACTCGGCGAAGATAGACTCGTGGGGCTTGCGGACGACGTTGGAGAGGACGTTAAGACGACCACGATGGGGCATGCCCATGACAATGGACTCGACACCGTGCTCGACGGAGCGATCAATCTATTGGGATAAAAGAAGGAGGATCGAGGCTTAGTGAGTTGAGGAGGGAACTGCAGCACGAGTACCAGAAACGCTCATCCGACAGGGGCAACTATGTGTGGAAAAAGATGGGGTAAAGGAGGGGGAAGGCCAAATATGGAACGATCCAATAAAACAGCGCAATTTGCTCACAGAGCGCTCTTTTCTCTAGACAATGAGACATAAGCCCGACACAACCAAGGAAAGATCTACCTTCCCCTCCTTCCTCTCTTTTTTTTGTAGCAATGGGCAATGGGGGGAGGAATAACGAACGCAACGTCGAGGGCAAAAAGAAAGAATGACTGAAAAAAAGAGACTTACCAAGGCCTTCATTCCAGGAATCAAACTCTCGCCTCCCTCAAGACCGAAGCGCTTCTCGCTGGGATACTTGGACGAGACGAAACGCTCGAAGGAGTCGGACCAGATCATACGATCGAGGATCATGGTCTTCTCCTCGGTGGTGTACTTGTAGGGTCTGGGGACCTCGACACGTTGACGGATCCAGTCGCAACGCTCCCTGTCGGGAATGTGGATGTACTCAACACCGATGGAGCCGCCTATTTAGAGGGATGATGGGCGAGAAGGAAGAACGGCCAAAAATACCGCGGATGATTAGAAACCCAGCCTGGAAGGAGATTTCTGGTCCCTGAGGGACGATTTATCGGTCAAAGAGAGATGAGGGATATCATTTACAGAGGAGACTGAATTCATAGAGTCGGTCTTGACGCAGGGAACACCCAAACACCCGCAAACCCACTTTGATCCTCGCCAATAACGTCAACTCAGAACAATCGCTCCTCATGCGTGAGTAACGACGACGGACAACAGTCTTCAGAGAAGAAATAACGACGAGACAATTATGTGTTGATGACACGAGATAGTCAACGAAGGAAAATGAACCCGACCATGGAACATCAAAGAAAGGTCGACAAGAGACAAGTGCTTCCTGATAGGGCTGGAATCCATTATCCCGCACGCATACACACATGTATGTTTCTCTTCTTCCCGGTCTTCCAGAAATGAGTGTTGTGTGTTCCCTTTCCCTGTTCCGTGTTCCGTGTGTCCCTGCCATTCCTTTGTTGCTGCTGCTGTTGTTGTTTGTGTTGTAGTTATTTGTAGTTGTTTGCTGAGTGGCGTGGTGGTGCTCTGTGTTGTGTGTGATCTGTGACACACGGATCGAAGGATCCAAAAAAATGCGGAGGAATAGAAAAGAGATCGCATTGTCCAGGAACAGCAAAAGGGGCTGGGAACAACAAAAGGTTCAATCCGCATCATCGTTGTGCAAACTTACAGTAAATGCTCTTGAGGTGGTCGACAATCTCGCGAAGGGTCTGGTTGCTGCCAGTGTCAAGGAAACCGGGAAGAATACCGGGTCCGAGAGAGAAGGTACGGTCGAGATCCTTCTCGCTGAAGCCGTAGTGGTTCAGGTCGAGCTCGCGAGGCGAGACGGCAGCGAAGCTGGTCTGGTTGATTCCGAGGGGATCCAAGCGGGCAACATGATGACCACGGGCCTGGTAGGCACGGACGAGAAGCTGAATCTTCAAGTGGTCAATGACATCGGAGGATCCTACCTGGGAGCCAGGGACCAACGAAGGGACACCACCGGTGGTGGGGATGGTGGGGGCAGCCTGGAAGGACTGGGAGGAAGACATGCCGTTAGACTGGTTCCTGAAGTAGATCTGCCACGAGAGGTGGACAGAGGTGGGGTCCTTGAGCCAGGCAGAGTACATCTCCTCGACGTAGCCGGCAGAGTTACCCTGAAGGAAGGCGTCCTTTGCGGCGGGGATTTCGTCCTTTGCGGCGGCGGCAGAGGAAGCCTTGCGGATGGTCATCATGGTGGCGACGGGGGCGGTGGCGCGAGCCAAGGATGAGCGCATCAAGAGGGCGGACTGGCGCGCCAAGGGGTTGGCAGCCGCGCGGGCGATGGAGGCGAGGGGGAAAGGCATGATAATAGATATGATGTAGGTGGGGATGGGTATTGAAAGGGAGGGTTATGAGAGGGGTCTATATGCACGTGTGCATTGAAAATGAGGATTAGTGTTGATCGAGGTGGGTGGGATGAGTGAAAGGAGAGATCTGAACTGTTTGGTCGCCTTGAAAAGGATGGAGCGAACAAAGAGAACAAGAAAAGGTGGGAGAGGGGGGAGAGGAAGGTGGAGTATTGGAGAGAAAAGGAAAAGAAAGAAAAGCAAGAAAAAGCAAGCAAGAAAAAGGAGATAAAGGGCAGCTTTGTTGACGTTGTTGTGTGGACGTGTTCCTGACTGGCCGACCGTGTGCCTTTGTAAGGATTGCCAAACTCGTCGTTTCCGAGATGATGTGTGGGGGAAGAATTATTTTTGCGACTGGTCATGGCTGACACAAGCCACAGTCATTGCTGATGTGAATAAAAAGACGGAAATTGGTGGCAAAAGAGTTAAATGGGTCTCAAACACAATATATGGGCTTGATAGCCAACACAGACACAATAGTAAACTCTGACAAGACGGAAGGAAAGGAAGAAGACAAGTCGACTTCTCGCTTGCTATATGGCGAAGAGCAAAGGAGGAAGGTAATACATGTGACCTGGACATTGACAAGAAAGAACGAAAGAAGGAAGGAAGGAAACGTGGCGGAAATAAGGAACAGAGAGAAAGAAGGACGAGAGGGTAATTTGCCAACAGACAACATGCATGTTTAGGAAAAAAGATATTATAAATAAGAAAGCGTCTTCTGCAACGAAAGAACTGCAAGTCAACATATGAAATAGGTGCCGCCCTGGATCAAAGAAAGATGAGAAATCCGTTAGTGCAGAAAACAAAAACAGAGGGCATGAGTGCTCAGATCGAATGAAAGTATTATTCTTAGGACAATGATATGTTGAGGTTCACTTTACAAGGCAAATGAAAATGAGAAAGAGAGAAAGATAGAGGGAGAGAGAGAGAGAGAGAGAGAGAGAGAGAGAGAGAGAGAGAGAGAGAGAGAGAGAGAGAGAGAGAGAGAGAGAGAGAGAGAGAGAGAGAGAGAGAGAGAGAGAGAGAGAGAGAGAGAGAGAGAGAGAGAGCTGGGAACTGCCTCCGTGCGTGTGTGTGCCCATGGTCCCATATGAAAAGAGAATTATGAGCACCAAATCAAAGAAACGACAACCAGAAAGTGAGAAGGAACCAGACCAACATGAAGCTTGAGCAAAGTACATGCGAAAGTAAAAACCAACGTGATAATCAACATACCAGCAACAGCCTCGACTCGGACCGAGAGTCAGTGGAGAAAATGGACAGGAATAGCCCTCATAGAACGAATGTCGTGACATTTCTAACTGTCCACCATAACGCATACCTTCACCATCATCATCTGACACACAGACAGCGAGGGCCAGTCAGACAAGGGTCGATAAGCGAGCATACTCCTCATGATGGACGACATGCCAAATCGGCATGAACGAGCAGGAAACACACAAACATGCAAAAGAGAGTTGAAGGGAACAGATAACCCCCCCCCCCTCCCTCCCCCAATGCTCACACCACACACGTAGACTTCTTTCCCAATTCGTGCGCACTGGACATGCGCAAAACCCGTCCGTCGTATCTGTTGGGATAATTTCACACTTTCATGTGTGCCTGTGTGCCTGGCAGAAACAACTCAAATGGCTCGCGCGCTTATATTTTTGTTCCCTTTCTTTTCTTCTTTTTCTTTACATTGCACGCTCCCTTCTCTTCTTTCGTTTTTACTCTCAACGTCCCTAGTTTCAATAACTCATCACTCACACTCTCCCCTCCAACCACAGCAATGGCTTTCCACTCCTCCTTCAAGCTGTAAGTTCATCACCTCCCTTCGACAAGGATTCTTACTCACCCCATCACACTTGTGTTCTAACGACCACAAACTCTCTTTGTTCTCATCACAAACAGCTACACGAGCGCTGACACATTCACCCTTCAGCCCATCAACGCCGACTCATCTACCGCTTCCGAGAACGTCATCATCCAGCGCAGCACCGGAAACGTTCAATTGAACTGTAAGAACACGATTGACTGACAGCAACACCACTCCATGAACCCTGCTACCACTCAGGTTAATCTCTTTTGTTCCGCTTAAAAACCTTGCCCGTAACTAACTGACCAATGCTTCTATTATCCCTTTTCTCTCTACCCCTCCTGGAATGGATTAGCCCCTGCATCTGCTGCTCCTTCGGATGATGAAGTGCTGACCATCTATGGTGTTATCGGCTTTATCCGTCTCTTGGCCGGTGAGTGTTCATGCAATTCCATATATCTATCAGGAGTTACCAAAGGCGTTATTTTGTTCTCCATTTGGGGCTGTCTCTTTGTCAGCCGTTCGCATGACTTCAATTGACTGACCTCTCGTTATTTTACACGTCTACTCCCAGGCGAGTACATGGTTGTCATCACTGAGCGGTCAAAGGTTGGCCAGATTGGCACAAAGGACATCTACAGGGTCAAGGACTACAAAGTCCTTCCCCTCTCCCGCAACACGCTCGCATTGACCGAGGCACAGGTATGGCGCAACTGCTTCTGACATCTATGGGGCAATAGGAGCACAGTAAGAAAAAGGCATCGTCGTAATTAATCAACAATTTATATCTATATTATGATCTCGCTAGGTTGGAGAGGAGGCCTCATACTTGTCCCTCCTCCACTCGCATCTCCAGTCTGGAAAGTTCAACTTCTCGTATGACTATGAGTTGACCCACAGTCTTCAGCGCCAGGCCGAGTTGAAGGGCAACACCCAGCCCATCTGGGAGCGCGTAAGTCTGCTTTGCAACTTTGAGCACTTGTGCATATTCACCTTTTCTAACCCACACGCTCGCCCTTTACTTTATGTGATATTGTAGGCTGATGAGAGATTCTTCTGGAACAGGCGCCTTCAGTCAAAGTTCATTGACCATACCACCAAGAACAAGGACCAGGATGTAAGCTGCATGACATGAGAGTGATCCGGACACATTCCAAGAGACAATCAAAGTCCATTCTCCACAGACACATGTACTAACTATCGTATCGGTGTTTGTTTCCCTCATTTGCATGGATAATGGGTAATTGGATAATTAGTTGAGCAGATTTATTTTGCCCATTGTCAATGGCTTCGCCGAGATCAAGACTGCCGAGATCAACAAGAAGCCCTTCTCTTTCGCCGTCATTTCTCGCCGATCCCGTCACCGCGCCGGTACCCGCTACTTCTCCCGCGGTGTCGACGCTGACGGCAACGTCTCCAACTTCAACGAGACCGAGCAGATCCTTATTGCCGACGCTGGCATTGATGGTGCTGCCTCGGTTCTTCCTGGCGGCAAGATCTTCTTGGCCCATGTCCAAACCCGTGGCTCCATCCCCATCTACTGGACCCAGATCAACAACATCAAGTATACCCCCAAGCTCCAGATCTTCAATAACCCCGAGACCGTAAGTCGCAATGAATGCAATGTTCTCTGCCTTTTCATTTCTATTTTGTCACGGATGCCTCATTTCTGTAATGTATGAGCGCTCTCTAACTCGGCTATCATCTCTTTTTTTAACAATTGTAGGAAAACTCCTTCCGCGCTCACTTTGAGACTCAGAAGAAGTTCTACGGACCCCAGCTTGTTATTAATTTGGTCAACAACAAGGGTTACGAGAAGCCCATGGCCGATGCCTTCACCAAGAACATCAGCATCTTGAACGACAAAGATATCAAGTATCTCCACTTTGACTTCCACCACGAGTGCAGCAAGATGAGATGGCACCGCGTTACCTTGATTTTGGACTACTTCCAGTCGGAACTCCATGCTCAAGGGTATGTCATTCATTGTGATCTGCCCTTCATGCTTGACGGCGGCCATTGTTTGGCACTAGGTTCTCACTCTTTCAATAACTTCAATACCTGGTCTAATAGATACTTCAAGGCTGTTTTCGGCAAGGATGGTGTTGAGAAGGTTACCCTGAAGCAGACCTCTGTTGTTCGCAGCAACTGCATGGACTGCCTGGACAGAACCAACGTTGTCCAGTCTGTCGTTTCTCGGTGGGTCTTGAACCGACAGCTCCGTGACATTGGCATCCTTGGTGCCGACGAGAGGTTTGAGCTCTTTGACGACTTTGAGTTCCAGTTCCGCAATGGTAAGCAATCCCGACTCTCTTGTCCTTCTATGCTTTCTCGCGCTGCTTCATTTATCTTGAGTGGCCCTAACCCTTCTAACCGTACCTCCTTTTATCAATATACATAGTTTGGGCTGACAACGCTGATGTTATCAGTTGTGCCTACTCTGGCACTGGAGCATTGAAGACCGACTTTACCAGGACCGGAAACCGTACCAAGGCTGGCGCAATGCAGGATCTTCAGAACTCGATTGTTCGTTATGTCAAGAACAACTTTTTGGATGGAGCTCGCCAGGTGAATTTTGCTGAAACTTACTTACGCCACCAATTTATTATCGTTACAAGGAACTTGTTATGTTTGGACAGAAACCTAATCCTTCAACCGTCTGCCTTTATTTCTTACAAATAGGACGCATATGATTTGTTCCTTAGGTACGATGTCGACCCCTCGGGATCATACCCATTGGTCGATAACCGTCCTTTGCAGATCAAAGCCCTCCCCGTTGTGTTGTTGGTCGGAGCCGCCATGCTTGCTGGATCAATCATCCTTCCCGAGAACTCTTTGAGCACGGCTGTCATTCTATTTGCTTCCTTCTGGCTCGCCATCATTACCTACGTCTTCAAGTTCTTGGTCGCCAATGGCATTCAGTATGTCAACTGGCCCAAGCTAGTCCCTTTGCCTTACGTCAAGGCCTAAGTGATGTCGTCCCTTTGTCCTCCTTTTGTACAACTTCTTATGACTTTTTTTCACACCTATAGAAACTCCTCTTTCTTTTTTCATGCAATACATTCTCTTTCTAGTCAATGTACTGTGCGTGTGCTTGGGAAGAATGTCATGATAGTGGCAAAGTGTGTCGTGTAAGCTAATATCAACTTGTTTCAATTCATTCGGGAATTAACGCGACTTGACGCATTATTTCCCGGCACAGAAATAGGGTTTGTCCAGCGCCCGCCCATGGTTTCGCGCCTCATTCCCAGTTTTTCAACCATTTTCCTTTTCACTGTTCTTCTTTTAAACTCATCACACCAAACCAAGGACAACCCAACAAATGACCGTGACACCTTTCCCCCTACCAACCGACGCACCCATCCCGGCCGCCGCAGCAACCACTCCTGTTGGCGCTGGTGCAGCCCCCGTTACTGCCGGCGCAGTTGCCAACCCTGTTGGAACAGTCCCAGCATTAGGAGCACAAGGGCAGGGTCAGGAGGCACAATTGACGGACGAGCAGATTCTGACACAAATGCAGGCCATCAAGGACGAAGAGGCGAATGCGCACCCGTTGGTGGATCACTCGGTAGACCTCTTGGAGCTTGCGCAGGAGTATGAGAACGGTAGTGAGGCCTTCAAGAAAAAGATCCAGGTATGTTATGGATGTTCATAATGAAGTGGAGGATAGTCGAGCGTAAGAATGATGAAGTTACTGATGTCTTTTGTCAATGTGATGGTGGTTTGACTAACGTATCGTTTCTTTGCCTTTTCGCTTGATGTCGTGCTTTGCTTTAGAACTTGTCGGATACCCATGATAGAATGCGGCGATCAAGGGGCGATGGTGAGTTCTTCCTCCTTTCTCTCCATCTCGTGTTCAGGACGTTTATGACTGAATGGAAGGGGTTTGCCTATTATCTGTAGCTCCGTTTATTTACTTGCTAACCATTTCGCTACGTCTTTCTTTTCATTTTCCTCTATTATGTGCTCATCGATTTATTGTCGTCCTGGTGCAACATAGGCAACTGCTTCTACCGAGGTAACGTATGAAAAGGGGAGATCGTGACGTGATTGTCATCATTCAGCGTGCGAATGCTAACGACTTATCTACGTTGTTGAATATTACAAAATATAGCATTCGCGTTTGCTTGGTTCGAGCGGGTGATGTTGGCGATCAAGTCGAAACCAGAGTTGCATGCGAATGCGGTCAGGACGATTGAAGGGACCAAGGACCTCTTGCTCGCTGCACAGTTTGAGTTGCTCGCATTCGAGGATTTTTACCAGGTGACACTCGAGACGCTCCAGAGCCTGGTCCATTCCACCTCTGAGGAACTCTTGGCAGCCTTCCAGAACGACGAAATCTCAAACTCGATTGTGATGCATTTCCGGTTGGTGGCGTCGGCATTCTTAAAGACACATCAGGACGATTATGCGCCGTTCCTCGAGTTTGGTCAAACAATGGACGAGTTCTGTTCGATGCATGTGGAAGCCATGGGACGGGAGTCTGAAGAGATGATGCTGATTGCGTTGACAAAGGCTACCCAGGTGTCGATTGAGGTGGCGTATTTGAACGGGAACCAGGCAGCGGATGAGGTCAACTTTTTGCCGTTCTTGCCCGATACTGCTCCGTATATGCCGCCATTGGTGCTCCTCTATCGCCCGGGACATTATGACATCTTGTACCGCAAGAGCCATTGCTTGGAGGGTGTCATCTGAGAAAGAAATCGAAGCGCATAAAAGAAAAGGGGCAGAGAGAGGAGAAAGAGAGAGGAAAATGGTGAACAGAGAGAGAAAGGAACTTGGACAGCAGACGAACGAGCGATCAAGGAGAGAGAGAAAGGCAAGCAGTAGCAGCTAACCAAAATAAACAAAAAAACGCATTTGCAATTCGTGAAAGGAGAGCGAGAGAAATGAGATGGACAAAAAGGCGAAATCAGCTATTTTTCTTGTTACCCCTGGGAAATATGACTTATTCTCCCTTCGCAGTGAGGAATTTGGACAAATGACAGCATGCGGGTGATGAGTGCATGTTGTTGACCTTACCTCTATGCAAGGAAGTGCGAAGGACGAGGACGAAGAGGAGGAGGAAGTGAAGAAGGAGGAGGAGGAGGAGGAGGAGAAAAAGGGGTCTCTCACCTCCATCTCTCTCTCCTCTCATTGTTTTAACGCGTACATGTGCGCACTTGCCTTCTCATTCTCTTCTTTCATGTGAATCGTCCTTCCATCCGCACCGCCTTTTTGTTCGCACTGTCGCTTTGTCTGTTTGCCTTTTGGTTTATTTTGGCCTTGCATATCTTTTTGTAGAAACGCGACAAGTGCATATGTTTTCTGGTTGGCATGCAAGGAAAAGGCTCTTTCACCACCTCCTCTCCCTCCTCCCATCCGATCCTCACATGTAGATCGGGGTATGCAGACATATGTGAACCAAGAGCAAAAACAATCAAAAGCAATCAAGGCAATCGAGGTAAATCAAGGTAAATCAAGGACGATCGCCCAGGAGAAAGCTGGATTAGGCCATTGGAGTGCTTGAGCATGAGTGAAGGTTACCGGCGACCCCCGTTTTTTTATTATTACTATTCCCTATGTCGGTACATGATCAAGTCAGCAATGTTACCAGCCAGAAACAAACCGCAGGGCAAGGAGACTAAGGGAGGCGGTTGGTTACAGTTTACAGTTTGGCTGTCATTGTGTTGTGTGCGACTTCGTAAATGGTTCCCTTTTTTTTCAATTGTGTGGAGTAAAAAACGCGCTCTAGACGACGCCCATGCCCACGCCTGGCCAGCCTCGCCCTTGCGAAACTTTAATCATCCCTTGATTGAAAACTCTCTCCCCCCCTCCCCCGATCCACTTTTTCTTTGCGAAGCAAAATAAAAACCGCATTTTGTTCAACTTGAATGTCTTCGAACCAATTTGCTTCACGCTAGTGTGGTCGCCAGGGATGAAATGAGTTCCTTTCTTCTTTACTTCTCCCTTTACTTTGTCGCCCTTTTCTCACTTTCGCGAAAAAAGTTTGATGGTTGGCGAAACAAAAGGAATTAGGCTTGCGGGTTAGGGGGGTGAGGTCGGGTGTATATGATTCAACCAAATTCCTAAAACCCAAAAAAAAAAAAAAAAAAAAAAAAAAAACGATCTCGTGGACTAAAAGGATACCTTTGCATGCTCACATTTGCGCGTGGCGTGTGTCCGATGTGGAAAAAACGGAAGAAAAGAAAATGAGCTATCCAACCCAGCCAAACCAAACCAAACACCACACACAACCATAAACAACCAACCCCACGTTTACCACACCACCAAACACAAAAAGATGAACGAACATACGCAGAAATATGGAATCAACGGAAAACGAGCTGCAAAAAAACCAAGGGTCTGAATATGTATATGACATTCTCATGTGTATGTGCGATGATGGATCGGGTTGCACAAAAGAACTCTGAAAAAACACCCCTCTCCGACTCTGCAAATCATTCGCTCGCTCCTGCAGTAAAGCAAGCGAGCAGAGTACGGTAACTCCCATTCTTTCTGCTTCATTACGTCTATTTTTTGGATCTCGTGCGTGTATTTATGCTTTGTGTACGTTTGTGCATGGAGTGAGAGGCTACATACCTGTAGCTGTAAGTTTTTTTTTCTCTCCGGGAAAAGCGAGAATAGAGATACAGATCCAGCATTACAATACACACACAGGAGGGAGAAGCTCATGACGACCTCTAAGAAATGTGTTTTTAGATCCATTTTCCAGCAGATAAAAAAAACAAAAAAAAACAGAGAGACAGCAATGAGCCCTTTTGTCTCTTTGTTAATTGAACTGTAAGCAGATCGAAAACAAACAAAACGCCATTGTGCATGGAGAGGAGGGAGAGAAGGAGAGGCGGGAGAGGGAGGAGGAGGGAGGTGAAAAGGATGTGGAAACACGGGAGATGTTGGACACAAAACAAAAAACAGATCAAAAAATATGAGAATGACCCCTTCTCGTTGGATTATTTTCAAACAAAACAGAACAACGAGGCTCCTCTTTTCACCTTTTTTTCTTTCATCCTTCCTCACCTTACCATCGCCTCCAGCACTACCCCTGTCAAGTTTGTAATAAAAATTGTCCGTTTTGTGGCGTTTACATTGAATGAGATTACAAACGCAACGATTTTTCTTTGTGGTTGCTTGATGACTGATGGTCGACCTAGTCTCACCAACGAGCCAAATGGTTTTAGAATCTGATTTGACAGGCTGATCTACTGATCAACTGATCATCCAAAACAATGGAACCATCAATCATCACGAACAGAAAACGAATGGCACTTCATGCCAAGTACAGTAGTAGAGAACTTGGTGAACTTGAAGGAAATGGGGGGGAACATAAATCGGAAGAGAGAAGAATGGGAGAGAGAGTGAATGCATGTATGTAAGTATGTGTATGCGAGAATGAGATGCATGGCATGTTGACACTAGCTTATTTATTTTTTGGGCAATGGTGATTTCGAGCATTCCTGAATGTCTCTCGCTCTCTTGTCTCTTTTTGTCTCTTGCTCCAACTCTCTAATTGTTTCTGTTGTGTGTGTGCATGTGTGTGAGTCAAGCCGCCTTTTCAACCGAGGCTATCACATCTATCTGTCAAACATGGTTAGTTCCACAAGAACAAAGGTAGGAAGAGAGAGAGAGAGAGAAAAGAAGAACCGAAAGAGAAAAAGAAGGGAAAGGCGAAGGGCGAAGGGCGAAAAAAAGAGGCGAAATATGTGATTCAAGGAGTGCAATGAGAGACGAAGGGGGGAAAGGGACAGATGAAGCGGACATTGGATTGACTGATTGATTGACATTGATTGACTTCAACAACAGCACACGCTGCGTGTTTTTAGTGCTTTTTGATTGAGAAGTGAGTTGGCGCATTCGTTGATTTATGGGCATTGGCATTAGCATTGGCATTGGCATTGGGGAAGATGTTATTTACTACTTTGGAAAGAGGAGGAGAAAGGGGAGATGGGGATGAGGCATTGATGGATGGTACTTGAATATGTCGCGATATTATTGTTGTAGGGGACAGACAGACATGAATAAGGAGGACATGAATGGTTGATTCCTTATAGATCATTTGGAAAGACACCTAATCCATGTTCAATTGCAAGGATGATCATGAATGTTCAATTTTCTGTCTGTTCATGTATGTATGTGTGCCAATGCCAATGCAGATACAGATTTACGTCTGTAGTCCTTTGCTTCCATTGTGTGACCCACGGGTCTGCCAGGTCATCCCCCTCATACTCTTTCTTACTCTAGCCCTCTCCTTTTCTCCCTTCCGTCCCCTCCTTTCCTTCCCCATCCCCGACAATATCACCCATCGGCATCACCATCATCATCATCATCATCATCGTATCGTATCGAATCTGTTATTATATCTTTGTCTGCTACACATTATTAGGCTCCTTCGAAACACATAAAGGATCCCTTTTTTCCTTATTTTATTTTCGGTGGCAAACACTCTCTTTCTTGCCTTTTCTTTCGCTCCCTTCTCTCCCTTCACTTCTTTCTCTCATCGATCCTTATGTTTATCCTTTAATCCATTTCGCGCCCCTCCTCTCTGTTGCATTCGTCATTCGCTCTTTTCCCTCTCCCCCGCAATCACCTCATTTCAGGAACAGCAACATCAACAGCAACAGCCATTCACTGTTACAACAACAACAAGAACAACAAGAACAACAACAACACTTCCCCTCATATTCACATTGCAATCGCTTTTTTTTTCACACACTTGAGCAAACAAAACTAGTTTCTTGTTGTTTTTTTTTACCACGCACCTGTTGACCTTGAAAACCCTACTCCCTGTTTTTTCCTTTCTTTTCCTTTTTATTTGAACGAAGCTAACCCGATTTACAGAAGAACAAAAAGTTGTGTGTGACCGACGAGAAAGTCACACCTTTTCCTTCCCTTTCCACCCCTCTCTCTCTTCGTTCTCTCTCGCCTCTTTCTTTCTTCTCTTCCCTTCTCTTCCTTTCTTCCTTCTCTGCTTCCTCTTCTCCTCTCCTCTCTATCCCTTCCTTCGTTCCTTCTCTCGTTTCTCAGCGCCCTTTTTTATCCCTTTTTCCCTGCACATACATACATACATACAATCATTCAGCATACAACCATACAAACATACAAACATACAAACACACAACCATACAAACACCCCCCCACCCCCTGCCTGTTCTCTGTTTTTTGTCCTTCTTCCCCATCCCCCACCTCTTCCTCTCCCCCTCACTCGCTCACATTCACCTCTCTCTCTTTTTCCAACTCGTGTCTTCCTTCTTTTTCTTCTTCCTTTGACTTCAAAGCGCATTATCAGCACCATCGTCGTCATATCTTCACCCTGCTTCTTCCTTCCTTCCCTTCCTACCTCGCTCTCTCCCTCTTTCTCACCTCTCCGCGTCGCCTGAACGGACCTACTTTCATTGAACTCGTCCTCGTTCCTCTTTCTTCCTTTCACCGGCACTCGCCTCATTTGGCCTGCGTTCATTGGCTTCCAAACAGCTCGATTATATCACCAACAAAAACGAATCCCAGGCACCAACCATGGCAATGGCCATAGCTCGACCCGACCGCACCTCTTCCTTCTCCAGTCAAAACGAAAGCCCTATCGACGACCAACTCCTCTCTGCCATCACATCCACCAGTATAAGTGGTCTTCATACACATGGCTCTTCTTCCTCTTCAACCTCCTCCGCCTCCACCGACGGCATAACCAGGCACAACGCCTCCGAGGCCGACGATGGCCCCGTCTTATCTCGGCTTCTCGTCAACGTGGATCTGTTCCCCATAATCGTATCCTACCTCGATACCCAGTCCCTCCTCTCCCTGAGTTCCATCAATGCTCGCTTTCGACGCGAGATCTTTGTCCCCTTGACGCCCAACCTCTGCTGCCTGAACCTTTTCCTCCAAGAGCGGACAGTTGTCTGTCCGATGGCTCAGTTTGAGAGCCTCAAGGACTTTATGGCCAAATACCGATGCTTCAAGCCCGTCCATCTGCACTTTACATACAGCGATCGATCTAGCCTCATGTCGCTCGTGCCCGAGATCACAGCACCGATTTACAATTCCAAGGTCGATACTTCGTTCTCACATCCTTCCACATCGCCCCTGGCAACCTCACATCTCACAGGCATCAACCAGAGTATTAGTATCAACATCACCAGCGCCAACAGCCTTTATCAACACCACCACCCAGTCATCCAATCGCCGCCCGTCCGACAGTCCTTGCTCCACACCCAACATGAGAACGACCAGCCAGAGATATCGAGCCCCAGTAGTAGTGGCAGTCTCCAAGCCCTGTCAACACAGCATGCGACCATCAACCGGCTCAAGACCACAAGAACGAGCAGCAGCAGCAGCACTGACAGTGCCCTCAGTGACAGCTATGACAGTACAGGAGAGAATATGGCACAGCAGGTCAAGGTGTCGGCCTCGGCTTCTTCGGAAGACACAATTGGAAGTTCAATTGACATTCCAATGGCTGAATATGCGGCGACATCCTCTACCTCGACGGCGACGACAACATCAGCAACTACGACAACTCTGGGCAACATTGCCTCCTCTGATACGACCACCTATCATCAACAGCGACAGCAAGCACAAGAACAACAACAACGTCAGAACCAGCAAAAACAGCAACCTCAGTATACCAGTCGCTCTGTCGATTATTACGGCAACGGCAGTAACAACCACACTCCTAACAACACTCATCATGGTGGATCACTCGGCCTTCACTCTGTCTCTGTTTTATCCGAATCGATCCCAGTCCACTCCAGCTCATCGTCGTCGACGTCACAGCACAGTCAGCATGGTTTCGAGCTATCGTATTGGCAAAAGTTTGCCCTGAATGAGCTATTTATGCGCCTCCTCCCGTTTCTCCGAACGCTGACGATTGGCAGGACCGACAAACCGACGAGGCGTGCACGAGATGAGGAATTGGCGTCGATCAATGGCGAGCTCTCGGCTGGAGTATGCTTCTTCCTGGCGCGGTGCTTCAACGTGATGCACGACATGCCTGATACGGCGCTCGAATCGGTCGTCTGGATGGATGTTACTGCCAAAGATGTTGTCCTCCTCATCACGATGATCGAACTTCGGGATATCATAGTCGATGAGAGATACTGGAAGCGTGGATACTGGGCTATCGATCGACCTCGCGTGCGACCCACTAGTGCCTTAAGAGACACTGCCATCAATGACGGAGATTACGAGGATGACGAGGACGATGAAGGCGATTGGGACGGATTCTATTACCTGATCAACCATGAAGGTGCTGAGAAGAAGGTCTCACAGCCCAAGAAGAAGTCGTCATTGAAGGGTGCGGGTCAGGCCCCTCGACGGAAGGTTAGCACCATCAGGGACTTTAACGCCAACGGCACGAAATCAGCTTCATCAGATTCATCCACCACATCATCAAGGTCGCCAACAACTATGACAGCAACGTCATCATCATCGTCATCTACATTGCCATCGACATTCTCGAAACATACGATCGCCCAAATTCCACCACAGCAATCCGTCTCTGGATTGGGTCAGCTTGTCATGACCGCATCGTCAACGACAACGGGAACATCAACAACAACGTCAAGCAACCTATCATCGTCGGCCAGCGCGATCCTCGATCATACAAGGAAGATCCGCAGAAACATCCCGGCGCCAGAGCCCTGGCAAGGTTTCGGTGAAGGTGTATTGGAATCGAGCCCCAGGAAAGTGTTCGTCACAGAAGAGCTCCCACCGGCAGTGCAGCTGTTTGAGGCCTTGAAAGCCGAGATCAACGATGTTGTGGCGGCGGCCCGCTCTTCTGGCAAGGGCAAGAAACCGTCGATCATGACCTCTAGTTCCTGGCGATATTAGTTCTCTTTTCACTTTATCTTTTCATTTTCTGTTCCCTTTTTTTTTTTTTTTTTTTTTTTTTGCGCATATTACATCGGCCATTTTCCCTTCTTGTTTTCTCTCTCTCTCCCCTCTCTCTATCTTCCATCCTCTTTTCTAATGTAGAAGTAGTACCATAGTTGTTCCTAATTGAAGCATCTACCCTCCCCCAAAAAGGACTAAAAACAAAAGTACATTTTTAATACCTCTCAGACAAAGCTTACGTATGCTCACCATGCTGATTGTAAAGTCAAGGAAGACGTGTTCTTTTTTGAACAGGGTGCACCATGGTCCAGGGGCACTTTGATGTAATAGTTTTTGACTGATCACTTGCATCGGAAACTGCACAACATGTTCACGCTCAGTGGCGGATGCGTACAATGTGTTAATTACGCGGTGCAATGATTGCAATTTATTAAGAATGAAATATTAGGAAGATAAATACGAGCGTTGTTAGCTCTTGAGAACGGTGACGAAAAAAAAAGGGTAGGAGAGCAGATTGGAAGCCTGAGAGGAAAGGGGGGAGGGGGGGGAAAGGAACAGGTACCTTTTTCACGGGCCAAGCAAATAAAAACACGTATCCTACCACACACCCTCCTTCCCATAATCATGTTTTCCTTACTCTCTTACTCTTGCTGGTTCTCGCCCCAGAGGGAGAAATTATCCTTCAACAACTGGATAATCAAGACTGAATCACGATAGTCATGAGCCGAGTTCTGGACCTCCTCCGATTCCAACAAGGCGATCGCACTATCCATCGCGCCCTTTGCGATGTCACAGGCTTTTTCGGCATTGTTGAGAATCTCGTAGTAAAAGACAGAGTAGTTGAGGGCGAGGCCGAGACGGATCGGGTGGGTGTGGTCGAGGTCGGAGGCGAACTCTGTGGCCTCGCGGTAGAGCCCCTCTGCGGTGTCGGAGGCCTTCTTGCGGGCGTCGTCTTTTGTGATCTCTGCTACGTAACGGTAGTAGTCAGCCTTCCTATTAATTATCGAAACAAAACACGAACATCAACGAGGCGAGAGGTAGGATCGTCGAGTTTTGTCGTAACGTTAATTGTCTGAGGCGAAGGATCAAAAGTCAATTGCGATCACAAACCACCATAACCGCGAAAGAAGTAACAGGAAAACGAAACATACAAAAGATAATAACTTACATCTTGTAGTAAAAGACAAGACACTCATTCTTATCTGTAGCATCCACAAAGGGAATAACATCATCATCCAAGATGTGGAAAATATCCGCACAGGTGTCGTTGAGCTCCTTTTCGATCTTGGCCCGGTAGATCTTGAGGTTCTCGACGCGGTTCTCGCGGTTGTTGGAGATCTCCTTCTCCTCGATCGAGGAGACGATCCGCCAGGCGGCCCGACGTGCTCCGATGAGGTTCTTGAATGCCACCGAGAGCAGGTTGCGCTCTTCCAGTGTCAATGGGACATGGTGCTATGTTTTGATATGGTTGGTGGTGGTAATGGAGACGATCGTGGGAAGAAAAGAAAGCAATAAGTATGAGTTGGTGTGAGAGAGCGCGGGAAAGAAGAGAGTACGGTATGGGAACATAACTCTGTTTTTTTGGCATAATTTTCTGTCGTTGCTGTTGTAACGCGATTCCTGCGTTAAAATCGGGATGATGTAGTGTGGGTTCGCGTTATCATACCTTGGTAATGTCCTTCATGTGAGAGACCATCTCTACATGAGGTGGAGTAAGAGAAAGAGCGGGAGAAAAAGAAAGAGAAAAAGGGAGATCTGTCAGTCCATGCCATGGTAGTCTACAGAACAAAGTTGACTTCATTCCAAGCTTTGCATCATTACGTCATGACACGCTCATTTGTTAATATTCAGGGGTCCTCTACATACCATCGTAGCGTTCGGCCTGTTCGGCAACCTTGGCCATGTAGACCTATATCAATAAAATAGTACATCAACCCCCAATGGTAGCGAGTAATAGAAAAAAAAGGAGTAAGTGGATGAGCGAATGAAGGTGAGCAAGGAGGTTGAGTATGGTTTGAAGGTCGAGTCGGTTTCCCGCTGAAAAGTAAAAAAGTCGCGAAATAAACAAAGAAGAGCCAATTGGAAAGGCCATTCAGGAAGTGTTTCAAGGTATGAGTGCGCATGTGTTCATTTCCTTGTTCTGTTTGTCCCATGTCCGTTACTGTCCACACAGCATGAGAAACAAGAATAAGAAGAAAGAAAAAGAAAAGAGGGTACTCGAGCCGGCGAGAGACAAGCGTTAAGATCCGCACAAAACACTCAACTCTCGTTTCCTGTGCTGTTGTTGGTTGCCCCCTATGATTTGCGTTAGGATGATATTCGCGCCCTTTTCCTCTCTTGTCGGCTGTTGCACTGCTGACAACGTTGTCGCTTCGGTGATCGTGTCCCAACGGTCTGCTCTCATCGACTAGGCATTGCCCTCCGAGGAATAAAAAACGAAAAAGACCAAGAGGTGGCCGAGAAAGCGAAGAATGGCACACAACTCGATAACAAGAAGAGAATGAAGACGAGTCAAACGGACTGGTGCGTCAACTTACGTTAGTTTCTCTCTCCTAATAGAGTGTACCAAGAGGGGAAAATAGGAAACACAAATGAGTTAGCAGAATGCTCTTCACGTTCGCTTCATCCTTTTGAAAAAGTCGCGCCATTCTTGCTCTGCTTTCATAGTGTCCATTTGGGCGATCGTTCCATTCGTTTATCGTGAGGGCGGACTTTTCGTTTGTTACAACAATTTGTCACTGCTGGGCACAGCGCACAATTCGATTAAATGTCTGTGAAACAAAGAAAAATGTAGTTGAGGACGATCACTGGCATTCTGCATTTTAGCAACCTGGCAGAGCAAGGCGATCTTTGTGTTTATACGTTGTGGCGCGATCGAGGGCCATGGACGTGTGTACAGCAATTTACAGCCATAACAATAACAGTAATCAACGAGAGTAGACCTGACTTACAGCGGTATCGGCCATGGTAGAAATGTGTTAAGTGTTGTCGGTTGGTGTTGGAGTGTTGAGGTGTTGGACGACGTTTGGCAGTTGAGTTGTTGAATGGGTGTTGCAATGAGCTGTGAAGGTGAATGAGGAAAGTGAATGAGGAAAAAAGAGAAGAAAAGAGAAAAAGAAGAGGGGAGAAATAGGAAAGTATCCATGGTCGGCGCGGACACAGAAAGGATGACACCGTCGTTCGTTGCCGAAGTTGTGGGTAGGTAAAAAAAACTCGAGTCTCCTTTAATGGTTGCACCAATGGCATTATGGGTGGCCAATGCTCACCCGTCCTCTCTTCTCGTCTCGATCCCGCTCCTTTTTTTCACGCAATTTTACATACATGCATTTGTTTCGTCCAATGGGTCAAGTCCAAAAACGGACGGGTCACCCCATCCTACGTGTCCCTGTTCATTTCCTCTGTGCTCCTTCTCTCATTTTCTTGCCGAGGGAAAGGAGGAAAAATGAAGGAAGGAAGGAAAGTCCCGCGCTTCTGCCAGAATAAAAATCTGTTGAAAGGCGGAAAAGAAGGGGGAGATGCGTTGGGCAATGTTGCTGCTGCTGTGTCCCTTTTCCCTCCTTCCCTTGTTTTCTTCTCCCTTTCTTTGCCAATTCTAACCGCCTGCAAGAAGTTTTCTTTCCCCCCCTAGTACCCCCAGAGCAAATACAAATGCACGCCTGCATGCTTGCCTTTTTTCCCTACTCATCTTACTAGTCGATGAATCTTCGTCCTCGTCCCCACCCTCAGTCGCGCCCAGCCCTTCCTCTTTACCCCCTGTTACGCATCAATTGGCGTTTGAAGTTTAAAAAACCCCAAAAACTGTTCAGGGTGCACTGAAATGTACACGGCCATCATGACCCCCACGTCCTTCCCCCTCCCCCCCATTCTTTTTGTACCACATGGAGGGAGGGTCTGGGTTGTGATTTGCGCTTCTTTGTTTGTTGTTGTGCAGGGGAAAAAAAGGTGTGTCGCGTATTTGTTTCCAGACCAGTGGAGCAGTCTAGATGCTTTTGGTCTTTTTTTGGGAGTCTTTGACGAATAACAAGGTAGCCCGTTTCATGATATCTGGTCCCCTGTTTTTTTTGGCTTGTTTTGCTGTCGTGATAGTGGCGAGCGTTGAATAGTGGTTTCTAATAATATACATTTGGGGTGTGTGTGTGGTATGTGGCGTGTACGTGCGTGTCTAGTAGCGCTTTCGCATCAAGGAAGGTTTCCAATCCAGAGGGTGTGTGTCGGGCGTCTATTTGGAATAATAAGGATATAAAAAAACGACGCGTGAAGTTAGTTCTCGATTCGTGATAAGCAGAGACAATTTGACACGTTCAGCAAGCAAAACAACAAGAGAAAAAAAACGTACGGCTTGGTCGTCTTCCTTCCAGATCTTGATGGACTTGTCAGCCTCTCCAGTAATAAGACGCAGACCGGTCTTGTCAAACTCGGCGCAAAAGATACCGGCTTCACTGTCTAACGATCCGGGCTGGACAAGCGAGTCCAGTCTCTGGAACTGGTGTCCTGACTTCCAATCCCAAAATCCCATTGCTCCATTGTCAGCTACAAGAGGGAGGAGGATATCATGAATGAGGTTGGAAGTTAGCAACCTTATTGTTATCAGGCACAAACAGCCATCCAAGAACCGAAAGAGAAACGATATAATACCTCCAGTGAACATAACATTGTCGGCATTGACAGCCATGGCGTTGACGATGCCTCCGCCTCCAGTGACACCTTCAGGACCCTCAAAGTTGCGCATAAACTGGCCCTCAGGACACTTCCACTGCTTGATGTTATCAGGACTGGCGGTCGAGAAGGTGAACTCTGTAGGATGCAAGGCCATGGCACGGACACTCTTCTTGTGATGTGTGAGTGTAGTCATAGTCTTTCCTGCAGCCAGATCCCACAGACGGACAGTGCTATCCATTGAAGATGTGATGACCTGTGGGTCTGCTTCCTGACACTTGACTGCACTGACTGTTCCTGTGTGTCCTGAGAGAACGTGCACTGCCTGCTTTGTCCTCATATCCCACACCTATGTTGTAAAGATTGAATGCAATAGGATACATATCAGATATAACATTCAATTGTGGTTCAGGCCATTTAGACGTAGATTCTCAAGAAGGGCAACTTACGCGAGCGGTGGCATCACGACCAGAGGTGACAAGGACGTCCAGAGTGGGGTGGATGGCTAGGGCATAGACACCACTGAGATGCCCGTGGTAGTGTCGAATGACCTTGTTGGTTTCCAGATCCCAGCATTTGACCAACTTGTCGTCACCGCACGAGAACAGGTATGGGTGTCGTGGTGACACTGCCAATCCACGAACTTGTCCAATGTGACCCGTCAGCGACAGCTTCAATCTTCCCGATGCCAAGTCCCAAATCTACAGACGATCAAATGAGAATGTTAGTAGTGCGCATCCACACGTGTTGCTGTAGATTTCGAAGTGATATGGTGAAAAGACATGAGGATCCGAATATACCTTGATGATACGGTCACCAGCACCAGTAGCGAACCACGAATTGCCAGGCTCGACAGCAACACTCCTGACCCACCCCTGATGTCCCGAGATGACCCTCATCAGCTTCCAGGGAGCATGCCACTCTGGACGGATCGCCTTGGCGACAGGTCTTCTGACCAACGAAGTGCCTCCACCCGGTGCATCCGGGAAGGGATTATGGATTGTTGGTTTGTGCATCACCAATGCATTTGACTGCTGTGAAGTCTTCTTAGGAAGAGTGTCGAGGATCTTCTCTACGCCACTGTCAACATCCCCTGCTGTTGCTGATGGTCCTGGTGCAATGACTGATCCTGTCTTGGCCTTCTTTTTTTCCAGCTGCTCCTTCTGTCGCATCAAGAGTGGGTGTGGGAGGACTTGAATGTCTTTGTATTCGTCATGGATCTTGGACTGCAATTTGACGCGCTGGCTATATCAACAAAGAGGAGAAGAGCTGATCCGTCAGTATTGCTTGTCCACCTCGATCGACAGCTCCTTTCCTTATAAACCATACAATAAAATTCTCGCGCGATGCGCACCTCAGTTGATCCTCTGTAGTTGTGCTGTAGATATTCTCCTGGTCCTCGGCAAAGAGCTCCCGCGTCCTCTTGACTGATCGCTTAACAATCGCCGTGATGTCTCCATCAGCGGCTGCTGTTTTATTAGATTCCTCTGCTGCTGATTCGACGGTGACTGCAGGGGTATGACCCTTCATGACCACGTCCTGACCTTCGGTGTCTTTGCTGCTGGCAGAGGCCTTTGCCCGTGAAGCTCTCTTTGGTGGCATGGCGGGACTTTGGGCGAAGAGGGAGAATGGTGGAGGCCAAGCTGCAAGAATTAGTTAATGCCCCAAAATTGGCGGCGTAAAAAACGTCACCGTTGTCTCACTAATGCGAACGTTGCAAAACGTTGATCGTTTCACAGACTAATCCGATCAAATCATATCTCTAATCTAAACCCAACGGTTCGAAAAGAATAAAGAAGAGTAGAGGTCGTCCAAACAAACGAGTGGGGTACTGTTGTCGCAAGATCCATACCCTTGTGAATGTTGTTGAAAACCAGGAGAGAGGGCGTGATGAGAGGGTGAAAAAAAAAGAGGTGGATGAGAGGAAACAAGGCAGCAAATCTCGAGGAGTTCAAAAGACGTTCAAGTTGGCCTTACTTCCACATTTGCCTTTTTTTTGTTGCAGGCGTTCATGGTTGGACGGGAAACCTGAGGACGTCCACAACGGGAAGGCAATTACAGCAATAACTCATTGACATTGCACCTTTCTTCTCAACGCCTAACCTTCATCGCCTGTCACCCTCTTCCCATTCTTTTGGCTACTCCCATTGATGTTGATGGACATGGAGAGAGGTGCGGAAAATGTTGACTTCAAGACGAGCACCATGTTGTCTGGGCACACACCAGCGCAACGTGCACGCTTGAGTGCACGCTGAGTCTACAAGACAGCATAGAGCCGGCAATAGCAACGACAAACCTCTCCAAGAAAACACCTATCGGCATGGCCGTGTCAATGGTGGTATTTGCACAATGAACTAAAACTTGGCGTGCATAGTGGCAAGGAGGTCTTAGTCGGGAGAAAGGAAGAACGAACAATGTCTGTCAAGAATGAATTGTATGAGGCCTAAAATCTGGTAACACTGTCGCTATCTTCAACACCACTTTCTTCCCCTCTCCAAACAAAAACTTCATGGTCTCCATTGTGCCTAGCGTTTGACTCGGAGGAAGGTGACAATTGGCTCGATTACAACCATGAATGCAAACCTTGCTTGTTGTTTTTTTGGGTTTACGGGTGAAAGTCCATAGCGTACCGTTCTCAAAAAATACTAGGAGACCATGTCAACAAAAACAAACAACAATTAACCGCATGATTTCGATAACGTGTATCACCATTCTCTATTGGTGAAAGTCCACCTTGTCCACAATGCTTCCGTTTTGCTCTTTTTTTTTCTTCTTGGGTCCATTCTCTGGGTGAGAGCCCTCTGAGTTGAACCTGTTGTTTAGTGTACCTTTCATCCCAGATGTGGTGTCAGACACATGCAAACAAAATTGGATCGATTCCCATGCATGTGTGTGAACTGGGAACAGACCCTTCCTCCTGGCACTACAAGAGTGAACGAAGGCGACCTGTTGTTCAAGACGGAAAACGGAAGGGCAGGCAGGCTGGGGGACAGAGACTCGAGGTGGCGCGCCCGATGCACGGCTACCCCACCCCACCTCCTCCCCGACAATACTCTATAAAAACCTGAACCCCCCCCCCCCCCCCGCTCAACTTACGCCAGGCTCCTCCTCTTTTTTTCTTCTCCTTCTTCATTCACCATCACTCTCTCATTCCCTAATTCGTAAAGAAAAAAAAAGTGAGAACCCTCGTTTTCTTACCCCTTCTCACACATATACCCCACATATACCCCCCGCTCTCCAATAATGGCGATCCCAAGCAAAGAATACCACCCCGAGAGTCACAACGACAATAAGGCTCAGTCCCAGTCTGAATCAAGACTACCGGCAGATGTCCGAGTCAAGCCCGAGAAGCGCACGGTCGCCCACCGACATCCGTACCTGAGCGGAAATTTCTACCCAGTCTTTGAAGAGACGGTGGGCGAGGATGGGATTGAGTGTGAGGTCGTTGGTGTCATTCCAGAGTCCCTTCGAGGATCTCAATATATCCGTACGGGGCCTAATTCGCTTCGGATACCTGATGAGACGGCAGCGCATCATTTTTTTGATGGCGAAGGTATGGATAATGAACAGGAATGCCAGCATGCAGGGAATGAACAATTGGGATCATCAACAAAATGCTGTCCTTTTGCCGCCCTTTTCTTTTGTATACTCGACCACTGTATAGCACCACCCTTTTTTTGACATTCAACTTTTGTGGTGGAAATGTTGCATCTTTGCTAACTAGCTCCACCTACGTTTGTTCATATGAAACGCTAGGTATGCTTCACGGCGTCTACTTTCCACCAAGTGCCGAAGGAGAAGACGAGACAGGTCACATCCGCGCCCGGTACATGAACCGCTATGTCCGCAGCGACTCGTTCCATAAGGCCAACAAACACGGCGATGTCATGCTCTCAGTCGGCCTGATGATGAACGGTGGCCGGGGTCTAATCAAGATCCTCAAGCAAGCCGCCGTTTCGATCTTTCGCTCAGTGGTCTTCAGGGTCACCAACATTGGGAATGGAAACACTGCACTGGCGTTTATCGGACACCGACTCTTGGCCCTTCATGAGGCGGGTGTACCCATTGAGACGGCCGTACCCTCCTTGGCGACAGTAGGCGAGTTTTACTTTGAGAAGGAGGGTCAGAAGCGTGGCAAGAATCTTCTTCCCAACCAGGAAGCTTGTACCGCCCATCCAAAGGTACATGCAACTTTTAACGGCCATATATCTGGGTCTCGGCCTGCTTTGATGTTCTCTGAATTTGTGTTTTTTTCTCCCCTGCTTCATCTTTTCATAACACTTTCGTTATCGTCGTTTATTGATAGCACGACCCAAACACAGGCGAGACCGTCTTCTTTTCGTGGAGGCTACTGCCACCGTTTGCCTATTATTCTGTGATTGCTGCCGACGGTTCAAGGGCGATCTGGGAGGAACCTATTCCGGGATTCACTAGACCAACCATGATGCACGACTTTGCTATTACCCCTACATACTCCATGTAAGTACACATATCTCCTGCGAGGAGATCTTAACAAACAGTTGTGCAAAAACAAAAGGCAGGGCGTTGAAGTAATGGGGTGAACGGAAAAAAACTCCGCGCACCAATTAACCCTCCCCTTTTCTCTTTCATCTCCCTGTGCCTCTTTCATCCTCTTACCCCTTTGACGCCATAAGTATCCTCAACCTGAACTACACGCTGGACCCCATCAAGCACTATAACAAGGTCAAGACCCTCATCTCCTTCGACTCGACCAAACCTGCACGATTCGGCATCATCCCTCGACATTTTAACGGTAAACGGGACAAGGTCCGCTGGTTCGAGACACGGTCCTGTCACATGTTTCATACCGCAAACTCTTGGGACGAGAAAGACAAGGATGGCAACGTCGTGGCCGTGTACATGACTGCCTCTCGGTCCGAGAGATTCGTGTCCTACATCAATATGTGGGAGTCGAAGGGGGAGGAGCAACCCTTTGGTGGTGGCAAGAAACCTGAGGAAGCTAGGACGCAGTATGTTGTCCCTGGCGATGGAGATTATGCGAATCAGGATCCCGATGGTACCTACTTGAGTCTGTTCAGGTTCGACCTCAAGACTATGGAGACGCAGGTGACGACTCTGAGCACCATCTCGTCTGAGTTCCCGATGATCAACTGGGATTGGTTCATGCGGCCCGATTTGCGGTACATCTATGCTGCAAAGATGGATATCGTCCCAGGTACAGGCATGAAGAGCGGTGGTGTTTTGAAGGTCGATATCCGCGCCGTGATGGACAAGCAGCAGCAGTTGTTGAAGGATGGTGGGTTGAAGAACCTAGGAGGTGATGGTCAATGGGAGATTGGATCCCGGAACTTGCTGCAGGTGGAGAAGGAGAGTCACAGGATGCACTTGTTTGAAGGATCGTATGGTGGTAACGAAGCCCTGTTTGTGCCCAATCTTCCAAGACCCGACGGCAAGGCGCTGGAGGAGGATGAGGGTCACTTGTTGGTGTATGTCTATGACGAGAGCCAGATCGAGAACGGACTGGTGGCGAACCCTGACCGACAGGTGACGGAGCTGTGGATCTTTGATGCCAAGAAGATTGGACAGGAGCATGACCCTGTAGCCAAGGTCAAGATCCCTCGACGCGTCCCCTACGGATTCCATGGTCTCCACGTTACGCGCAAGCAGATCGAACTCAACCAACACCACCTCAACCGTCCATCAGTCGTGTAATACATTGCCCTTAATAAAATACATGCCTAGCTCACAAAAAACAAGGTCACATTTGCAGCAAATTGTAAACACACAAAAAAAAGAAAAAACGACATGCTTTGAGGGTCGCTTTTTATTCCTTTCCATTAGCACACACACTCACCCCATCAACATTCATAAACAACCATGTCCGACTCAGAAAGCGAAAACGAACAAAGACTCACACTCGAGGACCTCGAGGGTTCCGATGCCGAGATGCTCTCGGGCGACGAGGACGGCCCTATGGATATCCTGACCCAGCAGCGTGTCACCATCAACAACGAGGTAAACACACTTACCCACTGTCAGGACGAAGCTGAAGCCATTAGGGCAGGAGCACTGCAACAGCAGTAGCAGCATCGAGGCACAGGATACCGACTTGTTTGATATTCTATATCGATCAAATCTCAATTGGGGCGCTACTGTAAATACAGTTTTTGAACTTGCAAAGACTGACAACCTTCCTCGCCTTTTAATTGATCACCACTCGCTATCTAGCCTGCATTGAAGCGTCTCCGTGAACAGATCGCCCTCCCCACCAACATCCCCTGGTCCGAGACCCAATCGATCACCTCCGCACAAGCCATCAACGTCACCGACCCCGACGACGACCTCAACCGCGAGGTCGCCTTCTACAACCAAGCCCTCGAGGCCGCAGTGCTGGGACGGGACAGGATAAGGAAGGAAGGTGGCGTCTTTGAGCGACCCTCGGATTATTTCGCAGAGATGATCAAGACAGACGATCATATGGCCAAGATCCGTCAACGTCTTTTGGATGAGAATGCGTCGATCGAGGCTAGTGAGCGGGCCAAGTCACAGAGGGAGTTGAAGAAGTTTGGAAAGAAGGTTCAGACGGAGAAGCGTCTTGAGAGAGAGAAGTCCAAGGCTGATGCTTTGGATAAGATCACTGCCCTGAAGAAGAGTACGTACTTTGTTTCCCTTGTTCTTTCTGTACGCTTGATCGACAGGACAACTACGATGTGTGGATCTTAACCTTTTCTCACTTGTATCACTTTATGACATTAGAGCGCCAGGGTAACGACAACTCAACAAACGCAGACGACGATTTCGATGTGGCATTGGCCAGCGATGACGACGAGATGAAGTCATACAAGACAGGCGACGGCGAGTCCAAGAAGCGCTCCTCCAGCTCCACACAGGAATCACGCGGCAAGCGACACAAGAAGGATCAAAAGTTTGGTTTCGGAGGCAAGAAGCGTTTCGGGAAGTCAAACGACGCCAACAGTTCGGCCGATGTCTCTGGATTCAGTGTCAAGCGCAACAAGTCAACCTCTTTCAAGTCTGGACATAAGGCCCATAAGGCTGGAGGTGCCAAGGGTGGTGCTGCCAAACAGAGGCCAGGAAAGGGACGTCGTCAGAACGGCGCCGGACGCAAGTAGACTCAGCACATTCATTCACAACAACTATCTAATACATTATCATTTGCATGCATCATTTCCTTTTGTATTGGGCTATTTTATTTGTAATTGACTGTAAAAGGGGGTAGGGGTGGAAAGGAAATGGACAAAGTGTAAAAGTACGTGGCACTAACAGACTAAAAGAACAAGCAGGGATGGATTTTGAAAGGGAGAAAAGAGGGAAAAGAACCTTGGGGAGCGTGGAAAAAGGATAAGGAAGGAAGGAAGAAAAGAAAAGACAAGAAAGGGTACTATTGAAATGGGAATGAAGAAAAGAGAGAGTAGAAAAGAAGAGAAAGCGTCGGCTTCAAGTTTACTGCATTGCGTTGGGATCAAAATGGAATCCTCCCTGGGGAGCACCACCAGCCTGGAAAGCGAAAGCTCCAGTCTGGGCATCGACTTGAGGGGCCAGTCCAGTATCTTCATCGTCCTCCTCGGCAAAGTACTTGTCAATGATGGCGTATGCTTTTCTGTAGATGTCGGTGTTGTCGTGAGCCTGCAAGTTGTGGATCTTCTCCATACCGCCGCAGTCCTCGATAAAGATTCCGAACTGGTTGACGCCATTGGTCTGCTCCTTCTCGAGTTCACCGACCTTCAAGATGTTCTCCAAACCATCCAAAGCAACCTGGATAATCTTGTTATCCATGCAGATCAGGATATCGCAAAGGGGCTTGATGCATCCCTGAGAAACAAGGTACTTAATCTGATCGGGCTTGTTCAATCCTCCAGAAGTGGCGTTGGAGATGGCCCAGCAGGCTTCCTTCTTAGTCTTGAAGTCGGCGTTCTGGAGGATGTTGATCAGAGGAGGGATAATGTTGGCGTCAATGACGCTCTGGATCTGAACACAGGTTCCTGCGGTGATGTTGGAGATGGTCCAGCAAGCCTCCTTGCGAATGTTGTCCTTGGGGCTGGAGAGAAGGGCCAACAAGGCCTGGAGAGCTCCGCAGTTGACAATAACCTGAGTCTGGATATCGTCTCCAGTGACAATGTTTCCGACCGAGCGAAGCGCAGGGGTCTGAACGGAGGCCATGTGGTGCATCAACAACTCAACAAGACGGCGGCAGACACCAGACTCGATAACAGCCTGGATCTTCTCGTTCGAACCGTCAGAAAGGTAGGACATAGCCCAGCAGGCGTCAATCAAGACCTCGTCGTCACTGGAGTGAATCAACTTAGCGAGAACGCTCAAAGCGGGAGCAATCTATAAAATTACATCAAAGATTATGTTAGCGAGCTGATGTTGTATGAGGATACCATTGCCAGTAAACAGAGACTCGGATTGCTGAACATACCAAGCCCCACTCTGGGGGAGGGTTCTTGCCACGGCAGAAGTTGGAAAGAGTCCAGGTGGCGTTTCTGAGCATCGACAACTTATTGTTTTCGTGGAGGAGCGAAAGAAGAGGCATCAAAGCGTTCTCGCGAAGAACAATATCACGGCAACGGGGGCTGTCTCCTGCAATGTTTCCAAGAGCCCAAACAGCCTATTTGATATCCAGAAACGGTCCGTTAGATCCTTGCTCATGTGAAAACGGTCGAATGCGTTATTGGTAAACGGTTAGTCTACCCTTGTGCTGTACATACCTGCTCCTTGACATCAGCGACGGGGCTGCTCAACAACTCAACAAAGAGGGGAACTGCGCCGGCCTCGATGACAAATTGGGTCTGGGCAGAGGTGCCGGAAGCGATGTTGGTCAATGCCCAGGCGGCCTCAAACTAAGATAGGACAAAGAGAGGAGAAGGATCAGTATCTGTATTATGCTTTTTTCGAATGAAATTCAGGCTGGCGTGGTATGACGCACGACAAAAAAAGATGTTTGGCTCTTCAGCATGGCATGTAAACAATTACCTGAACAACAGCGTGAGGAGAGCGCAAGAACTCGACGAACTTGGGGACAACTCCGCAACGGATAACCTCATCAATAGGGGGGTTGCGCTCCTTTGACAACAGCTTACGGAAGCGGGTGGTAGCTCCAAGTTGATCATCAACGTTGTCGGACATTACTCCTTGGATCATGGCGGGCAGCTGCTCGTGGAACTATTAACGGTAAATGTAAAGGTACTCGAGTTTAGCATCCGTAAAACAGCAAAGAAAAACAGAGTGTGGTCACTGTCCATGTGGTTGTAGTCACTGTATCCATATCCTTGACTCCTTTGAAACAAGATGCACCTCCAAAGTTAAGTGTTGGCGTTTCACTGTGTTCCTTAATCAACCCCCTCTGCGGTCTGCTGCCAAGAAAACTGTGATTCCTGTTCCTGATCGTTGCGATTGGTCGGATTCCTGGCAGAGTCGGAATCCAGTCCTTCCGTGTGATGGCTGATTGTGGGTCACCGCTGCAGGTACACTGTTTGGTCGAGAATGAGGTCGTGCCTTCATCGTCTTCACTGCTGTGAATGTCGAATGAGATGACAAGTGTGAAAGAAGTCATTGTGGTTGATTGTTTTTCTTGTTTGTTTTTCGCTCTTTTTGTTCATGTCGTATTACCTGGTGGTTGGCAGCAGCAACACCCTCGTCCTCAGACTCCTCAGATTCTGCGGCGATGGCGAGGTTACGACGCTTGGACAGGTTCTCCTCACGCTTCTGCTTGCGGAGCTCGACATTGAGCTCGTTGCGGTTGCGGCGAAGCTCCTCGGGCTTGAATGCGTTCTTGGCCTTGAAGTTCTGGGAACGGTGCTCTGGGATTTTATCCATTTGTGCGATCCTATGGTTGATATATGCGGGTGAGCGGGCGAGCGGGTGAGTTTGAGCTTTTTTTTTTTTTTTTTTGGGCTTTCTGCTGATGAGAGTTAGTGTGAGATGTCCGAGTGTGTTTTGTTTTGTGTGTTTTTGAGAGTATGGGAGTGTGCTGGATTCGAGTGATTAGTGAAAGGAGAGTATTGTGTATGGGCTTACTTGTGTCTGGAGGTGGTAGGAGAAAAAGTAGCGGCAGATAGAGTGATGAAGAGGGTGGCCGCAGACGGAGAGGCGGGAGCAGGAAAGTGAACGGAGAGGTGATAGAAAAAGAAGGAAAAAGAGAAAAAGGGGGGTGGTCTTAATGTAAAGAAATTTTTTTGGCTTTTTGACTTTCGCGCGTTGTGTGTCCAGGTGACGTGTCTCCCAATGTCTTTCAAAGATGGACGCCACCAAACACTGTGAGCCTGCACTGTGGACTCTCTCTCTCTCTCTCTTACGAGGTGAATTGCCACTCAGCGCCACTTCTTTTTTTTATTCCGTTTTTGTGTGTTTCTTGTGGTATTGTCGTGGTTCATCAAAAAAACAAGAACGAGCTTTGACAAGGGTCTTTAAAGAACAACAACGAGACCTGCTACTGGTAACGTGAACAATGTTAGATAAATGATAAAAGGAGCAACAACGTGAAAACAGGACGCAAGGTGCCACAGGGAGGGAATGCGGCCATGTGGCTGCCTGCTTTGTGTTCGACTTCGAATACGTATGTGAAAAATGCCTGATGATGCTGTCTCGAATGACGATAACTCTCCATGGTAGTGGTGAACATGGTGGTGTGGAAGAAAAGCAAAGAGGACGGGTACACCCAATCGAGAGCACAGGTTGTAGGTGAACGTCTTCTACTCGCAGCCCTTTTTTCCAGCTGTGCTCAACGGGACTCACATGTTGTCCTTGGTGAGACATGTCACCCTACCCTTGTAAAAATGCTCAGGTACACCTGTGGAATGTCAAGGTCGATATCGATGGAAGATGTAGCAAGAGCGCGAGCAAAGGTGTGAGGAACAGAGAAGGTGGAAAGGAAGCAACCGTACATAAGACAAGTGTGAACGACAGACAGTAAACGGACTGGTAGAACGTGCTCACACAAAACGCCACTTCCTTCTAACGCAAATGTGTATCGTGGTGTGCGCGAATTTTGACTCCTCCGTGCTATCTCCATTTAATGCTCGGTCTTCTTTTTTCCTTTGCCATTCCTTTGTAATCCTTCCTTCCTTCCTTCGTTGTCTCTCTCTCACCTTCGGCCACTTCCTTCCTCCTCTTCTCCCCCACTTCAACTCCGCCTTTGCCTCCACCGTTCCATCCCACCTCCACCCACTACACACACTTACACTCTTCCAAACTTATACACCCATACACATACTTACATACCTTTGCTTGCACGCAACAACTTGCTCTCGCTTGCACATTCCGCCTTCATCATACATCCCATGGCCAAATAAAAAATAGACAAAAGCTACACACTCCTTCCTATATCCAAAACACCACAATCACTACAAGAACTACCATCTCCCTTCCCCTTGTCCACTTTCGCACGGCCTCGCCCTCCGAACAATGGAACGCATCTCATCCACCGGGTCAACAAAGCGCCCAAGCAGCATCCACAGCGGATCCGGTTACATGCCCACCTCCCCCGTCTCCAGTCTGCCCCCTCCATCTCTCCTCCACGACGATGTCTTCTCCAACAACCCCGAGGATTATGACATTCGACTTCCCATCGGTATGTTCTTGTCTCCCTGGTCTGGTTTCGTTTGTCCTCGCCGACAAAACTCGCCTTGTCAATATCGTGTCTCTGATGCTAACCAGTGTGTGTTTTTTTTTTCTTTTTCGTTTTTGCCTTTTTTTTCTCGTTCCTTGCTGGTTCAACCTCTCTAGGTTATGGGTCGTCGGCGGTCGTCTATGATGCCTACTACAAACCCCTGAATAGGCGAGTCGCCATCAAGGTTATCGACCTCGATATGTTTGAACGCAACCAGATTGACGAGCTTCGGAGGGAGACCCAGGTCATGGCATTGTGCAAACACCCCAACGTATTGCGCGTCAATGGGGCCTTCGTGACCGATAGCAAACTGTACATTGTCACTCCATATCTCTCTGCTGGTGAGTTCATGCTGCAAAAAAAGAAAGGACGAGCGGGCATGATGGTGATGTTGTCGCTTTTTTTTGCTTGTGTGCTTTGCTGTCCTTGCATTGGAGGAGACTCGAGCGTGGCACATGGTAGAGCATTGTTCTTATCGGACGCGCTCTCCTGCATGAATCTGTAAATGTCGACGCGATATCTCACACGCACTCTTCCTCCTCTTCTTCCTTGGGTGTGTGTTTGTTTGTTCATCATACCAGGTTCTTGCCTCGATATCATGAAGACTGCTTATCCCGAGGGGTTTGACGAAATCTCGATCGCCACCATTCTGAAGCAAGCCCTGCAAGGATTGGACTATCTACACAAGAACGGACATATCCACAGGCAAGCTGAAAGAGAAAAATGTCAAAGGGGATTAGGATGAATGAAGTTATCCTTTTTTTATCATCATCAAGGCGTGAGCCTGTCTTTTCTAACCTGAGGACTTCTTTTTTTGCGTGCGCTCTTTTTTTTCAGGGATGTCAAGGCAGGCAATTTGCTCGTGGATGACGACGGCTCGGTCCTTCTGGGCGACTTTGGTGTCTCCTCTTCGCTCATGGAAAATGGCGACCGACGTGGGCAGAGAAAGACGTTTGTCGGCACACCTTGTTGGATGGCGCCAGAGGTCATGGAGCAAGCTGGCTACGACTACAAGGCGGACATCTGGAGTTTTGGTATCACTGCCATTGAACTTGCGACTGGTCACGCACCCTTCGCAAAGTATCCTCCCATCAAGGTAACGTTGCAAAGTGCCAGTGTTTCGTCGATAGCACCATACTTCCTGGCTGTTGACACTATGCTATGGCAGATTCTAACGACTCTAATTCCTCCTGTTACTATACGTATGAATAGGTCTTAATGTTGACTCTTTCGAATGACCCGCCTACACTGGACAGAGAGTCGACTAAGCATCGCTACTCCAAGTTGCTCAAGGAAATGATTGACTGTTGCTTGCAAAAGGACGCCAGTAGAAGGTAACCATGGCGGCTTTTGTAAAGCTGCAAATCGCACCCGCGCTCCGGAATGTGCTCTGACATTGGGTTAAATATCTCCTTGCACATTATTTAGACCTTCAGCGGAAAAGCTCTTGAATCACTCGTTCTTCAAACAGGCCAAGAAAAAGTCGCACCTCGTCACAGGGTTGCTGCACAACCTCCCGCCTCTTGAGCAAAGACCTTCCAAGAGTACGCCATGACTGTCCATTGCTTTACCCTTTTGAAGCAGTGAATAGCCACCAGGAAAGGCCACAACTAACTCAATTTTATTGTCCATCAACTTATCTACAGAGGCGCCACCAAAGGCTAATATTCCAGAGAAGGGCGTCTCCTGGGATTTTGGTGCCGACGACACTGACGAGTCCGTTCGTCGCCCACGCACTGTCACCTTTGAACAACCAAATCGTCCAGTTTCAACCGCAACAACAGAATCGGCCGTCTCGGGAACTCTCATTTCAGAATCACGGTCGCTGGACAACATGACCGAGGACGATTCACAGCAACAAATTGGAACGCCTGCATCAAGTCATTCGGGAGATAAGCCGGTCAAAAAGTCGCGCTTTGTTGTTGAAGATTCTAGCTCTGCTGTTTCGTCGCCACCCATATCCAACCAGGGCGCAGAATTAAATCTTTCACCTAGCGGAATGGCCTCCCCATCTCTCCCCCACACCGTCGTGTCTCCCGTTCCTGTACCAACTGGTCAGAATTTGCACGGCCTTGGAGTCTCGTCGAATGGCGCAGAACCCATCAACACCCCGGAGGTGAGAAAAGGACGATTCAGTGTCAAGGATACGACACTCAACATCTCTTCGCCAACACCTATGAGCATGAAGACTGCTGGAGGCGAGTCTCTTATGTCTCCTTCGCGCAGCTTGTCATCTTCACCAGTAGAAGGTGTCCCAGATGGTGTTAATATCGAGACCCCTCTTGAACTCGGTCCGTCAGGTTAGTTACAATGAGCTCACTACCGCTTTTCTTCCTCCTCCCCCTCTTCTCTTATACACTACATACTGACGATTCGTATATAACATGTGTAGAACGAAAGTCCAGGTTTGAGGTGCATCACAGCCATGCTGGTGCTCTGACACCTACGAATGGCACAGGATTGAACTCACCCGTGCTTTCAGCCACCCAAATCCTCTCAAGGGAACCATCCCAGTCTCGTATGGCAGGAGATCTTGGACTCTCTCGGGAGAGCTCAGCGACCAGGGTTTCGAGATTTAGCGTCGAACCCTCTCAGTCTCCACAGGAAACAGGACCCAGCAGTGTAGCTGCCTCAGTCGCTGGTACACCTAACGCGTCCCAAAGCAAACGGAGTCGATTTCAGGTGTCGAATGTAGAAGGTCGTCCAGGAGACATTGCTACGGGTAATAAGCGCAATATGCTAAGGTTAATGCTAATGCGCTCTGCTTCACTACCTCACAACGCGTATAGAACATATATTTACTTCTCGTTTATTCTTCAAACTCAGCAGATGTAGGAGGGTCTGCCCATTCTACTCCAAACACATCACCCTCTGCCTCGTTGTTGAGAGGACAGGTGGACATCATGGAGGGTCAAGGCACACCTGCGGTCTTTGCCCACTTGGAGACGCTGTACCGCCAGAATGAGCAACAGCGAGTGATTCTTTCAGAGCTGTTTGCAGGACTTGGATCGAAAGCAGGCGGCTCGACTCCTTCGGCGACCAAGAGCCAACTCAGTCACTTTGAGGTTCAGCCGACATCGGCTGCGCCATCGAGTGCCAGCAGTGGACAAGGTCAGACTTTGATGGAAAGGCAGCTGCAGTCGACCATCCGGGAGAACGAGAGTCTAAGAAGGGAGAACGAAGCCCTGAAGCGGGAGCTGGACCGTCTTCGCCGTGGTGGCGTTTGAACTTAGGGAGCATGAGTAGGCGATGTCCAGGAAGGAACACATTGACATACACTGGTTGATGCGTTGTGTATTTCGTTTTGAAGGATGTCACCTTGCGATACGGCTATCCCGATTGCGAATGTTTACAAACAATGCATGATTTTCAGAGGATGCCTATAAATAAAAGCAATTGCGATTTGTTTCTCTCTTCTCACATCGTTTCACATCACTCCTCCATGTCGCCACCTGATATCCGCCTCTCGGTCTTGACGTTGAACTGCTGGTAAGTAAACCATGCATGGTCACAGATGCAACGCTGCCTTCTTTCATTGCCTCTTTTTTACCGTTCTATTCATATCTTCTCTCTGTTATTCTTAGGGGTTTACTTCTGTCAAACCACCGCCAGCACCGGATGCGAGCAATCGGACAACACATACTGAAAGCAAGCCCCGGATACGACATTGTCGGACTGCAGGAAGTATGGGCACCGCAGGACTTTATCCTCGTCCGAGAGATTGTCAAGGACGTACTGCCTTATTCAAAACACTGGACCAGTGGACTCTTTGGGTCTGGGCTGGCAACGTTCTCAAAGTACCCAATTGTCAGTTCCTCGTTGACCCGGTTTGCCCTCAATGGCGACCCTTGGCCGGTCTGGCAGGGCGATTGGTATGATGGCAAGTCCTGTGGCTCCGTTGTAGTGGCCCATCCAGGTGTTGGCGAAATTGAGGTCTTTAATACCCACGTAAACGTGTTTCTTTATTTTCTTGTTAAGTTGATTCATTTTTTTCTTCTTGAGCATGCTGTTCACTTTTACGAGTGATCTGACCACTTTTCTTTTTCCTAACCCTAAGATAGTATCATGCTACATATGATCCTGTGGGGACGGACGATCGGTATCTGGGAGTAAGGGTCTCGCAGGCGTGGGAGATGTCGAAACTCTTACGGCAGTCGACTGGCCTTGGGCGCCGAGTCCTTGCGGTAAGTGCTCATTGTTCTTTGTGATTGTTTTTCGTCTCACAAATGTAGAAGGTCCAAGCGACATGCCCGGCAAATTTCTTACTTTTCTAATTTCGCATCAAACAAAATATTTAGCTCGGAGACTTCAACAGTACTCCTCGAAGCCTTGCAGTCGCGCTCCTGACCCGACTCGGAGGAGCCACCGATAGTTGGGGTAGCATCCACCCTTTACCTCAGACTATACCCAATAACCTGACTCCTGAACAAGGCGTCGCGCATCTGGGCATATCCTGCGACAGTCCATTGAACACCTGGACCAAGGATTCGAAATGGGTCAATGAAATCTCGAGAGACCCTATCGGCGAGCGGTTGGATTATATCTTTTTCAACGCCAGCTCTGAGTTCAAGTGTTTGGGATCTGATGTTGTCCTGCAGGAGAAGGTTCCGGGTGTCGGAGGTGGGTCGAATGTGCCGTGGGTCAACGTGAGTGATCATTATGCGGTCCACTCTGTGTTCTCTGTCAAGAAGGTTGCCCCGACGGCTCCAAGGATCCTTCTATCCGACCTGCAATCATCCTCTCCCGACCTCAAGGACGATTCCTCAATAGACTTATTCGAACAAGTTCTCTCAACTCTACGACAACACCTCGCCCGAGCACAATCTAAATCCGTACGGATGATGTACATCGCAACACCTCTACTCCTTCTCGCGACGCTGGGTCTGATGATTGGGTCGGTCTGGATTGATTTCAACCCACGCTGGACACTATTGTTGGTGACCATGGGTGTGGGTTTTATTACCATAGGTTGGGTGGGCTGCTTCAGCTATGGGTTCTTTTACGGCGGCGAGACCATCTCGGCCTTCACGAATGTCATCCAAGAGGTTCAGCTTGCTCTCGAGAACAATCGTGGTGACAGTGTTGAGGAAGGAGTGTTTTCCTTGCGAGATGGACCCTTGGCACAGAGTAGTCGAGTTCAAGCTATGCCTGCGGGAGGGTCCATCCACTTGGATTGAACCATACCCTTACCCATACCCATGTTTCTACCATACCCCTCCTCTTTTTTTCTTCGCAAGAAACGTCAAATAAAGACACACGAAAGATTTTTAGATGAATGACAATATTATTCACTAAACTTATGGTACAAGTGCTAAACTAACTGGTGGTGGTTAGATTGGCAAGGGTATGGAATAGGAGACTATTTACATGGTAGGCTTGATATGGGTAGCCTCCAAGTTGCTGGGATCATTGGACTGTCCGACCAAACGCGAGGTGACATCCTTGACAAAGGTTTCAGCCTTGTTGGGGTTGTTGGTAATGACATTTGCGGCTTCAGCGTTAGCAGTCTGACTGTTGGACTGGCGTCCGACCAAGTTTGTGGTTGCGGCGTCGACGGCTTGGTCGACCTTCTCGGGGTGGCGGTAGGCGGCGTTGGCGACTTGAGCGATTTCGTTCCTGGTATCGGCAGTGACGGCGGTAGTGGAGTCCAAGGCGCGGTGGTTGTTTTGGATACGTCCAGTAGTGGTGCCGTCGTTGACGTGACCAGCGGGGTGGTTGCTCTGGTTGTTTTGGTTGTTCAGGGGCTGAGTACCAGCGGTGCCGATAAGACCGGTGCCGTGGGGAACCTGAGAGCCGTAGGGAACTTGAGTGCCGTGGGTGCCGTCGTTGACGTGACCAGTGGGGTGGTTGCTCTGGTTGTTTTGGTTGTTCAGGGGCTGAGTACCAGCGGTGCCGATAAGACCGGTGCCGTGGGGAACCTGAGAGCCGTAGGGAACTTGAGTGCCGTGGGTGCCGTCGTTGACGTGACCAGTGGGGTGGTTGTTCTGGTTGTTCTGGTTGTTCAGGGGCTGAGTACCAGCGGCGCCGGTAACACCGGTGCCGCGGGGAACCTGAGAGCCGTAGGGGACTTGAGTGCCGTGGGTGCCATGGGGGACGTGAGTATCGTGAATGTCGTGGGTACCGTAGGCAGCGGTGGGTGGGGCATTGTTACCGCCAGAGGTGATGCCAGCTCCGGTTGAATGGGTGGCGGTAGGGACTGCGCCGGTCTGGGCACCAACGGGGCCGGTGTGGGTACCGGTGGTGTGAGCGCCGGTGGTATGGACGGCGTTGTTGTCATGAAGGGGATGAGCCTTGTTGTCGTGATGATGATCATGGGCATGGGTATCGTCGGTGTGGTGCTTGCCGGTGATCTTGCCGAGGACGGCAGAAGCCTTCTCCTTGATTTGCTCGACGGTCGAGGGCTTGTCGGCAGAGACGTTGTTGTTGTAGGCAGGAGCGTTGGTGTTATGGGTCATGTTGGAAAGAAGTTGTTGTTGTTGTTGTTGTTGTTGTTGTTGAGAGAGAGTGTGTGTAGGTTTAATGATGAGAAAGTGAAGGGCAATGTAGGCCTTTTTATATCAGAAAAAAATTGGTTCCTGAGGTTGCGAAGTGAAGCTTGATGATTCCACTCTTTCACTCACCCTGGTATACCCTGTTACCCGCGTCAGGTCTTGCCGTCGTCTTTGGGGAAGGGAGGGAAAAGATGACATCTTTTGTCGTAATGTGATAATGCAAGGATAACTGTGTATGGCACCATGTCCCAACACCATTACTGAACTGTACGAGGATGGTGGTAATGCTATACGGCAAATACGTGTCGTCATTATGATGGTTGGTTGTTTTCATGAACCCCACAACCATCATTACGAAGAGCCAAAGGATATATTAGTGGCGACGATGATGATGGTCATGGTAATGGTTCAGAGAGCAGTGGGCACCCTAGGGATGAAAATGATGTCAGTGAAAGGCGCCCCTCGATCTTCGTCTGGTTGAAAAGCAAGCGATGATGCTTTTGTGCAACAGTAAATCATTTCACCAAACCTAAAAAAAATTATCATTGATAGGAAATAACGATATGACGTTTCACTTGGAAAGGAAAAAAAGAATGCCCAGCCCCGGCACAAAGATGAGGCGGAGTGGGAAGGCTCGTGGCGGTGCGAAGTTGAAGTCGACACAAGCGTGGCGGTGTGCGCATATAAAGGGGAGTGTCGCAGGCTGTTGTATTTGGAGTTGGAAATGGAAATGGAAGCAGCATGCTTTTCATGTGTGCTTGAATGCGTATGTTGTCCACTCGGATGGCAAAAAGCACCTGTCCAACATTGATACAGAGCCCAATAGTCCAAAAGATCATGGAGCTAATAACATAACCACAAGCAAAAAAGAATGAAGGGAAGCTTCTTTTTATTTGCCAATGCTAAAAAAAAAGAACAGAGTTTGTCGGCCCTCAGCCGCTCTCTCCGCCTCTGCTGTTCGTCCATCGGAAAAAGTGGTACTGTACAGTACAAGAGCATGATGATATCGCACTGGAACGGCCTCGACCCTTTTTGGAGTTTCGACGTCCGAATATGCGAAATTGGGTGGTGAGCAGGGACAAGTTTGGACTGAAGAGGACAATTCTGTGCCCGTGTGGACTGACTTTGAGAAGAAAAAAAAAGAAAGAAAGGAAGCGGCCACTCAATCAATCAGGTCTGGGTGCGTGGTTTTTTGGTGCTGTTGTCCAACCAGTACAGTTTACAATGGAAATTGGAGTAATCCCCTGGATCAGTCCCTGCCTTTTTGTGAACCTCTGCACCACTGAACGAAGCTGCTTATGCATTGCAAAAACGAGTGTCCTTCCACTCATGGGACCAGAAAGAGCATCTACTTGGCGGGTATTCGCCCGCAACCGCTCAACAACAACAAAGGAGTGCACAATAAATAAAAAAAAAGGAAATAACAAAAAATGCCATCGAACCCCGGTATGTTATAGGAAGAACTGCAATTGTTCATCGCTGAGATGTTTTGTTGTTTTATTTTTGCTCTTCATATCTTTATGTGGCAAACAGATGAAAGTAGAAGACTTCAAGGTTGGGGCACCTCGAAACCTGGACAGCCAAGAGAAATATAAATAATAGAAAACAAGTTGCATACCTCAGAGCGGGAGTCACTTTTTCCCGCCGCGGCAAGAGTGCTAAAGTGTGAAGAATGTGAAGGGAGAGAGTCGGGGCTGTTCAAGCAGCAGGGTTATCGTTTCTAAGAAAAGAGTGCTGTTAAGTTGTTGAGTGTGTTGGCTTTGTTTTGCTCACACAGACTCGCCACACAACAAGCCAACAAAAGGAAAATGGCAAAGCAAAAGGAAAAGGTCAACAGTAAGAGACGAAGAATGAGTGATAAAACACATTAAGAGCGAAAGCGAAAACACTTTTGTTCTCTTCCTTTTTTTCTTCCCCCATCCCACCATCATTGCATTTCCATCCTTGCCCGATAGTGTACATAATTGCCCCTGTCCTTCTTCGTTTTCATTCATTGCCTTTGTTCAGAAAAAGCCTCCTAAGCTACTATAGTCCTATTTCATTCACTGTAATACTATTAGCAGTTTAGCTCCTTACTTCATAATATTTTGGGCACCTGGACTTTTTGACTTGGGCGACAATAACCTTTTTCTCACTCATTCCACCCAGTCTAACTTGTCCTGATAAAGCAAAATCGTCCCTTGTTTCTCCTAAAACTTTCTCCTCTTCACTCTTCCTGTCCATCTGCCCACCTCCTTTACCTTTTTTTCTCTTTTTTTTTTTTCTTTCTCATTCCTCATCTCCTCCCTCTCTCCACCCTTCATTTACTCGTAACTCACATCCGCAATCCCCCATGGAGAACACCACCCACACAAACGCCGGTCAAGCGGCCCAAACCACCTCCCCACCTCCCTCCATTAAGGACGTCCCTCTCCAGCGAGCTGGCTCCGTCAAGAGCACCATGAGTAACCGTTGCACCAACGACGTCCCTATCTCGACCAACCCCGAAAAAAGGGTCACCATCCGCTCTGCCCGCCTCAACAGAGACTCACTGCCCCCTTCCTTCATCCGCGGCGACTCCATCCTTGGCTCCGAGAACGGCGGACAGCCCAAACCCTTGACCATATTCCAATGCCTCAAGCTCGTCCTCTTCTCCTCCAAGATTAATATCCTTCTCATTTTTATCCCTTTTGGCATCGCTTCCGGCCACGTCGGCTGGTCCGATGTCCTTGTCTTCGTTCTCAACTTCATTGCTATCATTCCCTTGGCTAAGCGTAAGTTCAACCATCCTCATTATTTTTTTTACCAGTCTGACCGGGGAATCGTTGGGAAAATAATCAATTGACGGGAAGGGCCAAATTATCCGCAGGAAATGATGGGGAATACAGGCTGTCACCATCTGTCTCTCCTTTGCCCCTTGCCCTCCGTGCCGCGACCCTTGCTTGCCAAGGGAAGAGAGAGGCGGCGTCGGCGGCATATGTTGCTGGCTGGACTGGTTTACACTTCGCCTCAGTTGCACAAGACGATTTTGGACCGATAAGTGACCGCGCGATCAAGACTCAGTAGCAAAAACAATAACAATTGCTCTCAGACTTGAGCACTCCAATTGAGCATGACTAACCTTCTTCTTCGTCTCCATCCTCTTCTTCCGCCCCTCGCCTCAAACTCGTCCTTCGACCTCATCTACGACAATAGTCCTTGGCTTCATTACCGAAGAGGTCTCATTGAGACTTGGCGAGGTATGCAATGCACTCTCTGCACTTTCTGCACTCTTGATTGTGATATATCACTCCTCTTTTCATTTTAAAAAACATGACCCTGGCAGATGCTCAAGCAGCTGCAAACATTGGTCGCTGTATTATTTAAAGATGACTTTGCTCACGCGCTATATCCATATATCTCGTTTCATATTATTAGAACCTTGGAGCTCTGCTGAACGCTTCCTTTGGAAATGCTGTCGAACTTATCCTCTCCATCATTGCGCTTGTGGATAACAAGATTGAGGTCGTTAAAGCTTCCATCATTGGTTCCATTCTCTCCAACTTGTTGCTTGTAAGTGGGCTGAGGCTGGGGCTGAGACAGATTGAAATTACGCGTGCCTAGTTTTGAATGTTTGGAGAAGTTTATTGCCTTTTGCTAACGCCACATTTTGTCGTGTTCCGTCTATATTGAATAACTTCAGGTTCTCGGATTCTGCTTCCTCGCTGGTGGTTACAAGTACAAGAGCCAGACATTCAACCAGACTGCTGCCCAGACTTCTGCTTCGCTTTTGGCCCTGTCCTGCATGTCCCTCCTGATCCCTGCCGCTTTCATTGCCACCGCCTCCGAGTCAATTGCCCACCCCGATGTCAAAAACCTGTCCCATGGTACAGCCATTGTCCTTTTGTTTGTCTACGTCCTCTACCTCTGGTTCCAGCTCAAGACCCACGAGCACCTTTACGCTACCGAGTCTGACGAGGAGCAGGAAGTCCCACTTATCCCTCTCTGGTTGGGCATCGTCCTCTTGCTCGGTATTACTGTCCTTGTCGCTCTCTGTGCAGAGTCTCTGGTCGGATCCATCGAGGGATTGTCCAATTCCTGGGGCCTGACGCACACCTTTATCGGTTTGATCCTGCTGCCCATTGTTGGTAACGCTGCCGAGCACGTCACCGCCGTCACTGTCGCGATGAAGAACAAGATGGATCTTGCTATTGGTGTCGCCATCGGCTCGTCGATGCAAATTGCTCTCTTTGTCAGTCCCTTAATGGTCATCATCGGTTGGGGTGCAGGCAAGGACATGGACTTGTTCTTTGGTATCTTCGAAACTAGTGTCATGTTTATCTCTGTCCTGATTGTCAACTACTTGATCCAGGACGGAGAGTCCAACTGGCTCGAGGGTATCATGTTGCTGAGCACCTATGTCATCGTTGCCATTGCCATCTACTACCTCCCAGACCCCGTCAGCGCTACTGTTACTAGTCAAGCTGCGAAGGCTATCGCTCAGGCCGTTGCTGGTCAATAAGCATTTTTCATCCTTCATATTTATATTTAATTTTTTGTCATTGTCCATCGTAATAAAAATATACCTCTCTTTGCTTCTATGGTTCTAACCATGGGTGTTATGGGAAAGTGATGAAACGTTCGGGTGGCTGTAATGGCTCATGGGAAAGCAATGACGGATGATGGTAACGTCATTTCGCTTTGCCTACGAGGAGGACTCTGGGAGTTGAGGGTGGTGGTGCATGCACTGTTACATCGGAGCATCAGACTGGTGGAGGGACAGAGAATTCGATGCGTCTTTTGTTTATTGAATTGTTCAATGGTATTTAGATCATTTAGAAGGTATGGCAGCAGGGATGGTATGGGTATGAGAAGTGCCTAGAAGGTCAACCTTCCAGGTCAGGGTGAGTTGGGCGACGGTTTCGAAGGATGCATTCTTGACGAGGACGCGGGTTATCAGTTCTGTGGCATCCCTGTCCTTGATGGGAGGGATGACTGAGCTTGCCGTTAGTAGTCCTCTTGACACTTTGACGTACTATTGTTGCAGGTTATAGATGAGTAGCAGGCAGCATCGGTATATGTGAACAAGGAAGAAAGTTAGTTTACATGGATGGACGAAAGAACAAGTAATGAAGAAGATAAAGGAAACTTACGTCGGCGTTGATGTTGGTGAGGACGGCAATGTCGGTGGTATGGTTGAGGAGGGTCAGAAAGGCAAGGCTTCCTACGGTCTCGCCAAAGGTGATGAGTGCAGCCTCGTGGACCCGTTGAAAGGGGTTCGAGTTGATCTTTGATTGCTACTCAAGGTGAATGGTTGGACAGATAATGTTTTCATTTTGTCAGCGATTGTTATTCGCTCTCCCTTAAATCACAATGCGTTTGTTTGTTTTGATTTCTTTTCTTTTTTCGTTTCAAGTAGACCATCCATCCACCATGCATACATCTCTCCCCTCCACGACTGCTACCACTCTTCCCTTTGGCTTACCTTCATGACACCACAGGCTTTCCCTTTCCGCAGTTCCGTGACCCGGAAATCGATCGTGCTAGCATAAGGGTTTGCGAGACCGACAATTTTCGAAAAGATCCAGGCTCGAGTACGAATGGGCAAGAGACCGATGGTCTGTAGGGCCTCCCAGAGTTGTAGAGGGTCCTGTATAGATCCACCGAGTCGTTGGGTGAGCATTTGGATAAACATATTGTAGGCGGTGATGTAGAATATGGCTGCAAGGACAACTAGTGCTAGACCGGGACTCATTCTGATGGATGTGTTTGTTGTGTGGGGTGAGGTGGTGTCTATGGGTGTTGTATCGGGATGTGTTGTTGGCGATCGTGATCGTTAAGTGTGTAAAGACGTGAAGAGATAAAGGCGAGAGTGTTGATGGGCTCGGACTTGGGCTTGGATGAAAAGGATTACTTTGCTGAGCTGAATAAATTCGACGGAGAGAGATAATTCACTTTTTGATTTGTTCTCGCACTAGTGGCTCCTGAATACGATAAAGAAGAAAAAGGTCAAGGGACAAAAAAAAGAGTGTTAACCGACCGTGGTTGCTGTTGAATGAGCTGAGTAGCGATGAGTTTGCTGCTTGTCATGCCATGGGCATGGTTTCTTTCATTCTGCCATCACATCCACCGCAGTAGGTGTAAACCGCAGGGAGGGCGAAGAGTGGCGCAGGCATATAGGAGTTTCGTTTTGTGATGGTTCTGACTTTGCCACCGCTGATATTTCGCTGATAAACTGTCGCGGTGTGAGACTGATTGACTATGGAGTCATCCGTCAAACACGCTGCAGCTTCTTGCTGCGGCGGGCCTTGAAGAGTATTTGGAGGCTGTGTGCACAATGACGGTTGTATGCCAAGAAATCTCTTTCTTTGTTACCTACGTTGTTTGGTGAAAGATTGGGGTTTTTGGGTAGAAAAGGGAAAGAAGATGACAAAAGAATGGATGATGAGAAATCAATGGAATAGGGTAGCATGAATAGTCGAATGCAAAGAATCCCAATGTCGGTTATGCCGAATGCAGCAAAGGTTGTGTAAAGTGAAACAAGGAAAAACGTGAACGTGAACGGTGAGCGCGTGAGAGTGGAGAAAAATGTATGTGAGAATGGGTGTGGAGAGAGACCGAGAGACAAAGTAAAAGTGATAAGAGAAGAAAAGAGTGAGAGAAAGAGTTTGGGAGTGAGAAGAAGAAGCAGCGGGGGGAAGGGGTGGCAAAGAGCAAACAACTCAATAAAAGGCGCCTTTCCCATTTTCACCACTCCCGAAAAAGACAACGTCTCGAGTCCAGGGTAACAAAGGCTCTCTTTGGTTGGCTGTTTGGTTGCTTGGCTGGTCGACTGACTGTTGAGTTGTCTCCTCTGTCCCGCCTGCCCTGTCTTGTGCCCAACTACACGTGTCCAAAGAGAGAGAAGGGGGCACAGATCTTTGTCAGAGCGGCATTTGGAAAATGCATGGACCAAGGCCAAAACTCTCATTGCACATTTGTCAGAATTAAACACAAACAAACAAACGAAAAAAATAAATCAAGGAGGACGATAGTTTTTTTCTCTTTCTTGTACATTTTCTGTCATCGGTTGTATTCTTTGTAAGTTGCATTAGAACTGACACGAAAAAGAAGCGGTAAGGACAGAGAGTGAATTGACTACAATAAGTGTGATGCAAAAAAAAGTCTAATGGAAAGAAGGTAGGCGTTCCTTTGCTAATGGCGGTAACATAAAAGACGATATGCGAGTGAAATGGTTGTAGAAAAGTGGGTGAAGGTGCATACAATTGAGAGAGAAAAAAGTAGGAAATGGGATGCATATGTGCGAAGTACATAAAGTGGATACTGATATTAAAAATCGTTAACGTGGAAGTAACTCAACCCCCCACCACCGTTCACCGTCGCTCCATTCGCCATACTCACTATGAAATGAGAACAAGGTGAGGCAATTTGTTATCGCGTTAGATCGATTATCAGGTTTACCAGCGACGCAAGAGAGCAAACAAAGACAAGGCACAAACAACACTTACGATAAAAATTGATGCTGCAGACAAAGATAAGAACACAGCAGACAATGGTCGGTCCCTTCCGATCATAGTAACAAACCTCTTCCGCAATCAGCGTCGAGGGGTCAACAGCATTTGGGCCACCCTTCTTGTTGCGCTTGGCCTTCTTCTTTGCCATTGCAACCTTCAATCGTCTACTCAACGACCGGTCGCGGTAATGGAATGTCAAGACAGCATAGCCCAGCGTCGTCATGGCCAGCAACAACACCGACGATCCGATATAGAATGCAAGCGAACCAATCCGTCCAAAATTGCAGAGCGTCAGAGCCATGGCGCCGAGGAGGATTCCAAACTTAATCCAGTGGATCAGCGTGCGCTCGTTCGAGAACAGGGCCTTTCGATCCGAGTTACCGCCATCACCGCCGTTACCTCCCTTCCCACCCCCACCTCCCTTCTTTCCAACCTTCTTGTCCTTGGGTCTCTTGGAGTACGCCTTTCCTCCAGCGGACACCGTGATCGTCTGATGTTGGGCCACGGTCAAATCCTCCTGCGAATCATTCAGCTTCTTGAAACTGTTGTGGTTCTTGGACTTTGACATGAATCCTCCAAACAACGTCGTTGAGCTCGAGTTGGTCATGGTGTTTGTCTGGGCCAGTAGCGTCACCATACTAGTATTGGACGACCGGCCAAAATCGCTAGCTGGCGAAGCGCGACCGTCCCTACTGCGTCCTTTGTTGTAAAGTCCTCCATGGTGGCTCTTCTTGGGCGGTGTGTCTGACGGCACAAAGCTGTCCAAGGAAATCTCATCCATAAACACCGAAACGTGAGGTTCCCAGCCTGGCCCGGACTGCTGTTGGTTGGGGTGGCCCTGGCGTGGAGAAAACTGGGGTGCTCCACGTCTGGACTGGTCGTGGTATCCTAGTGTCCTTGCTGCGCTGGCTGGCCCCACCGACGATGTGAAATCCTGGTCACCCTTGGAGTTTGACATAGACTTGCGCTTGCTTCCAAAGGCTCCCAGTCGATAAGTTGATGCGACGTTGCCTCCACCTGAGCGAGCAAGGTCCTCAGGCGAATCTTTCGATGGCTGGTCGCCTGAATTTCCGAGCCACGAGAAGGGGCCCTTTCCGTTATCGCGAGGAGTCATGGGCGACCCTACCAATGTAGAGGCGCCGGGAGAGACCGGCTCTGGCTCCAACAACCGAATGTCCCTGAGTACCAGACTTTGTTGAGACGTAAGGCCGTCTTGCCTTATTGGTGGTGGTTGGTAAGGAGTGTAAGGGAGGGATGTTGATCCATTCCCATTGGAGCTTGGAGGTGTGGAGGCATACGGTGAGTTAAAAGAAGACCCGGCTGCAGGCATGGGAGGTGTAGGCATGTGCAAGGAAGGAGGTGTGTAGGTGCGATGATGATGTTGTTGCTGAAGGTCAGACCTTTCGCGAGTAATGGCTAGTGTCGGCGGGGATGAGTTGACCTGCGATGGAGTATCGATCGAAGTGGGACCAGAAATGTGAAAGGAAGGGAAAAGAGGAGGGGGCAATTCGGACAATCCAGCTGTACTTTGCTGTTGTTGGTGTATGTCGTAGCGGTGGTGCTGGTGTTGTTGTAGATGGGGCTGAGATTGTGATGAAGGGTCGTTGAAAGGATCAAGATCCAGGTCAATGGGGTCCATCCAAGAGGCGAACGGGTTGGTACTCCTGCGCGAAAGACCTTCGCTTTGTCTGATGTTGTTGGGACTAGTGCTGGCATTTCGATCCTGAAATGGGGTGGTGCCTGAGGAATGCATGGATGAAAACTATAAATTTGTCGTTTGTGCAATGGTGGGATGGTGGGATGGTGGGATGGGAGAAATAAAAATGAACGAGAGTGTGATAGCGAAGAAAGGAGCAAAGAAAAGAAAGAAAAAAACAAAGAGCGAAGAAGGCGGGAACGATGACCAATATCGGCAATAAGCTCGTCGACGAAGGACAAAAGGATTGGACGTGGAGCTGAGCAGCCAGGACAAGTTGTCCAGAATGCAAGAAGGAACCTTGAAAGATCATGTCTGAGCAACTGGGGCAAAACAAACAGAAAACTAGGAGAGCTCGTTTGGTTATTGTTCTTCATGTCTCTTCATCCCCCTTTTTTTATCACTTGACACTTGTTGTGTCGATTATCTTTTTTGATCGTGTGAGCTACACAGGCGAGACAAATACAAGGGATCGCTCCTTGAATAAGGAAGAGTGAGGCAGCTTCGTGGTGGGGAGAAGGGAGAGACAATGAAATGGACACGAGACGAATACACAGTATGTCTGGAGGCATAAAAAAATGCACATTGAAGCCGTTTGATCCTTGTCCGTCCATGTAAAATTTTATTCCAGGATATTGAGAAAAAGGAGGCGACAATAGTAAAAAGAAGACGGGGATGAAGCTCGCTCTGCGAAAAGAAGTTAGAAGGACAAACAGGACCTCACGGACCACGTTACAAAACACAAAATTTGAGAGCGAGGATGAGGAGACGGCCTGGGAACTCCTTCATTTTTTGTTCTTTTTGCTATATATCGGGGGGCTAGCTAGTCTACGTTGTCCTGTTACGAGCCAGAACAATACAAAAAAACGACACAGAAAGGGGAGGTACGAGGAAGGAGTTCTTTTCGCTTTCAGAGCGCGTCGACAAAGGAGTTGCCTCCGTGAATAAGAATGCTATTATTATTTGTGCTTAACGTAGCAATGGGTATAAAGTAATTGTGGGCTGTCTGTTAACTATGCGCAGGCACAGGCGGGAGGACTCCTTGGATAATTTTGATGCTCTCGGTCGTATCAGACAGCCCCCATATCGTAGTGGGGACTGAATCGCTGAAAGGCTGGTGTGCCTCGGCACCCGCGCTCTGTATAGAATGCAAAACTGTGATTCCTGAATCCAACAAACGACTTGATGGACTCTGGCTCGTGCAAGGTCATACACCCACATCCCTTCACAATCCCCACTTCACTCCGGTAAGATGGCTCTGTAAAAAGACAGACGATCCCCACCTCTGGTGCAGACGAGCGTGGTAATTTTGAAACACTGTTGACTAGGCATTCCCCCTGGAGCTGGTCTTCGCTGTCCAGATCGTCGATCTCCAGCAGGTGGTGGTATCCGTCAAAGATTTTGCCGCCATTGTCTGGTAAAGGCCAGGAATGTATATCTGTGGCGTTGGCGCATACTCTCCTGTGGGTGTTGGGAGGATGTTGTCGTTGTTGCCCTGGCTGTTACCGCATTGGGACCGTATATCATTGGAATAAATATGTTGAGGACGTGAGGGATCTCCGGATACATGTCGATTTTGGCGGTCGCTGCAGCAAGGAGGTCGGTCTGAGAACACGGTCGAGTCGGGAGCAGGAGTACTTGAGGTGAGATCAGGCAGCAGTGTTGCAAGGACCAGCAAGGACTAGCACCAACAACTGCGTGAGAGTAGCTATCAGCATGGCGCGTTTTCCTAGGGTGGGTTTGAAGAGGATGTATAACGGGAGGTCTGGGAGTATCCCTGCTTTTGTAGTCAAAGACCTCCCCCTCCAAATGAGAAAACAGGGCGATGGGATAGACGAAATGACCACAGGAAGGCAGAAGTAATAAAAGCTTCCAGCCGGATGTTTCTGGTTAGAAGCCTAGGCTAAACTTTGCTGACTCCCCTCCCACAGCGCGGAATCATCAGACTTTGCGCCTGTGTGGTTCCCTCTCTGTTTTTTACCCACAAGAACGGATACTGTTTCCGGAGAGCACAATGGCTACGTTTCGCCCCATTTCATTATCCCTGCACATCGACTCTTCCATGGTCTCAAGCCCTGTCTTCCAATAGTCCTTTTTTGCGTCCATGCAAGCACGTCCGCTTGGCACGACCTATGGACACACGTATCCTTTACAGATTCTGACATCAAGCTCTCGACCCGGGTTTTCTCAATGTACCTTTCATACCGTTTTTCACGCGGTGACTCCGTCTGGACACAAAAGTATTGTTCAGGTGGATATCCACCCACTTTGTCAGTATTGCAATTTTACATTGTCGCGACGCATACATCCAATCTTCTATGGGCGTGATCGCGACGGGCAAGATACGATGACCCAGATATACTTCCAATAGAGACACCCTCATCAGCCACGCTGTCTTAGTCATTGAGAGTCCATGCATGTGATGACATGCATTATTTTCCTTCTGGCTCTTGTCCCACCAGCATTCTCTGCAAAGCGGCAATCGACAGCTGTCAAATTGCATTCCCAATTGGTGTCTGTCTGCTCGCGAAATAAGTAGGCTCCTCACCCTTTTTGCTTTGTTCGTTGAAAAGCAGGCTATGAATGAGAGAGATGAAGGGGGCTCGACTCCGAAAGAGCAAAACTACAAAATGAATATCAACCAGGGTATACATTCAAGGAGTTAGCTGTGGAGGTGGGTTGTATTATTAGATGTCTAATCGTTCAAGAAAATTGACACTAAAAAATGTCCCCGCCCAATTCAGCAAGGGGTCGTTCTCCTCCTTCACCTTGTGAGCGATGATCTTTTTATTATTTTGTTATAGGCCTCTTGCGTTCTTACCAGTTGCACCTTTTCATCTCATCTAATAATTTTTCTCGCCGGATGATCTTCGGATCATCCTTTGTTAATTACAGTGTTTGTTATGACCATGGCTTGTGGTTTCCAACATCTGTCGCGCAACGTTTTCTGTTCAAGATGGAAGAGGGGAAGGAAGACGACACTGGATGATGGCATGGGCCTGTAAACCACTCACTTCAACTCAAATAGGGCAAGCAGGTACAGGGGACAGGGACAGGGGTGACGGCGAGCAAACTCTAAACGTAAAATCAGCTGCCAGATCGACTCCTTCTACTCACGCTAGAGCGAACTTGTCTTTTACCCTGATCCCTGGACCCCTTGTTCGTTCAGAAGGAAGGGGGAGCATGCTAAATGGTAAGAGGTCGCACAGTTGAAGACTGGTGGAGTTTGGGAGGAGGCCAGAAGGAATGTATTTCAGGCCGGTACTGTCAAGTTCATGTAGAAAACCCTTAGCTGTTCGGCATGTTGCCATGTGGGATCGACACTAGCAGAAGAAACGAAAAAAAAGAGGGGGGAAATAAAACGCAGGGCCTTTTCATTTCGCTGCAAAAAAGAGGGGGTAGTCATGGATATGTCCTAATTTTGCATTCCACGGCCCTATTTCAAGAATCCGCCCGTCTCCGCTGAACTAGTGAAATAGCGTAGTTTACTGTTTCTCTTTTTGTTCCCTTTTGGTGATGGTCCTTGACCCTCTGTCTGTGTGCGTGTGTTATATTGCTCAACATGTAGAGCAAAAGAGGCTAACATTGTATGAATTACGAGGTGAGAGTTGAGAGAGTTGAGAGTGAGGGTGTGAGAGTGAGAGTGAGAGCCCTGCTTTTCACCACCCGGAAGTGACAAAGACACAGAATCCTCTCTACCTTCCTCTTTCTTCTCTCCGTCCATTCTTCGTCAGGCAAACCAGGCAGTCCATTCAAAGTTATTATTACCCTTCAACGCTGTGAAGACAAAAAAAAAATGAAATGACTGGCCCCTTCTTTCCTCCTCCTCCTCCGTCTTCTCGGGTGTCATCATCATGATTGTCATCACAATTGCAATAAAAATAATATTAAACAAAAACAAACATACCCCAGGTAATCTTTCCACCTTCTCTCCTGCACCTCTTTGCCTCCCTTATCATTAATTCTCCTTCTCCTTTGCCCTCATTTTTAATATCGCATCTCCCTGCCCTACTTAGGCCCTCTTTTGCGCAATCGAGTCAACTACTTACTCCTCGCACCGAAACGGCCGTTTTCATTTATTTATTTGTTTTGTCGACTACCCCCTCCCTTCGCCCACTGTCCTTAGGCTTTGTCAATTGCACGCGGCCCTGCCCTGACTCCCTCATATTTTTGATTGTTCTGTACATTCGAATCAATAATCCGCTAGTTGTACTTCTTTTTCTATTCTCCTTGTGGCAACTTTTCTTTCTTCCTTTCTTCCTTTCTTCCTTTCTTCCTTTCTTCCTTTCTTTTCTTTCTCTTCTCTTGTTTTCATTTACCATTCCATTAGTACCATTTGCATCTCATCTACTGTAGTATCCTCAATACCCTTCTTCCCTTCCTTCACACTTTTCTCCAGCATCTGCCGATATCCTTCATCACCATCACCGCCACGACACGACACACTTCATCGTCCACTAGTTATCGTCATCATCATCAATCATCACCAGCGCATCCCAGCTCTCCCGTACCTGGAACCAATAAGCGCCATCACATCAGTCATTATCGTCGCCTCCTTAACCATCATCCATGGCCGTCTCTCCCTCGCCACCCCCACCCGTCCCCTCCACAACGCCCTCCTCGTCCACACGATCGTCAACCCTCACCGTCGTCTTTGCGCAGGGCGGTAGCGGTTCAACCTGTCTCCTCCGACCCAATGCAGTCGTCCGAGGTCATGTCGAACTCAAACTGATCAAACCATGCCATGCCTCGGGCGTTCGTCTCAGCCTCAAAGGTAAATGAGAAGAACAGCTGTTGGCATGAGATCTCTTTTTTCAATGGAGGACAGGGTGCGTGTTGGATTCTATTTTCTCTCGGTGCAACACATGCAGGACAGGAAGGACAGACGGAACAGAGGAGAAAACGCGGCACCGACCGTTTTCTGTGTATACAACAACAGGGCCTCCACTTTACCATCACACCGTTCTATTAGAGAGATGTTTCCATGCGAGGGGTTCTTCTCTTGCTCTCTGTTCTCACCCTCTCGTTCTTCAAGAACACAGACGGGGACATGGATCGCCTTGTTTGTTGTGTTTTTATGTGACGCAATTCAGTTGAACCACATCTGCGTGGAACATCATCAACAACAAAGATGGGACCAATGCATTTTGTCAGGAGAGAGATGCGTATCCGTGGGTTCATCGCCATACATACACAAAGTGAGCGGCGAGAAAATGAAATGTCTGTTGTTGACCTGAGATGAAACCCCGTGCATATTTTCCTTCTCTCTTTCTCTGTTCGTTCCATGAACCAATGGACGAGTTTTGGGCACGATAATGTTAACAATAACAATAATAACGAGTCTCTGTCAGTACAGTCATGACCCTTCTTTTTTTTTTTTTTTTGGGGGGGGGGTGAGGGGGGGGGGGGGGCAATGGCCCAATTCACATCTCTCCGAGCCCGCCTTTTGATATGCAGCAGAGGGGTAGGAAGATACCTTAGTCTCAACCAAAAGAGAGGGAGGGGGGAATGAGGGACCGGACCAAATTGTTTTATTGTTGCAGCGCCCACTTCATTCCGTCCTGATTGATCCTCCACTCACTTGGGCGATGCCAAAATACCAAGAGAAAAATGCAAAAGTCAAGAGGGCTCGCACCCTCTTTTTTTATGCGTTGTTGTGCTCTCGATCTTTGTTAGCAACAGAGCCGCCATTCATCCTATTGCACAACTCAACCGTCTCTGTTTACTCACCTTTCTTTGGCCACTCATCGTGTGCCCTGATATGCTTTTTCTTCCCTTCGTCATCTCCACTATCAAACCCTAATTACTTAATTACCCGCCGCAAAAAATAACTCTAGCTGAAGAGTCTGCAATCGTACTGGGTCAAGAATCGAACGGCGACTCGATGCGCCAAAAGTTCCAACAGACCGTCATTACCCTCTTCGACACAGAAGTCATGGTCTCTGGCTCGAACCAAGGCGATAACGAGTTGGCCAATTGGCAGGAGATTGCCCCCGGATCGTATACGTTTCCTTTTGCACTCAAGGTGCCCAACGTCAACTTTCCTCCCTGTATTCCTGTAAGTTCTTTTTGTTAGCTGGCTTTTTTTTTTTGCTTTGTCGCTTCGGTAAATCATCTTTGTACCGAACTGCAATTGAAGCATGTTTGGATATTGGAGAGACGGGAGGGAGAGAGGGAGAAGGCGACAAAGATAGGCGTCATTGCGCATTTTAGTTCATTTAGCGGGGATAGGATGGGATATGACAGTCAACACGAATGTCTCGACCGTTGTCAAGTTAACTAGCACCGCCCTGACCCCAACCTAACCTAACCTTTGCTCTCTTTGTTTTGTAATCAAAAAGGGTCTTGATGGATTCTCTATACGCTACGTGTGGAAGGCACATGTGGAAAGTCCCTTTGAACCCAGTCTGTCCTCAGAAGAGGTCCTCTGCCAGTTCATGCCCAATGTCCTTGCGCCCAAACCCCAAGAGTGGACATATCGCGAGGTCGTTGGGGCAGTGATGTCAAAGAGCACGACACAGGTCAACAAGCCGCCCACAGGAATTGATGTCAGCATCAAAATGCACCAGCAGGTGTATGTCCCAGGTAAAGTTCACGGCTAGCAGAGTCCCCATGAAATCGATCGATCTCTGGAGTTGTTTGCTTGTTTTGATGGCTGTTCTCGTTTTTGTAGTATTGTCATTCATCCCCCCATTGCTACCATTGATGTGGATGTGGTTGCGGTTGGTGTCAGTACGACATGATTTTGTTTCTTTAAATTACAATTTTGTTTGTGCATGTGTGCAAACAACAACAACACGCACGATAGCTGGCCAGCCCACCACTCAGTCATAGTCAAAAAAATCAAATGTGCGCCCGACATTAATTCCGACTCATTATTATTATTTTTCATTCTCCTCACTTTCCACAATATCGATGACCCATTGCGTATGCATATAGGTGACCCATTGTCAATGGCAATGACCCTGGTCAACAATGGTCAGGGTAAGGTGGCGGCCATCGATATGGTTCTCCGTCGGACCATCAAGGGCACCGTCTCAACCTCCTACGCCAACCTCTCCAACCAATCTCAGACCCATATCATGACAAAGACTGTTGAGTGCAAGGTGCGGTCTGGTGAGACGGGGCAGGTCGATATCTTAACCACTATCCCCCCCCTTGGGAAGTACTATTCCATTCCGACATTCGAGTCCAACTTTCTGAAGGTTTATTATGAGCTCTTGTGTATCGTCAAGGTCAAGCGGTCGGTGTTCTCAGGCGGCGATACGACATACCAGTGCGCGTTTCCGATCCCCATTGCGACGCATAATGTTGATAATCCGATCATTACTGGACGCACCCCACGCTGGACAAAGAGTCGGTTGCAGCCTTATTTCTTTGAGTCTGCTTGGGCTGACCCTGTCGGTGACCTCCCAGGTCCTCTAGTCAACACCAACTGCAACAACATTAACACCAGCACCGACACTCTCCAGGCCGTGAGCCCCGTCATCGCCACCGGCGAATCAATCATCGGAATGTCTTCGCTCGCCTCGGCCTCAGCCGCATCCTTGTTGAGTAACCCAGGATCAAGTAACGCGATGCAGGAATTCCTTACGGGAGGATCGGTAGAGCTCCACCGCGAACGGACACTCAAGAAGAGCCTGACACGGAGCAAGAGCATGAAGGACTTACAAACCCCGCGCCTCAATGGGTCCACCTGGAGAGCAGAGCGGGAGCAATTGCTGAACCAGACCCGGGATCTGCCCTCCAACAACGCCAACGTCACACAACTCGATCGCTCCATCACCGACGGCGCATCTTCTTCTTCCAACGGCGTCGGCAAGCGCTCTCCACCCCTGGGCGCAACAACCAAATCTTCAACCACCAAATTCTCAACCACCAAATCCTCAACCACCAACGATGACTGGCAACAACAAGGACAAAACGCCCCTGGCGACGCTGATGTGGTTGACAGCAACGGCAACGTCGGATATACCCCTCCCCCACCAACGGCTCGGCCACCCAAGAGCGCACACCGTGAACTGACCCCCGAACAACAAGCAGAATTGGCCAGAAAGGCTAGCCGCAGGATCCTGCCCAACCAGGGCATGTACAACAATGATGGAATCCTGCCACCCGAAATCGAGTCCCGGTACCAGCCCCAATCTCCTACCATCAACCCTGCCACCAACCCTGCCGCTGCTGCCGTCAGCCAATCATCGTCTACGACCAACAACAATGCATCTCTCAGCAAACCGCTACCTCGCCGAAACGCGTCCTTATCACAAAAGTCACACTACCCACAACATGGCGGTGCTAGCTCAAACTACATCCCAGACCAGGACACTATTGATACCCCAACACCCACTACTCGTGGAAACTACACTGGAGTATATGAACCCACACGCTCCAACACTGGCAACAGTTTCAGCAACAGTGGTGGCGGTAACGACCAAGGATACTCCTCATCTTCTCGCCACCAACAGGACGGAGGATACCCCGCCATCCCCGAAAGAATGCCCTACCAACACTCCCTCCCCGCCCATCAACAGCCTCCAGGTGTTATCATCCCTGTCGGATTGGTCTCACCTCCCCTCCTCGCCAGCACATCCCCTTCATCGTCATCAAAGAGCACTCGCCTGGAGAGAAGTCCTAGTCGTCGAGATGTCCCAACCACCAATAACGGTCTCTCGAACCTCTCTGCCAACGCAGGCGACTTCATGCCACCCCCACCTTTCAACAGGTCCATGCCCACCTCTACCATTACCGAAACTAATAACGGAAACAGCAGTTATCACCAACGACAGGGAAGCGCCGGCAGCAACCATGTTGTCATCGGCAACAACAGCGCCAACAACAACGCCACCAACAACGTCAACAACAACAACAGCATCAACAGCTGTATCGGAAACTACGACCTGGCCAGGATTCCACCTTGGGAGCGCGTTGAGCGAGTTCACCACCAGAACTGGTTCCGCCCCGGCCCACATCAGACAGGTGCCTTACAGGCGTTTGATGCTGCGGGACTGACAATGTCCAACTTGCAGAGTGTTCCGATCTTGAAGAAGACGCTCCAGCACCCTGTTGATACTGCTGTTGTGCATTCCATCGAGGTTGAAGAGCACCTTCGCTGAGATACCATAACTAATTGTCCACACCCTATCCTCATTCCACCAACACTATCAATACCTTTTTGCATCTTAGATAGCCTTATGAAAAAAAAAGACACGACCCCACTCCTCTCCTTTCTTCCTCCAAAAGTAACTACTAATACGCCTAATGACCCCCATTCCATTCTTACAAACCCATTTTTAACGAACAATAATATTTCCATTGCTAATTTAATCGCTGTGCCTTTCGTTTTTGTTGCTGTTGTGCCTTGTGTATTTTACATGTGTGTGGATGGAGTGCCACACGCTCTCTGCATCCAGTCCTCTCTCTCTCACACACGCTCTTCTCCACTGCCTCCTAGGGGTCTACCGATGTGAATCCAGTTCCCTGAGAAAAGCTCAAAGTCTCTCACTCTCAGACCATGGGCAAGTCACCGCCCAGTTGAGGCTCTCGCGGGTCAACGGCCATCGGCAAATCCGCATCAGTCCATTTCTGTTCCATCTCCAGTTCTTCTTGTTCATATGCGGCTAGCCGAGATGAAAGGAACGAACATGTAGAAAAAGGACAAAGGAGCAGATAAGTAACGAATGTGATAAACAACTTAAGACATTATGCAACAAGACAGGGCAGGGCGTTCATCGCGTTCGTAGAAATGTGGAGGGAATAGGCACGGGGTCGCGTGAATATGGGATAGCACAAAAGAGCAAAAATTGGTTCCACTTTTAGGGTGGTATTAGTGTCTTGTCGTGTCGTGTCGAGCTTGTGTCTACAGGAGTTTTGGAGTAAAGAATGTACATGTACCTTGTTCGCTCTCTGCAGAAACAGGCTGCAGGTTCAGTGGAACCTCAATCACTACAACAATGAACGAGGGGAAAGTGGTATCACAATGCAAAGAATAGTCAGTAGAACGAAAGTAAAAATAGTCGTAAAGGGAATAAGAAAGAAACAATAGGGCGACAGTGAGCAAAACGAGAGGTGCAAAAGGCGTGTGAATGTGCAACAACTTTACTGTCGTCGGGCAGGTCTTCGAGTTCCCAGTCGATGTCGGCATTGACAAGGTCGGCATCCCGCCAGTGGACTTGGCAGAATTGACTGTCACTCATTTGTATGTTTCGAAGGAGCTGGGGGTGTGCGGAATGTAGTTTGAGTGAATGAATGGAAGGTTGGAGAAAGCAAGAAACAGAAAGAATAAAGTAAAGAAAGGAGTTTTTATTATTTTTCAGGACTGCTGTGCCGATGATGGTGGCAACACAAAGATTTCCCTCAACGCTACACTCGTTGTCGCCGTTGCTCCTGCTGAATCCAAAATCTCTGCTGGCGTCTGTCCACGAACATCCCGAACCTGCAACAACGCCTCCAATCGCCCAGGGTGGCCGGCCTTGGCCTTATTCCGCAGCCACGTCGCCAGTTCCAAGAAACTCTCGCTCTCATCAAACACGCCCTTTCTGGAACTGGCTTGGTCTCTGATAGCAAGGGCGAGGATATGAAAGACATTCTCGTGTGAGGAGTTCTGTTCCTGAAGGTTGGCGCCATACGAAACCAGGAGTTTGGCAACGTCGAGGTGGTTCTGTTGGATAGCTCGCATCAGGGCCGTGGTTCCCAGTTCGGGCGTCTTAGCGTCAACATCTGCGCCTGCATCCAGTAGTAGTGTGCAGGTCGCCATGTTGCCCGTTCTACTCGCATAGTGCTACAATGAAATACAAAAAAGGACTCCAAATGGAATGAGAAAGCTTATCGTCTACACACACAAAGCAGAAACGAGGTTACGAACAACAGCGTCGTCTTATTATTAATGTTATGTTACCAGAGCGGTGTATCCAGCCGAATCGCGGGTGACAGCCGGAGACTCGCCTCGTTTTTGTCTCAATAGAATCGACTGAACCCTGTCGACGTTGTGGGCAGTGCAGGCGGCAAAAATGGAGCGACTGAACTCTATCTCGTCGAGACTCTCCGACACTGAGCTTGGTGCATGGTTGCAGACATGACCTGGGTGGTCGTGGTCGTGGCATTCACTTGATGAGGTGGTTGTCGAAGAAGTCATTTGGCGTTGTGTTTGTGTGGGTGATGAATGAGTTGTGAAGAGGAGTCGCATGCTTGTTTAAATAGTAGGCAAATGACAGGACAATGACAGGACTGCTTTTGTTCGTGATCAACGGTGTTCTATTCGGAAGCTCTACAAAACGCCAGAGGAGTATCCTTTGGCAAAGACCTCTACATTGTTGTCAAGGATCTTGTAGTGGAGCGTAAGTGCTGGCCATTCGTTCTCCTTGACTTGCCCTGCGCGCTGGCGGAGCAAGTATCCCGGTCCATGCAACAATGACAACTATTATCATCAACAATTAACGTGAAACGATTACTGTCAGCCACAAGTAATTACTACAAACGCTTTCATGCCTTCCATATATATGTAATGAGTTCGTACCTGTCCGTGAACATCTCTTGATCCACCGCTGTCGAGTCCTCGGACATCAATGATATAGTCTGCCTCATAGAAAACTCCCTTGACCAGTCCATCCTGGCTCACTTCCTCTGCCAAAAGTCCGTCCGCGTGTACCAGTGTAATCAATGTGCCATTGAACTATCGATATCAAATGTGACAATACCCAGTCTGTTAGTTCTCATACTAAAAATGTGACAGTACAATGACATTCTTAAGATAAATGATAAGGAGAAAGAACACCCATGGGGTGTGGTGATTACCTTGGTAACCAAAAGTTTCAAGTAGCGGACCAAGGCCAACACATCACGACATGGCCATCCGCAGTTTAAAAGAACCGAGAGATCGTCCAAGATCAAGACGAGCTGCTTCTGAAAAGGTCCGGTTGTCTTTGAGGCTGTGTCCTGAATGATTTCCTCGAGTGCCCTGTACAAGTCGACTAACTTTGGGCCATAGCTCAGCACCTTTGGTGGCGCAGGGGGTGTTGCTGCTGCTGCTGCTGCGGGCCGCGCTATCCTTGCTCCTGCCGTTGTTGTTGTAGTTGTAGTTGTTGATGAAGGCTTTGGCTCAGCTGGCTTTGCGAGGTATTCCTTGTTGGGTGCAGCGTAGTCCGTGAGCTGTGTCAGACCGTCCACAAACTGAAAGTTTCCCTTTGTCCTTGCCGTCGCCAAATTGACACCCTATCAAGTTCAATTACAAAATGTATGTTATGAGCATCTGCAGTAGATCATATAAGTTACATCATGAGCCGTCTTAAGTACTCATATAAGTTCAATTGCTTACAAGCTTGCGTCCAACCATGGTGTAGTGGACGAGGATACCGGCGAGACCGACGAGAACAACATTATGATCAGCCTTGAGGTAGTTTGAAATGAAGTGATGCAATAAAAAGTTTCCATCCGAGGCCTGGGTGTCTGAGATGGAGAGGAATGTTCCTGGCGGCAGCAGAGGTGCGTGTGACGAGGGCAGGTGTGGTTCCAGCGATGCGTATCCCATGGTTGTCAACTTGGTAGTGGTGGCGTGAAAATAAAAGATGTGCTTTGTCGCGAACCAAATTTTTCCTTCACATGAAAACACTTTGAGGTGGAAGTTCTCACGTGGAGGTAGAATGGAGTCGTATGTGCAGTCGAAGGTCATCATCTTTCGTCTGAGACAGGCGCCAGTGCCGGAGCGTGTCGCAACGCGAGGCAGACCAGCCAATCGATGCAGCTGCATTGATTCATGATACTCCTCGTGTACAGTACTTCTCTTCTTGAACTTCACGCCTTCACGTATGCGTCCATACTTTCCCACTTCTCCTTCTCTTTGCTCCACCATTCCTTCACTTCCTCCCTCCTTCTCTTTACACACACCTTGCCCTCAGACGTTTGCTGTTCATTTACCGATCCAAATTGAAGGTAACACTTGAGTGTGAGAGGGTGAAAAGACAACGGTCGAAATCGCAATCCAACTTCTTTTCAGATATACACACTAACACTTGAGGTGCGCTCCCTCTCTTCGCCCAATGCAAGCAGCAGTACCCAACCTTCTTCCCATACACCCCTTCCTACTTCCCTAGTTGCCATCGATCTCTCTCTCTCTCTCTCTCTCTCTCTCGCTCACTCACTCACTCTCTCCCCGTGTCATTCTCTTTGTCTTTATTTGTTCCTTCTTCTGTATTCAACCTTAGCGCCCATGCTCGCCTTTTAACTCAACATAGAACTACCCCTCTTCCTCTTTCTTGCTCACTCCTTCGTCATACCTCTCATTCCAAAACTAGCAACCCTCTTTTCTCTCACTTGAGCTTCATTCACCCTCATTCGGACCCACCAACCTCCTGACGACATTCACAAACTCATCACTCTCACCGCCCTATTACGACCACCTTTCAGTAATACGATCCAACTCAACCTCACCTAGTGTCTGAATAGCCTGCACATATCGTCCGAGTAAGTTCTTACTTCAATGCTCGCGCACAATGAAGCTGCAGCTGCAACACAAACAACAAACAGTTGCATTGACATATATTACCATTATTTACATACCATTAGTCGTTCACGACAACTGTTAGAGAATGCTTCTGCTTGTACCTTCGCACAAGACAGACGAAGAGGGTGTCGGGAAGGATGCGGCACCTCCCAGCAGAGTCCTCGTCCTCCTATCCTCCGATACCGACATCAGCTCCAATGTCATTGTTCCTGACACAGCCATTACCACTACTCTGGGAACCAACGACACCTTAGAAATCATCGCTGGCAACTTTCCACACACCCCGCTCTTCAACCCGGCAGCATTCTTTACGCAACCCAAACACTCGAGAGACCATCTCGGCATTCTTCAGCCCTCTAGACCTGACGACCCTTTTAACGGCTTCCAACAACCCTCTCAACAATCGAACGTCTATCGCTCGCAGGATCACATGGACGACAGTCGATCAAGGAGACAGCCCAGCCAACCAGACCAACGTACTCTACATCCTTACGGCGGTAACAACCCCAACTACAGCCGCGCCCGTCGACATTCACACACCGGTCTAGTTGAGTTTGATTACTCAGTAGGGCCTTCTATCAGCGGTCCACGACTGCGGGCTCGTCAATCCATCTCGCTGGCGGCACCATATCAACACCAATCTTTCCGGACACCTCGTCTTCTAAGAGGTGCCTTTAGGAAGGCTAGGAAGGAACAATCACCTCTTTTGACCTCTGGCGGCTTTGGAACCGACTATACAATGCAGAACCCTGCAGAGGAGTGGGAGGGAGACGACATTTTTCTGCCCTGGAAGACCGTGTCGTCCATTCCTGAACAACCATCCTACCCTTCGACAACTCTTGGTTCCACCAACCCAAGGTCGTTGCTTCATGGAGTTGGATCCATTTCGCATCTCTCAAATCCTCGAGGAGAACAGCTGGAGGGAGAAATAATCAATAACAAGAGCTATGCTGACCTCGATTCGATCGACTCTGGCGACGACATTGAATTGGATGGGGACGAAAATAATAGGGACAGAGATACGACTGCGATGACAACCAAGTCTCCCACAATCCCACCGGTGCCACCCAAGCGAGGACATCGAGATTCATCTGAGTTTGTGGATGTTGATGGGCTATCGGACGAGGAGATGGCTGCAGACGAATCCTCCAAGGCACCAACAACAGCGGATGAGTCTCCCACGAATAGTAAAGCACGAGTGGACCAATGGTTGAAGGATGGTATGGATAATAAGACACTGGATCGAGCAGACTTGGAGATTGATTTGGAGAACAGCTTGGATGCCGACATGAACACGATCCTTGGAATGGCGTCGGATATGGAGCTGGTGATGCCCAAGTTTGACGACAACTACCTACAGGACTTGAACACAGAGCCGGCGTTGACTGCTTTCACGAGAGGACGCTCTTCTTCTGCGTCGAATGCTGTGTCCCCTTCCTGCTCACACTCATCCTCGACCACTATCACCTGTATTTCTTCCCACTCCTCTCCATCACAATCGACGGCCACCGGCTTTCCTGGACCAACGATTCTTGCCCATGGAGGATCGTCGCCTTTGCAGTCCAACACCACTGGCCAACGAACGACAGAACAGCCCTCTGCGGGCCAAGACCTTTCTAGTTTCCACCGTGACATTGATATCTTGCGCCGACACCGAGAAGGGTTGAAAGGGAGCCCCGAACTACCAACTGAGACTTCGAATCCTAGACTACCATCCCTCTTGAACTCGTCCTCCTGTGGTTCAAACCCGTCCACCCTGTCATCATCAGCCTCGCCTCCCTCTTCGACAACTGACGAACAAGGCATGCCAGCGTCTCAGGGCCCCATCTATTTCAATCCTTCTCACCACAACCTGGCCAACGAATCCGCACCAGGCGAGCAGCACCCACACCAGAATGTGATGATTATCCAGTCAAACCAATGGACCATGGACAACAACAAGGGTGTAACTACAGGGACCAGAGTCTTCCCACAGTCGATGGGTATACGAAGGAATGAGGGGAATCATATCTACATGGTTCGAGAATGCTCACCGACACCTTCTCCACCACCTCTTCTCGACAAGAGCGCCATCATGACGACACACAATATATCGCTGGCCACTGCCAACATGAATGTGTTGACGCCACAGGAGGTGCAAGAGGACTATTACACAAGGCGGAATATGCGACTCAACCGGCAGCGACAGCGCCGAAGGAGTTCTGCTGCGGTTGCGGGGGCAGCAGAAGCGGTAGCAGCAACGGCGACGACAGGTGGGGCGAGTGGAGAGAGCAGGTCACTCCGGTTAGAGGGGGTCTCACCCTTGGCCTCGACCAGTTCGTCGTCGTCGTCCACTTCTTCCCGCTCGGCGTCTGTCCATGGGTCAGATTTGATCCACCCCCTCGATATCAACTACAGCAACAACAACAACAAATCCATTGTACCAGTACCGGCGATTAGTGCGACCCTGCTTCCGATGTCGTATTACATTCCCCCCAGCGCGTTTCGAACAGAGGCGGCAGTTGCGGCGGAGAGGGAGAGGGAGATGGGGCGGAAACGGAAGGAAGAAGAAGAGGCCCTCAAGAATTCTTTCCTAGTTTTCCCTTCACCCACCCTCTTGTGACAGCATCAGCTTCAACCATAAACATTATTTTTGGGGATCATAGCGTATCTTATTGTGGCTTGCCAGAAGGAATGCCACGCGGTTTACTTTCCCACACTCTGGTCACCTGATATGATGATGGATTAGAGTTATGTTGTAGTTGCAAGGCGAAGCGAGTCGACGCTCAGATCAATCCATCACTGATTTTGATAATCTCATCAGTCGCAGTCACTAAAGTATGCGTCGTCTGATGGGATAATTTTGCGGAGAAGCGGAGTCTTCTGTTGAAAAAAGGGTAGTTCGTGGGAACCTGCTAGATTTGGACAAAACATCATCGGCCTCTCTTTTTCTCATTTCCAGATGGGTTTCCGATTGATTGCCTCTGCTCTTTTTCTTACTCCTCCCCCCAAAACGGCCATTGCTGGCTATCGTCGTGCGTGGGATTTTTTTTGTGTCGCCAATGGCTTTTCCCTCTGCGTCGTGTTGTGAGAAAAAGTGGGAGAGAGTGGTGATGCGAGTGACCTTGAAGGGAGTCGAGGATCATTGGTTCAAGCAGGAAAAAAAAAATGGTTGATTTCACATGTTCATTTTTTCTATTTTTTTTATCGCATCAACCAGAAATAACGGAGCAAAAGGGGACAGACAAAGGGGAGATCCGGGTGGTGGACAAGGCAAGAGAGGGTATAGAAAGGAGACAGCAAAGGGTAGAGAGAGATGAGCAGTCGTCGCTTGGTCATACCCCTCACTTTTACTCCTCCATCGCGAAGCTATTTGTCCGTTTCCCACAGCTACTTAGTGGATAGAATTTTGTTTTGCTTGGTTTGTCACAACTACTCTTGGCTTTTTCATCCTCTCTTCTCCGAGATCGAAAGATCATTCGGGCTGAGAAAGCAATCGTAGGTCGGTTGCTCTTTTCTCTTTTCATTTATCGGACACCACCGGAGATTTGGTGGTGGTAGTTGTAGTTGGAGTTGTTGTTGTTCACTTAGTTTTTCTTTGGCTACATTGGGATTACGAATGAAGGTGCGATGTTTGTTGCTGTTGTGCGAGTGTATGTTTCGCGGGGATTTGCCCAAAGTGTTTTGCTTTCTCACGCTTGCTCAATTCGCTTCTTGTTATCAGAGTACATGTCTCGCTCGCTCGCTCGCTCGCTCTTTCACGAACATTTTTTTTAAATTTGTGATTGATGTGAGTGGTTTATTTTGTGTGGAAAGTTACACCTTGCTTGGCAAAAGAGCATGCCCGGGGGACATCAGACGTGGAGGAGGGAAGGAAAAAGGGAGAGAAGATATGCAGGCTTTTGCGTGAGAACTGCGACATCTACGCAATAAGCGAGGGAAAAAGGAGCAATGATGATGAAGTGTGGGAGAGGGGCCAGTTGGGGTAGTAGGGATGGAGTGCTTGCCTACTTGCTATCGATGCGAATATTAATGCGCGTGAGATGAGCGTTGTGTCTTGTTTGTGTGATGGTGAATTGGGGTAAAGAGGGCGATGGATGTTGCTTATCTTTGAATAAAATAGAGTATGGTATTCTGTTTGAATTGGCACATGCGGATGAAATGTCGAGCTGTTCGTGTGTCCTCCCCCCTTTTCTCTCGCTTTCTTATCCGTGCCTTGTCCACCACTCGATGGTCGATGGCGAATCCGAGTCCGGGGTTGCCAGAAATACAATTTCGCATCCGACAACGACTCGCTTTTTTTTTCTTTTATCTATCTTTTGACATTTTTTTCCACCTTCCGCTTTCTTCAACTCTCTCACACTCTTCTTCTTTCTTCTTCCTTCTTCCTCTTCTTCTTTGCTTCTTCTTTCTTTCTCACACCACCACCCACTGACCAACCAACCCTTATCACATTCCTTCTCTCCTTCACTCTCTCCATCTCATTCCTTCTTCCTTCCTTCCCTTTCCTCATTCACCTCCTTCACTTCAACCCTCTCTTCCAACCTTTACAACCACCTCATAACTCACATACAACCATGAAACCTCCTTTCCCTTCCGCCGCACAGGCATATGCCAAGTCCATCGACTCGGCAACTGCCAGTCGTCACCACCCTGAAGCCCGCCTCACCATCCTCCCACTCCCTTCCCTCGCTGCCCTCTATCCTATGGACGAGCCTCACCACCTCCTCAACCATCCTTCCTCAGCACATCATCACCACATGGACCCAACCTCTACTCTCACACACCCTCTCTCCCGCTCAAATCCAACCCAACCATCGCAACAACAGCAGCTCAATTCACAATCGCGCTCTCACCAGCAGCAGCAGCCAGGGTACCAGTCCTATGATAGCCGGTACCAAAAGTACCCCGGCTCAAATCCTCCCTCCTCTGAACAGCAACAATCCAAATCTACAGCACCCTTTGTTGCTCAGATTGAGCAGAAATTCACTTCCAGAGAGACCGGAGCTAGACAAGGGCCAGAGTACATGGGCACTAGTATGGAGTCTCTCCTGAACGCGATCGAAGTCCACTCCTCATCCGCATCTTCCTCCTCCTCTCGCTCTCCCTCTCCTTCCTCCGCCAGCACTTTCCACAGCGTATCGCCTGCACCTCAATCACCTCAGCTCGGCAGCGCCACCAACAACAAGGCGCGCATGTCCATCAGCAATCTCCTTGACGATACCCCCTTTGAGAACAGCCGCGTACCTGCCATGCCCGCTGCCCCCCAACAACAAAAGCAGCAGCAACAACAACGCTCGCCCAAGGTCAAGGCTAAGTCGACCTCACCCACCTTCTCGACCATCGACATCAACAAGCGCAAGTGGTCCAACCTCAGCAGCGCCAACTTTGAGGAAGAGCGGAATGCAAAGATCCGTCGGTCAATCCAAGCCCACGTCTCTGGCCGCCCTGGGTCGCTCTCCCCCAAGCTCTCTTCAATGCCCTCGTCTGCAAGCACTGATACCCAGTGTGGAACTGTTCTGTCTCGTCAGGTCTTTGAATCTAAGGATCCTTCGACGCGTTACCAGATGACGACCATCAGCTGCCTGCACGCCTCTGTCGCTCAAAAATCGTATGGATCTGAGAAGCGGTTCCTTTGCCCTCCTCCTATTGTCAACATTCAGGCCCCTCACGATGGATCTAACTCGGCGCTGAGCAGTCGTCCCCAGGTGACGATGTCAGTGATTTGCGAGACGGGCGACAACAACAGCGCGTTGGGCCAACGATCGACGCTGGAGGATGATCGCACGGGCACCTTCCGTTATCTGTACGTGACTGGCACTGCCAAAGCGAAATCTTTTCAATTGAAGCTGCAAGTCTACGACCGCGCCTGTTTGCCCAACGGCTTCGTCGCTGCTGCGGCTGGTCCCGATGCCGAGGAAGGTGTCGTCAATGTTGCCGACCTTCCCGCTCCCTATGCCGTCTTTGACAGTGCTCCCATCGCCATCATCTCCAAGCCCTCCAAGAAGACCGCCAAGGCCCGCAACGTCTCCTCCTGCATCCTCGCCGGCTCCCTGGTCTCGCTCTTCAACCGCATCAACTCCCAGACCGTCCGCACAAAGTACATGTCTGTCCAGGACGGCGAGTTCTGTGCCAAGAACTCGACCTGGTCTGCTTTCTCGATCACCATCGTCGCTAACGGCCCCTGTGGTCTCGGACGCATCGGTTCGCTCAAGTCTCATCACCGTCAGTCTCCTGTTCAGTCATCTTCGCCCATTACCTACGGTGCAGAGATCATCTTGACCGAGACCGAGACGGGAATCCAGACTGACCGCCTGATTGTCTGCAAGGTCGAGAACGGCCGTATCCAGCAGAACGCCACTGGTCCCATCTGCCAGATGCAGAAGGTTGCCCTGATGTCGACCGAGCGCAACGAAGATGGTGAGCATGTGTACCTGAGCGCTGTGGGCAATGACCATCAGGTTGGCCGGTACATGGACCACTCGACCACAACCAAGACCCTCTTGAACTACCAGGCCTCGACAATGATTGGCGGTAACCCCGACTTTTTGAAGCCTGGTGGCGACGACTTTTTGTGCTGGACCATCGTTGGCATCTGTAAGTCCTTGACTCCTCTCTGCTCTTCTCTGTCGTCGAAGTTAATGGCAAATGTAATTAATGCGGCTTTGCTAACCATGGCCTCTTCTTTCTCATTTTGTCAAATGCTACAGCCAAGTTCGAGTACACCTACTTCGAGTCGCTTCCTACTGCCTCGGAGAACGAGACTCCTTATCCTATTACCCCGTTCCCTACCCTGATGAAGAACCCCGTCTATAACGCGGCCTCACACACGCTCGAGTTGGTGGTATCTAACTTTCACGCGCCGGCCGGAGCAAAACAGCAAGACCAGGCGCCCATGGATGTCTGGCTCGGATCCCGAGGACCCCTCAAGACCCAAATTATTCGCAGGACCACTCTGAACGAGTGTTCTACTGTCGAAGGCGGCAGCGGTGGTGCTCATGTTGACCAGACGACACTATTGGTTGATCTGCCACAGGGCAACCAGATGGGCGTCTCACCTGAGGAAAAGTCGATCTCGTTGCCTCTGCTCTTTGTCCGTCAGACTGATGGTATTACCTACAACTCCCGTGCCAAGGTCGTCTTTACCTGTCCCGACGATAGTGAGCGTTGGACCGTCAGCATGGCCTAAGCTTTTCCCCTTCAATTTGGTGGCAACACCATTTCTTTTTTACTTTTCTGCTTTCACTTCTATCCTTTGTAATTTCTTTCTGTAACTCTTTTGCTTTTGTGTACCAACCCTTTGTATCAATACTTTCTTCTTCTTTCGCATACCCCTTTGCCTCGCTTTTTGCAAATAACCTCGCCTATCTACTTCCTTCTCAAAAGTGCTTTTACCGTCAACTTTGATGAAAATAAAAAATCATGACATATCCTGATGATCTTCTTTTTCCCTATCAAGCTTCTCTCCACTTTCATTTTTGAATGCTGTGAAGGCGGACGAGCTCATTTTTAATGCTAGTATTACAGGAGGAGGTATATTTACTGAGTGTGGAGAGCAAGAAAGCATGTGGTAGGAGTGCTTGTGGGCCAGCGACATTGTCATCGTTGTTTTTTTGTATGTAAATCAACTTTTGTTCAATGGCAAACCCTTTACCAGTTACCAATCGCCACCACCAAAGTCCCCACCTCCAAAATCATTATTCTCAATGATTGTCACATCATTGCCCCCACCGTAGTTGTTGTTTTCAATGATCGTCACGTCGTTTCCTCCGCCATATCCTCCATAATTGTTATTCTCAATGATGGTGACATCGTTACCACCGCCATAACCTCCATAGTTATTGTTCTCGATAATCGTAACATCGCCACCTCCACCGACACCGTAAACGGGGGTGATATCGCCTCCATAATATCCGCCTGGGCCCCCTCCATATCCGTAGCCACCGTAGTTGTGGTGCATTCCGCCGCTTAGGAGTGATCCTGCTGCTAGACCTACTGCACCGCCTATTGAGAGTCGATGGAAGGAGAGAGGGGTATGTGAGTAAATGGGATGAGACAGGTGGAAGCAGTAGATGTGATCTAGGACAGTAGAGAGGGGTCATTGCTCAAGAAAATGGCAATCCAAATCATGAGGACATGAGCAAAAAAAGGTAGGGGTTACACCAAGCAAACAAAAGACCAACAAAGAAAAAAGTGAAAGAAAAAAAAGGAAAGGCCATTTTTTTTTTCCAAAAGGGAGCAACATCTTTGTTTTCCTTTCGAGCCCACAGAGTTCTAGTCCTTTTTTGTATCGATTGCTATCCGGCTCAATTCGTGAGCCATTGTCCATGCTCTGTATGATTTCCCTTTTTGTCCTTTTTGTCCTGGCATTGTCCGCTGTCGTTTCACCAGCGGGCCGAAAGTTAATCCCACCGACTCGTTCATCTACCCCAACACAACCCCCCCCCCCCACTTCACTCAACCTCACTCTACTTCAACGACATTGTCTCTTTACCTGCAACGGCTCCCACTGCAAGACTAGCCCCCGTCCCGAGCCCATGATGCTTCTGCGGCACGGGTGCCTGCTGCTGCACAATAATCGGTGCCGCTTGTGCTGCTGGATAAGGATACGGACTATAACCGCCCGACATCGGCACTGGTGCAGGTGAGGCAGTGGGCATGTAGGGTGGAGGGCGCTGGTACTGTTGTTGTTGGAGTTGAGAGTACCGAGCATTTTCTTGTTGGTCTGCGGCCTGGCCGAGGGGGTGGGCCCAAGTGACTTGTCCTGTGGGTTGGTAGATGTAGAAAAGGCGTTGAGTCCTGGGATCGAATTGGGATATCCTAATAAGGGTGATAATTGTTTGGAGAAAGAGTGTGTGAGGTGAGTATGTGATATAAAGCTTATGGGTTGTGAGAGTATGAATGAACGTTGAAGGGTGAAGGGGTGGTAGTTACCAGCCTTGTGGGAGTGTTGATGGAGCTCCGTTCATTTCTGTATATGTGTTTGTGAGAAAAAAAATGGGGGGGTGAGTTGTGAGTGAGTGTTGAGTATGAAAAGTGAAAGGTGAAAATAAAAGTTGAAAAAGAGAAAAATCGCGAAATGGCTTTTATGTGCTTTTTTTTTCCCCCTTGTTGTGCGTGTCTATGTTTGCCAAGCAAGGCTGATTGGTAAACATATCCGTTCATTCTACGATGATGCGAAAAAAAGGAAGCATCACCTTGCCTTGCCACGCCTCGTCAGTGCAGGTTTGTCCAGGTGGACAACATAAATGAGAGTTTCTTTTGTCCGAAAGGTATTTTTAGCAACAGCGATAATTTGATCATTTCTGTCGACTTGTGCCTCTTCTTTTTTATTCCTTCTTCGTACAAGTGTGCCGTTGCGCTGATTTTTACTACATTGGCTAAAAATGGGCTTTCATTGGGCATCATGCCTGCGCTTGGATGTAAGCAAAAGGACCTGGGTAATCATTTTCTTCCATCGACGCCTTCTATGCAACACAGCCCGCTTTCCCTCCATTTGCATCAGAAGCCATTACATGAATAAAGCTCACGTCATAACATGCAGGTTGCGTGCGAAGACCGAAAAAGCATGGGCAATCTGTACAAGGTATGGTTTATTTTGTGCTCGACGAAAAAAAGAAAAAAAAATGGAGAAGTGGATGGATGTGGATGAAGTGAGGTGGTATGACATTAGGGTAAGAACTGAAGAAGTAGGAAAGGTGCAACAACAAAATGTACAAAAAAGGTGAGAATGAAGGAGGTATGAAAGCTGAACATAATATTATTATTTTAGTTCTTGCCGTCGTAGAGCTCCTGCTTGTCGCCGAGCTCGATTATGTCGTCACCCTCCTCGATGGTGTGTTCCTGGACGGCCCTGAAGGCAACAGGGACGGCGCCAAGGACACCGAGACCGATCAGAACAACACAGACAAGGAACTCACCCATACCACGGGTCTGGGCATTGACGGCATTGTATCCAGCAGAGGGTCCGTTACCGATGATCGAGGTCTGGACGACAGGGGCAAGAACACCTCCCAAGTTCTGGACAAACTTGTAGAAACCAGCGAAGCGGGCAGCCTGGTTGGTGTCGTTGGTCAAGGCTCCCATCAACCAGTAAGAGAACCCCTGGTACATGGCATCGGTGACTCCGTAGGCGAGGTAGAGGAAAAAGGGGCCGATGAAGTCCTTGGTGTTGGTGACCAGATCGATATGGTGAAAATCGGCGGGGTTCTTGATCAAGCTGCCAGGGTTCAATGGGTCTGGGACGGCGTTGTCGTTGCGGGGACCAAACGTGCGCTGGAAGAAGAATCCTCCAGCCCAGGTACCGCCAAGCAAAATGGTCAAGAGGATAAGACCGTAACGGGCACGCTTGGGGCGGGACCACTCGCGCTTGTCCAAGAACTGACCATAGGCAATGGAGGCGAAAATCTGAGCCAACCAGTAGAACATCGAGTTCATGGCACGCGTACGGATGGTGAAGTTGAAGGCGTTGACGGCGTTGAACTGGTAGGTGTAGATCCAGTTGGAGGTGAAGAACATGGGGATCAGGCACAACATGCGCCAGTCCAAGAAGAGCTTGAAGACCGAGATCAACTCGGAGGTGGGGCTCGAGTAGCGGACACGGACAACGTTGGTGCCATCCCTACGGAAGACCTTGGAGGTAGGCAACAAGAGGAGGGAGAGAAGGGCACCAATGACCATGACGACCATGTAGGTTCCATAGGCACCTGTGCTAGCACCACCGGCGTCGGCGTCGTTCCATTGGAGGATCAAGGGAATGACGTTACCAATGACACCACCACAGTTGAAGATGGCCCAGAAGATGGCAAAGTACTTGCCCTTGTCACCCTCCTCGGGGTAACCCATCATGACGGCACCCTGGGCGCACCACAACCAACCGGCACCAATACCAAGCAGGCACGAGGCAACGACGACAAAGACGATCGAGGTGATGTAGTGGTAGGCCAAGAAGGATCCGACATAGAGACAGTAAGTCAAACCACCGATGATGAGCAGGAGACGATGACCAAAGATGTTGAAGAGAGCGCCAGCGAAGAGGGACGAAATGGCAAAGACACAGGAGAGGGCGGTCGAGGCATGGTTTCCGACGTCAGAGTCCTTGGGGCTGAGGCCATAGGATCCTGTTCCCTGCAGGGCATTGAACATGCCTGGACAGCAGAAACAGATAATACCCTATTTTTTGAGTAGTGGCGTTCATTTATGACGAATAGAACGACATTGTGGAGAAGGGAAGATGAAGAGATGGGATAGGAGTGAAGTAAGAAAAATATATGAAAGGAGAAAACAGTCAGCTCACGGGGTTTCTCATTTCTTTGGGTTGGGTTGGCTGTAGGTTCAGATTCAATTCATGCAGATTGACATTGATATCGATCGTGTTATTTTTTGGCGCAAATGAGAGCAATAGGAGAAAAAACAAGAGGCTAGACGATAGGCGATTGAGGGGAGGGGGATTGAGAGTATCTGGAAAGGGAGGCATTGAATATGCGTGTGAGCTGGAAGAAGGAAAGGGTCGAAGGATCGCCGAGTTTTGCTCTGTTAAAGGGCAATTGAAGTGTGCAGTGGTAGTGGAGTTGAAGGCGAGTGCAGTGCGATATGATACGAAGTGTCGAGTTAGAATGAATGGGAAAGGGAGAGGAGACAGTGGGAGGACAGTGGAGGTGTTTGGAAGGTGTAGGTGTAAAGTCTGGGTGAATTGGCGAGTGTGTTGAATGAGTGTGAACAGAAGACATAGGAGGAGGGAGGTTGAGGACGTACCACCACAATGACCTGGGCCAAAGGATCGGAGAGTTTCATGTTAAGGAATTGGTTTGTGAGTAAGAAACGAAGGTGGTGGGATGTGTTAGAGATTGAAAGGGAAAGAAGGTGAGATGTATGAATGAGTAGTAGTAAGGATAAGGTACAAGAGTATGTGTAGACAATGGAAAGGGGAAGAAGCAACAAATGGGACCTGAAGGCGACGAAAAGAAGAAGAGAAGAGAAGAGAAAAGAAGAAAAGGGAAATCCAGGAATGGGCAACAAGCAGCACAGGTTATATAGGAGGGCCCGGTCGTCTGTTCGTCTGTTGGGTTAATTTAATCCGCACATCATCACATCAAAAGTCCGCTCGAAAGCAGAGAGGAAGGGGCACAAAGGCAAACAAAAAACCTTCTTGGCCTTACAATTCACCACCCTTTGTTCACTATTAGCTTTCGCCAAACGAACTCAAGGAAAGGAAGGAAGGAACTAGACGGACTGGACTCGACTCTTGATTGACTAATGACTAATCGACTAAGTAACTGAATAGATATGAACGTCCGCTCATTTCACGGAGGAGGAGTTGCGTACTGAAAAAAGAATTTGGCTTTCAACCGCAGTGAAAAAGAGTGTGTAAGAGAAAGCTTGAGCAAAAGCACACATTCATTTCGTGATTACAGTTGCCTGCTTTGATGTTACAGTTGCCTGCTTTGATGTTGTTCTTGTTGCTGTCGCTGTTGCGGTTGTCGCGGTTCAATACAAAGAATAAAACACCCGGCCAGGCGTATATCCTCTCAGACCAAAAAAATCACATTCTCATTTCTCACTCTCACTCTCGTTCTCAAATGCAATATGAGAACTGACAGTTCTGTTGTTTTGCATTGATGCATGCGAGGCCGAAGGATGTCCACACACCTCGTCACCTATTTTTTTCGCTCAAATTCTTCGTGGTACATTGAATGAAGGAAGCACCATTGTGACCCATCGATCAAACAAAGCTAGACTGGACTCTTCGATCAAAGTAAACATGAGTTCCTTCCTTACTCCCTCCTCGTTGCGGGCGTAACGGTTGCCTTTTGTTTTTATCGTTTTCATTGTTTTGTTTTCATTTGTTTGTTTTGTTGTTTTGTTATTTTCATGTCACTTGTGCATCCATCCATTCAGTAAACCAACCAACGGTCATGGCAGCTTGCCCTCGTCCATCTCATTATTCATCGATATGGTTTCTCGGGCATTTGCCACTCTCTGGACCGAGTGTGACCCCAACTTTCTTTTCCAAACAAACAACAATTTCAAATGCTTGCTTGGTTTGGTTTGCATGTCGAGGATAAACAAACAGATGACTGGTCTCTTTCTCGTTGCATTGGTCTCCTCTCTGTTTGACGCCCATGGCTCACTCTCTCAAATCTCTCCCAGTGTGTGTGTGTGTTGTTTGTGTTTGTCGGATATCGCTCTCGGTTCTTGTCCTTCCTCCCCCCACACAGAATGTCGTACAATCATTCCTCCTCGACCGAGGATCTCGATTTTTGAGTTTTCCTTATTGGTTTGTACAATCACGCCCTTACTTTCCTGCCCTTCTGGTCCTTCTTGAACCCAATGATCTACTTCTTTTTCCAAACAGCCCAGTGCCATATTTTGCGTGCAAACCTGTAGCTTTACAGCTCAAGACGACAATGAGAAGGAATGCAGGGGCAACTCCATAATGAGGCGGCGATAAAAATGAATGCAATGAGGAGGACAAGGAGAATGTACTCTTAATTATCTCAAATGAACACCCGTGTTTAATGAGCCGCTGGGAACGATACAGTTGTCTGATACACAACATCAAGCGTGCACATCGTCTTTTTTTCATAATCATCATCTATTCATATGTACAAGCACTACTTTAGCTCCTTCCTGTTTTGTTTTGTTTTCGTTATCTACTAGAGACTCCGAGGGGATAGGGATACTTGAAGAGTATATAGATACGGGTTGAGGGAAAATCAGCAAACAAAATGACCAGCGCTACGTAGGAATGGGAAAGGACAGTAACAGAAAAACAAACCAAAATAGAACGGGCTCGCGGATGAAGGATACGACGACGGCAACCGAAGGCATTGAAGGCCCACATATGAAGTTATGAAGAGGGTGGCGCAAGGTGAAAAAACGGCGAGAGGGATGAGTGACGATGGCGATCGATTTTGATCGCTGTCTGTCAAAGGTATAAAAAAAAAGCGGGTGAATAGTTGCGGATGGCACTGAAAGGTACAGGGATGGGGCATCATTCAGAAAGTGAAGCCTATCAGTTTCGCTGAGTTGTCGTTCCGTGTCCATGTCCATGTAAATGGTGAGGCCTGGCCCCAGTTTTTTTTCATTTCTCCGACCGGGGAGTGTGTTCGATTTAACATGGATACACCATTCGGCAGCAGGCAGCGGCAACTCTCCCACAGTCTCCTATTAAGGGACGGGACGCCGTCTTTTTTGTGTAAACGAGCTAACGGGGTCGAAAACACACAGACATACACCTATTCTTACTAGAGAGTGTAGAAAGAAGTCAATAGAATTTGATCCTCCGATCCCCTTTTCTTCAACCACGGAGCAAGCAAAAAAAAAAACTCCTCCAACGGTCGACCCAAAAAAGAGAGCTGAGCTTGAGCTGGGTCACCAAATACTCACCTCATCCAAGAGCAATTTTGCAGCTTGTCGGTCAGATCTCCGTGGTGGTAGTGGTAGTGGAGTCTAGGCACCCCTTCCTTTCTAGAGTTTGCATGTTTGATTTTAGGTGTTATTTCACATATGCCAACCAGCAGGACGTACTTGGTCATCGGTTCAGTTGAGCTTTGGAGAATGGAAGATGAGCGAAAGGCAGGCGAGGGGCTAAACCGAATGAGTGAGGAACAAAAAACAAAAGGAAGAGCGATGCACAAAACAGCCAGCGTGATGATGACTACTTTCTCCAACTCCAAAAAAGAAAAAAGGACACCTTAAAACAACAAGCTCTTAAACCATTGCCGTCCGCCCTCTTGATCAGCAAAACAACAACGAGAAGAAAAACAAACAAACAGAAAACAATGGCGCTTTGGTGCCAAAAGACAAGAAAATTAATTTTACTTTCTTTGTTTTTTGCGCCGTGGAAAAGAAACGTTAGAAAGAGATACATGAACAGTATTGTTGTTTGTGGATGTGCGTGTGCGTGTGCATTATTGTTTGTGTGCCCTCCTCATCGCCCATCTCATTTCATCTCTCCCTCTATTTTTTTGTGTTTGTGTGGCAGAGTCGCAGTACCTAGACATTCTCCTCGCCATCTGGACTGTCGGCCGATACGAGCGGGTGGGTCAATGAAAAAGGCGAGGGAGCGAGCAAGGAAGGCTGGCCTTTTTCTTACCCACAGAGACACAAGCCTGACCACAAGGAAATCGGATAAGGTGCGATATGATATCGACCCGCGAATCAAGCACAGAGGTTGGTTGCACAAGATGGGAGTTTTTGGGCCCTTTCTTTCTTTTGCTTAACCATAACACATAGGCACACCACACAACGGCCAAAAAAACGGGTGAAATGGAACCCCGTTCTATTGTCCCAAAAATTATTCATCGTCCTCCTCTTCATCCATCCTTCGACCTTGAGGCACTCCAGCAGTGGAGAGAAGCGGGAGTTGGTCCAACGGGCATCAACGGATAGCAATCAAAAGAAAAAGGCCGAACAAGGGATGAGAAAAAACGTACAAGGAAAAGGGTACCATTTTCACCCCTCGCTCTCGCTCACACCAAAGGTCACCTGGTAGTAAGAAGTGAGAGTCTAGTCACCCACGACCAATTTGCCTAATGTATTTATCTCATGGAACACTTTAGCGGTTGCATGATAGTGTATCTATAGTACCCGTTGACGAAACACATATGATCATATAACATAAAGATACCAACGGGGAAGAAACCCCCTAGACTTCATCCCCGTCGCAATATCCAACAGATGCATTAGCGAAATGCGAATGAGGAATAGAAGGCCAGGACCATGGTCAGGGCAAGAGCAAGTCCGCAGGCAGCAAATAAACCAATTTCTCCTCCTTGTCGGTCTTTGATTTTTTTTCTCCGTTTTTTGGTTTGCCATGGATACAAAACAAATTTGTTTTGTGACCTGCTCTCACCATCTTCCTCTCCAAGCTTTCATTTCAACCTTACAAAAAATAGTACCACCCTCTGGTGAGGTGAATGATCGACGATTGGTGCGATGCAGGAAGGAATTTTGGGTCAGGTTTACGAACACCTAGAAGAATAGAAGCAACAGATGCTCCTTTTTTTGCTTTTTTTTCTTGATCAAGGTTTGTTGAACCTAAGATGAAGGATTGGATCATGGGAGTGAGGTGAGGGTAGATATTTGCACAGTCGTATATATGTTTCACGCTTTCTGTCATCACGAAGAGGATGGGTCATGGA